CCTAGCTAGGTCAATATAAGGTCCAAACCCATGCTCAGAGGCGTGGGTGCATCCATTTTCCTCTGTGGCTTAGTGGTAAGTGGACAAGTGTCAACCTGGGCGGTTGTGGTCTCCGTCGCGCGTGACCTGGGCCGATACTGGCGATACTGGCCCATCCCGGCCGTTCCGCTTTTGCCTCGATAGCGCGGCCCAGCTCGAAGCTTGGGCACTGGGCATTGCCCGTGCCTTCTTGTCTGTCCGCCCGTGAACAGGATCCAATTCACAGCGTGTGTGGAAACGTGGGATGGGCGGGGCCTATTGTGCCTCACATCGTCATCGCTCGCATCGCTCGCCAACAAGACTGGTGTTGCTCTCATGTTGATGCTTCGAGGTGCAGCTGGGCTGTACAGGTGGCAGGTAGACAGGCAGGGGGATGTAGACTAGGTGGTACCCTCAGCCGCTGTCCGCCCAGTCGCAGAATCTGGGGTATCGGTACCTGGACGAGGGGCAAGTGGGTCCAGCGACGTCAGTGCTGCAGGCAGGGTTCCATTCCACGACCGCGTTACGGGTCTGCCCTTGTAGTGGTGGATCGACGGATCTGGGGAATCTTCTGGGGGCAGTCACACGACATCCCAAAGAGGAGCTGGCCTTGCGCTGTTTGTGTGCTGTTTGGCATTGTTTAGACACTTGAGCGAGAGGCAGAGCAGCTGTATCCGACGCGTGCTTCCAGGCAGTCATCGCAGCATTAAATCAATCACAGCTGCAGGCCGACCAATGCAAGCCGGCTGGATTGCGTGATGCCCGCAGTCGGCATGGGCATCCGACGTCATGCCACCACGTCCCCGTTTTGGTAACGGCATCGCGTGTTCACGGTAACAGTACACCGTAAGTCCCCGCCATGCCCGCAGACGGGGAAGTCATAGAGACCAGAGAGGGCAACTGAATGCCGGAAGCCGGCCCCGTACCTGAAACCATCCTGGGCGTTAATTGCTCATGTGCCTGGCATTGAGTGGGCTGTGCCATGGGAGCTTGAGCTCGAGCTGACGGGGCTCTCTTGACGTGCTCTTCGCCCTCATGGCCGGGGACCACACCGAGCTTTGGCACATGATCACTTCATAGAACGGCATCGAATCAGCCCATTGGTCCCAGGAATATCGACAAGCTCTTGCTCCTTTTAAATGCAGACAGAGCTCCATTCCATTCTCATGCCTGTGCCTTAAAAAGTGTCTGTCTGCATTAGACTTTCAGCTCTGTGTTGTAAACCCGTCCACCTTCGCACCCACTTACTCATCCCACCCATCATCTATCCACCACAACCCCCCACCCCAACCCACATCCATTCCTCATAAGTGTCTCTGTCTCCAAGATTGTCTTGTTGTTCATCTCGATTCCACGGTCCTGAACTTGACTGCAAACCAGCCTCCCAATTGACTGCAGTCGAGCCCCAAGCCATTCCAGACCTTTCTCCTTTCTGGTGCATTGACATCACGCGACATCCCTTTGTACGTACCTCCAATGGGGAGCTCGCCCTTAAACCTTCGAAGCTCCCTTCGCCAGCAGGGAACCCCGCATTGACATCTGTCGCTGACTTCACATCATCCAGAAGACGGTCCTGAATCCTTCTAGATCAAACCATCATCTATCAATTCCATCCATCCAACTCCATCAATCATCAGTAAGTATCCTCTCCGACCTGCCGTATATGCAGCAATACACTAGTGGCCCTATCCATGGAACAGCTACCCCTGTGGACCTTCCGCCCAGAGGAATGAACACCATTTACACCAGGGACCGGTATCTTGCAGGATATCTTGTGGTTGTTGAGAGAGTGTGTTGCTGATCAGCCTCAAAATACAGTGACTCGTTCTCACAAGCTCAATGACAAGGACCACGCTGGCCTCGCCAATGGCACGGCTGCCCCTGAGGAGCACCTGCCTCGCTACTTCGCGAAGCATGGTCATGTTGGCGAGGACCCTAAGAAGATCAAGAAGAGCGGTGGTGGAAAGGGCAACTGGTAGGTTTCCAATCTGTCTATTTTGTCGTCATTTCTGCAACAGTCATTATGGCCCTGAAGGCAGGTAGACTCCCGACTTCATGGCACCAGATACTGGTCAAATGCTGCTTTCTTCCCAATGCGGGCCATGGATCTATTGGTAGCCTGTTGGATTGTTACACAATACTTGGCATGGAAATGGGTTCTTGATTAGACAACTACTAACAACTGATAGGGGCAACCCTGGTGATGAGGTTCTTGACGACCAGTTCAATTTCTCCAACGCTCGTCGCCGATCCAACTCGTCCGGCTACGCCAACAACCTCCAGGACTTCAAGACCAAGTTCGAGTTCAACGAGCCCGAGCCTGTCTTTGAGGAGTCCGTTCACGGTGCCGAGGACCCCGAGCTCACTAAGACCGACACTGCCTCCTCTGCCAGTGGTGTTTCTGTCGACGAGAATTCTGCCAAGAGCGCCTAAGTACCTCATTTCTACAATGAGCCTTGGACATGATGAGGGTTTTCATACAAGTCATTCGGGCGTTGCACACAGAACACTCACTTAAAGGTCTGGCGAAAGGGAAGAGATTGATGAGCTCATGATACGGTTCCTACTATGTTTCGGTGGCATTGGTTGGCTGGTTCTGAGGGGCATGGTTGATATTTTGGCATCTGGTGGCGTCTGAATCGGTTTGACTTTAACCCTCATCGCACGAATGTCGTGCTTGCTCGCAGCAGATGGTAACTTCTGGTGACGTGCTGCTCACCAGGCTGTAACTCTAGGTTTCTTCAAAAGCCGTACTCTAGCAATGAAAATACAATTGCACGGCTACCTGTCTACATCCTTTATCAATATCGTGATCATTGTGTGCTGTTGTTTACACTCTTATCTATTATAATATACAAGTCGGCGCCCGCTCAAGGCCAGGAGTCATTCAATACCAGCATCAGCTTAACGTGCCACAGAGTTTCTTGCTGCTGCATTACTCAACGAGTTTCGCAGTGATCTCCATGCTGTAGTCAAGTGTTGAGAGATCCCTTACCGTCACGTTGGGTTCTTTGAACTCGGACATAGCGTGGGCGGCCATCCTGCTGTCCCTGCTCTCAACCTTGATTTTTTCGATTCTGATGGCGTCTAGCTGCCCCTTTTCATTCGCGGGACTCACATACCCGTCGACGACACGGTAAGGTACCTTGATGGGTATGATGATAGAGGACCCGTCCACCAAATAGGGCAGCCTGAACTCAGCCGTGTCATGTACACCTAGGGTATCCTTCTGTGCGAAGACCGTGTTCTGGAGCTGTTTTGGGAGCAGTTGATTCGTCTTCTGCTCTACAAGCCATGGTGGCGCCCCTGACAACTTGGTCTGCGCGATCGATAATACCAGCTCTCGTAGGCTCTCGGGGCACTCGACGGCCGTGACGTCCTCGAATATGAGCCTTTTCTCGTCGTGGAACTTCCCGGTGACGGCGTGTGTCCACATGCCCGTATTCCCCTCGCCCGGAAGCTTGACGCCGACGGCGCGGAACCTCCTCGCCAGGTCTGCAGCGGTCCACCCATCGGGGTACAGCGTTTTGTCGCCGCCCCAGCCCCAGCAGGCCCAGTCTACCTTAGTGTCCAACTTCGTCACCTTGGGGGCGTCCACGACGAGGCCCCTCGCCAGATCCTCCTCCGTGGGCATCCACCCCGCCGGCTCAAGCGGCGGAACGAAGACGCGGCGCTCCAGCCCGTCGACGAGGATCTCGGCGCCCTTGGCGGCGAGCATGTCGTGCAGCTGGCGCACGTCGCAGCCCTCGGGCACGGGCAGGCCGGGCCACGGCGTCTGGGCGAGGACGGCACCGCGGTCAAAGTGCTTCTCGTGCAGGGTCTGCAGGGTGACGCCGGCGTGGGCCCGGCCGCGCAGCAGGGCGTGCTGCAGGGGCGCGGGCCCGCGCAGGTCCGGCAGCATGGAGGGGTGGACGTTGAGCCCGCCGAAGCGCAGGGCGCGCAGCACGCGCGGCGGCACGAACAGCCCGAAGCTGACGGCCACGAGCAGGTTCAGGGGCTGGCGGTGCGAGTTCTCGTGCGCCGCCCGGTGCCGCACCACCTCGCCCGTCTCGTGGTGCCGCACGTGGCCCGCCGGCGGCAGCTCCCACCCCGTGAACGTGTCGCGCTTGTGCACCGCCAGCCCCAGCTCCTCGGCCAGCGCGAACAAGGGCCCCGTCGCGATCCGCCGCAGCCCTCGCCCCGCCGGCTTGCCCGGCCGCACGAGCACGTCGATCGACTTGATGAGCTTGGGCTTGGCCGCTTGCAGGTTGTGCAGCGCCCTGAGCGAGGCGCAGCTGAACTCGTCTGAGCCACAGAAAAGGATGCGCAGGGGCTCGGTTGCGGGCAGTTTGCGCCTAGGGCCGTAGTAAGTACGTGTCTCAGGGATGTCTGGATGTGTTGATGATGATGTTGTCGTCGTCGTAGTTGATGTGTGGCGGGTTTGTATTGTAAGTAGCGGGCTGGAGTAGTTCAGACGTGACACGGCGTTCACCCTTTGGCCCTGAAGCACCAGCCTGGGTATTGATGGAGGCATGGTGAGTTGCTTGGTGAGATGGCCCCAGAGGTCACCTCAGGTGAAGAACCAGATCAGCTCGATCGCGGCTCATTGCCGGGTGGGGATGGCGCGAGGTGAACTTTTTGAATGAGCAGTCTACTCAATCAGAGACCATTCTCATCTGAAATGCAGTTGTGCCATCTGCGAGTTCAATTATTTCCCCAGATACATGCCGCCAACTGAGGTGGTCTGTGGTGAAATAATTTCGATTGAGATATAAGCTTCTGTATGAAAATATTGACGTCTGCTTATAGCGATTTACACTGCTGTACCTAGGTACCGGGGTAGCGTAATCCCCTAAAGTTTGGGTTAACCACTGACCCTCTGTCGCTCTCGCAACAACTAATCTGAGAATCTCATCTGAGCCTGAATTGATTTCCAAAGAAGCTCGAGCCTGCATATTTCAATTTAATCTTCAAGTTCTTATTGCTCAGGCAGCCTGTCTGCAATCTGCTTGCTCCAGAACGGTTCAAACAAGCGCCCGGCCACGCGGTACTCGACAATATGGCGGAGCAGTATAAAAGACCAGCTCACCCACCATTCCGCAGTTGTACGACCCACAAGTTGTAACTTTGGGGAGCAAAAGAGTTCGAGGCTTATGCAACCTACATCTCTGGCTCGAGAACCCGTGCCAATGTACTGGGGGAGATGTTTTCCGCCACATTGAGCGTACTTTTTTCCCCACTTCCATGGAGACTCCAAGGGCTCGAACGGGCGACTGCCCTGTCACAAACACCACCTGTACTTGGATTTGAGATGTATTTTCGCCGTGCTTCCCGATTGAGCTAACGGGGTGCTACTTCTATCTGTGCCGTGACAATTTTAATGGCTTTCCCTGACCCATATGGGCAGGGCAGCTCTGCGAAAAGTTAGAATGGAAGTGAGCTGTGAGGTCCCTTCACAGCACTCGTCACATTGACGTCTTACAGAAAGCCTTGTGAAAACCGGCAATCCAACTATTGCACCTTGTCTTGTCTGTGATTGTGTACGTACTCTGGATTAGGCCAACGACCAAAACGCAAATTTGACGGAAGGGCCACTTGTTTGTAGGCTGGCTGGCGACACTATTAGAGCAAGCAATCCTCAACCTACTATGGAGACGCAGCTCACAGAGATCTTAAGTTTTACGGATGCTCAACATGTCCAGGGGTCACCATAGAAATACTACATAGGTACGCTGTGTCTGGACGTGGATAAGACGCCATATAAAACAATACCTTTGCCGGGGACTTATCCTATACTTATGCATCCAGCTGAAAATTATCCCCCTGGAGCTTATCCTACTACAGGCTATCCACTGGAGGCTGTACCACGAGAGCTTATGCCACTAGAGTTATCCTACCAAAGTTAATTCCACTAGAGGTTGCTCAATTGAACGTTGTCTTACTGGAAGGCACTCCTTCAAGAAGGTACAGTAGTTTAGGGCTTTTGCTGGTTGTATCTTGTCCGGCTCCTTATAAGACAGACACGCATGGAGTGGAAAGAACGAAATTAAAATTGGCCCGGGTCATAACTATTATACATCACGCCTTGTGAGATTGCATTCTGTATTAGACTTGTTGAAACTGCTAGAAAGGAGATAGTCGTGAAACGTCACTCATAAGATCGTACAGTTGTACAGGTAAGTACAATTTCCCAAAACCTAGAAAACTAACATAAACAGGAAGTGAATGTGACAAAGTCGAGCTGATATTCCAACTCATCAGGCATCGTGCTGGGACATCAGCCCGTGAAGACTGCTGGACCGGGCGGAGTGTAGTCCGATGGCGCATGCTGGGTATAGATGTTGAACACCAGACCGGATTCGTCTTTCTTGTACAGTGCCGTGCCTACAACACCCTCAGGAGTCGCCGTACCACCGCCTTGGATATCTAGGCTTATGCACTGCGGGTAGCTCTGTGCCCCACCGGCGGACTGGGCTTGATGCAGAGCAATGGTCTCGTGCCGCAGCACGTACTGACCCGGCGCAATGGATGCGGGGATTGTCGTCGTCCACGAGAAGTTGTTAGCGATCATCTGGTCAGAGCCCCATTTCCCCGGCGGGCTGGAGCCGTCGACGAGCCCGACTGCGTCGATTTTGAAAAACTTGAGCTGCGTCTTGTCCACGTTCGCGCAGTCGTTGTTGGGGCACGCTGCGAGGTAGTCCAGCATGGGCCCGTGGTGCGATTCCGGCCAATCTTTGGTCCAGAATACAGTCACATTCGAGCCGGCCGTTGCCTTTGCTGTGATGGGAGCCGGCGTGGCGCCAACGTGGCAGATCACATCCGGGCTGGTAATGTCCTCGACGAAGCCGTTGGACAGGTCCTTGGGGATCGACCAGCCGACGACCTGGGGAGGTGGGTTTTGGTACTGTTGTTGGGGGTTGTACCCTTGGATGCTATGTAAAGGGTTAGCTGATGCTGGATCTTATCGACGGTACTTTTATTATAATTTCTTACAAGGCTCCGTCAATTTCTATCCCGGAGACTGTGCCGTGTGACAGGGCTTGCCCGCTGAGAAGCAAGACCCCGAAGGCCAACCCTGATGTGGAGTACATTTCCAGTTGGTCTTATTGAATATACAGTGAATGTTAAGAAAGGATCGTGTCAGTATAGACTGTAGAGAAGGTCGATCTGTCCCGCCAGGGGGATGTTCGTTCAATTTGGCAAAAGAGTGTGTAATGGTCTGGCGTTCTTGAAATTCCCAAAGGAGAAGAGGCGGCCGTTGTTCATTATATATTGGCTTGCATGCTTCACTTGAGCCCCATGGAGGCTGTGAGCTGGCGGTACACCCTCTCATTCTCAGACTTGCCGTTTTCAGAACCGGCCGTTGTCGAGGGTGCTCGGCCCCTCTCGCAACGTCCGTTGGGTAATCCGGACGAGGCACATGGCCGTCCGATGTCGAGGTTTCGAGGCTTGGAGTCTAAGTGTTTCGAACTCCACATACTTAACCTTATCAACGATGCTTCTTTTTTGCGTCTAACTTGGAATGGCAAAGTAAACCAATTCAGATGATACAAAGTAAGGCTGCTCGGTCGACTCGCATCACGAGGATAGAATAGGGATACGGCACTTCTGGTGCCAAGACCAACGGTTGAAGCTTTTTCCATGCAGGCACAGAGATTTAAACTCGATTTGCAAGACAAGAAGGTTGGTTCAGACGGCCGTCATCGTCTTTCAACATGTTCATCTGAGGCCTACGATGCATGAGAAACTTCGCTTCTGTCCATTTGAATACGGCTCACAGGGATCCCAAACATTTAGCTATGACTTGACCCGTACGGACCACACGCTTCCCTACAGGAGGTTATTCCGAAGGGTAACTCTTTGTGGTGATGATCACCAATAGGATGATCTCGTATGGGATTGCCTCACATGGGAAAATCCCCAATGGGATAATGTATGGGATGACCTCCCGTATGTCGACTGTGGAAACCCCTCTTGTGGGATAATCTGTGATATGGTACCTGTGGGCTTATCTTGCTCGCTTGCTACCTGCTCTTGAATGTTTGGCAACCCGCGGGACGGACCCCTGCATAGCTACAGCTCGGTGATCGTCCCGACTTCCCTCCTCTCGACTGCCGTTCGTCGAATCGAGCACACCGAGACCCATACGACCCTGCACACTTCCAGACGGATTGGATGGCAGTTATACCTCCGACATAACCTTTGAACGGCACCTGATGCCCGTGCAGCTGTTTCCAGCATCGCCTTCGTGCATACCTCCGACTGATCGCCGAACCTTGCGCAGATCAACATGCGCAGCCAGCAAACAAGTAGGTGATCTCCCGCTGTTTCAGTTTGCGAGTGGCAGGGCAGCTGCTGTCAGTGCTCGATCCTCTCCTTAACTTCCTCGGCATGAAAATCATTTTTTCCTGCCGAGTCGCGGGCCCATCAAGGGAGCCGGTCCCGGAGTTCGGCTGGTCCTGAGCCGTTGCACCGCGGCTCACATGTGCGATGAAACCGCACTTAGCACCGGAAGGCACCCTTTCGATGTCTTTGCTTCCGGCAGGTCCATCATAGAGAAGTCGAATTCTCAACTAGAAATGACGTCTTGCCAAGGATGCCTCTCACAGCAATTCGAAGTCGTCCAGCTTATCTCTGTACTGCATGATGTTGCGCTTGATCTTGCTGCCGACGGACCACGTCACGAAATCCTCGAGTTGCCGTGTGACCAAGAATGCCGGATCGGCTAGAGCAGATCAATGTGTTAGTCACGCTGTCAGAGGGTAAGGTCACGAGATTATGTGGACAATAACTTACTGACTGTCTCCGTTCCGACACGGACATGCCCTTGCTCGATCATTTTCGTGGCAGCTTGAATGGTCTCGGCCATCCTTAGGCGCGTCACTGATGGATATGTCAGCTTGAGGTTCATGCGGCGTTGGGGGAGCCGAAGGGTGAGTCCTGGTACTCACTGACGACAGGAAGGCGTCTCCGTGCAAAGGCAGACACAGTCGCGCCGTGCTCGATAGAGCTCAGCTTAGAAGTCGAGGACAGGATGCCCATGTCGTAGACCTTTTCCAACAGGAGCTTCTCATGCTTTCTCCGGACATCGTTCTCCGGGGGCATGAGTGAGAGCCGGTGTGCCATTTGGCGCAGTGACTGTGCCTTCATGTCAGACAACATGAGATGGAGGTGAATATCGGGTCAGAGTGTACTCACGCCGCATAGTCTGTTATACTTGTTGTAATCCTCAGGCTTCTGTATCATGTAACGGCGAATGACATTGTGGTCGCGGTGGCCATTGTCCTGCTTGTAGGTGATGAAGTCTGTCTTCTTGAGCAGCTTCTGCTCGTGATGCTTGAGCTTTCTGACCATGATGACGGTATTCACGCAATGCGGGTTGACGTTGTGGAATGGGCGGTTAATAGGAGGAAGAAGTTGTCGATGTTCCTGCTGCCATTTTCTGGGTGGGTCAACTTTTTCCAGCGGGTCGGCACCGACGGGCTCCACTAGCTGCACCTCAGCCTGCCGAAGAAAATCCGCTAGGACTACCTCGCCAAAGTGAACGACTTCGAAGTCGCAAGTCGCCTTGCCTCAGATCCAAAAAGGGCCTCGACCAGACAGACAGAATGCCGCCACGGCTCTCATTACAGCCGCTTTCGCGGCACCTGAAGCCTCTTGGCCTCCAAACAAATGCCGCGTTCTCTTCAACGGCCAGAAATGGAGTCCGTACGTACAGCGCCCTCGCCCTCGAGACAACGATCTGGTAGTTGACAACCCCATCAGTGAAACTCACCGAAGCGGACGCGTCCAGGAAGCTCTTACACTTTGACGAAAACCAAGAACCCAACAGTCCTTCCGGCCCTAGGGGTCGCAATGCGTTCAACAGGTCGTCGCCCGACCAACCCAATTCGGCGACGCCGCATGACGCCCTCAGCAGCCTGATGAGTTCGACGCGCGCGTACGACAGGCTCACGATAAGGAGCGACAACACTGCACAGAGGGCAAAGGACAATACCTACCGCGAGAGCCTAGCGCGGCAGGCGACGCGGAACTGGAAGCCCGGCGACATCTACGCGCCGCACGACCTGTCCCCGCAAGAGATGGTTAAGTGGAAACAGCCCAAGCAGCCGTCCAAGGACATCATCGATATGCTCGGGTTGAATCCTCTGGATCATTATAGGGTACGTGGCTCTACTATCTCTATTTCTTGGTGGCGGTGGTTCAGTAGCGGGCACACTACAGTGGGAGATGGACGGCTCCGGGCTGACAAGCAATGACCGGCCTCAAAATCAATGCTTCGTGCCGTGATTTCCTGAGCTTTGCGCTGACCGTCACACAGAACTTTTCGATCATGGCCGAATTCATGACAACAATGGGCCGCATCAAGCACTCGAGGGAGACCGGACTACGACCGGTCAATCAAAGGAAGATGGCCAAGGCCATCAGGAGATCGATTGGGATGGGACTCCACCCTAGCACTCATCACCACCCCATGATCCTCTTCCACCAGAAAACAAATGCCCCAAGATACCAGAACACCAAGATACCTGACCCTGACAGGCAAAAGTTCAAGCCGAAATAGTCGGTATCATGTACAATCAATATCATTGTGTTTATATCATATAGACCATCATGGTTCACCTTTTGGTATGCCCTCAGGCGTGCTGGTGCTGCGTTGTGCTGCGCGTAATTTCCTCACCTGAAGTGGTACTCGGTCCGTGCCACGGATGGTCTTTATCAACTTGGTGGTCTTGGATAATGGTCTCCCAATCTCAGGAAACTCATGCGCAATCCATTCGCGATACTGTTTTTGCAGCTCTGCATTTGGAAAGGCGTTGAAGATTTCGGCAACCCTGAACGAGTGTTAGCACCAGCACGTCGTGAGGATACCATGATTCAGCCTAAGACTTACGTGTACCAGTCCGGCTCTTTGCCGCAGGCAGCCCTCATGCCAGACAACAACGCCTTGACCTCATCCAGATGTCCCTGGCCGGCATTCATGACGATATAAGAGCAATAGACATAGATGGGAATGTCGATCTCCATCCTGTGCATCTTCTCCCATATGATCTTGGCCTTCTCATCGCCGTACGGCAGAACCTGGCATACCCGGAAGACTATGTTCATGCTGTGGTAACTCGGGCCTTCTGTGGACATGGAGATCTGCCGCCAGAAGTCGAATGCCTGTGAAGGGTCATCACAGGCGGTGTATGCGATCATGAACGCGTTATAGAGCCTCGTCGTCGGCTGTATTTTTGTGTCCATTTTGAACATGTTGTGAATCATCTGCACGCTCTCCGCGTCCGGGCAAGCCCCCAGCCCCTCCAGGCAGGTCACGTAGGTGTTAAGGTCGGGCCGCATAGCGTCGTTGGCGTGTGCGCGCATGTGTCCAAAAATGTAACAGGCCATGTCGGCACGCTTGCGGTCGAAAAAGCTCTCCATGAGGGATATCCTCTCTTCTCGGCTCGTCTCCGGGAAGAATTGCCGTAACAGAGAGTAGCAGTCCCATGCACGCGCTGTGCTTACGCTGCGGTCCAGACAATACTTGAGCAGACTATTCAGTATAACCTTCCGGTCATCCATACTGAATTGCTTCACGTGAAGACTGAGCGTGTCAATCACTTCGTGAGCCTTGTCGTTCTTGAGGAACATCAAGCATAGCCCAACAACGGTGTCGGGCTCCAATTCTACCTCCCGTCTCTCGACGTGGCTCAAAACGTTGAGGACTTGGTTATAGTCCAGGGGACTAGCAGAGCATAGTTGTCTGATATACTGATTAATTATCTTGATGGAATGGCCGATCAAAGGCGTGCAATGAATCAGGTCATCAAAAGCCGATGCTGCGCCGACAGCATCCTCGCCCGCTGTTCGTGCCTCCAAGAGCAGAGAGTAGGTGATTGCGTTCGGCCTCAGTCCTAGCTCGAGAGCCAGACTATTGATCCGCTCAGCAAACAGAGGGTTGTCGTGCTCGATTGCTGCTGTGAGTAGACCGTTGATGGTGCGAGCGTCTGGCCGGACTGACTCATCCTGCTCGTTGGATTGGACCATGACATCGATCATGCGCCTTATGTGGTCAATATCCCTGCCCTGGTAGACAGCCCATGTCAGGATCACATCCCACCATGCCTTGGGTGGGTTAGAGTCGCAAAGCTCTTGCAGAGCTTTCTTTAACCAATCCGGTTCACTTTTCGTGCGGGTCGAAAATTTAATCAGCGCCATATAGGCATCGGGCCTGGGCCTCATGTTGTCATGAATAGGCTTTTCGAACCAAGTTCGGAGGTCGCCTTCACCGTTCGTATCGATACCACCGTAGAAAGATGACATTGTTGCATGAAAGTCGGGGGAGTAGCCATAGCCGGACTCGAGAAGCTCGTCCGCGAATTCCCGCAATTTCGCCTCGTCGCCCTCTTTGGCAAGACCTTTGAGAACAAGGTAGCGAAGCACATTTAGTTGGTTCACTCTTTTGGGGTCGAAGAGCGGATATAGATCCTGGAAACTCAATAGAGTATCCATTGCCGTCTTCGTAGCGTTCTGTCGTATCAGTACAACTATATAGCGTTCTAGGTCGTCCGAATTCAGTTTCTCGAACCTGTCTTTCTCGTTGGTTGGTCGCCCGGAGTATTTGATCACATTCAATTCGTGGTAGATTTGCGTCGCAAACTGTATGTGCTCTTTCGAGGAGCCACGCTCCGGTGGCAGGGCAACAGCGAATAAGGCTTTTTGAAGATCCTCCTTTGCCAGGCTGGGCCCAATGGTTGTGTCCTGCAGATGCGTGACAAGCAGTCTTGCGCAGAAAGCCTGTGTCGAGTTGAGAGGTTTTTTGCGTGACACCTTGTAGTCAAAAAAGGTTCGAAATGCGTCGATCAGCTCTTCTCGGGAAGGAAGTTGGACGTTTTCCACGGATCTAGCTCGAAACTCGACGAAAGTACCGAAACCTGGTTCGAATACGCTGTCTTTGACTTCTCTTGGGGGCTTCTTGAAGAGGTTCATTTTCATGAACGTCCGGCGCGACGGGTGCCCGCCGACCGTACGATGAGGGCATATTGTTGGGCGAGAGGAGGAGCTCGGGATCACCGATGCTGGCGCAGAAGGCAGGCCATGACAGGCCAGCATTCGTTGGTACACATTGCGCGTCAAACTCGAGCGCATGGTGGAGGTGGTGTTCAATCCAGGATTGTTGACCTGCGGAGCAGTTAATACAGAGTCACAACATGCGAGCTCTACCCCGTGCTGGCACCTTACCTGAGCATGTTGCAGGTGATCAATTGGCTTACTCCTGGCAACGTGGCTCCGCGTGTGAGCTTCCTGGCAACTCTGACGACAAGTGTTCGGAGAATCGGGCTGATAATCTCAGTGCTGGCCGATGACTTCAGTCGCAAAGCTCCAAGCTTTCGGAGCCGCGGCGCCAAATTGTGGTACTGACAGGGATCTCCACTGACGGGATGCAGGGGTACCATCGGCGGTAGAGGTATCAATCCAACGTCCAGAAGCATACCACCTCAATGCCCCTGCTTCTTTGACATAGCTCTTCCCGCCCATCATCACATATCCTGCTCAGAAAGCCAACTCCAGCGAACTCGTGCCTCCAGATCTACATCTGTCAACTACAATACCGATCGCTCGCCTCGGAAATCCACACCTGGAGGCATTCCCGAACCGCGTCCTCATCATGAATGGCCTCAATGGCAACAACATGCCGGCGTTGGTGAATGGGTACCCCACGCCGGCCGGCTATCAGGCAGAACTTGCATACATCTACAACATGGTCGAGGTGTTGAGCCAACAGCTAGCAGAGAATAAACGCGCTCTAGAAGACGTGGTGGCCAGCGTCGGCCGGGTCAGGAGCCGAGCAAGGACACAGTCGCTAGGGAACGAGGAGCTGCTGTCCTCAGCAGCCGACGACCTCGGCAGTAAGTTACAACTCTCTACCCTGACTACTACTTCAAATGACTGACTGTGATTGACTACCTCTAGCACAAGAAGCAAACATCGACACGACCATATCCCTACTCACCGAGCTCTTCGAGCGCGCGAAGTTCAGCCGCGACGAATACCGCACACTCTCGACACACTACGCCTCTGTGATCGCCGCGATGCTGAAGCAGCTGCACGACTACAAGCAGAAACACGTCGCCGACGTCGCTTCGTGGCACCGGTCGTACCGCGCGCAGCTGGCCGAGGAGCGCGCAGAGAACATGAGGCTGCGCGAGCAGATCTGGGAGATGCAAGCGCACGCAGGCAAGGCCAATGAGAACCTGCGGCAGTTCCGCTCAAAGTACGACGAGGACGGGGCGCGGTGGGAGAGGCGCGTCGACATGAAGGCCATACGGCAGGAGCTGCGGTTCTGGAAGAGGATGGCCATGCCCGAGATGGCCGACGACGACCCCTACTGGAGCGACGACGACGACCTGGTCGACCACATGGAGAAGCTGAGGCTGCAGGAGCTGGAGAGGAAGGCTGCGGAGGAGGCGTTGGCTGGAGTCGGTGCGATGGACCAGAGCATGGAAGGCCAGGGGCAGGACGCCGCAATGGGCTTGCAGCAGCTAGGAGGCGTAGCCATGCAGAGAGAAGATTCCCTGGGGGTTGGAATGCCGGTCTTGCCACCTAGGCCTTCAAGTGCGGCTAGTACTGGATCTTCTGGTCAGCAAGGTTGATGGTTAGTGACGCGGGCAAGACCCGTTATGCAGGGTGGTCGCCTAGAATGCTGCTGGCTACTGCTCAGTATCCCATATCGCCAGGTGAGGCATAATCTTAGCTCTCTGATACCCCGTTTTTGGCAAAATCAGACCATTTATTGTGCATAACTTTTGATCAACAAGAAATCCTTTGTGACATTAGACTTCTATTTTGGACGATAATTCCACTGACTCGAGATCTCTGGTCTTTTGTCACGCGCAGGCTTTCTCGGTGCAATAACTCACTACTACATGCGAGAACTTTGCCTTCGACATGTGGGCTTTCGCATGCAATAGAATTGAAGTCTTGCAGCTTCCGGCAGAGGAACGGACCCAAACAGGTAAGGATAATACAAGACAATACTTCTATCACCCCTCTCGAGGTCAAGTTTGCTATCTTCTCGTATACATGCCTTCTTTAAAAGAACAGCAATTTCCTAGCCCCTTAACCTTCAGAATGCTAATCATTTACTGATGTAAGTGATGTCACACGGCCTGATGCGACCATTTACGGAGGTGCTATATGAGAGGTGCGAGGCATTAGACCGTTATGTTAGGTTTGTTTTTCGTGGATGTCGTTATGGGTCAAAGTAGGTCTCTCGCGTTTCTTAGATGTAGGCCTGACCATCCACTCTTGTTGCTGGACGCACTAAAGAGAGACTCGTTGCATAGGAGAGACTCTGGACTTGATTGGACAAGTTATGACAGAGTCCTACAATCACCCATATCAGGATTGGATCCATGGGCAAGACTGGGTATTGTTTGCCTTGGAACACATGATGGTGAGGACGACGTCTATCATGGCAAATATTGCATGATTGGATGCCGTCACACTTCGGATCCATCCCAGAAGTTCAGTCGACTGCTTCGTATCCTTATTATAATTTACAAAGTTCATAAGTCGTGATTCCTGCCGAGCCACACTGTAAATACGGGCGTGCCTCCCGGTTCGCTCCTTCACCTTCCACTCTCAATAACCAGGTTGTTCGCGCCGATTGTCTGACTTCGCAGACTCACCCGCCTCTTTGATAGCCTCATCATCACCGCGCAGCTTCGCGAAATACTCCTTGATGTCGTCGGCGCTGATGGCCTGCCCGCTCTCCGCAAATTGCTGGAAAAAGGGCTTTAGCTTATCCTTGAGCTGGTTGTAGGCCATAACGCCCTCGATGGCGCGCACCCGGTCCACGTTGCGCAGAGCACTCTCGCCCCGCTCATACAGGCTGCCACTGCCGTGGGTCGAGCCGCCGTTCTCCGAGCCATCCTCTGAGACGGGAGGTTCATACACTTCCTCTTCCTCGAGGAGTTGGGGATGTGGTGAGAGGTTGGGGAAGCATTTGGCGCATCTGCAGAGGCGATCTCTGAATGACTCGGCGCAGAACAAAGAAAATGTTCCCTCGGGCACTGAAGGCAAGGCATCGTACTTGCACAACTCTGCCTCAGTATCGATCTTGGCGTCCTCGACGGCCGTGCTGTGATCTTCGGGTTTGGTCTCAACAACGGCGTCGTTGGTGGCCTCCGCCTCCGCCTCCGCCTCCGCCTTGGGTCTCTTGGACTCTTGTGAATTTTCAGTCCCGTCGTCCTCAGCCTTGCGCTTTTTGCTCAAGTCACCAGGGGCAGCTTCCGAGACAGGTTGTTGTCCGACGTCTCCCTCGGACTTACAATGCACCGGTAGGAGAAACCCTGGAGTGCCTGCATATCGCTTGATCCAGGGCGAGGTTTCGACACATTTAAAGCAAATGAAGGTCTCGAAGTCCTCATCTTTAGGAAATCCGGTAGGATTTGGTGTTTCCTCTTCCTCCTCGTCTCCAGCTTCGTTGGCCGTGGCCGGTACTGGGACGCCAGCTCCCTCCTGACCTTCTGTCTCAGCGACCTCGGAAATTGCAGGCAGTGCACTACCCTCAGCATTCGCAGTCGGCTGGGGCTTCTTGCCCTCCATCTTCTCGTACCACCTAGGCCCGAGACCCATGATGCAACCGGGGTGATACCAATCCTCGCCACAGCCTCCTGTCTCGTGTGTGCCCAGTCCTAAGCATTGATACATGGTTCCCTTCTGTTGAAAAGGATCGTAGTCGCACTCGCAGACGCAGAATCTATTGCGAAAGTTCTGGTTGTACTTGTTGTTGGGAGCCGGCTCCTCTGAATGGACGTCGCCTTTGGTACTGGTCTTAGGATTCAGGCGCAAGGTGCATGGGCTTGTTGCAGGCAGGCGTGTCGTGCCACAATCGCAGGTGAAGTTGCGCTTGCTAAATATCTCCACGAGCTGATGTTCGCCATGACATTGTACTGAACACGCGTAGCAGATTCCTGCGCCATTGTAGGGATCGGTCGGGCTTGCGGGAAGCGGGTTGCATGTAAGACAGGAATACACATTTTGACGGAGGGATCCGAGGTCCTTGGTGCAGTTTGAGATGCTCTGTTGTCTGGTCAGAATATGGATGCGGAACTGGTTGCTGGTGGGTGAAACTCACGTATGGCAGGGCTTCGCGCGCATCAGCCTCTAGCTGCTCCTGCTCCCGGAGTATACTGCATCGTGTCAGATATTTGGACAATAAGCATCGAGCGCTTGTTAATCAATATGCTTACTCGGCTGCAGTCTGTGAATTATCGCTCCGCTGAGAAGTGCTGTCGCGTCGAGTTAGAGTGGCGGGCGCGGGTTGCTCTGCGTCGCTTGCGCCGCCATTCTCCACAAGGGGCGCCGGAGGAGAAGCCATGATTGAATTGCTGTGACAAGCGTCGGATGCGATCCGAATGCAAGCTTTACGAAATATCGGGGGTGTAAAGTGCTAGTACGGAGGCCTTGGTCGGCGGCAAAGAATTAGGAATGGGTGACAGTATGATGCTGGGCGTCTTGGGTCGCGCGACCCGCGTTGGAACTTAGCTTATGATGCTGGTGCTGACGCTTGATGCGCCAGGGGGGTTGGCCAGCTACCTGGGAGGGACTGCCTGCCCAGCCGTGCGTGTTGTACAGAGGGGCTTGAGGGCACCCTTCCAAACAAACTGTCTCCATCCCTGGCGTCGCATGCCGGCACCATGATCGGGAACGCCAAAAACGCGCTAAAATCAATTAAACGCGTCGACGCGTGGGCGCGTAAAGTGTTCCTCTTTTGCACGCTCACCCTGCCTTTTTGTGCCTTTGCCTTGAGCCCGTCTCAGACTTCCACCCCACTTCACTTACCATACCTCACAGAAGGCTTCTCTCCAGGAATACGCTGGTTTTGACAATCAACGCCAAACAAAGAAGAGAAGAGCACGCATATCCAAGATGAGGTGCGTTTACTCCAGATTCACTGAGCCTTACTCTCCTTGTGTATAATGCCTCGAATGAAGCACGTCGCTAACACTTCGCAAACACAGCTCACCTCTGAGACCGAACCCATCTTCCGCAAATCGCGGCGCCGCCCCTCGATCTGGCCTGAAACGGTCTCGCGGGGCCGGCGATGATGTTTCTTCATCTATTGCCGCTGCCTCAAGCCCAATGCCCTCGTCACCCCCAGCTTTCAACATCGCTCACGGAGGTGACGACGACGATGACATCGAAGACGAGCCTGAGATTCAAGATGACATTGATGAGCTCGATGAGCTAGCCGAAGACGACGTCGACCTTTTCCGCGAGGGTTTCGAGCACGATTATGCCGACCGTGATGCCAACGACGTCTACGAGGGCATCGATCTCGATGACGAGGGAGATTATGGAGACATGGACATCGCTGATAGACGGAGGCTCGAGGCACAATTGAACCGACGAGATCGCGAGGTTTCTCGCAGGCAGCGCATGCCTGCTGCCTTTCTCCCTAGCGACGGCGCAGGATCCCCTGGTGCAATGGACTTGACTGCACAGCCTCGCCGACGCCGTCACCGCTACGATGAGGACCCAGATGAGGACATGGACGCCGACATTATGGATGAAGAATTGTCGCTGGAAGCGCTGCGAGACGTCAAGTCGTCAAACATCACCGAGTGGGTGTCTCAATTAAACGTGCAGCGTTCTGTTAAGCGAGAGTTCAAGTCATTCCTCACCGAGTACACGGATGAGAACGGTCTGTCCGTTTACGGAAACCGTATCCGCACACTGGGCGAGGTCAACGCCGAGACCCTCGAGGTTTCATACACCGAGCTTGCATCGGAAAAAGCTATTCTAGCTTTCTTTCTCGCAAATGCCCCCACAGAGATGCTCAAGTTGTTCGATGAAGTGGCTATGGACGTTGTGCTCCTGCATTACCCGGACTACGAGCGCATCCACGCCGAGATTCACGTCAGAATCTATGATCTGCCCTTGAACTACACCCTGCGGCAACTCCGACAGCAACATCTCAACAGTTTAGTTCGGGTTAGCGGCGTCGTTACCCGGCGCACAGGTGTTTTCCCGCAGCTGAAGTATGTCAAGTTTGACTGCACCAAGTGTGGAGTTACTCTGGGCCCCTTCCAGCAAGAGTCAAACGTCGAGGTCAAGATCACTTACTGCCAGAATTGTCAATCCCGCGGTCCTTTCACAGTGAACTCTGAGAAGACAGTCTACCGCAACTACCAGAAACTGACCCTCCAGGAGTCACCTGGTACAGTACCGGCTGGTCGTCTCCCACGTCATAGGGAAGTCATTCTTCTCTGGGATCTGATTGACAAGGCCAAGCCTGGTGAGGAGATTGAGGTCACTGGTATCTACCGAAACAATTACGACGCGCAGTTGAACAACCGCAACGGCTTCCCAGTCTTTGCAACCATTCTCGAGGCGAACAACGTCGTAAAAGTACACGACCAACTTGCCGGCTTCCGGCTCACAGAGGAGGACGAGCAAGAAATCCGCAGGCTGTCAAAGGATCCTCAAATCATCGACAAGATTGTCAACGCAATCGCACCCAGCATCTATGGTCACACAGATATCAAGACTGCAGTGGCTCTTTCCCTGTTCGGTGGTGTAGCAAAGACGACAAGGGGCTCTCACCACGTCCGTGGCGACATCAACGTTCTTCTTCTGGGTGATCCCGGTACTGCCAAATCACAGGTGCTCAAGTATGTCGAGAAGACCGCCCATCGCGCTGTGTTTGCGACTGGCCAGGGAGCCAGTGCTGTGGGTCTCACGGCTAGTGTCCGTCGAGACCCTCTGACCAGCGAGTGGACTCTTGAGGGCGGTGCGCTTGTGCTCGCCGACCGAGGCACTTGCCTCATTGACGAGTTTGACAAGATGAATGATCAAGATCGAACATCCATTCACGAAGCCATGGAGCAGCAAACCATCTCCATCTCTAAGGCTGGTATTGTCACAACGCTGCAAGCACGCTGCGGTATCATCGCCGCCGCTAATCCTATTGGTGGCCGCTACAACTCAACAATCCCATTCTCCGCCAATGTTGAGCTGACAGAGCCTATTTTGTCTCGTTTTGATATTCTTTGTGTTGTCCGCGACACTGTTGACCCATCCGAGGACGAGCGTCTCGCTCGCTTCATCGTCGGATCGCACAGCCGCAGCCACCCAACTACAGACACACAAAAGACCAACGATGACTCGATGGACGTCGAGGGCGAAACTCAGGCGACTGAGACCCAAGCTACCTCCAGGACAGCTGCGAGCCACACGAAGGAGGGTGAGATCCCACAAGAACTTCTCCGCAAGTACATCCTCTGGGCGCGGGAGCACTGTTCGCCGAAACTAGGCAACATGGACGAGGACAAGATTTCACGACTTTTCGCCGATATGCGCAGGGAGAGTCTAGCCACTGGTGCCTACCCAATTACAGTAAGTTTTATTCGGGCAACCTAAAGAGAAAGTTCGCGGGCTAACGATGATTCGCTTAGGTTCGTCATCTGGAAGCCATCATCCGGATCAGCGAGGCATTCTGCCGTATGAGGCTGGCCGACTACGTTACGTCGCAGGACATTGACCGAGCCATCGCCGTCACGATCGAGAGCTTCGTTGGTAGCCAGAAGGTAAGCTGCAAGAAGGCACTGGCTCGCGCCTTCGCCAAATACACCTTGGCAAGGCCCAATGCCGGGCAGCGGAAGGGTGGCACAGCCGCCCGCGGTGGCCGGGCAGCGGCGGTGGTGGCTTAATTGTATTTTCGTGCGGGAACATTCTGTTTTCATCTAACGTTGCTGGCGTTTGGTCTTGTGGCACTCGGTTTTGTGCGTGGTTCAGGGAACAATACCTTGTTGAGTGGGAACCCTTCAGAGGGCTATTGATGATGAACACATACGAAGATAGAACCTCGAAGCTTTCGGTAATAGAATGTTTGAGATTTCAGAAATCTTCTCGCCTCAGCTTGATTTCCCCTTGAATCGTACAGACGTTGCCTGGTGATCTACGCATCTAGCCAGGAATGACGATGACCTTGACTTCCAGCTCGCGTAGCTGCCAAAATATTGGAACATCAATTAATCAATTTACACGTATTCTCATAAAATAATCTCCAGAAAGACCTTGTAACGTGGAGGGTAATTTGAAAGATGTCTTTTCTGCGTAGTTCTAAGTACTGGACCAATCTATGGGATCCCAGCAAGCGGTAGTCTGATGCACAGGGACTATACTGGGATGCCGTTGATGTTATTTCCTTGTCCAACGGAGGCACGTCCAATCGAGCGTAGTTCGAAAAGCGAAGCTCGAAAACGTGTTTCTCATGTCATTGCACTGTTCCGCAACTTACTTCATCGACTGCGTTGCGGACAAGGCCCGTTGGGAACATGCACGGTTGATTAGCCAAGAAATCATCTTCCTGTTCCACAGAATCAGCAGATCACATAGCCTTTCAGAACAGCTTCGCGTGGGTCGAGTAGAATACACTACCGGGTCGTGGATGCTTCAGGCCGGGCATCACGATCCCCTCGGAGCTTTTGCGCGTGTGTGTGAAATATCCAGACAAAATACCAGACGGAACATCGGGCAGAAGGTTCCCTCTAGCGCTCCCAACCTGGCCCTCAATTGGTGTAGGTTTCACCCCGGTCGAAGTTCGGATCTGGGTAAACCTCGGCTCTGACGATCCTGAGGGGTTTCCTTCCCCCCTGCACTGCCTTGGGCTTCACTTACTGCGGTTTACCCCTCCTAAGCTTGAGCTCTTGTTCGCCCTTTTGCACCTTGGAACCCAAGCCATTCCGCTCCGCCCCTGCTAGAAATATGGAAATTATGTACTGGTCTGGGGCGGAGACTTGGCTCTTCCTAAGAAGGAAGACCATTGTTGGACAAGTGCACAAATTAGTGGTGTCGGCATGGGCAACAGCTACCCCCTCCCCCTCCACCCCCAGCAGCCCACATGGCCTTGTGTGAAGCGGGTGAATCGTGTGAATCATGAGAAGCTGTAACCCAGTGTGTCCCGACTGATCTTCAGGTACGACGCAACCTTCTTGCATCGTGGCATGTCCTGGACGCACGGCTGGGCCCATGCCGGACAGTTGTGGGTGAATCGGTCAAGCCTCGTGTCCCAGAGACGTCACCTCGTCACGCTATATCCGGGTGCTATATTATAAGGAAAGAGGGCTCCTCTTGTTTGTTTCCGTCTCCACTTCTATCCTACATTCCGTTATCAACGCTAGTCAGTGAACGGTTCTGTTTGAACCTTCTTCCTTCTTTTGCATAGACCCTTTCCAGGTTCTTGAGAGCGTAGAGCAGGTCGTGGTTATTCCCCGACCACCAGATTTCTATTTCTGCAAGATGGCGGACATCAACGTTGAAGAGGTGCTCAAGAAGCTCACTCCCAGCGAGAAATGCGATCTCCTTTCCGGCATAGACTTTTGGCACACCAAGGCCCTTCCTCAACACGGCGTTCCCTCCTTGCGCACTTCAGATGGACCTAACGGCGTAAGAGGTACCAAGTAAGTCTCATGGCCCACTTTCAAACCGAGATTGAGCTTTCGGGTCACATATAATCCACGCTCCAAGCATCATCCTCAACACAATCTAATTCCATCCTAGATTCTTCAATGGCACCAAGGCAGCCTGCTTCCCTTGTGGCACTGGCTTGGGCGCAACCTTCAACCTTCCTCTGCTCGAGGAAGCGGGCCGCAAGATGGCCGACGAGGCAAAGTCCAAGGGCGCCCACGTCATCCTCGGACCAACCATCAACATGCAGCGATCACCGCTGGGCGGCCGCGGCTTTGAGTCCTTAGGCGAGGACCCCGTACTGGCAGGGCTCGGCGCCTCGGCCCTCATCAACGGCATCCAGAGCAAAGGAATTCAGGCCACTATCAAGCACTTCGTGTGCAATGATCTGGAACACAAACGCAACGCCACACAGGCCATCGTGACGGACCGAGCCTTGAGGGAGATCTATGCCAAGCCTTTCCAGATCGCGGTGCGGGACTCGAACCCGGCGAGCTTCATGACCGCCTACAACGGCGTGAACGGGACGTACTGCAGCGAGAACAAGGAACTGCTGGATGGTTTACTCCGCGGCGAGTGGGGTTGGAAGGGACTCGTGATGAGTGACTGGTTTGGCTGCTACAGCACGACCGAGTCTGTGCTTGCAGGGCTGGACCTGGAGATGCCTGGCCCGCCGAGGTTCAGGGGAGAGCCTCTGAAGTTCAATGTCTCGACGGACAAGGTGCGGGAGCACATCCTGGATGAGAGGGCTAGAGAGGTTCTTCAATTCGTCAAGAATTGTGCTGCGTCCGGCGTGAAGGAGGGCCAGGAGGAGAGGGCGGAGGACACGCCCGAGACGGCTGCGCTGCTGAGGAAGATCGGTGGCGAGTCTCTCGTGCTTCTCAAGAATGAGAAGAATATCCTGCCTCTGAAGAAGAACAAGAAGGTAAATTTTCACCTCGTTTCTTCATCCTCGTGGTGCGATGCTGACCCCGACTCAGACCGTCGTCATTGGCCCCAATGCAAAAATTGCGACTTACCATGGCGGTGGCTCTGCTTCCCTCGCTGCTTTCTATGCTGTCACCCCTTTTGACGGCATCAGTGCCAAGCTGGAGTCACCTCCCGAGTACTCCGTTGGCCACTATGCCCACAAGCTGCTTCCTCTCCTAGGAAGCGTGCTCAAGTCCAAGGCTGGAAACCCGGGAATGACCATGACAGCGTACAACGAGCATCCGGATGAAAAGGCCGACCGCACGCCCCTCGATGTCGTGGAGCTGGACAAGACGGACCTATTACTGGTGGACTACTACAATCCCAAGATCACCTCGACCAAATGGTATGCAGACCTCGAAGGCTCCTTTGTTGCCGAGGAGGATGCCAGATGGGCGTTCTCTCTTGTCGTCGTCGGTACTGCCAAGCTTTTCTGCAACGGCAAGATCGTCGTGGACAATGATACAGTACAGAGACAAGGCGATACTTTCTTTGGCCAAGGAACTGTCGAGGAGCTGGGCCATTTCAGTATCAAGAAGGGCGAGACGTATCACTTCAAGGTGCAGTTCGGTAGCGCTGCCACTTCGAAGTTGGCCGGCGGGAACGTGCTGTTCGGCGGCGGCGCGCTGAGGATTGGCGGCTGCAAGATTATCGATCCCGAGAAAGAGATCGAGAGAGCCGCAGCGTTGGCCAAGGACGCGGATCAGGTCATCATCTGCGCGGGTCTCAACGCGGACTGGGAGACCGAGGGCTCAGACAGGGAGAACATGGACCTCCCTCCAGGACTAGATGACCTCATCACAGCAGTTGTGGAAGCAAACCCTGACAACACCGTCGTGGTCAACCAGTCCGGTACGCCCGTGACAATGCCCTGGGCTGACAAGGTCGGCGCTATCGTGCAGGCCTGGTACGGAGGCAACGAGACAGGCAACGCCATTGCCGACGTGCTCTTCGGCGACGTCAACCCGTCCGGGAAGCTCAGCCTCAGCTGGCCCATTAAGCTGCAGCACAACCCGGCATTCCTGAACTTCCGCACAGAAGGCGGCAGGACCATCTACGGCGAGGACGTTTACGTTGGATACAGGTACTACGAGTTCGCGGACAGAGAAGTGTTGTTCCCTTTCGGACACGGGCTGAGCTACACCACGTTCGAGTTCAGCGGCCTCGAGGTTTCTGAGGCGAACGGCAAGCTGAGCGTCAGTGTCAAGGTGAAGAACACGGGCAAGACCAAGGGCGCCGAGGTCGTTCAGGTCTATGTGTCGCCCAAGCAGAAGGCGAAGGTCAATAGGCCAGTCAAGGAGTTGCAGGGCTTTTCAAAGGTTGAACTCGAGGCTGGAGAGGAGAAAACAGTCAAGCTCGACCTCGAGACGAAGTATGCTGCAAGCTATTTCGATGAGGAGAGGGGGAAGTGGATCGTTGAGGAGGGACAGTACGATGTGATCGTCAGTGACAGCAGTGAGGTGAAAAAGGATAAGTCCGTCAAGCGAAGCTTTAAGGTGCCCGAGACGTTCTGGTGGAGTGGCATTTAGATCTGCAGCTTACATTTTGAGGGAAGGAAAAGCTACTGCCACACGTGGTGTGAAGAATCAGAACTCGATAGATCATGATTCATACTTTTATGCGTGTCAAAAGTCAATTTCAGTACTGCTAACTTATTCCTGTTTGCTTCCTTTCTCTCCCAGCCAATGATTCGATTTTATCAATGAGTGTAGATGTTCTCTTAGTCATTGATCAACGCCAAACATTTACCGCCACTCACAATTGGTTTCTACTCAGCATTCTCTTCAACAGATCGACCTGAAGTCATGGCCAACTCGTGTTTAACCCGTATGTCGCTCATGAGAAGAGCCAGCATCTCCTCTGTCACTGCCCCCTTCCCCTTCAATTCACAGGTACGACCGTCACGAGGAATACCTAGAGATTCTGTAGTTCATCACAGCTCCTTCCTGACCTTAATTAGAATCCTGCGCAGTCCGCATCCCAGACGGTGTAGCGACAAATAGCACGGTGAAAGCATCTCAACACAACAGACAGTGAGTCCTGGGGCCGGCTTTCCGCCGTTGTAGACCATTCATTTCCGTTTCCATTCCATGTTTCCCCTTCAACCTCAGTCAATTCACCTTACACATCAATCACCGGTTTAAGCCAGTATTTCCACTGAATTTATTAACAACAAGACCCAGTAGGTCAGCCATCAATTCCGCTGAGCAGCAAAGCTAATATTTCGACAGGAATATTTATATACACCTACACCTACCCCCGGCTCAAGAAACCCAAAGGTCAGGAGTCCATAAATAACTTACCTTTGATTCTCTCACAGATTCCTTCCCTGCTAGTGCAAAGCGTCTCACGTACGGCACTCGTAGAAAAGAACATGGCTATGCTTAAACGCATTATTATTGCTCTCCTTATAAGCTTATCGTATCGGCAGTATGGACAGCCCCAGCAGCTATCCGGCTGGGCCTCATTTCCCCCATTTTGATCCCTCGTGCCCCAGGACAGCGTCAAAGCCGTCAGCAAACCTTATCCTAATGTACAAGTCCTCGTACCACGGAGACGCCATATCATCTCAGCACTGCAAAGCTTCCATCACAACACTCACCCGGCAACAAAGCATCGAGACGCAGCGCGCAAATCGCAGCACACAGAGCGAGATCGGTCGAGAAGGAAATCACACGCGCAAAGCAACGCGTGGAAAGCAGGCAAAGCAAACGCCACGCTCAAGAATCAAAGCCTACTCGCCGCCTTCCCACCGGTCAGATAATACCACCCCAGGGCCACGACCAACCACCTCAGTAACGCACCTTTCTTCTCCGCCGTGCCCAGGCCCAGGACCACCTTGACCCAGTAGGCGAGGCCGCGCACGACGCGGCCGCTGCGGTCGAAGTTGGGCCTCGCCTCGGTCAGCATCTTGAGCATGTTCAGCTGGCTCCAGTCGTAGGGCTGGTAGCGCACGCGCAGGGTCGCCTCGGCCCAGGCAGGCGTCTCGGCGATGCTGCGCTGGTGCGTAAAGGCGTCGAACGAGGCCTTGCCGCGGTAGTTGCCCGTCCCGGACTCGCCCACGCCGCCGAAGGGCACGTTCTGGATCGACGCGTGCATGAAGGAGTCGTTCCACGTCGCGCCGCCCGAGGTGACTGCGTTGATCACTAGACGAAAGGGGTTAGCTTCTGCTGGAGTGAATGATGTTAGATCAAGTTGCGGTTACGTACGCTTGTTGAATTCTTCCTTTGTGCCGAAGCCGAACAGGGCCAGAGGGGTGGGGTCTACGTTGTTGGCAATATCAATCGCGTGGCCGAGGTTGTCGAAGGGAATGATGGAGAAGACAGGCCCGAAGGACTCCTCTCTGATCATGCTGTCGTCTACCGAGTCGACCAGCACCGCCGTGGGCGCAATGAACAGCTCTGACTGGTCCATCTCGCCGCCCATGACGATCTTACCCTTGCTCTCATCCACCATCTTCTTCATGCGCAGGAAGTGCCTCTCGTTGACGACACGGCACAGGTCAGGGCTCTCCTTGGCGCCCTTGGGGAACGCGTGCTTGTTGGCAGCATTAAGCTGCTTGATAAAATCGTCCACTACCTCGCGCTCCACCAGCACGTAGTTCTGGGAGAGGCAAACCTGGCCAGCACAGAGAGTCTTGCCCCAGAGCAGCCGCTTTGCGGCCAGCTTCAGATCGGCGTTGCGGGTGACAAAGGCCGGGTTGCGGCCGCCGAGTTCGAGGGTGACTGGGGTCAGGCTCTCGGCTGCCTTCTTGCAGATGATGCGGGCGACGTTGGCGTTGCCGGTGTAGAAGATCTTGTCCCACTTCTGCTCGAGCAAAGCGGTGGTCTCTGGGACCGCGCCGTTCACGACGCGGTAGGATTCGGGATCCAAGCTGGACTCCACGATCTTCTTGATGACCATGGCGACATTTGGAGAGCCCTCGGAGGGCTTCAACACAGCAGTGCATCCGGCCGCGATGGCGCCGACCAGAGGCACCATGGTGAGCATGAAGGGGAAGTTGTAGGTGCCGATGATGAGGGCACTGCCTAGGGGCTCCTTGTGGATGCGCACCTTGTTAGGCTTGAAGACAAAGGGGACGAGGGGGCTTCCAAGGAACTCATCCTTGGCGAAGTTGTCGAGGTTGTCAAGCATGAACATGCAGTCGTTGGCGGTCCAGTCGATCTCTGTGAACCTGGACTCGTACGCGGACTTTCGCAGGTCGCGCATCAAGGCCTCCTCAAGCTCGGCGCCATGGTCCTTGATACCCCAGTACAGCTTACGAAGCTGCACCTTGCGATACTCCAGGTCCTTGGTCTTGAGGGTGCGGAAGGAGGAGCGCACAGTGGAGCAAGTGCCAGGAATGGTGTCAATAGCCGTGGGTTGGAAGGCTGCGATATCAACCTTTGATCCCTTGTCGATGCTGGATCTGGAAGCCATGTTGATCGTATGTGGGACCGAAAGAGATTGAGGGAAATATATGGATGTAAATGAAGGTTTAAAGCGTGTTACAAAAAAAGGCTACGAGTAGGGGGCGAGAGGAAAGACTAAAGTTATTAAGAGGCGAGGGCAACCTTGCAAAGTGAGCAGCGTCAAGCTCTGTGCCTGGTATACGTGTAGGTGTTAGGGAGGAACCTCGTAAAGTTTATACGTGGGTGCAAGCTATATCAGATATCTGACGCGCAGAGGAAGTGAATTGGGAGGTCCAAGGTTGTCAAGATGCAAGCGGGACCAGGAGCTCGGGACGCAGTTGAGACCCAGCTGAGGAGAAGCGGCAGCGGCAACGGCAGCACCAGCATGTGAGTGTGGAGAAGGGCGAGGTGAAGCTCGGGAGTCGCACGGGCCCCCCTCGTTTTGAGTTGCGGTTGCAGATGGAATTGGGAAATAAGAGATGGAGATCCACGTCTTCCTCGGGCGGAGATTAAGCTGCTTGGCCTCCCCCACAAATGACCCCGTCCAACCCCTCCAGCCGAGGCTCAGGGATGAATCTGCGCTTAGATAATATCCGGCTCCGTCTCTAGACGACATGTCTCTCCTTGGGTTCGGCCGTGTTGCCGTCCGCTAGCATGCATTTCCCACAGTGGCTGATGGCAAAGATGCCGACAGTCAGTCATACTATATCTACGTATGTCGCACTTGGGCGCATGCCTTACGTCTGAACCTCGTACCTGCATCATCGAGTGTGATTGGCTTTCGCTTCTGCAGCCCTGCCATAAGCCAACAGAGGCATTAACATAGCTCAATGGTTTCTTTCTCACAGCAAGTCTCAGCCTTGTCCTCTGCCTAAGCACAACCAGAGCTCATCGACAAAACACGTTGGGAACTTGAATCAATTCCAACGGTGCCAAATTCTTTGAAGATTTCATAAAAGCCCCAAGCAGCCCAACCGGATCTCAATCTATATAACACTTCACGCGTACGCCGGCGGGGGCCTGGCCTCGACAACCGTGGTACTGCCACCCTTCCTCAGCGACCCCATCTCAAACGAGCCCGCGTCGCTGTGCTGCTGCTGGCCCGGTGCCAGCCACGGCTCGGCGTGATAGCCGGATGGCCCTTCCATCCGTCTCTCGTGCTCGCGGCGCTGACGTCGTCTCAGGAACACCATTTTCATGGCCAGCAGTGCCAGGATGACCGAAGAGACGGCAAGGACGAGCCCAAGCAGCGTGTAGTTGTGCCCCGGGGACAGAGCAAGGGGAAACCCACTGCGTATTGATGTCAGTTGCTCATTCTATCTCAATGCACAGATGAGAGACAATCAGGGGGTGAGAACGTACAGGAAACCATTCGCTACTCCCAGAAGAATGACTGCTCGGCCCAACCAGACGTGGATGGGTGCGAACTTGGTCGGCGTCTGGGTCTTCTTAAAGACCCGATGGTGCATGACGCCCAACGTGAACTGCACCAGAATGAATATAAACACAATGATGCCGATCACCTGGTGGGCGGTGTTGAAGCTCTTGGTCTGTCGCGACAACCGGTTAGCGAAGTCACAAGGTCTACCGTGTCCGTCAGAATTATGCTTACCCTGTTGTAGCGCGTGCCAGCCTTGATGCCCAGCCCCACGCCTACAATTACACCCACCATCGCAACGCCTTGATTGACTCCATGCCATCTTACCCACTCGCCAAGTCGCAAGATCAGAATGCCGAAGGGCATCAAACCGACGAAGCACCCAATCATGAGGACGGCATGGATCACAGCCACCCAGTCATTCATACCTTCGGTGGGTTCGCCCACCAGCGTGGCTCCCTCATTGTCGTCCGCAGTGACCACGTTCAGCACCGCAGGGCCAGCAGGGCCAGTGGCATGCAGCATATCCATGTTGAAGGCCCCGTGCTCATAATGAAGCTTCACCGACGCCTGCTCGCTGTCGCTGCCTACTGTCCCACCCGGCCCCGTGGCGAAGATGAATTGCTGCGAGGTACTGTTCACATCGAGGAAGCCTCCTCGCCAGGACCGACAGTTGTGGCACACGGCGCTGTACACATACGTCGTCTTGTTCATCAAACCGGTGGCATTGGACAGCGTCTCGAAGTCCAGACTAGGGTAGAACTCTGGCTCTGTATGATCGGTCGCGAGCCGAGGTGAGAACGTCACGTTCTCCCCAGACGCTGATGGGTATATCATGAACATGAGTGACCCAGGCATCTTGTGTCCACCAAGCCCGATCGAAGCCCAGCTCAGCCCGCGGGCCATGGCAACGCTGAAGTAGATGTCTTCGTTGGCGGCATCGTCAGGGATGCTTAGGCCGAAGGCGAGAGACTGTGTAGGGGCAATGAAGGTCGATTGTGCAGCCAGCGATGGTGTAATGAGAGCTGTACAGGATCCGTCAGCACATTTATATTCAAGCCCACTCAAATTGCGAGAACAATAAAAGTGCTCCAGTATGGTGTCGGAAGTGAGAAAACAGGGTTAGGGTGGTGCTTGTGAGCGAGGGGGGTATCACGGCTCAGGGACAAAAGTGGGGCTGGGGCAGCCAGTCTTACCTGCCGCGGCCAGCACGGCTCCTGCGAGGTTCAACCTTCTCATCATCTTGTCTCCGTATGTGAATATTGCAATCGGAGAGAACGTAAGGACAACTCCATCTCAATTCTATCATTCTGAGAGCGGGGTCGTCCAGAATCAAATACCCTCTACCAGCTCGCAGTCCAAGACACCAATCGTGGCGCATTCACACTGATCACGAATGTGTGCGTTCTCATTCGTCGACGAACCGCCTACAATCTTGACAGTCTTTTTATAACTCCCACTATGCCTGCATAAGCGGCAAGTGGTTCAGAATGCCGCTGATCGTGCATGTTCACCTCCCAATCATTTTGTGATGCACTGCCGCCCATAGTCTGGAACAACTGCCGAACTTCCGCTCCAGGGGTTGGACAAATGAAGTCTGGGACAGGAGCTGCGATAGCCACCGCCTGCGTGCATTGGCTATGTGGACGTTCGCAGCGGGTCTGGATATGTCGGCACAACTGAAGTCAAGCTTCAGCTATAGATGCGAACGTCATGCCCTACATTGTTACCCCATGTCCAGGAGGCCGTAGCAAACTTGTTTGTCACGGTCGGTATCTACGCAGGTAGCACAACCCTCGCATACCTTGATGTGCCAGGTGCCGCATGTATTTTGATTCAAGCCCAGTATGACTCCTGCGTGTGTAAGAAAATCATGTGGTCCAGTTACATTTCCTGATAATCAATCTCTCACGTACGCAGTACATGTCTGAGTGAATGGGACTGCACTGGACTATTTGGACACAAGACGATACACATAGCAACAAACGTGATTTCAACGAGGCTCATATCACTAGAATCACTTTGTGTTCCTGTCTAGTATGGCCGTGCGGGTTCCGACTCTGGCGATATCAAAGCTCATGCCCTCTGCGCCTCGTGATCTTGATATCTAATCCACCCTCCTGTCTAGGGAACCAGCTATTGACAACCTTCCAGTCTCTGTTTGGGTCGACCAATTCCATTTCATACGACGTGACCAACGTGGCAAAAACCTTGTACACTTGGGAAATCCCCAAGTTTTTGCCAATACAAATACGTCTGCCCCCTCCAAAGGTAAGGTCGACGCTGTTCATAGCTGCGAGACGGGCCTCAAATTGCTCTTGTGTCTCACCAGCAGCCTCGTCCCGCAGCCATCTCTCCGGCCTGAAGTCTTCCACGTCACCCCCGTATATCTCCTTATTCCTGGAGATCAGGTATGGGTTCAAACCCACGGTGCTGCCACCTGGGAGGAAGCTGCCATTGGAAAGCCGGTATCCTTCTTGGGGTACATATCGCTCCAACGACATTGAGATCCCAGGCAGGATACGCAGTGCCTCACGCACCACTGCTTCGAGGTACGGCGAGGAATGTGCGATCTCATAGGGAACCGGCGTGACTTCTTGCGGATTCGCAGCCAGGATCTCCTTTCGCAGTTGCTGCAGGATGCGCTTGTTCCGAAGGCAGTAGTAAAAGGCCGTCTTGAGGGTCAAGGCCGTCGTATCAGCACCAGCAAGCATATTGATCATCAACCACGATATGATCTGCGCGTCATCGACATTCTCGGGATCTGCATTCTTAGCCTCGATGAAATGGTCTAGGAAATCAGGCTTCTCTGGGTCATGGAAATCTTTATCGTTTCCTTGGCACCTGTCGACGAGGCGCTTCACGAGAACTCCAATGATAGTTTTGAACCCAGGCGGCCCGATATGCATGATCGGGTTCTTGTCAAGCCAGTGGTCGAGGAACGGCATCGTCCCCACGATAGAGAAGTAGACTTGAGACGTCGTTGCGTTTTTCATAGTTCCATCAAAGTCATAGCCTTGATCAAGGTACCCGATTGGTTGACTGAATGTCACGGTTCCTACTACATCCCATGCATCTACACAACATCAATTTCCAAACCGGGAAAAGCAGTACCAGGCAGCAAATTCCATATCCATCTCTGGGAAGATGACAGAGATCTGCAGCTGGAGCTAAATGGTTCATACGTACAGAAACTAAGCCATTGACCGAGGTCAAAGCTTCTCTCGCTGTCCACAAAGTGAGTGTCTAGACATTCACATAGCTTAGATATCATCGCATCCATATGAGGCTCCAGGGCTGCGACAGCCAGTGTAGAGTAGAACTTCGCGATGGGTCTTTTCTCTTTGGCATGTTTCTTTGCGTCTGTTTCACTGAAGAGGTTATACACAATCTTCCCGTTGACAAGGGCACTACTACTATGATAAAAGTCCGTCTATTGGTGACAAATTTAGCTTTATTTGAGCCACACGCGTATAGGGACATAATAACTTACTTTTCGCCAGTCACTCTTAATGTCGCTGAAAGCAGGCTTTACAAGTTCTGGAAGATCGACATCCAGTACATTAGGCCCGACACGCACAATCGGCCCGTACTTCTCGTGAAGCTTTTGATATACCAGATGAGCGCTTCCTCTAGAGTTGTGCCAGGTTCTCCACAAGTTTGTGTACTCTGATTATTTGTCGTTAGAGACGTTGACATGATGCGAGGGGAAATGCTCCACTTACTGGCTAAGAATGGACCTGGGTACTTTCTGACGGGTGAAACAAGTTGGCCGAGGAGACTCCAAAGAGCAATGAAGAACAGAGGGAGAAGAAGAAGTGACAACCACGGAGGTGCATTGGCCGCAGCACCCAAGATGCCGCTCGACTGCGTCGATTGATTATGCATGATAAGACTAACAAAGGCAATCTGTGACTACATAACTTATAGTGTGAAAGCAACGTATGATTATCATTCAATGATCAGGAAGACAAATTTATATCGCGTAGACCAGGTTTCCAGACGGCCAGGATACGAGAATCCCGGTCAAACCCCGCCCCTTGCCCCCCGGTGAGGTGAACCCACCTCGCTCAAGTTCTGATTATGCCCAGCCCCGGCCAAATGGATGCTAAGCATGCATAAACACGTCAAGAGTAGCACATAAGAGTATATCAAGTAATGAACGGTTTCTGATTGGACATTTTCAGACGGAGGTTCTCCATAGCGCCGGCATACTCATCAATACTACACTCATAGGACCAAAGGGATACCTGGAAAAGTACACGACCACCAGCATAGCAGCATAACCTTGCAGCGAGAATAATTTATCTTGAGTTCGGCGGGTAGGAAATCTCTCTCTATATAGAAAACAGCTCGTCGAGCCTGAGCATATAGGTCAAATTTTCTGTGGATGTTTCTCATTTGCTTCACAACAGGTGCCTCTTTTTGTGAAATGAACCCCGCTCTGTTCAGCTTCAGCCCGAGTGGTATTCTGGCAATCATACGGCAGCGATGGCCCTCGCAAAGGTATCACACTTTGAATGTTTGGCTCGTTAGGTCACACAAGCTGAAGCTTTCGTCTGTCAAAGGCTTCGAATACCGCAATGCCGCGTGTTGATGGTAACAACCGACTTCCATTCAAGGCATGTGCCGACGGTGGGCCTGCGGTACCCCAGACTATAAATGACAACAGTCACTTCGTCTAAGCCTCATTCCAGCCTGAAAAGACTTAGACTCTCTTCGTCGTTTCTACTCCCTCGTCTTCCTCGTCGCCATCCAGCCAGATCTCGTGTCCATCGCCCTCTTTCAACAACCAACTCGTCAGCCATCCCATGGCGGCCCACATACTGAGCCCCCACCACACACCACCGACGACCCCGTTCGCCAGCCCAATGCCATATAAGAACCCACACAGCACCGGCCCTACAGTCCTGGCCGCCGAGCTGCAAGTCTGCGCCAGGCCATGGAACGTCCCGAGGACGCTCGGGTGCGGCGAGCAGTTGTTGACCAGAATGGCCATGTTGGGCGACGCGAAGGTCCTCCCGACCACTTGGCAAAGCAGGATCCCCGAGATGGCGACCCACATCGCCGGGCCTGACTTCGGGGCCGGGGGCTCCGTGGTGCTCGGCACGAGCGATAGGTATGGGACAAGGAAGTAAGCGACGGGGAAGCAGATGAGGGACATCCGCAGGCATCTCACGGTGCCGAGGCGCGCGGACAGGGTGGGGTACACGAAGAGCTGCAGCGTGATGCCCAGGAAGCCGAGAACCGCCATTGCCGTGCCGACCTTGGCGGGCGGCAGCCCCATGCCGCCGGTGAAGAGGAATGGGAGGTGGCGGTCCGGGGCTGACGGACTTTTTGGGTCGTAGACCGGCGTCGACAGGAATACAAACCAGAGGCTGTTGAACGTGCCTATGTGGAACGCGAGGCAGAAGCGCGCTAGCAGGGTGACGCATACGTTGCGCGTGAAGATGCGCCGGAATGGCAGGCGCTGGGTGTAGCGTGGTTGTCGTTTGGCCGGCTTCGAGGAGTGTGAAGTTGTCGGTGTTGCCGGTGATGGGGTCCGCGAAGGTGACATCTCGATACTGGCTCTGAGACTCTCGCGAGTGGCCAAGGGAGTGTACCCGGCGGCGAGCTTGTTGCGAGATAGGCGAGCAGAGATGGCTGAGCCGATTGCGTTGCCCAGTTCAATGCCCCAATCTCTCTTGTCAGCCCGTGCATCGAGCGTCTGCTACATTGTGAGCAAGCATAAGGATATCGAGGGACCTTCCGCTGACTCACCTCTTCCAGACACAGCCAGGCTGTCAGGGACGCAGACAGCAGAAAAAAAGCGCTGACAAGATTCGGCATTGCGTAGGGGAAATTCAGGAAGAATGTTGATTTGCCAAAGACGTCCGGATAGCTAGCTGCTGGATCTGCGAGTACTCCTCCGAGTATTGGCCCGATAATGACACCAATGTTGAATGTCATTGGGAGCAAAAGAAATGCTCTTGATTCTACTCGACATTATGGGTCAGTATCTGCCGGTTTAGATGGCATCGACAGCCTTTGAGTATCTTTTATGCTGGTGCCAACCCTCTTAACACGTGTTTTTCCTGCTTTGAGAAGGGATATAAGATGCAAGAGACCTACGATATTTCTTCTCTCTCACGATCTCGCTGATCATAGTCCTCAGGACGCCCACATTACCGTTCGTCACGCCCCCGAGACATCGGAACATTAAAGCTTGCCAGAAAGTCTTACTGAACCCAAAACCTAGACACGATATCATGGTTCCAGTCAGGCCGATCAGAATGACCTTCTTGCGGCCAAATCGACTCGAATCAGCGACACGACCCCACATCATGGCTGTGAGAAGTTGGGCCGCCGTGAAGGAAGCATGCAAGACACCCGCCTGGCTCGAAATCACCGCGTCCGAAAGTGTTGGGTCGAACCATTTGAGTTGATAAAACATGTAAGCCTGCAGGCTCGTTTGGACAAGAGGCTCGGAGAGCCTTGTCAGGGTGATGACAACAAGTTGCTTCTTCCGAGGGAGGTCTTTCCACGACACTGTCTCCTTGTTCTGCTTCGTCTGCTGCTCGCTCAGCTGGTGCGATTCATCCGGCGTGTCTGAACCAGCAGCAGGCCGCCCAGACCCGATCGCCTCTGGTGTTGTGAGAAGCACTGCTCCACGCCCATTCCCAGTGGCTTCTTCCGCCTCCAAAAGTCTCGTCTCCTCTGTTTCGCCATTGTTCTCGCATAAATCGGGTTCAGCTTCAATTGAGTCGTGAGCCTGTGCGCCTTTCCTTTGTTGGAACCCTCCCATTGAGTGATGTTGCGGTGAGGAGACACAGAGAAATTCGAACACAAAAAAAGGAAATGTGTGTAGTTGACGCCTCGAAAGACCAGAGCTGGTATACCACACGCTAAAAAGTCCACTGCCTCTCAAAACAGTGAAGTGCGATGGTGCCGATGAGAACCAACAGTGGCTCTGAGATGTCCACAGACGATCAAAAGGAGCAGAAAGGTGTAGAAGGTGTATGATATTTTAAGAAAGAGGCGTGGCCTACCTGGTTGAGTTAAAAGTGGCCGCCGCCCGGAGTTTTAGGCGGACTCTCGACCTTGGCGGCCGCTTCGGCACCGAGCATGCCGGGGCAATGCTGGATGATGCCCTTGGATGTTGCCGCACGGGGCTTCGGCTTTCTTTTCGGGTAACGAGAACTGATTGCTCACACTTTTTGAATCTGGCGCCTAGCTCATTGCATCCATGTGTGTGTTTTTGCTCTGGAGTTTTCCGGGACGGTCTTCGATGGATGGGCGAGCCAGAAGTAATGCTGCGAATTGTTCCATAGTTTTTGAACAGTACTCAGGAGCAAATGTCTGCTTCTACTGAGCGAAAGTTTATCACAAATCTTGCTTCCGGGGGACGAAAAAGGGGGTTCCGGCTAGGATTGGGGCAGGTGGCCTTGTTCTGATACGAGTCAATCTTCCTCAGTACTCCCATTGCAGTTCTCAGTCACCGATGACGAGGATCACTCACTATTTTGATCCTTCTCGGATGCATTGAGAATGGCCAGATTTGCTTTTGTAAGCCTGTCTCGGCTTGGAACAGGGCTGTGCTGTTCTGGTTGATCCCCTGCGTCGTCTGATGACTGACTTGCAGAGCGGACGGCCTCCCGAAGAAGCCCGCGATACTCGGGATACCAAGAATCGACTCCATAACGAGCCATATGTTGCGCCTCCCGTTCAATGTCGTCCAAGTCGCTTTTGAAGTCCCAGGTCTCGCCAGCAGCGCGGCGGTCTCTGATCAGGCGGGCAAGTAAGTTGTCACCTTGCTCGTCCGAGGGGCGGTTTCCAAACCCGCGGTCTTCGTCCATGTCCCCGTATGACTTATCCTTGAGGTACAAGGCAACCTCATACGCTAGCCGCAGACTGTGCTCGTTGGGGAGCCTTGCCAGCCTCTCGATCGCGGGGAAATGAGAGCACTGGGCAGAGCTGATGTCGGACGAGTGGATGCCTGTCTGCTTGCCCGAGGTATCGGCGCAGAGCGGCTCCCAGGTCTTGTATATCCTGGTCCTGATCTGCTGTGCCATGTCCTCGGCAACATTTGGGCGAGATTCCAGGAGAGCTTGGAGGGTATTAGGTGCTTCTGGTAAGAGCAGGGTCAGTCCGGCGCAAGCCAGGTGATATGTGAGGTTGTCGATTCGTACTTGAGGCAAGCCCAGAGCCGTTGATGAAGTCCAGAGCTTCGTCCAGCTGGCGTCGGAGGCCGGCTATCGAGGTCTCGTCGCCAACGGCAGACGGGCTGAGCTTTGTCTTTTTGGACGCCTGGTTCCCCGAATCAGAGGCCGGGTCAGTACCGTCTCCTTGACTCGATCGTTTCTGTGCTGAAGACATGGTGATCTGTTTACGCCAGAGCGCTCGCAGTGGCTATTGTCCAGTCTAAAATCGGTCGAGACTGAATGGTTGATTCGAGAAGTTCCGTGTTTGGGGTTGCATGGATCAGTTTTTCCGTGAGCGCAGACCATCAACCCCCCTAGCCATCGTTCCAAGGCGGATAGTTAGTTGCCGTTGGCACAGATTGTCCGGCTCTCTGACCTCCTGTTCTCCAAGAAAAGAGTGATTCACAGGCATATTCGGTTAGTGCGACTCGTTTCTGCTGAATCGCCTCTCTATGTTCCGGCACTTTATTTGCTGGACCTGCACCTGAGCGGGGTCAGAGGGGGCGCCGTACAGAACGCGATTTTTCTAAAATCTGACCTTCTGAAATCGGAATGTTATAGTGAGTTTTAAATGCCATCCTGACCAATTACTTCCAACACGATCACCCAACACAGCTTACGGGACCTGCCAACGGCCTGCGATTGCCACTGGCCATGCGCAACATGTAACAAATCTGCAACGAATATAAATGCAACAACTGCCAGAGCACATCGGTCATTGCTCGATAATATTGGCGTAGCAGTCTGCTTACCGCTAGGAAACAAAGCTGTATTTTTAACCATCGCTCCTTTCATCCTGATTTGTGCAGCCACAATTATATCCGCCCGATGTCTTTTTACAATCAACATTCAGTCTCTTTCTCCCATGATCTTTCCAGATTCACCTCCTGGTCTATAATATCTCGAGATAGCAGCACGTAGATAGGCTACTCACTGCTCTTATGTGACGAGTCCATTATGTCACAGAGACTGGCTGATAACGGCTAACATGCTCATAACCAGTCACGGTGTTCTGAAAGACTGCCACACAAGAAGTCCTCGCAACTGACCGTGTCACTGACGACAGCAGCACGAGGCACCACGACGATTGCAAAATAACAATTTCTCTACAAGAAAGGCATTATGGCCGTGGTACTTTACTTCCTGTGCCAGAAGGACCGGCTGATGAATGAAGCGCAAGATGCTTAGGGAAACTGGGGCTGAATAACATGCAAATTGGGTATTCTTCGACTCCATCGGGAACACGGCATGAATTTTGAAAGTGACCACTCGGCAATACGTCGACACTTCATCTGCGTTATGGGGAAATTAGCCAGCATTTTTCAGACCATGTGTATGGAGTCAGTCACAACTCGCCATGGCAATTGTACTCTTGATGATGGCCTCGACTGGGTTGGCCTTGGGCTGCAGCACTGCCAGTCGGCATCAACATGCTTGACCGCTCCTCAAGCATGGTGGCTGTGGCTTGGAAGTAATACCAGCATCGGGAAGTTGAATAAGAAGCAATCTCCAGGTAGGAATCTTTAAAAGGCTCAAAGGCGACCATGCCAATTCTCTCTGCGTTTCGCCTTCGACGTTTGAGGGACCGAGGTGAGGCTTCGAGCGAGGTTATCTGTCTATAATTCGTCCTCGCATCTTGCACTATTGAGGCTCAACTTCTGTGCCAATGCCCAAATAGCGTGCAAAAAGGCTCAACGATTTGTATAAGATGTGCGAGCAGGGCCGTTGATTGGTGCAACATTTGTACGACGTATACATCGGCACATGAACACTACACAGGAGCAACGTTCCCTCTGTCCTAGTCCTCAAAGACCTAAATGCTCAAATCACTTCAGACCTTACCGGTGACCATTGACCTTATTGACGCATGGCAGTGAATGCTTTGGCAGTAGCGAATAGAATCTTGAAGATGAGTAGTGTACTTCTCTTATCTAATTTAAGTAATTGAAAAAGATTTACGAATCTCAATACAATCTAATATCATAAATTAAATTAGACAAAACATAATTCTGCAAACCTGTCGAGTTATTCTTGAGCTAAAAGGTAATAGTTTTTGCTTGACGACAAATTCTATATATAGGTCTTTTTTCGGACCCCTGTCAGTGTGCTTGGGTTAATAGCAGAGTCCTGCATGTTGGTTCCTGTTGGAAGTTAGTCTAGTATGTTGGCTGTCACCCAAACTTGCACTGAAGAGACAGACTTTTGAGCCCACAAGATGGGTCGGCGGTGACCTGCTCTCTCAACTTTACACCCTTCTCTCACTTTCACTTGTTACACCGCAGATTCAAGGTCCACGCGTAGCATGGCCGAACGCAACACCGAAAGCGAAGAGCCACGCGCTCACGCGCAAGGCACCCCGCGTGCAGCCGATCCGGTGACCCTATCGGCATCGACAGCTGCAGCTGAAGCAGTGATGCCGCCGACGGCGAGCCAGGATGATTCAAAACCCTACTCAATATTCTCGACCACGCACCGCCGAATTCTCACAGCTATCCTAGGCATAGCCAGCATTGCCTCACCCCTGAGTGCCAACATCTACCTGCCTCTTCTTCCTCTTCTCCAGACGCAATACCGCTCGTCTGCGCAGGCCATCAACCTCACCCTCACACTCTACGTCGTCGTCCAGGCTGTGATGCCGGCATTCTTTGCCCCAGCTGCAGATGCTCATGGTAGGCGACTCATCAGCATCATTACTTACATCATCTTCACCGTGGCGAGTCTGGGTCTCGCCATTAACGATGTCTCTGGCAATAGGTCCTACGTCGCACTCATCCTACTGCGTGCGATGTCAGCACTGGGAGTCTCAGCCTGCGCGAGCATCACGTATGGAGTCGTCAGTGATGTCTGCATTCCGGCCCAGAGGGGCACCATGGTCGGACCTGCGATCAGTGCCGCAAATGTGGGGACAGTCTTGGGCCCAGTTGTTGGTGGGCTGATTGCCTGGCGCACAGGGAGCGGTACATGGGTCTTCTTCACTTTGGCCATATTTGGAGCAACGAGTCTGGTGCTGATGGTCTTCCTCCTGCCCGAGACAGCGAGGTCAGTTGTCGGAGACGGGAGCGAGGGTCGCAGGCTTGAAAAGACAGGCTGGAAAGATTTCATTCTACTTGGTCCTCGATGGGGTCAACGCCGAGGGCCTGAAGCCGAAGATGGAGTGTGCGGTGATAGAGAACTGTATGCTGCGACAATAGGTGAGAAAAGAGTGTCCAAAACCCAGGCACATACCGCTTCTGCTACAGTAAAGGCGACGAAGAAGTTCTTTATTCCTAATCCCTTCTCATGCCTGTCCATTATACTCGCACGGGACACTGCTCTTATCTTGTGGCTAGCAAGCTGCAATTATGCTGTCTGGTACTGTGTCACAGCCTCCATACCACAGATCTATGCCAACAACTATGGTTGGAGCGAGCTCAATATTGGTCTGGCTTATCTCCCTGCAGCTATCACTATATTTGCCTCAGGTTTCATCACTGGGCCCTGGAACAATCATAAATATAGAAAGACGGCACGTGAAGAAGGAGTTCCCGCGGATAGTCATCGAGTGGACGGCTTCCCCATCGAAAAAGCTCGCGTTCGACAGCTTTGGCCTTCCTTCTTCTGCACGCATATAGGCATTGCTGGCCTGGGATGGACTGTTCAACAACGCGTTCATCCAGCAGTCCCATTGGTGATTCAGGCAATCGTCGGATGTATTCAGAGCACTCTCTTCTTTGCCTTCAATACACTGCTAGTCGACGTTCACCCTGATAGACCCAGCACAGCCTCTGCAGCTGCGTCACTTGTTCGCAGCGGGCTGAGTGGGATTGGGGTTGCTATCCTGCAACCGTTGACCAATGCACTTGGCTGGGGCTGGTACTTCACTTTGATGGCTCTTGTCGTTGGAATCTTGCAAGGCGTTGGGATGATAATGCTTCTAAGGTGGGGTCGCAGATGGAGGGAGCAGAGAAGGAACGACGTTGGCCAAGCAAGTGAAAGGCCGCCAAGAGCATAGACGGGGCCCGGAAGGGAATGCCCACAGACACGCAATGCAGTCTACTTATAATTATTTGTTCCGAATGAAATAAATAACACAACTACATCGATTTTCATTCCTTATTAATCTGCCGTAATTGTGTAGATGTGACAGGTTTCACGCGAACTATGGCCAGCTATTTCTGTACTGAACCTTCGGCGGACAGACTGGTTCGCCTCTTGAGACTGCCCATTCTTCATATGACTCCGGATACCTTCTATCCAACTCATTCATATAGCCTATGCATCTGTCACGTCATTAGTATTCGACGCTGCGTGCCTGGGCACAGATAACATTGCCTTTTTAGGTACTTACTCTTTTCTGTAGACCTGATCGTGCCCGGTCAAGGTAGCTGATACTCTAATTTCGAATGCACTGCAGCCACTCTTTAGCCTTTTATTTGAGATAAAGAACCGATGCTCGTGTTTTCTTACAGAGTGTACAAAATATTCCGGCCCTCACTGTCTTCTTCTGGGGCAGATTGCTCCTGAATCGCACATTATTAGTCGATTTCTTGGCTGGATTTTGTCAAAAACTCACAAAATGATTGTGATAACTGTTGATGAACGCTTGCCCAAATGGCTCGCGTGGAAGTGCCCACACGCCCAAGTCAAGCTCACTGTGACCATATATTGCGCAAGGATCAAATATCACGGGCTGTCCGTCCTCGTTAATGGCCCTGTTGCCGGACCAAAGATTCGTGTGGACGATCCTTGGAGTAATTTCTCGGCCTCCTGTCTCAAGTGGTCGAACGAGGCGTGGTATGATCCGTTCAAACAGAACTTTTAACAAGCGCTCCATATCTGAAGGCCTTTCGCCTTGCGCTATCTTCTCCGCTTGGAAGAAGAAGCGCAAGTATCTGACCAGGTAATCTTCCCACGACGTACTTTTTGCCAACTTCAGAGCCAATGGTCCGCCGGAGACAGGTACATGGAAACCAAATCTCCCATCCGGGGAGACACCGTTCCGGTGAAGCTCTGCCAATCTTGGAGGCAAAGTAGCAGGATCGGGGGGCTCGTTGAAAAGCTCCATGAAAGGACAGAGAAGGAAATAAACATCCGGATTGCAGGCATATTGTCCCCATCCAATTGGATCTACACATATTCCTGGAACGGCTTTGAACATGGCCTTGAGCGATTCGAATTCGCTAGTAATCATTGTGGGTCCTGACTTGAAGTCATTGACCTTGATGAAATAAAGGATTTCCTCTCCGTTGAGGTCTGTATGGATGACAGCGGATCGCGACCAATTTCCGCTCCCAGAAACCTCAATTTCGACTATTTCCGTCCCTTCTGGCATTACTGGGGTATGTTAGTAAGGAAGACTACAGTATTCCGATACCCGCGACTTACAAGCCAACACGTTCTCATCGACGTCTTCGATCAAACTCGCTGGAATGATATGGTCCCTAGTCGTCCACCACGCTATAGGGACAAAGCCAGCCTATGTCAGCGGAAGAGTAGTGCCAACCAGGAAATCTACAGTGGCGAGGCCAAGGGCATACCTTTGGTGGTCTCCTTCAGTTCCTCGAGCCCATCAGGCGGTACCAATGTGGCAATCTCGGCTCCGGCCATGTTAACTCTGCCTTATGTTGTATGTGGGCGAGATCTGCGGATTGTTAGAATGTGATGATGCTGAGATCGCAAGTTCGATGACTGAGAAGTAGGTTTACGAAAGCAGCTTAAGAGACATGAAGAATGTCTCGTGGAATATCAGCGTTCCAGCGCCACCTTCAGTCCTATCGTCCGCCTGAAATAGACAATGGGCCGTTTCGAGCGGCTCGAATGATACCAACAGTAGTATTGGGGGCGGAAAGTGGCACCCATATTCAAAGCGATTGGTCAAGCTTGGCTATACGCGGGGACCCATGCAGGTGTTGGCGGTTAGCCTCCAGTCGCAGACAATTCACTCATTCTGCACCTGGACAACATTCGGAACATTCGACATTTGGAAGTTACGCCAGGACCAAGACTTTGGCCCGACTGTTGGACGCAGCAGACTTCGATCTTTAAACACAAGTGGTATTGAAAATTGTCACACACATTTGACAGGAAGCCGGTGGCACGGTCTCCAATAGACAGGTGCAGCTGTCGCTGTGCCGATCACCAATAGAATGGGAGTATGGGACATCCATCGAGCATAGGCCATGAAGACGATGAATTGTCGCCGTCAACAAGCTCTCATACCACTGCAGTCGGCTCTTCATCAATCTCTCGGGGGACGGCAGGCTCGAAACGCTCTTATTTCCTGAATCACCTCTCGGTAACTGCTTTCAGAAACCGACCGAAATCACCTACCCCGTCTACCAGCTCAGCTTCATCAACGGCCAAGGCTGATACCAAAAGCAAGGGACCCCTAGGACTGACCACTGTGTTCCATCCAAAAGACACAGATGGAGTACTTGCACATGTGGTTTTTGTACATGGTCTCGGTGGGGGCTCCGAGCACACCTGGACAAGAGATGGCGTATTCTGGCCTCGCGACCTGCTCCCCTCGCAGGACCCATTTCAGAGGGCTGTGATCCACACCTTTGGATATGATTCCAACTTTAAGAAAAGCAGTACTCTGAATATCACTGATTTTTCGAAGTCGTTACTGAATAGTATGCTGAACAACCCGAACACAAGGGATCTCAAAGTAGGTGGACTCATCCTTCCATGCCTCCAGATTCTAGAAGTGAGATTTGACAAATCTTCCAGGTTCCCATTGTCATCGTCTGCCATAGCATGGGCGGCCTTGTTTCAAAACGCGCTGTGGTGCTCTCGAAGCAGATACCGATCTACGAAAAAATCGCCATGAGGATAAAAGCAATAGTCTTCATTGCTACGCCCCATTCTGGATCGAATCTTGCGGGCACCCTCGATAGGCTGTTTCGCATGTCATCTGGGCTCAAGCCTTACCTCGAGGACCTGGGAAGAAACTCAGATACCGTTCAGTCAATAAACGCCGAATTTCCGACACATTCACTTGGTCTCATCCTCCACTCATTCTACGAAACTAAGCCCCTGAGCATTGGTGGCATCCGAGATGTGATGATTGTTCCCAAGGCGGAAGCCGTTCTGAACTACCCACATGAACAATCAGCACTTTTGTATGGTGACCATCGCAGTATTTGTAAGTATGCAGATGCTGCAGATCATAACTTTATTGCAGTATGGCAGGCTCTAGCCGCTTGTGTGAAAGAAGTGAAAGACCAGCTCATGGAGAGACCACCAAGTCTCGCGTCTCAGTCTAACGATGAACTCAGCAAATTCTTCAACATTTGGGAGCCACCAGTGGAGGACCTTTATCGTGTGAAATCCAATCGGCTTCCTGGTACATGCAAATGGCTCTCTGACAACTTGAGCTATCAAGAATGGCTCAAAGGATCCAGTTCCGAGCTCTATTGGCTCTGGGGCGCGCCAGGATGTGGCAAGTCTCACGCCTCTGGACTTGTTCTTGAGGATCTGGAGGGAGCTAGAAAAAGATACTGCTACTACTTCTTCACCTACGGCGATAGAACTAAATCATCGATGGAAGCCTTTCTCCTGTCAATGACTTGGCAAATGGCCACAGTTTACCCGGAGATTCAAAGGAAACTGCTGAAAATTTGCAATAAAGACCCAGGAGTAGCCAGATCTGGAGACTACAGGACACTTCTGAGGAAATTCTGGGAACAGGGCATCTTGCAATCAGACATCCCTCAGGAGACGTACTGGGTCATTGATGCCCTTGACGAGTGCCGCCAGGGCCAGGAGCTCGCGAAGTTCCTACTTCGTGTTCAGGAAAGGTCCGCTGGGATCATCCGAATGCTCATCACCGCGAGGAGTGCTTGCAGCGATTATCGCTTCCCAGCAAGCAAATTCATGGGTCTCGAGATTAAGACAGAACATACTCAAGTGGACATCGAGCGATATCTTGATACTGATAATTTCGATGCTCCAGGCGCCAGTCTGACCGAGCGAGAAAGTCTCAAAGGCCTCATCTTAGAGAAGTCAAACGGTTGCTTCCTGTGGGTCATCCTCATCCTCGAGAACCTACGCAAAATCCTTGGCACACAGGCTCGTCTTAGAGCCTTGGAAGAACTTCCTCCAGTAATGGATCAGCTCTATGCCAGAATAGTCAATTCAATCCCAGACGAGGGGAAGAAACTATCAAGGACGATCCTGACCTGGGCAGCTCTTGCCATAAGGCCGTTGAATACCACGGAAATGAAATATATTGTGGAGCGCCTAGCAATGGACGAGGTCGAGGAAGTTGAGACAATCATCTCAAGGTACTGCAATGATTTACTCTGCATCGACCAGAATCAACAAGTCAAATTGCGTCACGCATCGGCAAGGAGTTTTCTACTGCGCCAAAACATGGATGCCAACACCGACGAGGATTTTACGATCAACAAGGAAGATGGACATAAGATGCTTGCGATGGCATGCCTGAATTATCTGAATGGGCCCGAGATGAGAGCTAAACCGAAGAGAAAGATGGTGGCTGCAATACAACAACGCTCTATTTTTGCTTCTTATGCCTGCTTGGCGCTTCACGAACACGTGAACAGAAGCTCGGCATTGGATAGCGATGTCCTAGAGGGGCTGGCTACATTTCTGAAGACAAATATCATGTCGTGGATTGAGGAGCTTGCAGAGAGGGGCAATCTAGATACTGTCCTGCGGTTTGCCCAAGTTCTGAAGGTCTTCCTTCGCCGCAAGTCTAGGACCGACTTGCTGCTTTCAGACAATTGCGTTATTGTTGACACATGGTCTGTCGACCTTGTCAAGTTGGTTAGCAAGTTTGGTCGACAGTTATTGATGCACCCGCAGTCGATACTGCATTCTATCCCACCATTCTGCCCTCCGGATACAGCTCCCTACGCACAATTCGCTCGTGGCATGGGACCAACACTCACAGTGTCGGGGCTCGCTGCTCGTTCATGGGATGACTGCCTTTGCACGGTCGTCATCAGTGAACCAAAGGATGTCGCTTCAGGTAACATGCGACGCGAGCGCCTGCAAGCAATTGCAACATCAGATGACAACTTTTGTATCGGCACGTCTCTCGGCAGGGTCGCAATATTTGACGATAAGACGTGTCTGGAAGAGAGAGTGATCGACCACCAACAGCCGGTCATGCTTCTCGAGTACGCCATGCACAAGCCCTTGATGGCAAGTGCGAGTAGGAAGTTGATACGTATTCTGAACACAGAAAACTGGGACCAACAATGGGAGATCACCACACGACAGAACATTCTCGCCATGTCTTTCGTTGATGACGACCAGCTGCTCCTTGTTGCTTTGCGGAACAACACTATCATGTCTTTGAACCTCATCGACCGGACTACAGAATTTACCAGCTGGATTGACATTCTCGAAGAGCCACATCACAGCTGGTACTTGGGCTTACCTGCCGAGCATGCTATATTCAACCGAGACCGCGGACTCCTTGCCCTTGGATATAAAAACAGGCACTTGCTTGTATACAATTATGATACAGAATCCTATGAGCTCTTTGACCATCAAGATGGTCTTGTGGCTGGCATCGAGCAACACCTCTGTGTAAGCATTTCTGCCATGGCGTTCAGCAATCTACCCGATTCACCACTCCTAGCCGTCAGTTTCTCCTCTTCAGAACTTGTTCTGTACGATACAGAGCATGGAAAAATTCAAGCACGTGTGTCCCCTGTGTGGTTCTCTCACCTGGTTTCCTCTCCAGATGGTAGAACCCTTGCGGCCGCCAGATACGATGGTGCTATCGAGCTGTACGATTTTGAAACGCTTCATAAACTCTACCGCGTTCGTTCTGAAGACGGAGCCGTGTCTGCATTATGTTTTAGTGCTGACAGCACGCGGTTCATTATAATCCGTGCAGGAGGGCGGAATTGTCGCATCTGGGATCCTGCGGCTCTGTACCGCCGGGATGTTGGTCTCGACAGCGTTCGTTCCCCATCACTCGGATCAGGCAGTCAAGATGGACTCCTTGAAGAGAGTGATGATTCAATCAACCTTATCAGCGCCATCACTTGTGACCCTGGTGGTTCATTTTTCTTTGTGGGCAAAGAGGATAAGTCTGTGTCCGTTCACGACGCCCGTACAGGTCTATCGGCGGGGCTGCTCTTCTCGCATGTGGCAAGCGTAAAGGGACTTTACGTAAGTGCCAAAGGGCAATTGAAGCTCCTCGTGAGTGCGGACACCGCTGGATTCCTCATGGTTCACAAGTTGATCAACAACGCAAAACGAGAATGGTCCGTGGAACACATCTTCTCCCATCGGGGGTCAATCACGGGCGTCCAGCAATTCCTTTGCAGCGAAGACCTCACTCGAATTCTAATTGTCTCCAACGATCAAGCATCCTTGTTTTCACTGTCTAATGGGAAAGAACTCGCCGCCCGCGTCGATTGCACTCCTTCCGGCCAAAAGGCCTACGTTTGGACACAACATCCTTTGGACTCATCGCTTGTAATACATGTGGCGGCTCATCAAGTGCGTATCCACTCTTGGGATTCACTTGAGCCAATCTCAATTACAGCCACCGGCGAGAAAATAATTCAGCTTGACTTAAAGATAGCCTTGGACCCTGAGCTCCAAAATGTCACTGTGCACAGTGCTACGGGTATCTTTACTGGCACAAACACGCGGCTGGCAATATCATACTCCCCTAACAATGACCACAATACGGGACGTGGCTTGCAGGGCGGCAGAATCTTGAGTTTCTCGGCCTCTGCTTTGCTACCGAACGTACCGGACCAATCAGTAACGCCGCTAGCTGACAATCAATCTATTTATGACATGATTGATATGATCGTTGGTATGTACAGAGAACGGATGGTTTTCTTGCACATCGACGGCTGGATCTGCTCTGTGAAGGCTGGTGCACTAGAGAAGGACTCGGGGCCGGCCGGGGTCAAAAGCGAAGATGTGCTGCATCATTTCGCACCACCCTTGGGCTGGCTACGCACGAGTCGAGAGCTCTTAATAAGAGTTTCAAGACTAGGGGATGTCTTGTTCGTAGTGAAGGGCGAGGTAGCGGTCGTGAAACGGGGATTGGAACGCTCAGCGGACGTCATCGCCAGATAGTAGGGCTCTAGTTGCTGAGTTTTGCGCGATTCAACTGAGACAAGAACACGAGTTTACGCATTGGAAATTGCATAATCACTTGAATTTGTGAAGCGAGCTGCTCAACTCCGTACCCGCAACATGAGAGGATGCCCTCCTCGACCTGCGCATAAGTGATGGTTATCAATTGATGGTCATCGTAGCAGTTCCCCCAAAACGTAAGTTTTAAGACGCAAATTTTGTTTGCATACTCTAGATCGGCTGGCACTGCTCGTGAGTGCACACACAATTCATCAGGCCATGCTTCATTCCATGGACAAAGCCGGTTTTGTTCCCATCGAGTTGCATCAAAAGACACTGTACACAAGACCAATGTTTGAGGCCACCAAACTACTTAACGCCTGCCAGACGCTCCATGAGATTTCGGTCGACAATTGCAAGAAGTCTCAAAAGAACCTTCAAAGCTAGCTGAATCAGGGTACTTGGCACAACCAAACGATCTCAGACTGGCTCAAACAACCACGTCACGTTTGCTCTTACAGCGCCAGAATAGCATTGTTCAATGCTCCTTCCTCGCATCTCAGTCCACAAAATCTGGTGACACATGAATATTACCGTCGTGATCACGGAAGGCCTGCCGAAGAAGTTTGCACCAAGTCCCATAGCCCACATCAAGATGGAAGCATCGGACGAGGGGGCAGCCTGTCTCTGCGGACATCATGGCCAAGAGCTCTCTAGAGGCCGAAAGCCGTGGAGGAACGTGGTGGAAAAGATCGATTTGTTGAAGGTTTCGGAAATTCTTCATGCGCAAGAAGGCCTCTAGTAGTGTGTTCCGCCACGGGTCGTCGTTGTGATCGAACTGAAAGCCGAGCACTTTGAGGTTGCGCGCTGAGCGGCCGACCTTCCTGAGAACTTCGATCCACTGGCTACCGCTCAAGTTGATATCTCCTGTGCCGGTATACTCTTTGTGTATCTTCAGTCGAATGTTTCGAAGGTTGACTTGGTTTCTCTGGCCAATTTTTCGGAGCCATGCATGGGCATAGGTGGAGCCTTATCACGTCTTGTTAGCTGACTTCGAACTCCACACAGCTGTAGATCAATCACAAAAGTGCAAAGCTGCCCGTAAGACTCTAAATTTCCTGAGCTCGATAGTGCTTGTGCTCAGACGAACGTCTTCCGCTCAATAAATTGAAAAGGAAGGATGAACGTATTGATAGAGGCTGCTTACTGCCAAGGACGAAGTGCTTCTCGCTGAAAAAGACCCCTGTTGCCTCGTAATAGAGAACTTTGCAAGCCATTAACGGCCGCAGTGCTCGGTAGGCAAAAACCCAGCTCCGTTCCGGGGAGCGAACGAATTGAAAATCTTCGGCATTTTCACGCGCGCTGCGCGATCGATTAGCTGGCGTTCGACTAGCTCGAGCTGTTCCTTACTGGACACAGTCGTCGCTGTATTGTGCCCTGGTAAATGTAAACTCACAATTCGGTAGTCTTGGTGACCGGGCTCTTGAAGGACGAGAAGTCGATAATGTCAGACGAAACGCGACTCCCCAAACCCACATACACCTCTCTGCAAGTCTTTCGGTCAGAATCCTTCACCACTGACAGCTGGAGGAGGTATGCAAGATGTTTCATGTTGCTTACGGTCCGTTTTTCGAATGGATAAGGTTCCGAGTGATAATTACTCGCAATTCTGGGGGCAGATCCAGGATGCCCGTCTTGCGACAGGCCGGGCTTGTCTCTTCGCACTCCTGCTCAGATGCTTGTGGTCGCGTGTTTGGCTTTACTTTGCGGCTGCGACCTGCGACACGCGCACTGCGTCTGGGGAGGGTCATCTTGTTCGAAATGCGAGGGTGGGCCTTCTCCAGTTAGAGTGCACAGGGAAGTGTGAGCTGATTTTGGCCGAGCGCTGAGATCAGGCGTTGCTGATTTCGGTTGATGGTGGAAGCTGGGGTGAGGTATTGATTGCCTTGGCTTGGACGTCCAACAGCGTTGCTCATGAAATACCTTGCCTAAGCACCCAGGCAGGCAGCAGTCAAGCCCCTCGTATTTTAAGTACAGGTTGCGAACATTGTTTGCGCTTGCTGTCTCCGTCTTTTTTTTATTCTTTTTCTAATGTCGTTAGCAACTGACGCTTTGCCGTCAAGCTGACGGATTATGCGCCTTAGCCTTGGCTAAGTTCGTCAAGCATGTAATTAGTGCTTGGAAGTATTTGACGGGTCTATTCACTCAAATGCGAAATTCAGTTATGGATTAGCTGGGTCTAAGAACTGTGGCAGAAACAGGATCTCGGATGCCGCACATATTTTGCGTTCATCATAAGTCGCCCAGTCGCTCGCCATCAGGCCATGGCTTTGCCAAAGCTGGCCTCACCAAGCAGAGCTGCCTTTGCACCTAAATCACAAGCCAAACGCTGCAAACCGAAGTATAGATTTGGTTTTTACCATGATTTCAAGACTATTTTAGTATCATGGGTGGTGAAGTTTTACTGATTTATTAAATAAGATCCCAACGCTATTGTACATTATTATTCACAAGATAAAATCTTAGACACACGCGACGCAAAGGACCCTCGCTGTCCCGCGGAACTGGAACTTGTCATCGAGATGCCCGACTCCCTTCTATCTCTTACAAACTTTGGCCACGTGTTGGTCAGAACCAGGTATTTAATGCTGGTCTCAGCCTTGTCAAAAACGGTGGCATCGAACGTCGTGGGTATGTCTCCACAATACGCGATCCGATCCGTCATTGCCCGCAGCTCGACGTCAACGTCGACGTTGCTGTTCGACCTCGACCCGATGATAGGCCTCTCGGAAGCGTGTGAGGGGCGCCGGGCCGCGTTCCTCGGCCAGTCTGTACCCGGCGCAAATGGCGTGGCCGGGCTGGCCAAGCCCTTGTTTCCATACAAGACCCTCGCAGCCTTTTCGAACATCGCCTCGAGGACGACCCTGACTTGAAATGAAATGTTGATGGGGAACTCGGCGTCCTTGGGGCCAATGAACTCGGCGTAGATGTGCAGAGCCTTGTTGTATGCATCCCGTGCTGCTTCGCCTTTACCAATGGCCCGGTACCGATTCTTCCACTCGGCAACTGCCGTCAGGAATGCGACGTTCTCCCCTGAGAAGTCTTTCAGGGCCGAAAATTGTCGGAGTGGGTCCGGGTTGTGCTCCAGCACATACTCCAGGGCACCCATGCTTAGCATACTTTCTCCTGAGTAAGCAGTACCCACTGAATCGACCGTACTGGCCTTTTCAACTGTGGATATCGCCTTCCATGATTTCTGGGAAGGGCTCCCTCCCAGGATGCTGGTAGCACCTATTGTTGAGGAGCGTTCACCATTGTGATTGTGGGTTTTAGACTCCCAGGCGGTGATCATGTCAATGGTCTCTTGGCGTAATGATCGATGTCTCCACACCTGCCAACAGGGGAGGAAGATGGAGAATATCTCGAGGAACATGATCGAGAGCGCAATCCTTTTGAGATTGTTAGTCTTGCTTATTTGAGATGAACGACATTGCAAAGACACGAGATGAACAACCACATGGTCCATCACCGCGAACTAGGACGTTGAGGGACTCACCACTGTGGAGCTATCCAATATCTGTTGACGCGAGACATCCCAGGCACGTAAAGCGCTATGAGCCACATCGGTGTTGCAGGAAGGCTAAAGTATGTCAGTCGACGATGACACTTCCCATTGATGGTAGCTTGACCGGGGATACATACCCTGCGAGGCAGCAAGCAAGAGTCTGGGTCCTCCATCCCAGGGTATCGTGTATGCGTCTTGCTCGCCAGAGGACTATGGGAGCCACTATCCATGACCAGAAGAATTGCCAGATAATCGAGGGCCACCTGGAGCAGTGGTTAGTACCGCTGGCTGTGCTCAAAGTTCCTTGACCTTTGGTAACACTTACCATTCCCAACCCCTCGCTTGTTGATGATTGACGTCCCAAGGACTGCCTCCCACCTCGGTGCCCCCCACACCAAAAGACGGATGGAATTTACGTGATAGAAGGTACATGACGATAGTGAGGATAAGCTGGGTGACGTTAGCCTAGCGTCATTGACGGTGCTCTAAGTGAACCCATACCTGCAGCACCATTCCCATGCCGATGATCCAAAGCATTTTCTGCGTATGGTCCAGCTGTTGAATTCGGCCCCATACGGTCGTCGGTGTCGGTTTCCCAATCGGATAGCTTTTGCGAACGAACCTCCTCCTTTGTTGCTTAGCGATGTAGAGAAACCGTGTATTCGAAGCGTGGAAGAGCGCGATGCCGAACGGAAGATAAATCCCCATGATCCAGTACTCTGCCTGCGCCGGGAAAGGGTCCGCGATGTAGGCCATCTGGACAGCCATCCAGTATGTGTGAAGGAAGCCGATGGCGGCAAAGGACAGGTTGAGGCCGCGGATCCTTAGCAATGGCGTGTCGCGACGATACCACAGGAAACCCATCCCAGCACCCACAAGCAAAGTCCACACGCCGCACCATGATACCCAGAAGATGCCCGCCGCATCCAGATTCAGTCGAGGTTTTGAGTCGTCCATGTTTGCTGTCGACGGAGTGACGCTGTACTCGAGGTAGCGTATGTCGATATGGGACGCATACTGCGGACATAGATGTACTGATCAGAATGATACAGGCGGCCCACACCCTATTATTCAAACTCGGCTTTTCCAGCCTAGCAAACCTTCCCTGCGAGGGCCTGGAAACTGCGGCCAGGCACTCATCCCGGACCCTGCAAGGGCAGACATGTGCGCTGCCAGGGGTGGGAACGTTCGTGATACTATGTAATTATTAGCAGAGCCTCTGGCGCTAGGGACGTGATTGTATCATCCGATTCGCACACCTTCAGCCCCCACTAGGCGAGATTCAACCTGGACGCTCGAGATCTCCGCATGGTCAGGCCGGGATGCCTCGAACACCAGCCTGCAACTCGGCGAACTCGCGCGCCTCCTGCCCAGGCCCTGAGACTGAGTGCTGGGGGGTTTGGGAGCACGTCGAGTAAACTGTGCGTGTCATGGATGGAGGGCTGCCGCCTGTCGAAACAGATGGAAAGTCTGTCTGACCGCAACGTATGCTCGCGGGATCATACTCGGCACTGACTGCCTGGTCATGCGGGAAACATGTCATTGCCGTGCTGGACACTCGGCCGATGCACGAGGAACAGTGTTGCGGTTGCTTCTGGATTGGGATGTGATTTACCCTGACGCAGATCTCCGTCCGAGTAGTCCAAACCTTACCACTCGAGCAGTCGAGCTACTGCATCTCGAGAGTCAGGCTAACCAGTTGGACTTGGGTTTCACCTCGCCCCCTTTTTTCTCCTCTCAATATCGCGAGGCTTTAAGGTTGGCCTGTATAACAAAGATACCCCTGTCTATACTCGATCGGTCCGGTCTCCGTGAGATCTGGTGTGTGTGGTCGCCCAGCACTTGGTCCGATCCACAGCTCATGAGTCTCCATTCTCCACGGTCACATTGCCTTTGATAACGGCACTTTTTCTCTGGTACGATTCGGGGTCCTTTCCAAGATCTTGCAAGGACGGAATTGACCCAATGAAATGGTGGTATCCGGCTGTCCAGTGGACCGCCATGTCGGATTTGAGGCAGACGCAGATCAAACAAAAAAGCACTCTGAGGTAATCTCGGCAGAACCCCGTGGTTTGACGCCGAGTTGGCAGCAGCCTCAAAATTCATCTAAAAATCTTCAACACTAAGCCATCCCAGAACTTGAAGTCTGGCGACTAGGTCGAATGCGGCCACTGACTGGCTAGCGTTGTGGGCTCCCTCGAGACAATCTGATTGTCGCCCAGTGACGATGGGATGGAAGGGTGATCACCAAGATAGCGTCCGCCCCTAGAGCACTGAGCGACATCCATGGTGCGCGATCTGTGCGTCCCCGGAGCCAGGAACATCGTGCCAGCACGCCGCAAGCCCTGCCGTCTCGCCCTTGTGGTGTTCCCAGCACAGAGACAAAGAGAGTTCCCGCATCCGACGCAGAGCCCAGGGACGTGGACCTGGGAATGCCCAGGTAAGATTTTACGAGGAGACGCTCCACGCTGAGCCCCGCCGAGCTGAGTTGGAAGCCGAAGAAGAAGCAAACCATGTGGGACCACCTGAGTCTGTCCCCAGGGATCAAGCCGAATCTCACGATGCCCAGCAAAGTGCCGGCAGCACACCTTCCCGCCGACGAAACCCTGCCCGCGCCCGCACCGCAGATCAACGACCAGCGGGCAACCTTGCAGAGACCACCCGGCCGAGCTCCAGACCACGGACGAACGAACGAAGGAGCAAGCAGAATTTCGTCCCTCATCTCGTCGTCCCCACGGAAATCTGCGCACTGATCCTGAGCGAGTGAGTGAGTGTGATGACATTCCTACCTTTCCCCCCAGATATGCACGGACGTGACTCTGCAAGCCATGAGCACCTGCACCAGAGCTAAATGACGACGCCCACAACGTTGACGCAGACAGGGCCAAATCAGGGGACCCGGCTGTCATGCGCTGGCTGCATAAGTGCTCATCTTATCGTCAAGCTGGACGAGAGCTCACGTCCTCCTCTCTCGGGATTTGCTCGCTCGCAAGCACCCTCGCAACGTCGACTGCGCTTGCGCCCGGGAAAGAAAGCCGGCTTACCTGTCACATAGGGGGTCCGCCAAATCCCGTAACACGTACAGTAGGCAATGCTTGCCTGGCTTGCTTCAAGACGTGCGTTACTTCTAAGCCCCGAGGCAACAGGGAGCGGACAAGGCTGAGACGTGTCCCTGGTCCCCGGGAAGAACACTGCCACCCCAAAACCTACCACCAAAGAGGGCAACAGCCGCCGCCGCAGCAGCAGCAGCAGCGACAAGAAGAGCACCAGATCCCCGGCGCATGGGAGTTCTTGCCCGTCGATGCTACGCTGCCGTGCCATTCTCGACGCGCCCGCCTGGCGGGCAGGTCTCGCCGGGGATACCCAATCGGAGAGGGACCGTCTCGGGGGGGCTTCGTGCTGTTACATGCACAGTCACAGCCGATGGACGACTGCTTGAGACGTTAGATCTGCCCAGAAGTGGTGAGAATTGGAGGCGTTGACGTCTTGATCAGCTGGAAGGACTGCCATGCTGCAGGTAGTGACAGCGACTCTGATAAGGATGTGTGATATCTACACATATGCGCAGAGCGCAAACGGCCGTGCCCATCTATCAATCACCACCACAGCCGTCACGTCCGTGGATACCAGAAGGTTGCTATCGTTGATGGCGGATAAGCCGCGCAGCACTTCCCTGCCATTCCTTTACCCGTCAGAACCAGGCTACAGGGTGGCCTTCACCGCGGTACGCTAGTGCACGTCTAAGGGATCACATTCATGCTGGATTGCTTCCTCTCACACTAGGAGAGTCAGAGAAGTCAGCAGAGGATTTCACTCATGACTCTGGCCGGGGTCGCCAGCCGATGCACACGCCAAGGACATGGTAAACTTGTGAAATTATGACTAGCTATCTACAATGTGCCGTCCATCACGAGGTGGAGAGCTCTATCTCAAACCCTTCTGTCAGGGGTTTATTCAAGCTGAAGCTCAGCGCGCCGCTGACCGCGTCCCTCTCCACCGGCTCCGCCGCTTCCCTGGCCTGGACAACCTTGGAATCATCTCGCTTCGTCTGGCCGCTACCGGACCCGAGGATGGTGACCTTGGAGACGTTGACCTCGGTGCCGTAGCCGAAGGTGCCCGTGGCGGCCAGCTTGCCGTCAGCATAGACGAATTGCACGAAGGTGGTGGCGCCGCCCTGGTCGAGACTGACGCCGTCGTCCAGGTACAGCTGGCCGCGGGCGGTGCCGTCCTGGCCCAGCGGGATGAGCAGCTCGAAGTCCTTCTGCCGCAGCTCCGTGGTCGTCATGGCCGACTCGGCGCGCAGCGGCACGATCACGCCGCCGCGGAGGAACAGCGGGATGTCCGTGAGGTTCTGGTCCGTCAGCGTGGTGTAGCCGCCGGTCGTGTTGACCTGCACGCCTGTGTACCAGTCGTAGAACACGTCGTCGGGGAGGTAGACGTCGACGCTGGTGCTGTTCTCCTCCGTCACGGGGGCGACGAGCAGGGCGTCGCCGTAGAAATACTCTAGCTCTAGCCCGAATGTCTCCTCATCCTCGGGATACAAGTAGAACACGGGATTGAGCAGCGGTGTTCCGTCGACGGTCTGCTGGTACAGTGCTGTATAAATGTAGTCGAGAAGCCGGTAGCGGATGTCGATGACCTTGCGCGCGGCCTCGGCGACCGATTCCCAGCGGTAGAACTCCTGGGAGATCGTCGGTATATATGCATTGTGGTTGCGGAAGAAGGGCTGGAAGGCACCGAGCAGTGCCCAGCGAGCACAGAGGGACTCAGTCGTGTCGTCACCAAAGCCACAGACATCAGAACCAACCATCGGGACCTGGTAAATAGAGGAGAAAGCCAGCATCATCCGGATAGACCAGCGATAATGATTCCAAGTCGACAAGTTGTCGCCGAGCCAGTGGCCCACCTTCGCACCAGCACCCGCGAACGTCGAGCGCGTGATGATCAGGGGCCGCAGTTCTGGTCGTCGCGCAAGCATGGACTCACGGGATGCCACCGACATCATCGAGCCGTACAGGTTGTGCGTGTCATACATTGCCAAGCCGTTCTGGTGAATAAGATCTGTGTTTACGGTATGGTTTGAAATGCCCCCCTCTGCTGCATTCCACTCTGGAAGGAAGGCGGCTTTGTTGTGGATAGCATACTTTGGGTACAGAAGGTCGCGCCCAGGAAGACCCATCTGCTCTCCTGGCTCTTGCCGGACACGAAGATCAAGTTGTTCAGGAGAGGGTCCCCGAGGTTGGCCTGAGATTGATCCACGGAGCTCAAGGCCGCTCTTGTGGACAGCCCTTGCTCCAAGCTGCGCAGTTGCGTTGCAGTCTGAGCCTGGAGGCTGGAAATCACAAGGCCAGCCGGGAAGCGGGCGCGGCCACGTTCGTACAGCTGGTGGCTGAGGAGGGTAGCCGATTGCCGCTGCTTGTTCGGGGGCGTCGTCGCAGGGGAAGTTGCAGGCGAAGTTCGAGGGCTCATTCATATCAATCCACAAGGCATCGATGTCGACTCCAGTCTCCGGGCTGAAGAAGAGAGCGAACTCATTGTCCCAGTAGGCCGAGATGTTTTGAGAGAACCAGTCGGGGAACGCAGTGACACCTGGCCACACAACACCCTGCCAGACGGAACCATTCTCGCGGAGAAGGAAAATGTTGTCCTGAACTCCACGGTTGAACGGTGGGTAGTCATAATAGGCGGTTGCTGGGTCAACTATAGTACTTTGATGTCAGTATACGCGCTCAAGAAGACGGGCTCACATCTCATCGTGAGTGCTTGCCAGCTCTCGATTTTCCACACATTATGCCCGCTTTGCGTTCTGATCGCTTGTTATTTGAGCAAGCACCTCACTTTTTCAGAATCATGGCTTCATGACTCTTCCATACCCCTAGAAGTGATCTCCCGGCGGGCTTGGAGATTACCAGCATGTCAAACCCTACATCTTGCGTATCAAAAGCCAGGCAGTGAGCGGCATTGCATGAGCCATGATAAATTCTTGCGCGCAGAATCGAGGCTGCGAGGCCTTCAAATTTCTGCCGCGATTGTTTCACACGCGATCAAAGCAAGATGAGAAGTACTCACCCATCACAATATAATGCTGGTCAGCATTGTGCAAATGATCAACAAGCTCTCGCATCAAGTCCAAGGGGAACCTCTCCGGATCGAGCGAAAAGACCCTGCGCAGATCCATGTAGTCGATGTCAGTCCACATGGTCTCGAGGGGGATGGCGGCCTGGCTGTAGTTGTAAACAACCTCAGCCACGTCGTAGACATCCTGGTAGCCGTAGCGGCACTGGTGGAATCCGAGGCCCCAGTACGGCATCATGGCGGGCAGGCCGGCGACCTCGGCGTACTGGCGCGAGACGTCGAGGGGCCCGGGCCCGGCCATGAAGTAGAAGTCGAGCACCCCGCCGAGGGTGTTGTACTCGAGATACTGGCCAGACTCGTCGGTGCGGTTGAGGAAGACATCCATGCCGTTGGAGTTGAGCAGGAAGACGCCGTGGGTGCCGGCGGCGCCGCGGTGTTCGAAGTACACCGGGTGGTTACCGTACAGGTTGGCGCCGTTGGGGGTGCCGTACGCGTCTTGCGACCACAGCGTGCGGATGTAGTCGGTGGTGTTGAGGCGGAAAGGGTCCGAGTGCTCGCCCAGGCCGTAGAGGTTGGGATTCTCGGGCAGGCTGGTCCTCAGGCGCAGGTACTGCGATTCAAAGACGAGGCTGGCGGCCGATGTGTCGAAAAGGACCTCCCCTGTGTCGCTGCGCGAGATGTCGAAGGAGAAAGGCGACTCGACATAGCTGAATCTGAGGGCCGATGTGGCATTGCCGCTGGAGTTGCTGGCCGGCCGCGGGAAGACAGACTCAGGAACTTGGTAGACGGAGTTTGCTGCATCCTGGATCTTGACATGAACGCGGGTGGCTGTCTCGTAGGTCACCTCGAGTGTGAGATTTTGCAGGTCGTCCCCATACACATTACATGCAGTCCCGGCCAGGGATAGATCAGCAGTGAGGCCTGTCGCTGTAGTCTTCACATTGCTGGCCTGGTAGCCCGGGCAAGCAGCAAGTAAGTCATCGCTAGGAGCGTCTCTGGGTCTCAGGGAAGAGGAGGCCAAGGAGGTCGTTGCAGATACCAGAGTGGCGAACAGCCAGCAGAGGGTGGCTGGCTTTGCCATGGTGAGGAGGAGGGCTGGTATTGCTTCTTCTGCCTCTTGCTCTGGCTGTGTCTAGGGCTGGCGCGTACGGACAAGAGAAGACAGGGCGCTGTTGAGTCAGATGCAGAGCAACATGAGGCCTTCTTATATTGTCTCGAGAAGATGACCAAGATAAATATGAGCCTAAGCGAGAGTTTGTTCGAGGTAAGCTCGTATCCACACTCAGAATGGTTCCAAGCCTACATGTGCGTGTTCTGCCATTTGCAGGCTTCCCCTCATGATCCCAAGACAAGGAACGGCTGACGGCGAATGACGATCATGTCACGGTAAGGACGAACATGCAGGCCCGCTGCGTGGTAACAGTCTACCAGTCGTAGTCGGTGCCTGGGCTGCAGGGCGTATGCAGTGCACAGTGGCACGCGCAAGGATTCGGTACAAAAGAAAAAGGTAGTGTCAGTTCATCTCGCCGGGGCCGGGCTTGGCGTGGACAAACGGCGCATGTCTGGGCAGGATCAAGACCTGAAAACAGGGAGAATCAGTGACGAGCGTCTGCTTGTGTGCGGTCATCAGACCGTTGTTGGTGCAGCTCGGACGGTGGCCATCACGGTTGAGGGCGAACATTTGAGCGACATGAGGCCGAAGAGCTAGTACATTTGGAGGCAGAGAGTGATGAGGGTGAGATGGTCTGGCTGTCTGGTGGTGAGCTGCTCCAATGTGAGAAGTCGTCTCTCAATCCTTCCCTGGGATGCCCCTGGCCCAGGACCGCATCCTCCACGGCATATTGGCGAATTGCAGGCGGGGAGCGGCCCCAATGCGGTATCTAAGTCTTGACAATGTACCCCGCATTTTAGCATTTTCTGGGTGGGGAAATTGGGAGAAACAGCTGTGGGCATTATAGGAGCCATCACTGCGCGGCAGGATGCGGAAATGAGGAGGGAAAAGCTTATGTATTTTTACTCCCCCCCCAAGAGGCAGGCCTAGACAAAACCCACAAGCCCACCCACAACCTACAGCAGGCATCCCGCAATCTGACTTTCATCTTCACATTTATACTCCAGAGTCATGCTGTCTGCCCATCCATGCTTGACAACAGGATTTCTGGTCCGGTCTTGCCGTCGGAGATTGATCTTCTTGGCTCCGCGGAATAGGGGACAATGGAAGCCCCGTCACGCAACACAGATGAATTGGTAGAGGGTTCTTCCAGACAGATTAGAAATAGCTATCAAGAACTCAGATATATACATGTGAGTGTCACCAGATGGTCCCACTCATCACATGCCACATCGGGGCCCCCTCAGCTTGCAGGCACCATGATCCTGTCCACATCAGGCCCATAAGTCCCATCAGTCTGTGAGATAACAACCACATTGTCACTGCCCGACTTGAGGGCACAGTTAACCACGCTCGACCCGGGCGCGCCGTTGCCCGAGGCAGTCGGCAGGAACGCAATCTTCTGCTTGACCCCGTTGCACGTCACGTCCGCGTACCGCTGGGAGGAGTCGCCGTTCTCGTACTTTATGCGGATCGAGCTCGTCGTCGCGGCGCTGCTCACGACCCCGCTGAACGTGACAGTGCCGCCCGTGCTGCCGCCGATGTACCCGGCCGCGGAGCCGCCGCTGCACCCGCTGCAGGTCACCGTCTTGGCGCCGTTGGTGAGCGTCGCCGCCTCGCCCTCGGGCTGGCTCTCGCTCGGGCCCGCCGTCCACGCCCCCCCGCCCGCGACGTTGGGCACCCAGTTGACGTAGTTCGCCATGGTCACCGTTGTGCCCGAGAACGTCAGGGGCAGCCACACGTAAGTCGACGCCATCAGGTTGGACGATACCCAGCGGTCGCCCAGGTACATGGTCAGGCTGTTGGACACGGGCAGCACGTAGTTGGTCTGCGACGTGTACGTGTTGCTCCCTGCCGTCGCAAATGTCGCCCACGCCGACCACCCGGACGACAGGCTCGTCGAATATGTGTAGACGTTGTCGTTTGCATTCCAGCCTGTCAGCTTGGATGCGAAAAGGAAGTAGTAGCCGTTTTTCTTCACGATCGCCGGTGCCTCGTAGCTGCCGAAAGTGTAGACGCTGGACGAAACGTTGAGGTAGTCCGAGGTGAGCGCGTCGATCCGGAGGCCGTTAGCACGCTATGAGGGAGTGTCAGTCAATCAGACATAAGAATGTCGTATTAGACCAAGACTCACGTCTTCCGTCAGCAGATACGCCTTCCCATCGTCATCCTGGAACAGCCCAATGTCACGCGATTGGAACCCGAGCGGCCGCCAGCTGCCCAGGTAATTATATGTGCCGCACACCGAGTCACCGGTCGCGACGCCGACCTTGGCCTCGCCGTACGACGAGTCGTCGATGTGCAGGTAGAGCACGTACTTCTTGGTGGACGAGTTGTAGATGACCTTTGGCCTCTCGACGACGCGGCTGGGGCCCAGGTCGCCCGACGCCGTGCGCGACAGCAGCGCGCCGACGTAGGTCCACGACACGAGGTCCTTGGACGAGTAGCAGTTGATGTTCTGGAACGCCGAGCCCGTGGTCTTGTCCTCGCCGATCAGGTAATATGTCCCGTCGACCTCGATGACACCAGCGCCGTGGGCCTGGACGTGAGCGCCGGTGTTGGTCTGGGTGCAATACGTCAGTCATGAGAATTCGCAGTTGCAGGGCTCCGCACAGGTTAATTGGCTTACACCGGTCACCGTCGCCCCGGGCACGATCTGGAGAGACGCATAGGCCACGCCTGCTGAGAGCAGCAGCGAGAGGGAGCGGAGTAGGTTCACCATCGTGAGTGGCGGACTGGGACCGGAATACGCTCTGTGTGTGTTTCCGGGCACGCGCTGCTTCTTCCTGTACCTCAGGGCCAAGAGAATCGCATCCCTTCCCAGGGTCTAATTTTCCGGTGCGGAAGCAACTCTTCTTTTATGCGCTTCTTCCCACCTTGCCCCCAGGTACGAGGCGGTCCACCCTCGCATTGAACCTCCCCCACCGCGGGTGCATGCGATACGACAATCAGGCTTATTTGGCTCCGACACCCCCGAAGCGGAGTATAAACGTCCGAAAGCAGAAGCTCGCTGCGACCCATGAGCCCCCCTCGTGACCGCGTTCTGTGCCTGAGTAGAAGGGCCTTCCAAGATTTTGGGTTCCATCGCAGCAAATCGGTAGTCGTAGACCATGAACCTGGGGTAAAAGCGACGGTGGGACTGGGTCGGCGGGAATCAACAACAAACAATAAGTGCTCGAATCGGCCCCGCGGGCGACGACGGGCAGGGTTACACGCAGTGGGGTCCCAGGCTGTCAACTGATGATCCGGCCAAACCATGCTGCCTGAAGATGGGATGGCAGCTGGTCCGTTCGTCACCGTTGCCGAGGCTCAGCTTGGAAAACTGCTTGTCACATACGCACGAGCAAAGTCGCAGCGAGCCTCGCACAAAGCCTTGTATGCCGTTTGTTTCCAAGTGAAAGTGAAGTGCAGAGACCCAAATATACCCAGATATTGTCCTTGATGTTTCATTCATTCGCACGTCTCAGCAAGCGGGAATATGTACAACTGAAGGCCCGACACTGCACGAGAGAAATGACCGCTATGCCAGCAAGCATCAACACCATTCCAATTTCCGACAACACGCCCATCAATGTATATGATCCCAACTCCAAAATTAACAATGCCTTTTCATTATGTCAAAGGACGCCATCAAGAAAATACGACCAATCTTCCATCCATTGTAAGGAGCTGCCGTGGTCCATTTCCCACGTTTGAATCAAGCTAGATATAAATATGTAAGTACTGCACTGATTACGAAACCCAACTGCGGGTCACGGAGTTATCTCTTTGAGACTTTCAATCCTGGCCTGGGTCTCCGGCCTTTCAACCTCTGGAACCATCTGCCTCCCCTGAGCGAAGTTCAGCCGAAACGTCGACAGAGGTGGAAATCATGCCGTCCCTTGGGAATTGGCTGGGCTTGCGCGCCTCAACACTCCAAGCCTGCATTTCGACTCTGCCGCGTTTGCCCGAGCTCTCAGCCGGCGGTCGGAGATCTTTTGATGGACGCGGACGCATCATCGTTGCCTGTGAAAGCGGGCCATCCACCGTCCTGCGCATGATATTCAATGTTGCGCTCCGTCCTGAGGATGCGTGACACCCTCAGGACGTGCCTGTGTACGATTCGTGAGTATTGGCGACGTGATGCCTTTCAATTGTGGAAAGAAGGATCCCGTGGCAATCTTGCTCTCCAATGGTGTGATATATCGAGTTTGTGAGAAGACGCCCGGATTGCTTGTATACTTAGAAATGGCGTGTACTGGACCTGCAAATGAAGGTCGAACAGGTCTCAAAGAACACATCCTCTCCGATACTGTTGCCGAAGTCTGTTCTGTCCTTTCCGGCCTCGAAAAGGATCCCATGTTAAGTCCCAGGTTTCGAGGCGCGAGGTCCATAACTGATGGATTGTGATGCTGCCTGCGTGTAGGCATGGCCGGTCGGGAGCCCGAGAAATGGAAATTCGTAGAGCCGCTAACCGCGGGTTGGCTGAACAAAACGGTTTTGTGTGTTGCCTGCACGACCGCGACTCGGCCGTTCTTCTAGTCGTCCGTGTCCATCCGATCGTGCATCGCCGTTGACGTCGCCACTACGATTGAGTTTGGGTCATGTTCGTCATCTTCGATGTTGTCCTCGGACTTATTGCCGTTCGCAATGTCATCCAACTTGTCCACCTTCTCCTCCAGCTTGCCCCCATCCGAGATGAAGGAGCTGTTGACTATGGAATCGCGTCGATCCATATCTCCATTGCTGGCGTTCTGTGTTGAGAACCTGTATCCTCCATTTTCATCCCGCTCGATGATAGCTTCGTCAAGAGCCCATTTAGCCAGCATGGGGTCGACTCCGAGCCTGACGCCATCTCCCTTTTCCATGTGGCGACCTACGTGCTCGGTCCACTCATCCCAGGCTATATGGCCTTCAAACTCCTTCTGGCAATCGTGTTTGGGACAAGACACCAACTGAGGCGGCTCCCGACGTGTGACTAGGCAAGAATGCTGCATTTCCTTGACATGATTCTCCCATTCAGAGTTCAATTTGCTGTCGCCTTTGGTCAGTGCCTTCTTAATAGCGAACGGGGCGTGCATCCTCCGAAGATGTTGCGTAAAGAGGTCTTTTCGATTGAACTCGTTGCCTTTACCCTCTGCGGCGCTAGATGGGCACTGTGAGCAGCGGTAGTATTGAAGGCACAAGTGTTGGGAGGCGATGTGGCGCTTCCACTCGTTCTTGGAACCGAATGTGCTGGTGCATCCGGCGAAAGAGAATGCACAAGGGAACGGTCGCGTATGAGCAGCGGCGACGTGTTTGCGCAGCGAGGAGGAATCCTTGAAAGGTGCATGGCTGCAGAGGGTGCATCGAGTGTCCTGCTTGGGCTGCGCTTTTGCTAAAGGTTTCCGAGCTGGTGGGGCCGGCTTGGGTTTCGAAGCAGAGCCATTGAGGTCTGCCGAGTAGTGGACGTCTTCCATCCCGGACTCATTGGCACCTGACGACGGTGAATCCCGTTGTCGGGCGTCAGAGACGGCGCTTGCCGCGCCATCGCTCACGTGCCTAACGTGGCTCAGTGCTTTGAGCTGCTCGGCTGCCTCCTTCATCTCAGCTGAGTCCTGACCGTCGTCCCTGACAGAAGCCGCAGTCGCGATCACGCTCGCTGTCGGGGCTGAGCTGGGAAGCGGATTTCTGGTTGGCGCCTCTTGCCGCATCGGCAGCTCTGAATAACTGGACGCCTGTTGGGCTATCGCCTCATGCCGTCGCTTGCTAGCCGGGCTACTAGTAGCCGCCTCTCTAGCCTCAAGTAGAATGCGACCATCCTCCACTGCCTTGTGATTGACAGGAGGCACAGGCGTCGACTTGACAAGACCCTTGTACAGGTCTATCATATTGTGAGAATTGATGTAGCCCAGGAAGCAGCAGACCTTGTCGTGTTGGAAAACATTCCATATGGACTGAGGCATGGAGATCAGGAGCATCGTTGGGGGTCCGAGGAACATGCCCTCCATGGTTATCTTGGACGCAATGGGTGGAGTTTGCTGCAGCCACTGGTTGTAGAACATCATGTCCGGATTCGCATCACCAACAAAAGTGGTGCACACAAGCACTCTGGCCTCATCGAAGGTGAGATCAGGCAATGGACCGGATCCAGAAGCATCTTTTGCCTCTGCATCGTGGGCGGACGTACGACCTGGGCGCAGAGGCGCCAGAGTAAGGTTCTGGGACTTGCCTGGGGTAAGGGTGAAGAATGTGGGGGACTTCTCGACAGGCGGCTTTCCCGCTCCACCATTGCTGAGCTTCGCAGTCAAATCATCATGCCTCTGGCGCATAATCTCCTCGTACAGCCTCTGTGCAGTGAAGGGTCTCCCCGAGCTGAGCCTGCGAAGGGATTCGACCAGGTGGGTTGTGAAGGAGTGCGTGTGATAGTCAGCGTCCCTCTGGCCCGGGCTGTATGCGGCAATGGCCTGCTTCACTCCGTGGCTACCGGCGACTGGAGCATCGTGGATGGCGCATGTATCCAAAAGGAGCAGGATGTCAGATGAGGCATCCTCGAAGAGGCAGCGCACGCCGCTCCACTTGAGCTTGCAAGCATCCTCTCGAGTATTACTACGTAGCAGGGTCAGTGTGCTGGACGGGAGATTTGACACGACGCTGCATGGCACAGTCCGGCACAGATCACTCACCTTGCCCAGTACAACTGCTTGTCGGCGCCAACATAGCCGTGCCCAGCATAGTAGATGATCAACAAATGATCACTCCTGGCGTTGTCCATAAAAGCAGCCATTTGGACACCAAGCTTGATGCTGGGGTTCGGTACGGTGGGTATTGCCCACTTGTCGGTGTGGTAGTTGTACTTCTCGCGGAAGACCTTCTCCAGGGCCACCAGCTCGTGCTCTACGGAGGTGTCCTCCTCCCAGCGCAGGAGCAAGACGGAGGCGCTGGTGTAGGAGGGCGTCTTCTCCATCTTGCGGTATATGAGCATGGCAGCATCCTGCAGGTGGCGGGCAAACGACTCGAAATCATGGCGTTCAGCGGCGTGGGCAGGTTCCTGCACGGGGAAGTGTTGGCGAGTCTACGCGTGAGGGCATCGTGGTTAGTCTGAGGACGACTCATGCAACATGTCAAGGCAATTGGTTCACGTCCTCACCTGCTCCGGACTGTACTGAGCCTGCTGGGGGGTGGTGGCAGGGGTGGGAACGGTGGCGGCGGCGGCGGCAGTTGCTGAAGCAGTTGGAATGGGAGCAGGTTCTGGGACCTTGGGCGCAAGCCTGCGCCGCTTGTTGGGAGGATCCATCTCGCAGGGCGGGCTTGGGGAGCTGGAGCTGGCTTGAGCCTGAGCTGGTACGCGACGGGCAGTATAAGAGGAATTGCACGGCTGCGACCCAGGGTGCAAGGTACTAGAATACCATGGAACAATGTGTTGTGGGCGGCGGGAGGAGGGAATGTGGTCGTGGTCGTGGTTTGTGGTGGACAGACAAATTGTGGTCGAGGGCTGGGTAAGGCTGGGGCAGTTGGAAGGGGGGGGTGCGGTTGAAAAGAGAAGGAGGGAGGGCTGAAGCCTCGTGGGCGGTGGGCGAGCAGGGCGAGGCGGGCAGCCCTTTCAGAAGGGAAAGCGGAGTAAGCTGCTGCACTGCGCAACGCTGAGAGGTGAGGAGTCGGCAGCGCAGCCCGGTGGGAACAGGGACCCACCCGCCCAGCCTCTGCACCACTCACCAGCGGCCACAGGCGGGCGGCACGCCTGACTGCGGCGGCCTAGTGGAGGGGGGAGCTTGGAGCTTGTGCTGCGGTGGCTGCGGGAGCACGGCAGCCTTGTATATCTACTTGCTCGTACTGCTGCAATTGCGTGCAAAGTCAGGTCACTCGACCAGGCCCCCTCCCCAATGGCGCAATCCAATGAGACGAGGCCAACACCCCTCGGGCCAATCATGTCGGACCTCGATCTTAGGTGCAGCAATTTGTGTTTGCGGTCCTCCATCAGGCTTCGCCTTTCCGTTCTTCTCCTCATTTCTGGCCCTCCCATCTCCTCTCCTCCCTCTCTCCTCTCGGGCTCCTCTCTCCCACTCCTGGCTCAGTCTCCCCTCTGTGTCTCTGTACTCCGTTCGGGCTTCACGATTGGCTTCCTCCGCCCCAATCAGAACCGAGACCAGGCCACGGACTGCAGCATATTCGACACGCCTAGCCCTTCCTCGCCTGCGCCATCTGCGGCCACGTCAATCCCCAAGGTTCCAAGCTTACAGCTTATGTTCCATTCATTGCCAGGGCTTCATCTGTCTCGTCATCTCCTCTCCTCTCTCATCCCTTCGTCTCTGGCCAAGCTTGCACCTACGGAACTGGCTGGCCTGGTGAATCAAAATGCCGCTTTCCCCACGACTTCTGCCATGCCAATAGCCGCTCAGGATATATTTCCCCCAGGTGGGGGTTTTCCCACCACACAGACGCACGCCCAGCCAATCAGGGAAAAGCCGTAGCCTGTCGCACGCACGATGCGTGTGTGAGTGCATACTCAAGACTTAGCGCATAGTCAGCCGTTCTTAGACCTCGGCCTCGCATTCACTCACTCTGCGTAATCGCCCAATCCCCGCCACCTTTGATCGTCCCTCCCCAAACACCAATGGCAGCCCGTCATCACAACAGCTCGTGCTAGCCACATAAGCCCCAAGGGCGCATCTTATCATTTGATTCTTGTGCCTGCCGCTGCCCTCCGTAATTGAAACAGACTCGCGATCGTGCGACAATGTCCACGTCCTGGCACGATAACGTAAGACACCCCAGTCTCGGGCCACCATTCTCGGACCATCATCGCCTTCGTCCACCGCCACTGTACTACCACAATTGTCGTAACCAAAGCTGCGACTCACATCAGTAATCGTCGGTAGAAGCGCCTTCAAGCAATTCGGCCATTGACTGACGTCCGAGCAGAGGAAAGGGAATAAGGCTGAAGGAATAATTACGAACGTAGTAGTGCTTTGATAGAATAGAATACTTACTATTTGAGCAACATTTTACCATTTCGCAGCATTTCCTGTCGTTGTGATTCGACAACAGTAATACGACGCAGCCCTCAATACAGAATGCTTTCCTGTCCGCGTGTAGATGTACTTGTCATTAACAAAGTCATTGATCAGCAAAAGCAAAGATAGTTCACTAGAGTGGAGCCCAGAAACTACAGCTCTGAGTAAACAGTGTGAATCGTACATCTCAGCACAAATCGACTTCTGCCATCATAATCTATGGTCGATGTCTGAGCCTCATGAGCTCAAGGGACAAAAATTTAGGTGGGCGCACGTCTTGAATATTGCGTGCTCACATTTTCCATTTCTCAGGAGCAGACGCAACAATCTTAGCCATTTAATCGAATAGACTATCACTTTCTCACTTCTATCCAAGAAATCCGAATGTAAAAGCACTACCTGACATGTCTGGCAGGTTCGTCATGTATCACACCAAAGGAAGACGCTATTTGTGTTTTCTAGAGGAGAACAGGCTAGGAGTTTGGCCCATGCACTATTTAGATCCTATCATCCTCAAGCCATCGCTCTTTGATTAAGAGAGAATTATGGAGCTGAGGTCGATCTGGAGCATACTTGTAGGCTAGGGATCAAATGCACTCCACCTCACAACGGAAGTGCGTGGGCGAGTTCTCACCTCAAGTACTTGATTACGCCGAATGCCCCGCTCGTCCAAGGCGTGATACTAATGCGATTCGGGAATCTTATCCGCATGAGAGTATGTACACGATAGTGGTCGAATGAACTGGTCAAGCTCAATTCCAATAGTAAGAGACCGATTTATAACTACGTCCAGCTTCAAATCTCCAATATTTTACAAAATAGAAACTGTTGAGACATTTCAGTCTCGAAATTCTTCCATGGCAGTATCACCTCTCGGCATTTGAAAATGATCTAATTGTCGAATTGAATTACTTAATTAACATCACACATTGAATCTTTGTTTTCTGAGGTACAATTGGACTTACAAAGGAGGCAGGTGGCCTCGAACACTACCACCCTCGGCAACACCCGGCAGTGGGACCAGACAAATCCACACAAGCTTGTCTGGCTGGGTACGACAACCTCCTTCCGAAAATGTGCCACCCCAAGAGCCGCAGGGAATAGCCGTCCAGAGCTAAAAGGCCTTTGGCGGCGGTCGATCGTCAATTTCCCACCCTCGCCCGCTCGGCGTTGGGGTTGCGGGGAAGGCAGCCGGTACTCGCTATATCCACTTGCTACATATACCAGCGATTTAGGCTTCGGCGTTGATGCAACGGCCTGAGTCTGTCGGGATTTACAACCCATCGTGGTGGTACTCGGCTGCGGCTAGTGGATTGTGCTCTCCTTCAAAAGCGATCGATCTCTTCTCCCTCTCGCCCATTGGCTTTCGTCTCTTGATCTGCAGTTTTCGTTGCACTAACCGATATCAAGTATTTAAATTTCACCATGGCAACCACGAGCGACGAAATAGATGCTAAAGCTGCGGATGTTGCTGTCGAGGATGCTGGCAAAGCGCAGGCCGTGTCATGGGACAGCGAGACAGAGAAAAAGTTGAGACGGAAATGCGACCGTCATGTGTTGCCATGCATCACTCTGCTTTTCTTTATGGCGTTCCTCGATCGGACCAATATCGGTGAGCGAGGGCTCTCTTACGAGACGTTCCAGGATCACATGCAATTTGCTAAAGGGCACCAGGCAATGCGAGGATTCAGGGAATGGTGCAAGACCTCAATATGACGGGCCATGACTACAACATAGCGCTTTTTGTATTCTTCATTCCGGTATGTATAGGCCTTCCCCTGCTACGATTCTCCATCCATTCTTTATGAGAATCTTCCAGTATGCATCGCTTGGGGCTCTCTAGCAGGTGACTAACACATCACAGTATATTCTCTTCGAGGTCCCTAGTAATATTATTATTAAGCGGGTTGCGCCTTCCACATGGCTTAGCATTATCATGGTAAAGCTCATGCGCAATCTCCGTCGAAGAAAGAGTGCGACGTAAGCTAATCGAAAACCTTCTTCCAGGTCTTATGGGGTATCGCTACTATTGGCCAGGGCCTAGTGAAAACTGTTGGCGGACTGGTTGCTTGTCGATTCCTCTTAGGACTCTTCGAAGCTGGTGTTTTTCCGGGTAAGTCTATAGCTCTTTATGTTGAAATTCGCGGTAAAAGGCTGACCATAGGCAGGTTGTGTTTATCTGATTAGCATGTATTACCCTCGATATGAACTTCAATGGCGACTGTCGCTGTTCTTCTCTGCGAGCATCATGGCAGGCGCCGTCTCCGGTCTCCTTGCTTATGCTATCGCAAACATGCGTAATGTCGGAGGTTACAATGCGTGGAGATGGTATGTTGTGGCCCGCTTCCGTTTCTCATTAAGTACATACAAGCTTACGCTGGACAAATGAACAGGATCTTTATTATCGAGGGATTGGCCACCGTCGTCGTCGGAGCCGCATCAAAGATCTTCACGGTAGACTGGCCCGAGACCGCCAAATTCCTCAACGACGAAGAGCGAAGGGTCCTGATCGCTCGACTTGCGCGGGACAGGGGCGAGGCAAAAATGGATCGGCTGGACAAGAGAGCTGCAAAGCGCATTTTCAGTGACTGGAAAATTTACTGCGGTATATTCATGTATTTCGGGTAAGCAACCTTCGTCGCCCAATCACGCCTGCCTTGGGATGGACGCCTGCTCTATACCTAAACACCCGCGACTACTCTTCTCGGTCCTCCATCGGGCTGCAACTCAAGACAGCTCGAGACCGTGGACAAAAGATATTTCACTCAGCCCTTGCTCGCATCAAACCTGCAATATAGTCTCTTGACAGCTGACATCGGATGTTGATCTCTACAGTGTGGTGAATACCGGGTATAGTGGATCGGTAAAGTTCCCGACTTGGCTTCAAAGTCCTAGCGTACTAACAACAACGCAGTTCTTCATTCCGACCATTATCCAACAATTAGGATATAAAGCCGAGGAGGCTCAAGTTCGCAGCATTCCCATTTTCGCCGTCGCAACCGTGTGCTGTCTCACAACGGCGTACTTGACCGACCGAATGCGACACCGGTACGCATTCACTATGACCGGAGTGATAATCGCCAGCATTGGCTACATTCTGCTCCTCTGCCAGCACCGCATCTCCGTCGGGGTGCAGTACTTCGCTCTATTCCTCGTTGTTAGCGGTGGCTACATCACCCAGCCGGTCACCTTGACGTGGCTGCAGAATAATGTTAGCGGGCACTATAAGCGGTCGGTCGCCGCAGCCATGCAAGTCGGTTTTGGTAACTGCGGTGGTTTAGTGGCTAGCAACGTTTTCTTTCAGGCAGAAGCGCCCGAGTATTGGACTGGCTATGGCACAAGCCTTGGCCTAATGTGGATATGTGGTGCTGCATGTACAGTGTTGTTCATATTTGTGCAGAGAGAGAACAAGAGGAGAGATCGAGGAGAAAGGGACTGGAGGTTGGATGAGCCTGATGTCGACAACCTTGGAGACGATCACCCTGAGTGGAGATTCGCCAACTGACGGGAGCGTCAACTTGTAGGAATAGTGCATTTACGTGGAAATTGACTCCCAGGAAATACTGTGGGAAATGAGTACATACATACAATTCTTGCCAAAATATACAGCTATTCTCTATTAGACTTTCAAGAGTAAATAAGTGAAAAATGTAAGCTGAGTCAAATTTCTACTTTAGAATAGCACTTTTCTTTCATTGAATTAATAGTATTCGCTCCTTCGCTATCTTTGTGTATATTGCATCCATTGTTTTATCATGTCTCAGAGGTTCTCACGCGTGATCTTTCTGCCCCTACTGCATGCTTTTTTACAATGTAATACTCCAGCAATATTTCTCTCACCTGATCAGGTACTGTCCTCGCCATGTCTTAAACACGCTTGTATCTCTTGTTATATAGACTGCATCGTCACCTGTGTCTTACAATGTCGAACCAATCAGCAATTACCTTGCAAGATGTCTTCAGTAGTAAGACCTTCGAGCGATGGCCGCTTCGTTTTCTCATTTCAAAGGAAGCAGTCAAACATGCACAGTGTTGTTTCGAACATCAATATCACATCAAACGGGGCCCAATGCGTATCTTGTCGATATCGTCGATCTCCGATTTAATTGATTGATCTGCAAATTCGGCATTCATTGAAGCATCAACGTAAACTTCGAGTGAAAGCGTATTCCGCTCTGCAGTGATTATGCGGTGACTGGCGAACGAAGTCGTGATATCACCTGGGGTGAAATACCTACTGCATGGCCTATGTAGCTACCCAATACAATTGGATATATGACTTCTCCACATCAAAGGAGATAAGTCGGCATAGTGACAAGATAGTGCACTTGAATCTCCACCACATCTGCATGTCACAGGCAGTCTTATCTGCTACACACCAGCTGCCGGTCTGCGGTTTCTCTCTCCAATGCCTAATTCGTTTTCCCCAGCTTTTAGCGGCATATCACCGGCCGCCGCCTATCTCGGAGGTTGCCATCCGGAAACCATCATGCCCACATGACGTGAGACTTGGATACAACCACTTGCCGCTTATCTAGCCCAGATCGGCTTCAAGATTAGCTTGAGCGCAATTGGCAGTTGCTGCCCACTGAACCTGGCTCATAAACATACATTCACTCCGTTGACGGCCGTTGACTCGATCAAAGGTCATTTTAAACATCTTCGCTAGTGACTCTTTCCTCCTCATTTTCCCAGGCCTCCAGCACGAATCGAAGGGCTGCTCTTTCAAGATGGACTTTTCAAAGCCAACGCTCTACGGGCTGTTCTTTCTCGCCTCCATTATTTCCCTTGTGCTGGGGCGCCTCATCTCCAAGACTCGCGGAGAAAGGCCGAGAACACTTAGCCAGGCAGATCACGAAAAGTCTGGCGCACGAACTCCAGAGAAGAAAATCCCTGGGCAATGGACACCCAGCAGCTTTCAAACTCCCAAAGCCCCTCCCTACCCAGACTGGTCCCTCGAGACCACGAAGCCCCTGCCCTACAGGGCTTTTCGCCATGGGCCGAAATACAACGTCACAATGGGGCTGCGAACAGTTCAGTTCGAGGACTGGATTCAGCTCGATAATCACTACCCGCGCTATCACGCTGATAAAGCCCGGCGGATCGCAGAGCGAGGCGCTAAGTGCTGCGCGACTATGCCTGAGGCTTACCCTGCTGCGGTGGAGCTGCTTGAGGAGTTGACTGAATACCTGCCTGCTCGATATCCTACTCTCTACAAGCGGACAGACGTTGGTCTAGACAACCTCTGGTCCGGCGAAAAGTTCAATATGGTCGAGCGGCCCTTGAAGGAGGATCCCATTCAAATTTGTGCACGGCTAGTCCAAGACGATTTGGCTCTCATGTTCGAGAAGCCAGACGGGCAATATTACCTACTCTCAGGTGCTATCTTGCTGCCCGGATTCTGGCGCCTGGAGGACAAGGTTGGGATGCCTCTATCAGAAATACATACCTCTGGCGATGTTCCGCAGTTCAAGGAGAAGCTGGAGCGCGGGATGATGAGTTTCTTCAGGAGGTTAAAGTGCGAGGACATCTACGCACGCAACAATTATTTCATACAGGTAGACGATGACCTGGCGTGGAGTTGGAGTATCGGGCCCGAGGATAGTCCGGCCATCAGTTGGGACACTGCGCAAAAGAACCGGGCTGTCGAGCATCACATGTTTAGGTCGGAGAGGCAGACATTGAGGAGGCTTCCGAAGACGGGGGCTGTGGTATTTACAATCAGGACTTACTTCCATCCTGTTACCGACATCGCCCAGGAGGACTATGTCCCTGGGAGACTGGCGAGTGCTGTACGTAGCTGGGGCTCAGATGTGAGGCGGTACAAAGGAGCGGAGAAGTATGAGAGTGTGCTTCTTGAATATTTGGATAAGGAGCATCAGAAGCAGCTTGATCGTGGTCTTGACGTCTCAAAAGAGGAGGAGATCAGTCAATACCCGTGGTGACCTTTCTAGCTAAGCAGTCAAATGGAAATGTCCTATCAAGACATCAAAGTAATCTGTGTCTACTCTTGGACATCAGCAATTGACGGTTTGTTTTCCTTGTCAACTGATTAGTAGCAAAAATGGGATGTGCTGCTTCTTCACATAGGTGTGACGGAATCCAGCGACTTCTCATTGGCCTCTCTGGCGAAGTCGCCAGATTGATGAGCGAGGGAAAAAAAAGGGCTCAACTGGTTGTTGTATATATATTCCAGGCAGACCCGGAGGCTAGCATTGCCAATATCTCATTCGAGATGTCAGCTAGAACTATGGAAAGCTTCAGGTTATCAAGTGCACCAAAACAGCCGAGCTCTGGTAGATGGTGATTTGGACCTGCTCATCTTCAACGGCCAACGTTTGAGTATCGTTTCTGACGCCCGTAACCTCCTTGCCGAGGCTCTCATAAGTCCACTGGCTCCCACCGTACGTGATCGTATCAGCGCTGGCCCCAGCACCCAGCGGACTACTTAGCAGGTCTACTGCCACACTGGTGATGCCCTCCGGCAGTCCAATAGTAATTGTCTGGCTTGCTCTCTCTGTCGTTGAGCTTGAGCTGTTCCAATAATTCAGATTCAAGAAGGCCAGCCGCTTCGGGATGCCATCCTCGAAGGCCGCATACCCAGCCCAGTTACCGGTCGTCTCGTTCGTGATGTCCAGCTCTGCAACTTGTGCCTTGCCGCTGTTGCCGACGAAGTCCGTCACGAACGGCTGTGCGTAAAAGCTGGCGAACACCTGCGGCTGAGAATCACCCGAGGCGACAGGAAGCCACAAGTCGAAGCCACTGTGCATGATTTGCTGGAAGTTGAAGCGAGCAATCCCAATGGTCAGACTGTAGAGCTGGAAGTCGACCTGCCAGAGTGCAGAGCCGAGAACTGCCTGATACGAGTAGTCGTGAGTTGGATTCAATGAGTTACCAATCTCTGAGAGAATATAAGGAATGTCAGGCTTGTTCTCTTTCAGCCAGTCGATGGCAGGCTTTAAAAGGTCAAGACGGCCACTTATGGCGCTATGAGACATCAGCCCAGTGGCAAGGTCTGCAGCTGTACCGCAGCAATCCGTCTGGTAGTAATGGTGTGCGACTGTTTTCACGATGTTATCGTTGTTGATGCCGAGGTCGAAGCCGGTTGGTACATCGAGGACGTAAGAGTCCTCGCGACCAAAATGTGCACTAACGTCGAAGGCCTGGAAGAAGGGCTCGGATGGAATGTCTACAGCGTCGATAATGGCGGCTGCATATGTCGTGAAGTTGCCAACATAAGATGCGTTGTCTTGCTTTCCCTGGTAAGTCGGCGGCCCCAAGTTGCCCGCAGGGTAAAGGTCGGGCTCGTTTCCGGGCTCGAAAGAATGAATCATGTCTATGCCGATGTGCTCCACGACGCTGGTTGCCCAGAGCACTGTCTCGTTTATGTCTGTGATGGCGAGAGGGGTCTGAATGATGTACAACGCATCGGGGAAATTCAGGCATAAATCCCAATACGATGGACCAATCGTCGTTCCTCCGACATCTTGGTAGTTATAAACCTCAGCCCTGGGCTCAGCTGGTGTAGTCTGATTCTCAATATAATACGCATAGTCGGCGCTGCAGACATGAGGGTTAACAGCGCCCAAAGAGAAGTGAGTGATCTTAATTACCTTGTGCCGCCAAGTCTGATTAAGGGCTTTCCACCGGTGCGCTTGGTGATTTCGGTAATGAGGTTCTGGGAAAAGATATTCGGGTTGCCGTCCAGATCCAATGCATAGTTCCACAGAGAGGCTTGCTCGAATGCGAATCCAGCAAAGTCGGGGTCGACAATGCTGGACGCGTCAGCTGGCACGCTCGACGGGACTGATACATATGGGGATGCTGCAGTACAGGCTACAAGCCACCCGATGAAGTACTGCATGTATTGAGGCATTTTTGCAGTGATCATATCAACCGCATGGGAGCACAGTGTTTCAATATTCGGCGAAATTGTGAAGCCATGAGCAACCTTTTGAGAAGCCGGCGAGAAGACGGCTTGCGGCAACCACATGATGCGGGTTTAACCACTCCAGGTCAACTGGACAATTCCCCGCAGGTTCTAGGCGCAGTTGACCGGCTTCACCTCTCCGTCAGAAACTCGTTGGCTGGGTCAATATGCATCTTTGAAAGCCTTGGCTCAATATCACTCTCTTGTGAGGCCCAACAAGGTTTAACTCCAGCCACATATGTGCTCGGTCCTTGAGGGGTTCTTTGCAAGTGTCACAAACACCAAGAGCACTGACAAAATCCTGGTAGGAAAATCACGTTTGATGGTTGCTGGAGCTGGGAGAGGGGCGGAGCCCCCACCTCAATGTCGTGGCTGTCATCATGGCTATCAAGATCGGAAATGATCTGAGCCATAATTGCGTTGCGTCTTCGTGGCCAACACAGACCGCATGGTGAGACTCGCAGTTCGGTATAAATGAACAAGACCCACAAATGTCGGGTCGAGCCCTTCCCCGCAAAGCGTGAGTACGTCACGCAGAAGCAGGGGTGGGCCGAGGGTTGCATCCTGAGTGTCAGCCTGGCAGTCTGGTAGTGAGGTTCGCATGTTTCTTGGACGTCGAAGTCTCTGTGAATAAACACAGATACTCCTTCGGTGTGTTACGTACATGTTACCGGATACTGTGTATGCGTGGAGGTCCCTAGGTTGTAACGTTGGTTGATGCCATGTAGGGGGGAAGAATTCAGATGCATAATTAAATAATATTATAAGGGGCAGCGCCGATCTTATTTCACGCAAGTATGTGTAACGTAGATTGAATGCTATCTTCACATGTCTGTTGGCAACGAATGGGGCATTATAGCTTGGAACAAACTGGTGATGTGAGCACAATCAGCCTTATGAGTGAAATCCTCGCTTGTATTAACGACTTGGGTAAAAGATTTGCAAACGAAAGACGGAGGTAAGATCATATATATTTCCTAATACTCCGTCTCGAGTTGAGAACCCTAGCTTCCTTAGCATATATGGTTCGATGAGAGACAGTATTAATGGAATGACACATTGGCTTGCTTGAAAAAGTCTTTGTGCATCACTGACATCGCCGGGCAACTTTATGCAGCTCACTCACTCTCGAGCTCTCCATTCGACGAATCACAGCTTATTTTGAGCAGTGCGTTCCGCACTACTTGACTGTTGAAATTTACTCCCGGAAGCGCGTTCGTTACGTTGATGGGTCAAATTTGGAGCTTCATATCGCCTGTTTTGCTATTACGCTTGGAATGTGATCAAATGGTGAAGCTACTCCATCGCCGCCTGTCCCTCGCATGTCTTGCTATAATTCTGTTGAATCGCACCAAAGGAACCAGATCATGTCATTTCAAACTTTTTAATTGGCTGGTAAAATAAAGCTTTAAAGATTGATACAGATAACTTTGGATGTAAATGGCCTTTCAGGCTACACAATGGCTACTTGGTGTTTCACCCCAAAATCATGAAAGGAGCGTTGACGCTTAGGAGTGCTCACCGTTAGCTTGATAACTGAATATGACGGAATGTTCTATGTATCAAGGCTGATTATAGTATAGACATGATGCCAACATGCTCTCCTAGGCGAAGCGTCTCAACGCAGGACGCCCAAGACCAGCCCAAGCATGGCTTCTTGTTCAAAGTCAATTTACAAGAAGTCACCACGTCACATGCCCATGTTTATTTTCTTGATTATGTGGCGTATCTGCGCGTGAAACCAATGATATCAGCTTGACGTGTCACATGACTGTCGGTCACAACTCCAGAGTATACTACATCAGGCTCTTCCAATCGCAAGTCTCTCAACGAAGATACTCCTGATCGGGATCAAAATCCAGATCTCGCCCAGCTGCCCCAGCCACTCACCCGTCTCCCACGCTCAGCAAAGGCAAGGCAAATGCAGCGACTGGTAATTGCTGCAAGTCACCCCACTCGGCGTCGCACTCCCCGTCTGCAGGTAGACCTGCCAATAGCTTCCGTCCAACTGACAAGCGAGGAAATTGAGTTCTGTTTCCAACAAACCCACAACGGGAGACCCATTAGCCTTATGCCCCGCGCCAGGACCGTGAACTGGAGCCAGGTGTCTACTCACGCCGTCCCCAGCTGCTGCTCTGCGCCGTGATGATCGTGTCCCCCTCCAGGGCCCACGCGCTCGTCGACGCGGCCGTGCCGAACGTCAGGGTCTTGTACGAGGTGCTGTCGCTGCCGACGTTGAGATACAGGCTGGTGTTGGTGGACTGGACTGTGGTCTTCTTTTCAGTGCCGGGGCCCCTTTTGACACAAGCTGGGAACAGTCTATTCTCTAGGTTGCTTGCTTACTGCTGCCATTGATATTGAAGAACTGAGACGAGGACTCGGGTCCCATCACGGCAATGGAAGCTGTATCTTGTCAATCAGCAGACTGGTTCATCCGCCCTAATTATGGCCTTCGTCCGCCCAGTCACATGTGCATCCTTCCGGTGGTTAAGGGCTGGTGAACTTGCCGTTCTTAGGGTACGACTGCAAGTAAAAGTGATAGATAGGGTCCTGCACGGCACGAATCTGCTCTGGCTTAGCCAGGGCGCCGGCACAAGCCAGGACACCCGCGGCAAGGATGGTGGACAGCATAGTGTAAAGTCGATGACACAGGCGGTACGAGGCCGTTACGCTGCAAAGAAATGATCATCCCGGCAGACAAGTGCAGACGAGTCGAGATTTATGACCACTTCCTAATATACAGCACCAACCTATTGGGTCTTTCCATTGGGTGGGAAACGCGTATGCGTAACCCCCTTCTTCATTTTTCGGAGCGTTGCTGTCCCGGATAAATTGAAGGGCGGTCGGTCCTCGACGTCCTTTCGGAGCCAGGGGTCCGAGTCCGGAATGTGTTTGTCCAGATTCCATTCAACTGTGCAATAAGAAAATTTGATTTCGCTCGTATTTGATGGACATCGTGCTTTAGAATACATTCTGATATCTTACAGTCTAGAACCCGGACGTTTCGCCAACCCACTTGCCTTTTATTGGAAAGAAGCCTGGTCCAGTCTAGTAAGAGAAATATCATCCGCTCATATAGGTATCATGAAAGACATCGAGGCCCGCACCAATAAATAGTACATCGCACAAAAGAAAGAGGTGTTCACAGAGAAGAATTTCCCATGACTAGAATGAGCAGCATCCCGTTGAGGACACAACACGACGCGAACGTGACCGAGACGACGGCCTTGTTGGCGATGCCCAACGAGTCCCACCGTGCCATGGTTAGGGCCAGCGCGGTGCACGCACAGCCTAGCGATACGACGCTGCCTATCGTCACGCCGGCATCGACCTCAACCCGCAGCTTGTGCCGCCCTGTGAGCATCAGGACAGTTGAGATGCCTAGCAGCAGGAAGGACATGGCGTACAGGCCGCTCGTCACCAAGAACATAACCCGGTCCTTGTACATAGCCATGCGCTGGTCGCTGACTGATGGGAGCGTCGCCCAGTGGGTTTCGTATCCGGCAGGGAACTCCTCGGAGCTTGCATAGCCAATATCCCCCTCGAGGTCGAGATCGGCGTCGTCGTCCCCGTCGGTCGCGACTGCAGTATGAGAGTCACTCCCACTGCTCTGGAGCTGCCGAGCTGGGTGATTTGCGAAGTAGCCATCCCTGGTCGGGGAGTTATTGTCGTCGGTCGCGCCGTAGCTGATGTCGCTGGCGTGTCTGCTCAGGAGTGATTGGCGCTCCTGCCCGCGGACTCTGACCCACGAGCGGGCTTTAGAAAATGGCGCGGCGATGGCATTGACCAGAGCCTTCAGGTCTGCGCCGTAGTCGGTTTCCTCATCAGGGTTTATATATAGTACGTATTCATCGCCCGCGTCTCCGTTCTCGCTCCCATTTTCATATTCGTTCCAGTACCCGGCTTGCTGGGTCGGATAACTAAACGTACGAGTTTCAGGTGGCCCGGCGTGGATCGTCACTCGCCGCAAGGACTGCCGTGGGTTATCTGGTAAGCCGGAAACTGAGGAGCCGTCGTCAGTGCTAGGAGATTGAGGGTAACTCTGCGCAGGTGACGATGCTTGGATGGTGGATAGCAATTCGGTATAAGCCTGTTGCAGGGGATGGAAGTCCCTCCGAGTAAAACTCTTGGGCTGGTTCAGGACATCATCTCTGAATCGGTTGCCTAAGGTGCTCGCGCCCGTCCATTTCTAGCCGTAATATTAGCGGATGGGCGGTGTGGAGGGCATTGGGGTCTGACTCGTACCCTATATTTCTTAAGGATCTTTCTAAAAGCAATGGACTGTGCGTTGACGAAGCGTTGAAGGTCCTGTATGTCGTTGCCGCACTTGAGAACATCGCGCTCAAGCCTGACGAATCTGCGTTGCCTTTTGCGAGGCATTCGTTCGGGGTCGTCGTTACATCGTGCGATGAGCCGTTGAACCTGGCTGGAGAGGTGTTCTGCAAGACAGAGTCAGTCGGTCTGATTGGCGAGTGAGGCAAGAGATGCCGGGATAGCCAATGATGCGTGGCAGATAGGAAAGAAAGGCGGGAGGGGGCATACGCAGTCGGCGTGTTATCTCGTCGGCCTTTGCGGAGACAAAGAGTCCTGCGCTGTCATGTTGGGCGCATAGTTCGTTGTAGAGCTCGTCTTCGACCTTGGCGAGGTGGGTGTCGGGTTGGCCGGGTATTGTGATTGCCTTGGCCTGGTCCCTGGTAGTGTTGGCCTTGATGAAGTGCTTCAGGGAGTTGTAATCGATGTTATCTGTGGGAGAGAGGCGCACAGCACCCGGAGTCAGTCATAGGCCCGAGCATCTATATCGCGAGGAGAACCGAGACAGGGCAGACAGAGGGCAGGATGGAGATGGGACGAGATGAAGAATTGGCCGGGCGCATTACCACGTACGGAGAGCCCATTCTGGTACTGATTCCTTCTCGAAGTTCTGCCCGTATTTCATTGCCAGTAGAGCAAGGCAAGTCAGGATAAGGTAAGACAATGTTCGGTGTGGCTGAAGGCCGCAAGAGCCGAGGCGGGATCGAAGTTGACCGTAATTGGGCACCCTTAGGCTTTGGGGGCTGGATTCGCAGTTCAATTGATGTTGCCCTGTTGCAATTGCAGGTTTGGCCGGTTGTCGAGTGGCAGAGGACAATGTTGTGCAAGTATTGAAGCCTCTTCGGGATTGTGTGCCAAGGAGGGTGACTGGGTGACCTTGGGTGTGAGTCGCTGGCCGTGAGGCTATGATAAAGGGCGGCCGCGGGCGTCACAAGCTTTTATTTGGACAAAGGCTACGTACCAGACGTTGGCACACGGTAGATAGTCACAGCCTAGTGGCAGGGCCAAGAGGTCTGGCAATTACGTATCTTTGGAAAACGCAGGGTCCGGCCCGCTTGGTATTTGGGTCTCGGGCGTGGCTGCCAGGGTTTACGGGGCGGGGCCTGGAACGGTGGGCACCTGGGCAACCCCCTGACACATGTGCAGGCCCGTAGGCCGTCATCGGGTGGGCCTTGTTTTTCTGGGCTGTGGCTGGCTGGTCTCGGACATGCTCTGTCCTGTTCTGTGCTGTTCTGCGCTGCTTTGTGCTGTGCTGTGCTGTGTTGCGCGATACGAATACACAAATCCGTGCTAGAGGTAGACGACATCGACTAGAGGACTCTGCAGTACATGTACATGCACATGCATTTGCACTTGCATATGCATCAGCTGCTGTGTGCTACTGTAGATAGATATGCGGCCGAACGTTGCAAGCAAAAGAGGCCGGCTCTCCATGGGCCCCCTCCCTCCCTCTCGCTCAACCAATTGACCAGTAGGAGTTCTACCTGGCCACACACACTACCGGACGGTACATACTCTGGTACACCCCATCGATAGCCTGGGCCTCCGTCTTCTCTTTGTCTCCATTCAGGTGCCGACGAAACAGGCCAGTGCCCTGTGGACTTCAGGCCCATGCGGGGCCCTTCCTCTGTGTTTCTTCTTGATCCTTGCAAGGTTAGGAGGGGGCTGCCTCCTGTGCGGCCCCGCGGCGGCGCAGCAGTGCAGCCGTTCTTCAATATTATTGCCGCTCTACAGCCTCTTTCCGACAGCCCGACGCCGATGTTTCCCCACGCACCCACTGGTCTTGTGTATTTTGTGAGACTTGATCACAAAGTTTCAAGACCGTTGCCTGCCCATGCTGTCGTGAGAACCTTAGATCATCATACCTGCAACCGGTCACGGCATTGGCATGGCATCATATGATATGCTCGTCACATCGACCAATGCCATTGATCGTCATGACCACGCTAAGTTGATGGTCCGAAATGCTCAAACAAACTGTTCTCGGTGCTATCACCCAGTCTCTCAATGGCCTGGATGGGTGAATGGCTGAATGGCTGAATGGCGGCTGTTATCCCGTCGCTTTCCATGCATCCTCACCATCACCATGGTCGAGACTGTCCATTCCTGGGACCGGTGGATCCCAATTTCTAACCATGCCTCTCATGGTCAAAGCTATGAACCAAAAAATGCTCAAAGCGGCAAAGCACGCAGGCAGGATCAAGAAAAATGCAAAAAGAGGTACGGGGAAAGCACCCTCGCCTGCATCGACAAACCCATGCGGTTAATGTTGCGCCGTTAAGCAGATCCGGCAACCCTACTGCGCTTCAAGGTTCCCCTCTTCAGACTACAGCGGTGTAGGCTTTGCGACAGAGTTGGCTAGGCCTTCAGATCGGCTAGGCGTCGTACACATTGGCGATTAAGTTTGATGAGTTTGCAGAACTCTGCACTGGTGCAACGAGCCATCTCACCAATGGCACAGCTGCTTGTTATTCCCGGCTCGACTCGTGTTGAGCAGGTTCTCCAACTCGCTCGACTAGTGGTTGCCTATTGTTTCCGATAGCGCTGGAATTCATGAGTCCTCACAGATATGGTGCTTCTTCACTTTCCTTTTGATACCGGCACGCTCGATCTCAGCATCCTCATTCTCAACCATTACTGTGCGATGCATGGGCTTGCTTTGCGCCGCTTATTGTCGGTCCCCACAATGACGAACAAGCCTTCCCGCGGCCACCGGCCCCGTTGCCCGTGGAGCCTCGCGTCTGGACTCCGGATATATCAAGGATGCTAGCGGGGGAGGCTCTGAGCAACTTCGGCAAGATCCACGCTGCCGCAGCTCCGCTACGATCCGGGCTACAGGTCCGCCCAGACTAGTCCGACGACTGCTTCTCCTCGGGCTCCGCTGGAACTGCTTCAATGGTCGCAGGTTCGCTCAGTTTGCTGAGGAGCCTGTCATAATAACCGCCAGATTGGGTAACCCCGCCTGCTCTTCAGCGTGACATCTTCCGCACTTGGTGCTGTATCTTCCGATCTGATGTGTTCCGACCTGATTTCTTCCGATCCGGTATGACGAAGTTCCGACAGCAGGGAGACATACAGGGCCATTTTAGAAATTATCCATTGTCGCGGTTGAGACCCCCACGAGCTGTCCGAGGGCTGACTATTTCTCTCATGTTGCTTGTACGACTTTCAACACCAGAACAAGGGTGTAGTGCCCTCGACTTGTGTGATGTGTATTATTGTTGGTACCTTTGTCAGACTTCCTCCTACTTCGGCGGTCGTAGAACAGGGTGTAGTGAATATGCTGCGCCTGTATTCGAGAGCATCTGGCGGGCAGACAGTATTCTACAGGAAGGCCTCTAAGTCAGTGCAAGTGATGTACCGTGCTTTGCTACCTGGGACTCGTACACTGGGTCGGCTCGTTACTCGCCTCGTCGCTTGAGCGTCGCCGAGTGTTTTTGCTCCGTTGATCTCGTGCACTCATGAGGCGAATTACCCCAGGGTCACAGCCTGGACTCGGCAGCGTCACAGTTCAACAGGCGACAGGTTCATCATATGCATTGGCGCGCACAACCGTTGCAATATTAATGCAGATGCCACACCGAAGTGTATTCGTTTCAACCAAATAATCTGGGCAGTCGAGGAGGGTAGCGAGACCGAGACATTCCAACGGTTGCTCGTGTGACCTCCTTCCGTCTTTGGCACACGACGATCGATGCTCGTTGCTAATGCACGTCACTGACAGTACGAAGTGGTGTATGACAAGAGTAGCCCAGCTGGTACCAGGCGTAGCCTCCACAATCTTGTCGGCGTGCTAGGAGATCACAGATGGCCACTGCTTGAGTATTTCTAAGAGTCAGCAATCGTCTGCCTCGAGAAGGGCGACGTCAGCACTAAGTTTGAGTGTGTACATGTGAGCGGCTTGTGTGGAGGGCATTAAATGGGACGGGCTTTGCGCAAGAGACCACTCAGCATCCGCACTCAAGTGACGACTTGAGACGCCATTACTTGATGCTATCAATTAAACAGTACACAATAATAACTTGTCGCTTGGCGGAAATGAGGACAGGCTGATCACTGAGGGGTTCGATGTTGCGTCCTTTTCGGAAAGTGATTCGTATGTTGGCTGTGGCTGGGTGGGCATTTTCAGGACTGCAGGAATGCGAGATGCAGTCGAGGGACAGGGCAGCCGCAGCCGAGCCGCGTGGGAGAATCAAGTTAAGCGAAGCGACAGTTGCAACCCGCAGACAATCTCCACCAGGATCTCGACTCTCGATTCCTTCAATGGGCCTGGTCAAAGTTTTGAGCTCCGAAGTTTCTGATCCACTCTTTGCTCCATGTGTGCCGAGTATGTGTACTCTGTGTTTGATGCAACTATGTACTTTATACAATAGGCCACACTAGGAGGGGTCCCATAGTCCAAGGGTCCACCCTTACAACCAATCAACTCACTTCTTCAATGTGACCGCCAAATTTTTTTTTCTGCAGTTGCTCCTTGGAGCCTCGCCAAACCGCCGCAGCAGCACCGAAAATGCAACCAACATCGTCCCCTACCAGCTCACTCCCCGCCGGCCCGCGAAACCGATCGTGACGCCGCACAGCCCCTGCCGAGCATCGCGAGACCGAAGATGGCTGGAGAGGGCAGCACCTCCTCGTCGCTGACATCCACATCGCATACGCTCACCCACCCCGCGCCCACTAGCAACGCCATGGCCGCGACCACCACCGCTCCGCTCGAGGCAGCTTCTATGCTGGCCTTTCTCGACTCCCTGAAGGCCGAAAACCGTCATGCTTTTCTGCAGCCCCCGGCGTCAATATCCACGGCGTCTCTGCACTGGGCCAAGCAGGCGCTCGATGCCTTCGCCGGGCAGGTCAGCGATGAGCAGCAGGCCGCCAGGCTGCGGGACAGGAAGAGGAAACGAGAGGTCGGGCCCAGTAGCGAGGTATTAAAGATCCGGAAGGTTCACGTGGACGGCTTCGAGACCGGCCAGGTCTGGCAGCAGACGAGAAGGATTATCAACAGTGCTCTCAGTCTGTCTTCAAATGTCTTGAAAGAGCTGGAGGAGAATGGGCAGATCCAGACAAACGGGGTCGAGTCCGGATTACCGAATGGCAACACTAAGAAGCTACTGAGTGAAGAGGATGACTCTGAGCCCCCCTCTAGCGAAGAGGACGAGTCAGCCAGCGGATCAGACGCAGAGGAGGAAGAGTGGGAAGACGCCGAGTCCCAGCAGGGCCAAAGTGAGGGCTCAGCAGAAATAGATGAGGACGACGTGGAGGATATCGAGGACATCGAAGACGAGGAAATGCAAGATGAAGATGAAGAGGACGACTTCGACGATCAGCCAGCCGACATTTACGTCGAGGATCCACACGGCCTCAACGACGGGTTCTTCTCTATAGACGACTTCAACAAGCAATCACAATACTTCGAGGACCAGGATGCCAAAGCTGATCCTTTCACGGATCAAGCAGACGACGATGACGAGGTCGATTGGCATGGAGATCCTTTCGCGCCATCCAAGGGCAAGGTTTCGAAGAATACCAAGGAAGAGGAGATGTCCGGTGACGAGGATGGGGATGACGATGAGGACGACGATGCCGGCCCGACGTTCGGCGACATGGACCTGAATGCCCCAGAAGGTGCGAGTGATGACGAGGGCGACTTGGCAGACGGAATAGCAGGGGACATGGGGCTCGATCTCACAGCGAACGACATTTTCTACAAGGACTTTTTCGCACCTCCGCCCAGAAAGGCAAAGAAGGGAGAGAAACCGAGGAAGTTCAAGCCAACGAGGCAAGGTACGCCAGACGAACGGGACATGGAGCGGGCCATGGATAACGTCCGACGGGATCTCTTTGATGATGTGTCGGATAACTCAGACGAGGAGGATGCTTTGTCAGATGCGTCTGCTGGTGATCCAAAGTCTCGACGGTCGGCACACGAACGGAGACAGGCCAAACTGTCCGAGGAGATCCGCAAGATGGAAGCCGAGCTCGTGGCCAAGCGCGCCTGGACGCTCTCTGGTGAGGCATCCGCGTCCGCACGTCCGATGAACTCTCTGCTCGAGGAGGATCTAGATTTTGAGCACGCGGGCAAGCCTATCCCGGTCATCACGGAGGAGGTTAGCGAGGAGCTCGAAGATCTCATCAAGCGGCGAATCATTGCAGGCGAGTTTGATGGAGTGCCAAAGCGGAGGCCGGACGCAGACGTGCCTGCTGACGTTCGTCGCGGCCTGGTTGAGCTCGACGATGCCAAGGCGAAACAGAGCCTGGCGGAGATTTACGAGGAAGATCACGTCAAGGCCACCAACCCAGACTCGTACGTCAGCGCCAAGGACGAGAAGCTACGCCGGGAGGAGAAAGAGATCGAGGCAATGTGGAAGGATATCTCAGCGAAGCTCGACTCCCTCAGCAGCTGGCACTACAAGCCCAAGCCGGCGGCGCCCTCGCTGCAGGTTGTTTCGGATGTCGCCACGGTTGCCATGGAGGACGCGCAGCCCACCACGGCACAGGGCGTCAGCGGAGGCGAGAGCATGATCGCGCCGCAGGAGGTGTACAACCCGACCAAGGACACGGCGGAGAAGGGCGAGGTGGTGGCCAAGAGCGGGCTGCCGGTCGCGCGGCAGGAGATGAGCCGGGAGGACAAGCTGCGCAGACGCAGGCGGGAGAAGGAGAGGATCAAGAAATCCGGCGGGGAAACGACCACGCTCGGCAAGAAGGCGCAGGAGAAGAAGGACACCATGGCGGATCTCAAGAAGGGCGGCGTCAAGGTCATCAACAGGAAGGGCGAGGTCATGGATATGGATGGCAAGAAGCCGCAGGCCACCAAGGCTGCCACAAGTGGGAGCTTCAAGCTATAAGTGCCGAGCACTACATTACGAGATATCACAGGAAAGCATCATTGACGAGCTTAGCTCTATATCCACTGTTATATGTTACTTGCATGGCATTGAGTTCTCCTCGGGTTTCGAAGACCGTCGAGATAATCGACAGTGACAGTGACTATATGTGCCTCAGCCTCTAAAGCACAAACGGAGTGGCTGATCGTGAACCACGCTGTCGTCTTGCTGCAGTGAAGATAAGAGCTAAACATACTAACACCATGCAAAAAAAAAAAAAAAAAAAACAGCTCCGCCTGGTCTGCTCAAAATGAGAAACATGAAACCGCCGTAGCTTGTCATGGAATTATGAATGAGCCTAGACAAGTGACTGACGAGATTGTACGGCCCAGATATCGTCGTCATCGAGGTGTATCTGTCCTAAGAAATTCGCCTTCGCGAATGGCTTGATGAGGACTTTCGACAATTTCTGCCATTGATACCACTTTCACAGTCCGAACACAGCCTGCTCATCTATTCCATTGAATTTCCCGAGCTTTGATGTTGTGAAAGTATCGATACGCGGCAGGTTTACCACGGCACTGTAAAGAACTCTTGCTGCTTCACCTGTTATTGCAGCAAGAGCCTTGAGAAATTGTTAGTGTTCGCCACCAAACTATAGTGACGTGCACGATCCCGACGGCACACATTGAAGGCCGCGGCTCTTGGGACCCACCCGACAAAGTCCGGCCAATCAGCTTCGCCAGGTTGGTGATCAAGCGGCGATTTCTAGCGCACCTCAATTCGCAACGCTCCCCAAGAGCGGGAGAAGACACTTTCGAGCAGCAGCGACCCTTGATCTTCAATTGCAACATCCGGTCTCCTCTCCACTCCTTTTTCTTATCCAGTTGAAGATTCGACCGGGTATCTCATATTCAGATCCACAATGTCGGGCGCATTACGGACGTCGGCCTCAATGGCCTTGAGAGGTGTGTACAGCAACACATTCCATCCAGCACTGCACTGCACAGAACCATTCCGACTTCGACACAGACCGGTGTGACATCAGATAAACTGACGGGAATCTCCTCACTGCAGTCAAGCCGACAAACTTCCTCGTTCCCTACCGCATCGCCGCCGCCTCTATCTCCTCCTCGACAAAGAACAACGCCGCACAGGTCCAACCCCACGGTGCCCACTCGACGTCGTTGCTCAAGCCACGGAAGGAGGTGCCTTTAGCGAGCCAGGAAGGCACAAAAGGCGCCGTTCAATATGTCCTGTACGTTCTAGATGCCCGGCCAAGAAGTCCAGAGCTCCGTGGCAACCGCCAAATTATAGAAGCATACGTGAGGACGGGAGGCTAACAGGACAACAACAGCACGACTCTAGACCAGATCGTCAACTGGGGGCGGCAATCCTCGCTCTGGCCCATGACCTTCGGTCTGGCCTGCTGCGCCCTGGAGATGATGCACCTTTCAACCCCGCGGTACGACCAGGACCGCATGGGCATCATCTTCCGAGCCTCGCCCCGGCAGTCGGATGTCATGATCGTGGCCGGCACGCTGACCAACAAGATGGCGCCCGCCCTGCGCCAGGTCTACGACCAGATGCCCGACCCCCGGTGGGTCATCTCCATGGGCTCGTGCGCCAACGGCGGCGGCTACTACCACTACAGCTACAGCGTCGTCCGCGGCTGCGACCGCATCGTCCCCGTCGACGTCTACGTCCCCGGCTGCCCGCCCACCAGCGAGGCCCTCATGTACGGCATCTTCCAGCTGCAGAGGAAGATGAGGGAGACTAAGATCACGAGGATGTGGTACCGGAAGTAAAGGAATTTCCCTCACAGGGGGCGTTGATGATGGTTGTGACGACTGGTGGTTGTGGCTATAGGGCGGGTCATCCGACATAGACAAGGTTGACCGGGAGGCGGTTACGGAAGAGGCGGCGTGGCTATGCCGCAGGTTGCCCAAATGGCTGTGTGCTTTGGGGACAGACGGCCTGATCTGGGGTCGAGGATGGAAATCCGAAATTACACAGCAGCTGACACATCGTGGCCGCTTTCTTTCATTTGTCACCGTGCCTCCTGTATATAACAGTGTAGCACTAGTCAGGAAGGAAACCGGGTTTCGAAACAAAATAGACGTGAATATGCAAGCCACGGTTTGTTTAGCCAATGCTACTCCCGGGCGGTGCAGCAGTGTGCAAGGAGGCGCAGTTTGCTCCTCGCTCCGTGTGCTCCGGGACATGCCAGGCATTCACTCAGACTGCCATCCTGCCCTTCATGACCAGTGTTCTCGGATGACCTTGAGCCAATAACGACCTTCAGAATACGCGCACTTGTGATAAGAAACACCCAATCAATAAGTAAAGATGATATCCGAATACCAATTGTACGAGACTCACCCGATAGGTGTCTGGGACTCAACAAGCAACCTTGTTGCTTGCAATATCCTCAAGCCTACACAGTTGGCTTTCCCCACGACGCTGGGCTCGTATCGCTGCGTACTTCCAGCAGTGTGTACTGTTTATTCTGAACCCTTTTCTGTAAGCCTGGATATATTCCGAGAGCCCGACTAAGCCTCCCACCATCTCCGTCCGCCCCCGTCCGGTCCCTACGTATTATTCCTCCTCCCACTAGCACCGTTTCCGGTCGGAAAGAATCGCCATTGGTCTTGAACATAGCAAGGGAGGCCGGTGAGATATCGGCGCTCGCCAATTTTCGGGCCAATTGCTTTTGGGAGGAGCCCTTGTCTTCTTGCTGGGTTTACTTGTATCGTATACAGTCATCAGGGCAGAGGACAGCACGGAGTGAAAGGCGCTGTCTTAGATAGGCTCTGAAGCTTTGGCTAGAGATACGACAGTCACAAATAGCGTATACGCGAAGGGCTTAGGCGGGCTATTGGGAAACTGCCCTGCGCTGCAACGGCTTGTCCGGGAACCGGGTACCGTAGACCATGGGACTCGTCTCAAGGAGGCAGACGAGGGACCTATCCTCGTCCACCACGGCAAACATCCGTCTACAGAGGAACGAATTGTCTACGATCTCTGCAAGACACAAGTGGAAGCAAAGCGTTTATAATTCCTAAAGCTTGAGAATGCCCGCCCTCGGATCCGCCCAGTTTGTCCCTCGAAACGGCGTTGCTATAAACGACAGACTCTGTAGAGACTTGTGTGTCCAGTCTCAACCAAATGTGTAGAAGAAACATCGTCCTTGTCCTCTCCAAAGCATTGCGGATGGATGATGGCCAATGTCTCCGTACGACAACAAAGAATACATGCTGCTCTGTGTCGGGTCCTTTCACGCCTGAACGCCTTCCGATAGTAGTTGTAGCCCCACTCAAGCGCTCTTACCTCTCCCCGCTTAATTAGGGCCGTTGTCTACAGCCCACCACCAATTGTTCGTCTTTCCATGCCCGAGATTCTCGAGCACAGTCTTTTCCACATAGACCAAGACACTGAAATACTTATTCTTGTCCGAAACCCATGGTCTCTTCAACCGCGATGGTGAGTTTCTGCTGTAACTGCTCAAGTGACTTGTATGGCGGCAAGTCCAAGCGGTTGAAACTGTGGGTTGGTCAGTAAAAAGACATCGAGTAAGTTTGCGAGCCTAAGGACTTGAACATACCAAGTGTGTGCCTTGGGCAAATTGTTGACCTCACCCGCCTTCTCGATGGTAAATCTACGCGGCCCATCGCTGCCTTGCAAATCCTTGAAGCCGTTGACCGGGATCCTCGATGTTCCAGTCGTGAACTGCAGCAGTCGACTCTTCTGTTCTCCGTCCCAGCTTCGCACCGTCTGCCAGAAGAACTGAATGACCTCATCACTTTCGGTGTATCCACGGTAATCTGTATGCTTCTTCCAATCGTCCACGTCGATCTCGGCGATACCGCCGATGAGTAACTCGAGCTCACGCTCATCGAACACATTGATGAGGTCTTGAGGGATGAGTTCGTGGAATCCCTCCCTGAAAGCCTGGAATTGCTCCGCAATACGTTTCTCAATCCGCCATTTGACCATCAAGTCGACATACTCCTTCTTGTTGTCATTGGTGACGTCGATGTCGCGGCCGCCCGGAATGAGATCCTCGACAGTGATCACACCAAAACGCTCGTCTTCTGTGGAGAAGGTTTGCTCCAGTATGCCACCCGAGATATCGTTGTCCAGCATCCACTGGAGAGATCTGTGGAAGTCGGCATCCACACCCTCCATGTCTGCCAGGACTACAGACTTGCCCAAGATCATCTTATACAATGCGCCAATGAAGAAGGCATCAAGGAAACGCCTGTGGAAGATAGCCAAGCCCACCACGCGCCCAATAAACTTGAAGTAATTAAGATGTTCAGGATTAATACCTGAGTGAGGGTTGATTTGAAGGGTGTAGTTGTCGTGTGCGGAATATTCGAATAGGCAGTAGAAAGGGTTAAACATCTCGTGAGAAAGAAGGAAGAAGAATTCTCGGGATAAACCGCCATAGTCGAGACCATCCTCGCCATCAAATTTAATCATCAGGCGCTTCTTCAGATCAGTAGCAGACTGGCGCGAAATTTCGGCGAATGAATCCTCGAAAATGTGCGATCGACGGATCTTGATATGGCATTGCCCGGAAAGAATGCGCATAGCCGGCTGGGAACGGAAGTAGATGAGCTTGCGTCGGAAATCGCGCTTGTATTGCGGCACGTTCTGGTCCAACGAAGATGGCAGCCGTGGGTCGTCCCAAGTCGTCGTTTTCGTGTTGTGATCGACGAAATAAACCCGAGCTGTGTTGGTAAGACGCATTTCCCATCCGCTCGGAAGGGGACCCAGTTGAGACACTGGCTGCTGCTGGATGGTCCCACTGGCGTTGTTCTGGCCGCCGTACATCCTAATGTATTGCTGCCTCCGGGGATCAACCCAAGTCGTGGTCCTGGTATTGTGGTCGACAAAGTAAGGTCGTCCCTCGGGTGTGAATCTCTGCTCCCACCCAGGAGGAAGCTCGCCCGTGCCAGGGCTTGTGGCCCCAGTATGCATCATTGTCTGAGCATTGGCACTCTGTGCGGCCTGCTGAGCCTGTAGTGTAGGGGAGCTAGAACCCGTCCTATCTTCGGGCAGTGTGCGGTTTTGATGCCTCTGTCGCTCGACTTGTGTAGACTCCTCTTGCCTCGCCGTGTTGACTGCCCCGCTGGCGCTGGGTCTGTTCCAACTCGTTGTTCGTGTATTATGGTCAACATAGTAAGTACGGCCCAGGTTGTCTTCTCGGCGCTCCCAGCCGGGCGGTAGACGTCCCTGCGCATCCTCAAAGGGGCTCAGTGTGCTGTTTCCGCGTGGTGCTGGGGCGCCATTCGGGGGTGGCTGCGATGACGACGACGGTGCTGTCATACTGGCAGGTCGGTGCGGAAGATTCGCCGGGTTGCCATTCGTACTACCACTTGGATTTCCCATGGCCGAGGTCGGGCGTTCGGACGAGCGATCGGGGTTGAGAGACCCTGCAGCGGAGGGGTGCGGGCTAGCAAGCGATGGTCGGTTATTCGCAGCTTGTCCTCTTGGTGGGCTGGACAGGTTGGTAGAAAGATTGATTATCAGTTTGCCATGGACGACGAGATTATCAGTCGACTTCTTCAGGTCTCTGGTAAGCATTTGATCTATTGCGGCACAGTTGTACGTTAGCATCATTGCGAGAAATTGTGGTTGTCAAGGGCAAAATTACCATCAGCGTCTGGAGCAAGCTCTATCACGTCGCCAATGCGAATATTGATAACACCAAGGAAGCCCTGGTCCTTCTTCTTGAACTTCTTTTGGTCAAAGACTTGGACTGCCAGAATGCTGTCCTCGTTTACTTTGCTGTGGACAGTGTTAGCTAGCAGGCTCCGGTCCCAAGCTCGAACGTCGGGTTTGCACACAAGTCAAAGCTCTCGTTCCAATAGGGGCAGAGCGTCCTCTTGGACACAGCGGTTGTCTGTGTCTGTTCGCCACTGATGGTCGCGACAGCGAACGGGTCGGGAAAGCCTGTGACAGGGTCAGTGAGGGCTTATCATGGCAGTTTGTGACTGTGTTCTCGGGGTGATGCATACGAAATACATCGCGCTTGTAAAGCCCGTCCGCGGCGATGACTGCGTCCACGTTAGTATACAGATGGGCACGTGTGCTCGCATGGGACTTTACTCGTCACTCGAAGATTGGGCTGGTTGCTGTTGATAGAGTCTCGTCAGTGAGTGGTCTCATGGACAGCAGCATCATCACACCGGGCCTCTGCAGTCTGGGGTCTTGGGGTGGGATGCTGCTCGCGTGGGCCGGGGTAGGATGAAACGTACGCAGGAAGCCCGGAATCGTTTCGGCGACTCATCTTTGCAGTGGCAGCAGGTTGTCCTGCTGTCCTCGGGGTCCTCCTCTCGAAGTCAAAAAAAGAGATGGAGGGATCAAAGGACTAGACAAGCAAAAAAATGGCTCAGGAATCCACCTGGTTGGAAGGAAAAGGAGTAGCCAGGCGAGGACTGCAGGATGGACGGGCGCTAGATTGCTGACAATGACGACTTGGTACGGTTCAAGGGCGACGCAGGCGAGTTGAGGCTGTGCTCTCTCGGGCCCCCCGCTCTCCCAGATGCTCGAACCAATCCCGCGGCCAAGTCAGATCTATCAATAATGGCAGCAGAAGGGTGCGAGGCCAGAGGGGGCTGGAGCGGACAGCTGCAACTGTTGTCGGCGGGGTTTCGATGCGGATGGGTGCAGCAAGAATGCGGCGAATCGCTGATGGATGGAAGGCGTCAAAAATGTCAGACGGGGGGGGAGGTGACAGTTGAAGGAGGAGTGGGTATGTTCCAGTTCCAAAGCCAGCCAGGCAGCCCACCCGCAGGCGAGATGTGCCTGCACCGACTATGGATGGGGACGGATGATGAGGTGAGCACGGAGCACAGGGCCACTGGCAGTCTGGAACTCGCACTGGGCCAGGACTGCCCCAGGGGCGGGAACGACCTCGGGAGGGGTGCCAAGGAAGAAGGAAGTTTGCCGTGCACCAGCCGTGGCAGTGAGTTACCAGCTCTGGAAGGACTGGCCACACCTTGTCAGGCGCGCCCTGCCTGTTGTGGCCCAAACACGCTTCATCACCATCCCAAGGTTCATGCGACTCCGTTGGCCAGGCATTCAGTCCGTCAACACATCCAGCCAGGAGTGGGCTTTCGAGCAGAAGATGTTGTGTGACCTAGTGTGTGTTTATTTGTATGACAACCTTAGGATTAGCTATAATTATTCCTGACTGCCTAGGCACGCTTCGTGCTGGTCTAAACATGTGTTCCTCTTATATATCAACGTTGATGCGGCATGTCTTGCCCTCAACTACTGGCAGTCCAGCCACACACAACCTTTGTTTAACAACCTAGTTTTAGGTTCCGCCCTTCTCTTCCTCCCTCCCTCTTGAGGAATCGTAGGTTGTGGCTGTCACCTCTATCAGCTGTTATACTCGTCATTAGACTCTGCTGCGCTGCACTGGGCTTGCCTGGTGGAGCAGCCTATGACGTTAACGTGCTTCTCTCAATCCGGGCTGGCGGGTAGAAACTGGAGGGTAGCCTCATATCAGCCTTGTCTCACATAGCACCTTTGAAGGCAACATTTGACTTTCTCCTAGACAACCTGGGAGTCCCTTGGGCAGCTTAGCACGTCTGACAGGGACGTGGAGGAGCCCGTCTATACCAACGTGGTGACCCACTATTAGGGGGAGACGGCAATTACAAGGTCCGCGCCCAACTGTGAAACCAGTACACAACTTTCCACACAGGCAAACTTGTTGCGGCAATGCCCTAACATACCCCTAGATGGCTATACCTATGTATCGTGGATTCCATTTGTTAAGTCAAATAATGCAATGGAGAAGCCTGTCCTTTTCCCCCTTTAACCAGATACGCCTTGGGCAAAAGCAACCGCAACCATCGCTTCTGGCAGGCCGAGCCATGCAAGCTCAAAGTTTATCATACACCCAGCGGTTTCTCGTGCCACCTCAGCTATGCCGTCTTCTTGGAGCCCTAATTGGTTTCGCAGGGAACACCACAACCAACCACTTCAATAGGGTGCAAAGCCACGGGGTGCGCCCCTAAAGCCTCCACGGTAGCCTCCGCGGTAGCCGCCTCGTGGCACAAATCCGCCTCGTCCACCGTAGAAACCCGGGGCTCCACGGCCACCTCGGAATCCGCCTCTTCCGCCGCCGCGCCCCCTGCTCATGCCTGGCACGTTGGTCCTCTTGGGGACGACCTTGATGTTGCGGCCCTTGAAGACGCTCTCGTTAAGTACGAGGGCTTGGGCGACCAGGCTCGGTTCGGTGAATTCGACATAGGCATAGCTGCAGCATCGTTGTCAGCAGGGCCGCTGTAGGGAGAGATGGAATGGTACAGCACATCGACTGCACACTCACCCCTTGGGTTGCCCGGTGAACTTGTCCAGCAGGATTGTGACACGGTTGATGGACCCGCAGCTCTGGAAGTGCGCCTGGATCTCCTCGGGAGAGGCCGAGTAGTCGACGTTGCCGACGAAGATGCTGCGGCTGTCGACGTCGGTCTTGCTCTCCTGGGCGTTCTCGGCCTGGTTGTCCAGGCTGGCTTGCATCTCGCGGAGCTTAGCGGCCTCCTCTTCCATCTCTGCAACCCGTCGCTTCATTGCAGAGATCTCCTCCTAAAAGCGCCAGCTCTTGTCAGATCTTCTTTTTTTTGATACGCCAGAATCACCGTATCTTGTAGTAGCCCACCTCTTCATTGCCCTCTTCCTCGGCAGGGCGAGTCTCCTCCTGGACCTGTTCCTCTGGCTTGGCGTCGTCCATGTTTGTATCCTGTCGTTAGTACGGTCGAATGTAATCAGAAGCAGAAAGAAGAAGTGAAGGGAACTGTGAATGGGAGTTAGCAGGAGCCTTGCGCGCAAAGGGAGACGGTTTCTTTGTTGCGGGGGCCGCCTATGGCCAGGTAACCAGACGACTCAGCTTGCGCCACCTGTCGTCGCTCTCGGGATGTGCACGGCGCAGAATGTGTAGGAGTCGGAATAGTGAAAGGCTGGCTTACCTCCAAAGACGGGATAATACAGGTCGAGTTCAGGGACCCTTCACAATGAAAAAGTACGAGGCGAGCCTGGGATGACGCGGAGGGGAAAATGGCAGTCAAGTGTTGACTTGAAATGAAAGGCTCCGGGCGCGAGGCTTATCGCTGATAAGAAGACCCGGTCTACGCGCTACTAAAGTACATCGTTTGCAGGGATGTTTGATATTTTGCCAGCAGCATCTACCAAACACCACCCGAGGACGACGCATAACTGGAACTTTCGCTGGTTGAACAAAAACGGCAATTACCGACGTGAGAAGTAAAACTTGCCAATGATGGCATCAACATCATCATAGGATTTTTCAAGAGGACCATCTTATTCACTGCATATATTCACCTGGTCGCCGCGGTCCTTTCAAAGGAGATTGATGATGAGGCTGTTCACAGCAATGTCAAGTATAGAACCTACTGCGCATAATCTTCAGTGGATTCACATCTCGTATGAATCGTTTATGTATCTCACAGGATAAACAGTAAGATGTACTTGCAGAATTGGCTACTCTTTTAGTCTAGTTCTAATGATGCTTCAACGCCCGAGCTCTAGGGGGGAGGGGGGGGAGCTGTTACGGTCGATTTCCTACAGCATGCCTCCCTGGCTTCGTCCCAGGTGTGCTTCGTTTGTAGAAACCCCTCTCCTCCGTGTCCAAACATTGAGCTATAAAGCACCTGGTGGCCTCCAACGCATCTCTTGATCTATACCCAAAGGCCGTCCATCACACACATCGTTTGTCCTTGCCACAAGAATCTCACCTAGAGGCACCATGGCTTTGGTACCTCCTGTTGACAAGGATGGCTTCTCCTATGCGGGAGACTCGCTCTTTCGAGAAGCCAGCAACCTCAACCGCCACCGTCGAGCGACAGTCTCGGAGCTGAAGGTACACTTTGCAGGCAAAGACACCGATAACAGGCCTGCTCACTGGTACGAGGCTCAATTGCTTCACTATGGTCTTCCTGGCAGTAAAGTCAAGGGCATAGCTTTTAAACGTCGTAAGTTGCTTCTAAACCCTTACTCGTAAGGCAGTCCCACCAGTTCTAGGCCATCATGCGAATATGTCCAGTGTGTTCTGAGCAAGGCGTTCGTGAAAAGGCCTGTGGAAGAGATGTGTTCACTGTCATACGGTGGCGTGTGGTTCGACAGCTGACTCCGTTTGTCTCAGTCTTTGATGCTGTGATGGCTAAAGGCGGTCTCACCGTGCCAGCTCACATCCAGAAAATCGAGGCAGATCTAAAGAAGGAGTGGAACAAGAGAGAGCGGGAGGCCAAGAAGGCCCACAAAGAGTCCGAGGGCAGAGGCACCAAACGCAAAGCTGACCAGGTTTCCACCAATGTCAGCGTCAACGTCTCTGTCCAGGTCTCCAGCACTGGAGCTGTCCAGGTCCAGGCTGCCCAGCCGTCGACGAAGAAGTCAAAGGCAGGTCCAACGGGAACGGTCACCTCTCAGAAGGCTGCAAGCTCTACCACGCCCAAGGGGAAGAAGACAGCGACTCCTGCGGCCAAGAAGGCGGTCACTTCCTCCACAACCACAACCAAGGCTAAGAAGGCACCTGCCACCAAACCTGAGAAGGCCAGCCCTGCGCCAAAGCCAATCAAAGCTGCCGACAAGAAACCAACTCCAAAGACGCCTCGCCCATCCAAATCAAGTACTACACAGGCGTCTGGATACATGATCGGAGGATCGAGCGGAGGTTACGACGATGCTCCCCCTCCTTACTCTGAGACTGATCCTGGTTGCGGTCCTGGATTCCAGGCCAGCCTTCAGCGGTCTATCGGTCTGCTCAACGGAAGATACGAGGTTGACTGCCCGTACATGGCGCACAATTTCCCCGAGTCCAGTGACGACTTTGGTATCATCGCGACGCTAGACGGCAACAAAATCTGGTTGAAGTTTGACTTCGGCCCAGTTGTCGGAATCATGAAGGTAGACCGACCATACGAGCCGGATGAGGATGAGGTCGGAGCTACGGTGCTGTGGCGTGGGGAGTCCGCCGTCGAGCAACAGGACATCAACATCGACACCGTCCCTCGTGCCGGCGAGGCGAATAGGCTGTATTTCTTGGGCGGTGGTCACATGCGAGGCACGATTGCATACGACTGGCGAGTAATCGAGTTCGATGCTTACCGAATCCCAGGCCAGTCTATGACCTCCGAAATCAGCCCCAGTCAAGCACGAGCCGAGTGGGCGAGACGGGGCCAGCACTGGTGAAGGGCGTCAGGTCGCAGAGGAGGCAATATCACTGGGCATGGCAAAAGTGCTTCTTACTGTGAAATGAGGTCGGCGTGATGGTCTTGCATTGTCACGGCGCAGCAGGTTGTCTTAATCTCGCACATCGCGCCGTCATTTGATAGAGGCGGTCTTTTACAGTATTTTAGTCACCCTGAAATGTTGAGATGCTGGACATGGAGTCAAGATCTTGGCCCCACTTCCATCGTGGAAAATGGTCAACAAATATGTTATGGTACTCGTATCGATTTGTCAGTTCAGACCCGGTTTTAGAATCGCCAACAAACTCAAACATAACCTCGGGAACCAGCATGTAAGACATGCAGCCCCCGCAGGTACGCCCTTCCACGGCTGGTCGTAAGCTACGGTACCTAGGCACGCTAGATGACTTCATTGGTCTGTAAGACCTACGACCAAATATGAGACTCACACATCAACAACAACAGCTCAGAGAACCAACCTGCATAAACTACCAACAACCTTGAAGAAATAATCGCCGATCAAGTGTGACTGGTCTCGGTCTCTGGTCTTTTGTAGCAAGGACAACTCATAAAAGCTACTCGTCTTCTCGTCTTCCCAACCAGGCATCTAGCCAGCCCTGACAATATCTCATCTCATTCAGTCAACTCACTCATCAGAAACCAGCATCATGGCTCCAGAACGCCCCCAGCCCAAGTCCAAACTTCAGGAGTTCTTCCCAAACACCAAGCTCCCCATCATCATCTCAGCCCCCATGCTCGGCATCTCAAATGGAACCCTAGCAGCACACGTATCCAAGGCCGGCGGCTTCGGCATGGTCCCCGGCGGGTTGGACTTCAAACCCGGCAGCGCTCAAGTTGCCGCCCTTGAGAACGAGCTCAAGACCGCCCGCTCGGTGCTGGGGCTGACCGAGATGACCCTTACGCCCGCGCCGGTCGGCGTGGGCTTCCTGACCTTCGACCAGTCCGTCGTCCACTTCCGCCAGACCGTCCTGCCGATTCTGGAGAAGTACCTGCCCCAGGCCGTGTGGCTGTTTGCGCCTGATCAGAAGGCCGCCGAGAGGGCACACCCTGACATCATCGAGGCCTGCCATGACCACGGGATCAAGGTGTTTGTGCAGGTCGGCACCGTGGCTGCCGCGAGGGAGGCTGCGAGAGATGGGGCGGATGTCATTGTGGCGCAGGGCGTCGATGCTGGCGGGCATCAGTTCGCCGCGGGAGCGGGAGTGGTCAGCCTTGTGCCGGAGATCAGGGCTATGTTGGATGATGACTTCATGGGCAAGGACATCGCCTTGGTAGCCGCTGGTGGAATTTCAGATCCGAGTGCTGTAGTGGCTGCGATTGCCTTGGGTCAGTGTACTGCCTTTCGTATTCTTTGCCAGAACAAACGAGAAGCTAATGGTTATGCAGGAGCTGATGGTGTTGTCATGGGCACGAAGGTTAGTCTTGGTCATCCCTGGCGACAGCTGTGTGACATAGGTCCTAACTATCAGGCTATAGTTCATCCCCGCGAAGGAGTCGAACGCACCGGAACACAATAGGAAGGCCATTCTCGAGACCCGAGATGGAGGGAGCACAACCGTAAAGTAAGGACGTTGCCATGATGTGATTTCTACTTCGGCGCTGATTCGGTCAAATTGATAGGTCAACTTTCCATGATGAGCTTAGGGGTACGACTTTCTGGCCAGAGCTGTATGATGGCAGGGCTATCATAACCCAGTCTTATAAGGACCATCTCTCGGGTATGTCTATCGATGAGAACAAGACAAAGTTTGACGAGGCAAAGAATGCTGGAGATGATTCAAGGCAGATGACATGGGCGTAAGTTCAACCATATCGAACACTCTCTTCCTACGATTACTGATGAATTGCAGCGGCACGGGTGTTGGCTTGGTCAAAGACGCAATTCCGGCGGCCGACATCGTTAGGAATACGAGGGAGGCAGCGAAACAAAGACTGCAAGCTCTCAGATTCGCTTTTGATGACGAGGGCAAGGACTCAAAGGACAAATCATGGGTCAAGGAGTTGGGCCACACTCTATACAAACACAAGTGAGCGGATGAGGACAATTTTAGCCAGCAATGAGGCCCAGTCGAGAACGTGGTTCCATCAGGTTGTTCCTGACCGTCAAGCCTGTCTGTGTAGGATCGTCATGAAGTAAGCTCGGCGACTTGTTTCTGGACAGATTGCTTAATTTTCTTCATCCCCGCATCCATTTTCATGTGAACTTCATATGGAATGTACAAATGCTTGCGGCGATTTAGAGCGCCCTGGGCTGCTCGTAGACGATGTACTCCTATGTCCCCAGCCATCAATGAGCTTTTCCAGACAGAAGAGATTGGTCTCATGTGTATCTCGCTCATAACGACGACTTGAAAGCTCATAAATGGCTCAAATGAGATGCATCTTGCGGACAAGGCCATAATAAACTGGCCCCTACGTTTCCAATACTCAGGTTACTCCCTCGAGTAGACCTGCCGTCCTCCCACCCACGTCTCCTTCACTTTCAGGTGACGAATGTCCTCAACATCTAAGTGCTCCCAGGGCTCATCCAGGACGACCCAGTCGGCCATTGCCCCTGGCTGTATCACTCCAGCCTTTCCGTCAAGAAAAGCACCATGAGCAGGACCCTCCGTGAAACCCACCAGCGCCTCGCGAAGCGTCAGCGCCTCCTCAGGATACCAGCTGTCCAGACTTCCGCCTTTACCCTTGCCTGTATGGGGACTCTTCCTGGCGACAGCCGCATAGATGCCCTCGAAGGGGTTGGGGGGCTCGACTGGGAAATCACTCCCCAGCACGGGCCGTAAATCGAGCAAGGAGTGCATCCTGTAGGCCTCCCCGGCGGTTCGCTCGCTTCCCAGTCTCAGCTCAGCGTAACTCATGTCTGAAGTCGCGTGGGTTGGCTGAATTGATGGAATAATTCCCATAGAACGCATACGCGCCTGGTCGTGAGGATGTATTATCTGTGAACTATTCGAGCCGCCGATCAGTAAGACTTCGAAACTTGTTGGCTCTGTAAGTGTTCCTTGGGGTGTAAGGCCGCAGCTTGAAAGGATCCCAACAATCTGCGTGTAACTTCGTTTCAAGCAGAAAAATTCCTATAGGGATAATCTCTTATATGGCTGTGCTCCTTTCTATACCAGTGAAGTCACTGGCAAGCCTGTGTATTTCTGCGAGCTGTAGTCTCTCCTCCAGACAAGATGGCCGCCTGGAGGTGGAATCGATGCTTGAAAATACAGTGATGCTAGACGTCAAGGGAATGTATCTTACTGCTCTATTCGGAAACGGTACTTAGCCTGGCAGACTGACACCATTTGTCCTGGGCAGAGATCGATGAGTGCGGCTTCCATTGCATCAAGAGCGAGACGGTTCGCGAGATCTTTCCACTTTGTCAGCAAACCATGTCTCAATCCTCGCAAGTGCCTTTCGAGCACTGCCTTATATAGAAGACGCTTCCTGAGAATGGGGCTCTTGCAACGTTCTCAACTGAGGAAAGGGGGCATGGAATAGTACGAACCACCGATGGCGTGAATGTTGACTTGGTAGCCTTCTGCCGACCATGACCTTGCCAAGGAGGTGAGTGTGGATGCATTGACAAGAAGCGAGCCTGACGTATCCAGGCGATCGGAGTAGGGCTCGATCATCGCGCTTCCCCAGCTACCCAGTGCTCCATCTGTTGCACAGGTCAGCATATTTCCGGATACCATGAGTGACTGCAGCTGAGAAGTGACAAGTTAGGCACGCACCGGCGAAGAGTTTGACGCTTTTGACGCTAAGAAACCCATCACCATCGGTGAACGCGGATACTTTCTCTGGACAAAACGTATTCCTTTCCTCGCATTCGATCATAGCATAGACACGCAACGACCAGTCATCTGCACTGAGAATTTTCTTATACAGCTGCAGCTCATTAGTAAAGACACCCGCATCATGTATACCTACAAGTCCAACCGAGTGGAGGCTTTCCATCGCGGACTTGAGGAAGGTTGCCTTTCGAGCGCCATCTGGCCGTGGCCAAAACTTCATAACGACCTCCATAGCATTGTCGCAAAATACGCCCATCCCAGGCTCGCGGACAATCTCTCCGCCAGGAATATCAGGCAAGTCGTCCGGCAGCAGATCTAGGACCGCTTGGGAAACCCAGATGCAGTGAACATCAACGCGGTCCAGCATTATGTACAGCCCGCTGAAGTCGGCAAGCATGGCCTAACAAGACGGACAAAGTCAGAAAACATACGGTTGCTTTGAAGGCCACACTTACTGCAGTTGGCATTTCCCCCAATACCATCTGGTCCCAGCCGACGCCCCTGATCCAGTTATCCCTGGAGCCAACGCCCTGATGTGCCGAAACATAGGCTGTCAGACGGTCCGTCGCCTCTTTTATTGATTTGGATCCGAACAGGTCCACGGAATGGAGAAACTCTCCATACTGAGCCAAATGGCCATGCTGCCGAGCTATCAGTCGCTAATGAAGGGGTCTTTTTGGGCAAGACCTCTTACACCATCCCAAAGGCCAGGAATGGCATGGCCTGGGCGAAGCTCGACGGGATTTGATTTGGGTTTGAAGACCTCACCAAAAACCCCGTCCTCAACGGTGAAGCACGATGCCGAAGCTTGAGTTGAGAATTTAGCCGTGATGCCCTGCGAATAGCAAAATGTTTGGACCTGGGGAGTCGACGTGAAGACCTCTTGGAGTGGGCCTTGAAGCCCAAGGTAGACCGCCACCACCACCACGGCAAATGACAGCCAGAGGCCTCCTCTTAAGAGGAGAGAAGGCATATTGGAGAAAGTTCAAATGGGAATATGGTCAGGCGAGAAAGAGTCACATTGCATATGTAGTTTCGCGTTTGATTGAGCAGGAAAAGAATTGAGGTTGTCCTTAATCAAGTCGTTGACGGTGGGGATCGTTGATAGCAGATAAGGTTGGTGTTACTGTGCCCATTGACCCTGCCTCTGTTGGCGGGCATGGATCAACTCTGGACATTTCCAATGACGTATCAAGACTTCAGACGTCGTCTCTTGGCCTTCATTCAGCAACAGTTCCTGAGATATGTCTTGTCAAGGTTCTTGGATCTCGCAGCAGGACGTCAGAATGCGTTTGCACTTCTGTGATTGAAAGCCTTCTCCAAGCTTTTCCCATCCTGGCACCGCCCAACAAATTTGAGAAGGCAACATCCAGGATGCAGTAAACGAAGTGAACAGTCCACTCTTCAACTGCATTGATCATTGCCAATCCTGAAACTGCATCACAGCCGGTTTCTAAGGAGACAGGCCGTCATCCACAGAGTACAAATGTCGAAATTCCTCTGCATGGGTACGCGCAAGACGTCTCCGGAGCAGGCTTTGAATCGAGGTAAAAGGATCTTTGGATGCATCCACATGTAGTCGTGAGAGACGTCTTCTTGGAATACAGACATTTACAGCTCCTGGGGCCCTTTCAACCTTATGTCTGTTTGTCCAAAAGGGCACTTGTTGTCCACCTTGGACGGAGGCTCGAAAGTTCTGCACACGAATCCAGGCACTTGCCATCATCATCCAAACCTTACAATTTCATCCCCCGACGGACCTCTTGCGCTGATGGCTATCCAGAAGCGATGACATTATGCAAAAAGACGATGGGCCTGACGAGCGCATTCGGCGTGATCTGGGGACTGGCAGGCAACGATCAATGTGGACGTTGGATCCTTTCTTGACGAGAAATTAAGACTCGAAAAAGCAGAGACGGGTCTCAATAACTCCGTTGCATTCCATGATTACTTTCAACACCCACAAGTATGCCTGACTGCAATATCAGGCCACCAAGCCGCGACTTGAAACTGGTCACCCACTTGCAGCATGCGTCTGACCTCCTGCGTCAATGATTGCAAGGGCTCGATGCACCGTTTGATGCTCTTAAAAGACATCTCGCCGTTGGACCAATGGTTTAACGGAAAGTGAAAAGAATTGTCTGGATGGACCATGCTGATGACTAGATAGACGGTCGATCTGCCTGCCAAGGGTCCAAAGTGTGCGTCGAAGGGGTGGAAGTTCAGGACGAAGCATCGTGGATCGATAGCGAAACGGGCCAGGTTGGGAGTGTGAATGGGTCAAGGACAAGCAAGGAGAAATTCACGGTCTGGGAGATTTACCAAGAAAGCCATCGGTAAGCGTCCGAAGCTCAAACAGCACTTGGCTGATACGTCTCATCAGGCCAGACCAGCACTTCAGGCATGAGAAACTGGCACACAATGAGGGACCGTCTACCGTTCGAATCCTTCAATGTGGGGATCTCAACAATGCAGACAGACCAAAGTACGTCGTGGCAGAAGCCGTACGTTACAATCCGCGACTGTCCAGTGGAGATTCACAACCGGGACTGATCTGCTGCCCAATTTAACACATCCGCAGACGATTCGAAATCGGAAGGGGCTTCGGTAAACATTTTCATGACCAAACAAGGCGTTGTTGGAAGTTGAAAAAGCAAAGGAGCCATTCTCTGGAAGAATATCACTCAGCCCTTAGAACTGAAGACCTTACTGTCTGGTTGCCTTCCCTTGCCGCTGTCTGAAATTGAGGATAGTCAGAAGTGAGGGAGTTGCCCACCTCGCAAATATCAAGGCTTGAGCTGCCTTTACACCAAAACCCATGCAACTCCAAAGTCGATGACCCGACATTGGCGCATCTTTGTCATGCCGAGGCACGAGACACGGAGCTCATCACCAAGTTCAACATCGCCCGAAGCTCCTCGCGCAGGAGGAAACGGGGTTTGCGCACAACCTCTAATTTTGTGACGACTCAAAAGGAATGTGGCGGCGCATTCCTTCGACTTCGCTGCGTGCACGCGGACCTCCATGGCTGCTGCATTTTGATCGGGCTTTCCCTTGGCAACGCGAATCATAGGCGGAAAAACTTCCTCGGATGGGCAAATGCACCTGCTCTTTACTGCTCGTGTATTCCTGATGTCGAGGAATCCAACGACCATAATACACGCCACAAAGTGTGGCGGGGAAATGAGATTCAAGCTGTCTTGGAGAAATGGCGAGACAGGGCCAAGCCTACTGTGGTAACTCGCTGCTGTCTCTTCATCTGGCCCAGGAGAAAGTTTGGTAGCACAGGGGCTAAATCATTTGGCTTTCCCTCTCCCGTGGTCGCCAAATTATTGATTGAACTCTGACCCGAAGTCTAAGCGCATGACAGTTCGGCCCATCCGCCCACGGTTCAGCCGGCCACGGAGTCCATTTTGGCAGAAACCTTCGACCGAGAGATGGCCGGGTCAATCGATCGGATCGGGGTTGCAGGACTTCAGTGACTGCCTCCATCCCTTGAATCTCCAGCGGCGCGAAATAGATGAAGCTGCTCACCTTGGCAGCCGTCCTGTAGGCTAGGCACGACGGGTTCCGTATATCCGAACTACCGGGACCGTCTCGGGGGACAAGCTTTCAACCTAGAACCTGCAGATCGAGCACTGGCGTTCGCACTTGACATGCACTTCGGAACGATCCGACAGAGGCAACTCTGGCGCACTGATGAACAAACTGTCATACCAATCAACATCACAGTACAAAACTCTTGGGCATTCAAGATTGTCATGGCTGAGGTGATCAGAGCATGTCAACTACCACCCCGCCTGCGGTAGATGACCAACAAGCCATATAGGCTGATATGATCGGAACGTTGCTCCAATATACCTGGCGAAAAGAATGGTTCAGAACGACGCGATGTCTCATAGAATATATGGCCTGCATGGCCGAGGCAGGCTTCATCTAGGCTCGAACCAGCCTAGCAGTAAAGGAGCGAGTCGTCGGCCAGCATCAGAGGTGTCAATATCACTCTAGGCCCGTCTGTGGTGTCTGGTTTGCCTGTTTACTGTACCATGCTTGCTGATCGTCAAGCGGCGTTCGCCAAGCAATGTGCCGAGGCGAGCTCTATATGTGGTGATTGGCGGAAGATCTCGGCTTGAAAAAGTCCAGAAATAGGGGAATTACGGCAGAAATCAGTGGTCCAGATTCCGGACCACCCCTCGCCCCACGTTCTTCCCCAACCTTCTGGCCTGGGGAAACTGGTCTGGAGCACCTGGGCAGGCCTGCCAGCAAGGGCCTAAGGTGTGTCTGTCACCCACCTGCCCATGGGATCAAGCTCTTTGCCTAGGCAGTGTAGGTTACCCCGCGATGTTACGTCCCCTGTTGTGACTCGGCACGCGGGGGGCTGTCGGAGCCTCCTCGCTGCCTCGCCAGTTGGGAATTTGGATCTCTGCGGACCAAAGGTGCGCGTATCCTCGAGCCACCCATCACCAGTTGTTGCCCACCAGCCCGCCAGACCATGTGGATCGACCACAGGCGGGGCGGGTCGCAGGACTGCATTGCATCTCCACCTGCAGCCCTCACCGTGGGCGACCACAGCAGATCTCACTGGCAAATATTCGCCTTGATCACCAGTTTGGGTCAATGGGCCCACTACCTACACCACGGCATATTTATCTCTAGTGGGGGGGGAACTGCCCTGTGCCCATGCTTGAGAGGCTCATCGACACCTACGGCGACCTGCTGCGCCGAGATCCGTGTTGTAGATCTGTCGAGCTTCACTCATGTGGTGGAACCTTGGAGTGCTCGCAGCCGCGATATGCCAGGGACTGGACATCGGCAGAGGTCATCGTGGTGCCCAGCCTTGACCAGCTTAACAGCGTTCCTTGTATTGCATGTGCTCAGTGTAAACCTGGCGGGCAACCTGGAGTTTCTCCTGGCAATGTTTCGTCGAGAGCGGTCGTAGTAACCTGATGCCACAGTGTACCCTTGTCAAAACCGCCGATATCTCAATGAGCTTATTTCCTGGCTAGGTCAGGGATAATCGTTTCCAGCGTCGGCGAAATATTCTGGCTGACTCCTTGGCACTGCGACTGCTCGGGTCCCTGATGCGGGAAGCCGACTACTTCTACTTACCCACTACTCCAACATCACATCATCCGGCCTCCTGACATCTACTTTCCCCTTCAATCCCACACGCATTCGTCCGGCCTGTCAGCTTGCAGCACACGCGATAGCCCCTCGCAGACTTCCCGGGCTTTGGACTTGCGTGACTCCCTCATAGAAAGACGGTCTGGACCCGATGTCACGAGATCGGTCTAGAGCGGCAATGACATGACAGGAATGCGCCGGAATCATATCAGGAATAACGTCGCCTCTACACACCAACCAGCGTCGACCAATTGACGCTGCCAGCTCCAAACAACCTATAGAGAATTTCTCCAGGCCCTTCCTGTCGCTTGGCTCTGCATATCCAACCACAATCTTCGGGGCTAGGAGGAGATCCTGATCCGCGCCGCCTGTCAGTCAACTGGCCAAACTGCATACCATCTATCGTTTCACGAGGAGCGCAGCTTGTCGCGCACCACCGAACAACAAATCCGAGCGAGATTGGGCTGCTTGCTTGCTGCCTAGTACGGCTCAATACAACTCGAAAGCCTCAAACGGAACAGTCTTTTGAATAACTTGTGTTCTTGCGGTCCGCTATCTTTATCTGCCGCCACGCGTCCCCCCCAAAACCTGTCCAACCCGGGCTGTTGATCTTGGAGTCAGGGCTCCAGCTTTCCGCCCCGCTCTGTACAATCTTTTCCATTAGAGGCCACTTTGCCATGCGCCTTTGGGAACACGGAGGAAACTTACGATTGCAGTGGCCAACTGAACAGTGCCGCCACCGTGATTCTTAGCCTTGGGTACTGAGAACAACACACATAAGTCGGCAAGGTGACTGGCTTCTGCTCGCTGCCCTGATCTGCTGCTATCAAGGCGACATCACTCGCACACCTCGCAGGGCTCTCGACTGGCTGGAGTTGCGGAGGGGAAAAGTATGACGGCGGTTCAGCAGCTTGAACCAACGCCGACGCCGGCGAGACCCAGGAGTATGGTGACCGGGTTTTCTCACCACAGTGATACCGAGATGGAGATGAACGGAAACTCACCGCCCATCATGAATACCACCACATTTGGCAGTGGACCTCAGAGAGGCGACACGAGGATTGTGGTTATCGTCTACGGACCCGGACAAGACAAGATCGTGTCCGTATTCGCTGAGATCTTGGGAAAGCCTTCAAGATTCATCGAGGCTTTCAAGGACGTCAACGAGGTGGATCAAGGACTCGTTGTTGGAATACCAGCAGATAAGGCGAAGGCAGACGTTGCAGACCGTGACCGAGCGCTTGTTGTGGCTATCAACGCGCACTGGGTGAACCTGGGCATGCCACCGGACGTCCTTCTGTCTGCGCAGTGCGACTACGAATTTCTCTACACCGAAACCCCATTCTTTCGGCGCGACCTGTCAAGGTTCATCTCCTTCACCTTGGGCCAGCTCAACCACCACGAGACACTCATGGCGAAGTCAAGGACATACTTTATATCAACCACCTTCCCCGATGTACGGGCAGCTCTTCCAAATCTGGACATTCTGACTGTTGGCGCCGACGCTGTTGAGATCCGAGTCGATCTGTTGAAGGAACCGCTAGGAGACGGCACGTTCTCGGACATACCCAGCCTGAGCTACGTTGGTCAACAGGTTATGCTCTTGCGACAGAGCACCGAGCTGCCCATAATATTCACGACAAGATGCACAAAAGAAAATGGACGGTTCCCCATGGATGACCCCAACATCTACTACGAATATCTCTACAGGGCCATTCAGTGGGGCGTAGAGTATATCGACGTCGAACTCTGGCTGCCAGAACCCATCAGGAAATCGCTCTGGGAGCGACGAGGGAGCAGTCGAATCATGTCTGCGTTCCACGACTTCTCTGGGACCTTCAAGTGGCCTTCGAGCCACGCCGAGCAAGTGTTTGTGGAATCCCGAAAATACGCCGACATCATCAAGATGATCGCGATCATCAACGATCACAACGAGAACTTTGAGCTTGAGTATTTCCGATCAAAGATGAAGGCCGACTACCCAGACTCGCCACCCTTCTCGGGCGTCAACATGGGTGAGACTGGCCAATTCTCAAGAACATTGAATAAAGTCTTCACACCCATCACGCATCCGCTACTGCCCATCATAGCCGCACCTGGCCAGATGAGCGCGGCCGAGATCAACGCAGCCCTGTCTCTTCTCGGCCAGCTTCCCAAGAAGAATCTCTACGGCATCACCAGCCCAGCCAGCCGCAGCGCGACGCCACAGGCCCCATTCTACGAGAAGTGCTTCAATGAGCTTGGCTTACCGCACCATTTCGCGGTGGTGGAGAGACAACCCAAGGGGAACAGCGGCCTGGACGTGTGGTGCAACCAAAAGAACTTTGGCGGCGCCTACCTCCAACCGCCAGTCTCCTTCCAAAGTCTGGTCGGGAGTAGCCCCTTCTTCGCCTCCATCAACGGCGGCGCCGGCCCCATCCTCAGCGAAGCGGCCCGAGTCATCGGCATGGTTGACACAATCGTTGTGCGGCCGGGGGCTTCATCACCATCGCCGTCTTCGGCTCCAGCGTCAATACCCTCGAGCCCGCGGAACGGGCACGCGAGGATGGACTCTCTTGGGCACCTAGGCGACTCGGGCCTGTCACCAAACACGACGCTGATATTCGACAATGCACTGTGGCGCGGCGTCCTCAGCACGCTGACGCGCGACCTCGCACCGTCAGCCTACTTCGGGAGGGCGGCCGTCGTGCTCGCTGCCTCGTCCGACGACGCCGCAAGCGTCATCTTCGCCCTGAAGGCCCTGCACATCGGCAAGATCTACACCGTGGGCTTCAAGACGCCGCCCGCGCTGGCCTACGGCCTGACCATCGAGCCGTTCAACTCGCTCGAGTCCCTCCAGCGGGCCCGCATGGTGGGTGCCACCGACGACGCCGCGTCGCCCTTCGTGGTCGTCAGCGCCCTCGGCCCAGAGAAGGCCAACATCGTGGGCATGCTGATCCGGGTCTTTGGCGGAGCCAAGGGCCCAGGGACAGGGAGCCCGCGGAAGGTGTTCCTTGACCTTGCCGACGGCGGCGTCGGCGTGCCTCGCAAGGCTGACCCGGGAATCGTCGCTGAGCAGAGCGGCTTCACGGCCTACGGTGTCGCTGACACGGCCGCGTTCGCGACGGTCGAGACGCTGAGGCTGCTGGTGGGCCAGAACGTCCCGTACAGCTTCGTCAGGCTGGCGAGTGGGCGAGGCATGTTCTGAGATGACCGCCGGTGCCTGAGATTATGATCACACCACATGCGGTCCCCTTAAGCGCTCCGCGGGCTTCCTCGCTGTTATCGGGCTGCTTCAAGAGTCCGTCCTCGGCCTCGTTCCTTCGCCTGATGGAACTCTGGTGAAGTCAGTTTGCAGAATGGATATGCAGGACTCTGTGGGTAATGGCGTGAATCTATTTCGGCTTCGCATGTCACAACTCACGCACATGCCCCCCCAGCAATGCACGCAGGGGCAGAAGAGTCGTGCACTTCAAAGAGCGCGGTCAACGAGAGCGTTCGAGCAACTGAGTCGCGTGCATTGAAGTCCTTCTGCACAGGGTAGCAATGAGCGAACTTTCACGCTCTTGGTCGCTCCATTGGGTCCTTCTGCCCCCGAGCGGGCCTTTCTCTGCGGGAGTTGACGAAATGGAGCGTTTGTGAGTACACTGTTGCACTGCTGAATCAACCAGAGGCGGTGAATAGACGGGCGAAGGAGATCCGGGGTGGGGTGGTGCACAGCAGTGGAAACGGGAGGGCATCTCCATCAGGATGCTTAGAGCAAGAGTCAGCAGTGGAGTCAGAGGCCCCATGGGGTAAGGGAGCACACATAGTATCGGCCCTTTGCAGACAGGGGTAAGGTCCTATTGGGGGTGAGGACAGAGTGTGGGTAACGTTCGCATCGGTACGGCGTTTCGGTGACGATTTCCGGAGCTACTACTTCCTTTTTTGCTATGTTTTCATCCCGCCCATCTACCGGGCGCGTAGTCTTCGTTTATGTTATGCATCGTCTGCGAGCATCCTGTACATATTTCCCGTCGGGTCTTCTACGGCAACGAGTGACGGATGAGCTTTCCGAAGAATATGGTGCCAATGTCCCAAGACCGGCACTTGCAGGCTTGGGCAATTTGCGCGCGGGTGTCTGTGTTTCTGCAAATGGTTGCGAGTGGTTAGTATAATTGCATCATCACATTGATACCTTGCCAACATGCAGACATGTGCACCGTTCAATGAGGCTGTGGGGTGGCTCGTCCCCCCTTGGTGCCGAAAGCATTACGCACATAATGAAGACCAAGATCATCTTCGGTGTTGAAAGTAGAAAGTCTGGCCCAAAATAGACACAGCGCAGAAGGGGCCCGCAACGAGACAGGCCACGACGGTGCGTTAGCCGACCCCCCTTCGCTTAATCATTCCCATCCTCTTAATTCGACCGGAATGTTTAGAGTGCTGTTCCTGCATATGGACGCAGCAACCGACCGGCTCCGAACGACGCTCGGCACACGGAGGTCGGCGATCACGTTCTGCTGGGTCTCGCTTCACCAGACGGGCAGCGGGGCCTGGGAGGGGACGCCCGGAGGCTGCTGGACAAGGGCGGAACTGTTAGATCCAGGCTCTTGGTAGGCGACACGGCAGAGAGGGCAGTATCAGCCTCAGTCAGGCACCAGTTCCACTTGGCTTGTGGCTTGACCCGGAGACATGCGGTGGGCAAGATCAGACGAGACCAGGTGCAAGTGAGTCAATGCTGTGCGACTACGAGGAGATCACACCGAGGTTGGCACCAACGTGGGTTGGGTTTGTGACTGTGGCACCACCACGATCTGACATACCGCACAGTTCCGCGCTTGCACAGACAATCCCGACAAAATTCGCGAGAAGCACGATCATGTACGGCCTGCAGAAGCGAGGAAGCCGATCGCATCCCCAGCCCCACCATCTGAGACAGCCTCACCGTGCCACCGTCATACCGTGCAGACGATCGCGCCCCGACGCCGTGGCCCAGGGACGCAGGTTGTTAGGCGCGCCATGCAGCCTGCATCGGTGACGATGACGACCAATCTAGGGCGCCACCGTGATACTGCAGCAGCCTTCAAGTCCCTTCACGAGGCGCCGGGCAGATATTAACGGGGCTGTCTTCGCAAGACATCGATTCAACGTGCATCGCCGCGTCACACAATCCCGCAATTTGATGGGATTTCCGAGACATCGGACAATGATGAGGCCTCGCACGAGACCCCAAAATGGACTGACCCCCCCGAGACATTGGGTTGAGACATGGTAGAAGCTGCTTTGAAATACCTCGACACCGGTGGTAACGCCGTCACATAAAGCGGCCGCTCCTCAATGGTCGACTTTTCACTGGTCGACAGCGTCGTCGACCTACTTTACCGCCTCCGCCCAACAATCCGACGTGGCTAGACGTCGTACCCCTTGCTGCCGCCAGCCAGTAGGGCTAGTACTGTGAAGCGCACAAGACGACGAGCCTCCAGGGGACCCAAAGCGAGGCGAGCACTCAGACCCAACGGCTAAGATGCCGACCAGAATCTGCAAGATCTGAGTCCAGATCCGGGTCGAAACGGGCCAAGCCTGTCTAATCTCGTATCGCGAAAAAGAAAGGTCGGTGTGTGTTCTGTTGACGCTCTCGTCATCGTTGATGCCATGGTCTCGATAGCAAGCACCACGACCAGCACTTCCCGAAATACTGGGCCAATCGTTTGCCGCAAGAGCCTCGAAGCGATGCTTGTCAGTCTCCGGTATCCATTCCGGGGGGGTAACTTTTGACTCACACCCTTGTACCGACATGACGGATCTTACATATCCAGAAAACAAGATGCTTTCAAACTGGCGGGCTGAAGCCGTAGACCGCCACTGTGTCACGCCAGTCTTCGGACAGGGCGACGTTGTGAAGTGCCGAAGAAGCATACGGCACTTGCAAACCCTGTAGATAACTCATCAAGGCTTGCGAGCCCGTTCCGTAGGCCCGTAGAATGCTACGTCAGAGCTGATACGAGTCTGATCCGCATTTGTGTTCCTCTCCCAGGCGTCGAGGCCCACCCTGTACACAGTAGCTGAAAACACAGGCCCGAGATCTCGCATACGCTCTGTATCGAACCACCGGTTAGCATCCCGTGGTTCCGGGTAGGCTGTCGTCCAGAACAGACAGCACGGAAGTACCTACCTGGTCTTACTAGTCATGCTAACGTCGTACTCTGGGCGGTCCAGAGTCTGGGGTAGTAAGCAGAGGCTCTGAGTGGTCAGGATGGGAAAACGGGTAAATGAAAGCAGCCGGGGGTGCACGGGTGAAGGTCCATGTGATTTAGCATCACCCATTTGAGGTGATGAGATGTTGCATCCTGGTGGCGAGGATCCGGGCTCTGCTGAGGCTCAAAGGAGCAAATATGGAGAAGGAAGCGAATACTCTGAAGGGTGTATTGGCCAACGAGCGGCTATTGGTGCGCATCGATCGAAGCGCATATGCACCCCAGATGAGGCGCATTGCAGATCTCCAACCTTGGCTGGTAGGCTCGAGCGTTCAGCACATTCCCGTGTACCGAGAGGGAGGGTCAAGATGAGAATCTCCAATTTTACGCCATCTTCGAACCTGTTTCTGGTACTCCATGTTGTCAAGAAGCTCGAAAAGATATGAATTTGACACTGAGTCTCAGACTAGAATGGGCCGGCAGACGGTCTTTGCGGAAAATAGCTCACTTGTCAATAATAGCAGATTAGCAGGGTTGGCAGGATTGGCCACGGAGCCAAGAAATGATATCGCAATTGCACCGAGCCATTGTTAACTACCTTCCATAACACGACGGCCGCCATGATATCGGAGCAACTGGTGCATGGGTTGGGCATGTTATCTTCAGCCCTGCCGTACAGAAGGTGAGCGATTCACCAGAAGCTGCGGCTTCTCAAGCGTGGGTTTCGGCGAGCCCCCGAACACCAACACCTCCAGCCATTGCGGGCGTTCCTCTACTGTAGGAAGCTTCCCGTAACGAAGCTGGCCGGGGTGTCTGCAGGTTCTGCATGCTGCCCAACTTCAGTGCTTCTAAAAAAAATTGTAGATTCTCTGGTACCGCTGGCTAGGTGGCTGCAAGAGAGCCAAAGAAGATGATATCTTGATGGACAGGTGCCAGGTCTTCAGATTTATTGGTGCGGCGTGATTTGCAGTGTCTGCAGATACTAGGTATTGCTAGGCTGTAATAGGCAGGCCACGATGGATAGGATCCCCGTGCTGCATACAGGCACACTTGACGCTCAAGGTCAAGCACTTGCCGTATCGCTACGGCATGGGTCATTTTGGCCTTTGAAGTCACAAGAGCGCCGTGCTCTGCGCCACGCTACAACACACGCATCTTTGATGAGGTGTGTAGACGCTGCAATGAGAAGCACTGGGTCAAGTTGTGACAATCCAAGCCTAGAGTGGTGGCCCGGTCGAGATCCAGGCTATGCCGCAGCTTATATCCTGGTGTTTCGCGTGGTCAGAACTGCGAGGCGCCCAAGGGTTGGAGCCATACCTCTCTTGAAACCGGCTGGGTTGCGTTGGCGTTGGCGTTAGCTGGCAGATATCAGAGCGTTTTGGTCTGGAACATTCACATTGGAAAACCCGGCTCGTGCTGGGTTGAATCTCTATTTTGGACTGACTGGATCAAATGTGTAGATAACAGCAGTCGACGAAGTAGCATTCGCTTCGCGAATGACGATCGATTGACAGTTCGATTCCGAAGCGAGGGCCCATTGTTCTCACGCATCGAACATTAGGATCAGCTTGCTTCCACATCCGGGGATGCTGTTATCCGAGGACAGTGACATTGCGCCAGTGAGGTGCTCTCAAGGAAGGGATGAGCCAGCCAGGCCCTGGCTTCAATCAGCCCATCTTGCTGCAATAGGAAGAATGTTGGGAATAAGAGATCCAGACTCGTCTAGTCTGTGTAGGATATAGATTAACACAATGTCGTTGATGCCGAGATTGGACCCCTGTTGCGGCAGTGTGAGAGACCCATATATGTAGGTAGTTCCGGTGGCCAAAACTGGAGCTGGTGTCATCGGTAATACCTGGGTCTACTGCTGCAGAGCTATCTGAGTACCCAGATAATTTGGAGGTCAGGGTAAGCCCTAGCTTGTAGCCTTAGGGTGGAAAAGAAATTATTGACCTCTCCGTCTGTCTGGTTGAGACGGATGGAATGGCTGTGCCCAAGGCAGAACACCAGGCCGATCAGACTCTGTTCAGGAGCGCCATGCCTCGGACTGTGTAATGGTCCGTTGGTGTCGGTGCATAACACAATGGTGGAAGCACAAACGACCGCGCTGCAGGGCACAGCATGTCTTGCGCTCGGCGGTGACTGGATGGAGCTGTATTGTGTCAAGACTTCGCTGTTTCGGCATGCGAATGCGGCACCACCACCTGAAATTCCTATGGGGAAGGTCACATCAAGATCGACTTTATCTGGGCCGATTCAGGAAGTAAACTAGGGGGTCCGTCCCAGTGGGCGGCCACTGCGACGCTCATGGTCGAAATGCCGGCTAGAAAAAAAGTCGACGACAATTGTGGATAAGAGTCGGCGCTAGTGAGTGCCGTGCTTGAATGCATCTCTATCGTGCGTGCTGGCAGGCGTGAGCGGTATTGTGGGAAGCTGTGAAGTGATCGACGGCTGATCAGACAGAGTGAACGAACGAGGCATGACGAGACGAACACATCAGGGTCAGCATAATGGCGTATCCTCCAAGTTGATTCAATGCATGCAGGGAGCATCAAGCAGTCCGGGCTTCTCGACGTAGATCACTTGCATCTGCCGTGACAGCAGACATTATTGAGTGGCAGTAGGCCATGATAGTCGCGGAGATTATCGTTTCACGAGGTCGAGAAATAAAACGCCGCCGCGCATGTCCGTCTGGACTACGGATGATCTAGCGTTGACACGGCTGAGGGCAGCGCTGAGGGGTTCAGAGTGTAGGCGTCGTGATCCCGTCGATACTGGGGAGGAGGGCCATGACATGGCGGTTTGGTCAAGCTTCGTCAAGATTCGTCAGCACTGAGTAGTCGACGCCAGCATCGCGGCATGGCATCATGATGCATGGAGCCGTCAGCGCAACCGAGCCCACCTTCATGCAATTAGATTGCCATGTCAAGAGGAGACCGGGTTCGACTGTCGGCAGCCACGTGAGCGACCAGAAGCTGCCCAGGTGGGCCTGAAAGTGTACTTGGGCTGGGGCTGGGTCTGGGCCTTGGTCTGAGTCTGAGTCTGAGTCTGAGTCTGATTCTGAGCATGGGGTGGCAGGGTTGGTGTGCGTGATTGAGGTTTTTCGTGATGCAGAGCAGCGGCCGGGCTGCCAAGACTGGCAGGAGGGCAATGACCAGAAGTGGGGCCATCTTGGGAGCCCCCTTGAAAGTCTTGATACTGGTGCCCAGGTGCCCAGGCTCCCAGGCTCGAGCCAGGTGCCCCAGGAGCCTAGGTGGGCTGGTGCCTTGGTGGGCTGGCCAGGCTGGACGGCCCAAAGGTACGTACCGGTACGTACCTCGGCTCGTCCCTTCCTTCCCTTCCACTGCTACCCACTCGCTACCGTCTTACCGCCAACCTGCCGGCCTGCCCTGCCAGCCTGCCTGTTCCCCTTTGCAGATCGACGGCCGTGCAGCGTCCCAAGTTATCCAAGGTCCAGCCATCAAGCCTATCGTCCTGTTCCAAACGTGCTCATCTACAACAGTACAGGTACAGGTTACAGGCACAGGTGAAGAAGCTTCTGAGCGCGTCACTTCTTTGGCCAATTTCGAAAAGCACCGATAAGGTACCCCCACGATCTCGTCCAGGGCGCTGCTCTCGCGGGCAGATTGATCATGCATCATGCAGCACACGGCTCTGACAAGCCATCGCCTGCATGCCATCTCAAATCCTGCAGAACCTTCGCAACATGGCACCCCACCGTTGGCTGTGCTTGTTGGCGCAATTGGCGGCAGCTTGCTTGCTTTTCGATTCAGAAGGATACGCTCCCTCGCCAGGTTATTCGGTCGACCAGAGCCTCGAACGGGGTCCGGCATGGCAGAAAGTGGAGGCTTGACGACGGCAACGCCTCTCGACGAATCGCAATCCCTCGTGGCTTGCCCGAGATAGATGAGCTCTGACGTTGACAAGATCTTGACATATCGAGTCCCGGGTCCCTGACGCGGCAGCGCGGGTACAATCACATCCCGATAGTAGTCCGCAGCGGTCCTGGCATGCACTCTGCTAGTAATACAACAGTGTTAAGGCTTTCTCTTCCTCTCGATTCGACGTTGCACTCAAGGCATCGAGGCATGAGCTTGACAACCATCTCTCATTAGTCAGGCGACTTAAGACCCAGACCAGTCAGGGATGTGCCTGCTGCGTGATCGGCTGATCATCTCCCTAGACGATCAGCAACATTGGACGACGGCTCCCATAGCAACAAGCAGTATAACATGCGAACATCTCCACACGCCACACCATGCCGGAAACAGCCTCTTTCAACTTGTTCCCGCATGATCAAAGTCAAACTTGATTGAGGATGCTCTTCCCACAAGCATCTAGAGCCAGACATCTGGGAACGGCGCTGCGAGAGCTCGTCGCCAAAAATAACGAATTGTCTTAGATCGGTTTAGAGCGATTCTGTGGGCATATTGATTCCATGCCTCCCAACACCATTTCCCCATTGTCTTGCTTCACGGGTGTCTTTTTCAATACCTCAAAACCCCCTGGTCCTCGATAATGTGGATGCCCTGTCCAGCATACCAGGACATGACTCCTCTGTAGTAGCCGTCCAGCGGTGCTGGAGCTTGGCACGAATCAGGGTAAAAGAGCTTGACCCCTCCCGGTACAGCTGCCGGTCGGCCCAGCTGAGAAGGGGAATTCTCACGGACACGAGAACACCACTGCATGTGGTGGGCATCTTCTGGTACGAAGTGGATACCACGGTGTTCCGAATGGCAGCCCGGAATGCTTCGATCTAAGACAGGAGTGACCCGATGGCCCGGTGTCATGTCACTGTTAATAAATGAAGTCGAATATAGTGCCGGGGCCGGAGCCGCGGGCTCGCTGGCGGCTGCTGGCGGGAGCACGGACTCCTCTGCGCTCTGAACACTAACTCCCAAAGCAGAAGCATGATGCGGCTGTTTCTGAAACTCGGGAGGTGGTGTAATCTCGACGAGACACGTGCGATTTCATGATCTTCGAATCGCAACGAGCTATGGACCCAGCCTTACGGCCTCTGTGCCAAGATCACCCGCCTCTGCCCCGCCCCTTGTTGACTCACCCAGTATATGTGCCTGGCCATCATTTTGCGATCTGATTCGGACCTCAGTAGAACTAAGCCCCTTCATGGAGTTCTTGATCGACTTTTGTGTCAGATTACCGAGACCGAGCCGAAGACGGCGATGGCGGGACCCGCCCGCTATGTTCCTCGAAAAACACAGCGGAAGAAGCCGACAAACTATGATCAGTCTGGCAACAGATGGACTGGGTTTGGTGACAAAATCCTCATCAGGTGGGGGACTGAAGCTCAAATAGTCAGCTCTAGTTCCGCAGGCGCATCTCAGGTGGCGCCAGGAGCAAAGTTCTCGAGATCACGGGCTCACGGGCTCACGATCTTGAGACGGCCCGACAAGGAGTCCGCCGAGGCGAGGTCGCAGTAGACGGTGGACAAAAAATACGAGTCAAATCGAGGTCCTATACGTCAAGAACCTAATTGCTCGACAGCGGTTAGGTGCAGTCAAAACAGCTCGTCAGCCAAAGTCATGAGCACTGTTCCATTTAGACACGACCAGGCCCAAAACAAAACTACTGTACCTAGGAATTTAGGATGCCGTGCCCCGGATTGCGATGCACCGGTACCAGAGCCAATCACCCCATGGTACTCCGTAGATTTCGGAAGCTTTGTCAATGCCTCCGGTAGTTGCCTCCACAACCTTCTGCATGCACAATCACCAGGTGCCGGCTGGGCGGGAACTGGGGTTCAGAAAGACAGTCCGTATGGTTCCGGGATCTGCCACGCGAGTGCCATTGCCGGATCTCGAGTTCATTTTACATCAGACTGTGGGATCGGATCTGATACCAACAGAAGCCTGTCAATGTTTTCGGTTCGTTTTGGTTCGTTGGTTCATCTCCTATCCAAGGCTTTTCTCCAAATCTTAGAAACGATGCAATAACAGATTGAAGGGTCAGCCTGCTTGTCACATCGCAACTGTCAGCCATGGGCCATGGGGTCCCAGCTTCCATGCCCTGCTGTGGGCAAATGAGACGTATTCTTGGCACATTCAGCATCAACAACGCGGAAAAGCTTGCACGCGAAATACCCAACGGTGCTGAGGATGTGACAGATCCGGATAGAAGCATCATGGACTGTCCCTGAAGCTAGTCATGCTTCAGCAAAGGGATGACTGGGTTGAGAGCTGCTGGTGCAGGCTGTGCGACCGTGACAGCACACGATGAATAATGGAAAACGACCGGGGCTGCAATGGCTGGAGGATTCCCTCTGTCCAAGAATATGTGCAGCCCTCACCATCCCGACCAAGGCCATGTCACAGTCTTCACAAACCCAGCATCCTTAGAATTTCAAGGTTTTCCTCCCCGCCTGCCCTGTCGCTCTGCGAAGCAACTGAGTTGGCTTGGGAGCAGAGAACAGGTGCGGCACAGTCACAGCGAAACGCCTCAGATGAGATTAATCTGCACCTTTCCCAAGGCCATCACATTTGGGGCCTTGTCCACTTGGGACACTGTATGCTGGCGACGTCCATGAAAGAAGCAAACCGAATAGTCGTGGCTGGCCGTGCAGCCGTGGAGCCGTGCAAGACGCAGGAGGTGCATCTGGTATCCCTGACGTGACAGTTCGTCTGCCGGCATGGCAATTCATGACAGACGTATGGTGTGACCCTCTCACCTAGATCCTTACGCCGGGTGCTCGTCACCCAGGTATGGAGAGGAAGTCCTCCAAGACTTCCGAAGTCACTGTGCCCATCGCCTCCGAACCGCGCTGTGCCTTTCGAGCAACCGCGAGGGCCTTTGTATAGGAGAAAGGCACGGAACGTATGGGAAGCTTGGCCAGGTACGATTTTAGGTTTTAAAAGTACCGGTACAACGCCAGGTACCCCAAGGCTCGCCGTCGTGGGTGCAAGGTACCCAGTGCAAGGGAGCCCAGGCCGAACCCATAACAGGCGATCCCTGTAGGCCGGTACCCACTGGCCCGGCGGGATTCTTCTGTTCCCCACCATGGAAGGAAAGAAGCCTTCTCGCCCGTGTGAATCTGGTCCAGTTTGGGCCCGAGCAGGCTAGCAGGCTCGCTCTCTTTTTCTCCCCTTCATTCTTCTCTTCCCACTACTGTGTGAGCCACATTCATTCTCATGCCTGCCCTGGCCTGTCATACTGCAAAAGTACCAGACTTCTAATGCGTTGAGTTGCGCTGCGCTGCGGCAACACCAAAGTGATGAATCCCATTCATGCTCAATTTCGTCACGCTCCTCTCGGCATGCACTCATCCCTTTTCATCTCAATCCCTCGGCAAGGCCACGGTATCAAACCTGGACCCGCAGCTGATGGTCCTTCCCATGACGAGCGGCATGACAGGGCAAGGGATCTCTTTCATTCTAGTCCTCCCAATCCAACAATTCTCACTGAGGTCAGGGTCAAGGTGGCGCTCCATGCCTCTGATGCAATTTGACATCCTCATCATGTCGCCTGACCTGCAATCCTGGCATCCTGACAGTAGGCATGGCTTCCACGGAGAGAGCATGCAAGCGCTTCATGGCATGTTCCGTTGGTTGCACTCGGCTCAGTCTGGGGATAGGCTCCGCCTGCCAACGGCCACGGCTACGAGGCCCCGGCGGTCTAAACTGAGAGGCAAAGCTCTGCTGGACTGGGGCCCGATCAACGGTGTCGACCTCGGTGGATTGTGAGTGTGGATTGCGAGGGCTGCAACATCACAACACCAAAGGCGAGTCGGGTATTTCCTTGATGTGGGCCCTGTCCCCATGACCTCCTCCTCAGGCGGCTGTGGTGTTGCACTTGCGCCTGGCAGCCTGCACTCCATTCCAATGAGCTGGCTGGCCTCCAGGTTCTCGCTCCGCGGGCCCACGACCCTCACTCCACGCTTCAGTAGAGCCCGAGCCCCCCTCCATGTCCATGATTAATTCAGGCCCGGTCCTCTTGCCTCATGCAGAGTAGACCAATGTTTGGGGGCTGCGAACGCGCTGCGCGACATGCCAGCATGCCTATCCGCACCTGTCCTCGGCCTGCGCGTGCAGTGCAAATCCTCCCAGAGAGGGTACCACAAGCTTATCCGCATCCTCGCCTCACGGCCCAGATGGCCAGAAGGAGTAGCGTTCTCTCCCCATCCCCCTCACTGCAGTTGCAAGCGCGGTCGAGTCCCTCCGGCATACCTCCACACGTGCGTCGCTTCTCGGAGTATGATTCTGGGGCATCCTGCTGGACCCCCGCTCTGTCTCGCCTGCCGTCTTCCTTCCCTCGTTCGAGTGCCATTCATCATGGAGAGCTCGCTCATCCTTGTCGTACGGATACCCAGGAAGTCCTGCAGGTCAAGGTATCCTTACTCTGCGACCTGATCTTGACCAACCCTGCAATGTCCCCTGAGTACCGTGTGCTATGTACATAGCTGTCGCCCCTTACCACCACCCCTGCTGAGCAACTGGGTTGACTCGTCTGGTCTCTTCTTGTTCGTTATTTATTATGTCGTCTTGGTCGCATCGCAGCAGCAACAACCCCTAGTCCTGGGTTCACTAGCCACTCCTGCCACCTCCACACCAGGGTCCACCACGCGTACCAGGTCCGGCTAGCCTCCCTTCTCATCTGCTGCTACTCCACACTCCCAGGTCGCCTCTAGAGTCACTTGCTTGCTTCATATTTACCGTGCCATCTCCTTCGATGGTCTCATTCCTGACTTAGTGTTCCTCCGAGTCTCCCAAAGTGACCCCCCAGTTCAACACCCACCAACATCACCACCCGAGGATTAGTATTCATTGTCTGTCATCTCGTACACACACCAGAGGAAAGGCTCCCTCGACGCTCAGTACAAATTTCGGAGAACATTGGTCGGCGATATCTCACGCTTGCGACCGACACTGGAGGATGAACGGCTGGTGAATTTCAGGGAGGACACCCGGGCTAGATCCCGCGCCTTAGACCTGATATATTGGCACTGGTTGTCTCCTGCCTCGACGGATGCCCTTCATCACCTTGGGAATGACTATTCCTTTCGAAGCGACTGGTGTCGCCCCACCTCCCCCAGGAGTACACTCCATCACAATGTCTCGACCTCAAGTTGGCATCGAGAGATTGCCTGCTCGACGCATGAGCAATGAGCCTCGAGAGTCAATGAATTGCAAATCATGCCGCAAGCGCAAGGTATGAAAGTCTCGGACTGCTGCGTCCTCTGGCGGCAAAGCGATGCTTTATGTCTCGGTCCTAGTCAACTCCGACTGATTATGCTGCGATGGCTTAGATAAAATGCAACCGCCTACGACCATCCTGTGAGGCATGCCAGGTTTTTCAATGCCCTTGTGTTTATGGTACGTAAACAGCCGAGCACGTCGAGTTCACAATCCGAAAGCCAGCTTGAGTGAGACAAGCGTGGAAGCTGACCAGGTCAACTTTTACTGTGAGCAGATGCTGTGCCGAAGAAACGTGGGCCCAAGACAGATGTTTTGGAGGCCCTTCTCAAAAGGGTAGATGGGCTCGAGGCGAAATTGAAAAGCAAAAAGGAGCAGCCTGGCCCACAAAGTTCAGAACTTGCCGCTTCTGCTACGGAAGAGGCATCGTCGTCGGTGGTAGCAGAATCGGCTGCAACAGCAAACCAGATGAGCTCAGCAGATGATGAAACCAAGCCTCAGACAGTCATTGATACAGCACGGGCAGTAGATCTGACAGAATCCGCTGTGTATACCCCTACCTCGAGCAGGTACGCCAACTCTTTTTGACACCCGAGGATGGCAAATGGAGTATCACGAACAGCTGACCTTGACTCCCCTTTAACAGTGCTCCTTCGCCCCCAGGTATTCAACCTGATGCCCTTCTCGATACCTACTTCTCCAGATTCCACGCCAAACCGTTTTATATTCTCGATGAATCTTCCGTTCGGCAGAGGCTGCAGCTGAACCAGCTTCCACCATACCTGGTACACGCCATATACGCCGTGGCAGCCAGGTAAGCAAGCCACAGCTGATAACCATTCGGTGGACTAACTTCAAGACAGGTATACACCTCATCCGAGTGGATACCAGTCCGCGGTGAAGCTGAGCGAGGAGTATGCTACACGCGCGAGACAGGAAATCGATCTTGATGAACCGTCCATCGATGCATTGCAGGCTTGTCTTCTGTTGGTCACGGCCTTCACCGCCACAGGCAAGGGCAAGAAGGCATATATGCTCCTGAGTATGATTCTCGCACTTTCTTGCCTCGGAGTCACTGCTGACATACATAGCCAATGCTGTCGGAATGGCCATGGCCCAAGAGTTACATCGAGAAATGGACCCACGCGCCGGCGTTACGCCAGTTGAACGCGAAACACGAAGGAGACTTTTCTGGACCTGTTACTTGCTGGACCGTTTCATGGCTTGCGGTTCGAAGAGGCCATGTCTGGCTGGCGACAAAACGATCTTACTACGACTACCATGCTGGTCGCCGAATCCAGCGGCGCTACCGATTGAGGGAGAGTTCTTTCAAAGCGCATCCAATGTTCAGTATCTCCAGGGCACTGGAAAGAAGTCGCAGGGGAGTAGTGGGATGCTGATTGACATCAGCCGAATCCTCGGTATCACAAACCGGTACCTTGCAGCAGGGGGTGTCAAAGGCGACTCCCATTTTCCGTGGCACTCGCTCTCGAACCTGTCGAAAATTCGACAAGACTTGGACGTATGGGCTTCCGGCACTGAGGACGTCTTCTCGAGCCTCGACACACTTTTTGGGCAGAACGACTCGACAGTCCTCGTACTCAGCAAGCTCATCTACCACCTGATACACTGCCTCATTTACCGGCCTTTCCTCCCGATCGATCTTGCAGAGCTGGCGGGTAACGGCCAGCACCAATCGTGGCAGATCGAGGCTACCAATATGTGTTTCCTGCACGCAAATGCAATTGCTGAGCTGGTGGAACTTGGGAAGCAGACAGCAACCATCGAGTGGCCTGCATTTGTGGGCTATTGTATTTGCACGGCAGGAACAGTTCACATCCATGGCGCACATTACAGCAAGCTTGGGCCTGGTGGAGAGATGAGCGTCTTCAACTCTTCCGCTGAATTCCTCTCCAGAGAGATGCAACAACTCAGCGAGTTGCGATATGCTTGGGCTAGCGTGCAGCACCAACGCGAAACACTTCAGAGCATCTTCAACGCCCACACCGAGCTGGTCAAGAGCTTCGCGAACATGCGATATGCGCCAGCCTTTCAACTTGAAGATTTCTTCGATCGGTACTCTAATATAGGCGGGCCAGGCGGCCAGACCTTTAGTTTTGACGCCGCCAATCTCAGCCTGTCTGACGTCGTGGTGGACTTCACCGCCGACGCCTATACTGGGCACGATTTGTATGCACCGCGGGACCAGGGCTCCGAACGACCTAACCTCAAACGCAAGCCCACCTTGCAAGGAGGCCGACGAAGAGCGGACTCGAAGTCGCTGGCGCCCTTGGCCAGCAATGTAAACATGAACACGCACATACACACAGGCTTACCGACTCCATCACATCCACGACATCCCGCTTTTCCGACACACGGCTTGCCAGTCCACCCGCCACATCCCTCACCAGCAATGCTCCATAGCCCTGCATCGATTGCGTCCCATACGGGGATCCCAGAACATGGACATATGAATGGTATGCAGGACTCCGACGAGATTGCGAACAATGCCGCCATGGCGGCTGCTGCTGCTGCTGGTTTCTCCATCCCTCAGCATCCTCAACATCCTCCACCTCCGCAAGCCCAAGCCCAAGCCAACCCTTTCAGCCCCCCTTATGCGAGTTTTGGTCACATGCCTAGTTCGACCCCCGGCCCCGCCTCCCCACCGAACAATCAAAACAACACGAGCGGCACATCATATGACCCTATGTTCGGTGGTTTGCCTACTAACGCTTTCTCAAGTCCCGCCGCATGGAATGGCAATGAGGGAACTCCCAGACCAGCAGGGGTTCAGCTGGCACCTAGTCCAGGTGGAATGAGCAACAACGGCAGCACCGGCACAGGGCCCGGCGAGGAGAAGGACCCGTTCCTTAGCCTACTGGAGCAGCTTGCCGAGAACGAGAACGCACGCGGGCCGGGAACCGAGTTCGACTTTTTCTTCGCAGGCACAGCTCCTCAATGAGCACCGGCCCTGAATCGGCACAACAAAGTGACTCAAATTTGATTTTGCGCCAAAGCATCGATATATCCTGCTTCTACGAAGAACCCTACCCTTTTTTGTTGTCTTGACCGATGGATTTCGGCGCGGCGCTCGAGTTGATTTGCCTTAAGGGGGGGATTCGGTGTTATAGACGGAGGGAAAACTCAAATGCGAAGGGGAGGGGCGTGATTGGCACCGGAACTGAGTTCTGTCGTTGGTAGCAGCTTGCTCTCAACGTGGAACTATTACGAACAATGTGTGAATTCGACTACAGCGCCGCTTTGGATAGGACCTGGCAGAGTCTTGAATAGACTCTTGAGGACCTTGCGCACTTGATTCCTTTAGCCCCTTGGAAAGGGGGAACGCGATATTTTGAATTTTCAATCTGGGTTGGATCGACGACAACGACGACGATGATGATGAGCTTTTAGCGATGCCCATCCACATTCCGGCCCCGTACACCCATGGGCCAACAAACTACATGTATCATATATTATTGCCTAGTACATAGTACGTCCTGAGGCTTCGGATAAGCGGAGCTTGATGAGGGAAACTTGACAGTCTTGGAGAATACACTTTCTCCACCTCAGCCCACCCACTCTCGAGCATCAAAGCGCGCACTGGCGAACAATACCAAGCATCATGTATGTCAGCACTGGGAGAAGATGCCCAGCCCATCAGGTAGACGCAGGTACTTTCCCTGCACAGGCCCCCAGGACGGGCTCAAGCCCTCCGTGGCCCTCCAATTTTGGGTGCCGGTCAAGACAGGCGAAGGAGTCGATACATAGCACCTAAGCCTTGGTCCGACCAGCTGGAGGGTCACAGCCGAGGCTTTTCCGAGCTCGATGGCGATCACGGGGTATCCTTGCGAGCAGGGGTGCCACGACCTTTTCCCTCTCGCTACCTACCCCGGACTGGCCTGTTTTGCCTTTTGGCTTTTGCAACAAGCTCCTTCCAAGGGAGAGAGCCGCAGGCGGATCCAGCGATTGTGACCTGTGCGCCTCTGCGGAAATGCGACCTTATAGCCGAGGCCTGCTATTGGGGGAGAGGAGCCACTTGTACTCGCGCCTTGTACCTGTACTTGTGCCTGGGATCGCCTGCGAACAGACTTGTTTATTCCCTCTCTCGAATACGGATACGTATCGAACGGCACCCTGTTGGTCGCATTGGTGCGCTTGGTTGCCACAATAGGTGAGCTGTTCGCAACTGTGTGCATCTAAGTTTGCGTGACCACCGATGAGTGATGATAATGTTGGCAACTATACATATGTAGTCAAATGATACTTCAGTGACCCGTACATCGTAGAGATGCAAGCTTCAGTAGCGGCGTCGGAATTCTCTGGTTCGACATGTTCATGCGCTGGTAGCGGCGTTGGAATCTTTGGTTCGAAATATCCCCGCACGTGTGAAAATGTAGTATTCTATTGTGCAGCACGCAGCCGGTATTGAAATCTTTGGTTCGGCACGTTCTAGCCTGGATGGCTCGAATACCACCTTGGTGGGTAGACACTGCGTAAAATACATGCACGGCATGCTTATTTAGGAGCCGCGTTGAGATTGGGCCATCACATTGCACACTCGGGGATATCGTGGCCCAAAACCTGCAAACTCGTGTGCGGCGTACATCACCGTGCAGATCAACCCCAGCCTTCTAGATGCACAATTTCGTTCTTTGGCAGCTTTTGCGAGATGAGACGAATTTCTGTTGGGATCGGACCCCCTGACACCTGGGCAGCCACACCGCACCGCGACTCACACCCCGGATCCCTGGTCCCTATTTCATCCACCACCACACCACCAACCCTCACCAATACTCTGTGTCCACAATGCTATATTGGCCGGCATTCCGTGGCTCTCTGAGCGATCAGAATGACGCGTGTGTCACCAGCGTCACACTGGACAAGGTTTGACGGGCCGTCTTGACATCGGATGTGGATCTCCGGCGCCCTATCTGCGGCGCGAGTTGCCGTCGGGCGACCAGGCCCACGCCGTCCTTCTCACCACCGTCTATGATAAAGGACCTGCTGGCACCCACCCTCACACATCTCAGATTCACGGCCCAGTGCTGAGCCCGCTCGTCGTCATCCAAACACGTCTCGAAACTTCTGACACAGTGACCACAAGCACAGGCCCGCGTTCGCCGGGGAGGGGATCGACCAAACAGGGGAAACCGACCAACGACCGAGATGCGTGTCTGTGTGTGCCCAGCCTTTCCCGTGCATTATCGCGATCCCGGCCCATATCGCAGCGTACCTGCGCATCGGAGCGAGGATGTTCCCACACGTCAGGCTGCTGTCAACCCAGGAAGTGGGCACTCAGAGGCCAATTATAGATCGTCCCAAGTCACATATGCCCCCAGGCGACCATCAGACGATGGAGGATCTCCCTCTGGGGTCCCTCTGGGACCTGCAAATCTGCCGTCGTTTCAAGTTCGCAGAGCCACGGTTTTCTTTCCTGTGGATCCCGCGTTCGTGTGGGCACAACATGGGAGGCTGATAGGGGCCATCGAGGGGTCCTGATCTGCCAATCGCAAGTGATATGTCGACAAAATCCCCGAACAACCCAGACGAGAAAAAACTTTATTCTTTGGTTCCGCTGCTTCTGCAAAAACCTATTGGCAGGGCCGCGACCAGGTAGGCAATCCTGCAAGGCTCTCTCGAGTGCCGAGAAAGAAGAACCCGGGTCCTCTCCCCCGGCCGTCCAGCGATGAAGCCTGGGCATGGGGCGCGAGGAAAGACCCACCCGTGTTCGAGTTTCCTCGCCGCAGCAGCTCGCGGACGCGGTCCAGCAGGAACGCGTTCGTCATCCAAAAAAAGGCCGGCGTGATGCGTCCTTTGGTTCGTCATGCCGGATTTCCCGCCACGGCTCAGGAACTCTCCGGGACCATCACCAGCCAGCACCATCATGGAGCCATTCCTGCAACATCTGCTTCACCAACCCTCCAAGGCACTCTATTTGAGACGTCTACATGGCAGTCGGCCGTTGCTGTGGGCTCCTTGGCGCTCCGAGCCCTCCGGCGGAAGCGAACACCCGCCAGCCTGGGTTCAGGAATGACATAGTTCCTGACAGGATTCTTGTCCGCCCCCGCGTCCAGCGGAGCTCGCGTGTGCTACCGGGAACTCCTCCTCTCCTCTGGCGTGTGCGTCTCACGTTTCGCCAGCCTTGCTTGTCGAACATGTGGTGAGAACTGCTGCCATCCTTGCCACCAGAGAATCGAGTACTTAGCTCTAGCCGAACTCTGGCAGGCGACGTTCTTCCCGGCGTCGAGCCGCGTCCGGGCCCCTTGTTGTTTTATGGGATCAATTATATATTTACCCTGCTATATCCGTATGTCACACATCTTATCACGGCAGTGTTGAGTCCTTGAGTCATCACTGGAGCTTGAGAGAGCTCGCTTGGATATCGAGGGCGTTCTTGCGATGTCGGACTCGATATTAAAATTGATGAATACGCAGGGGTCTGACACATGGCGGCTCCTAGCCCGAGCTTGTACACGATGTTGTCAGATGTGAGCGTAGTGGCAAAGCTGTAAGAGACCAGCTGTTGTTACATGCTTTTCCTGTCTTGTTCTCCTTCAATGATTCAGTGAAGGTAGAGTTGAAAGAACGAGAAGTGATTCGAGCAGGAGGTGTGTGTAACTTCCTCCAGATCTGGCATACAAAATCACCACCGATTGATGCCGACATTGTCGGATGCCAGACCCGCTGCGCTGGCAGCTGAGTAATCGCTCACTACTCAGTCAATCGAAAATCGGTATTATTAAAGAAGCTTTCCAGGTAGATTTAGTAGCAGGCCTGACAACCGGTTTGATCCAGTGCTGGACTGCACCGTAATGAAACTCGCGTGATTGTATGAATAATATGCCGAAGAATGCCGATCGACTGATTTTGTGTACAAAGGAAGTGGCCTCATGGATGTTTTATTTTAATCTCGCCATTACTCGCCCCCATGAAATCAAGTTAGCGTCAAAGCTCCTTATGGACGGCTAGAGATGCATCTGGTAACTTGGCTAAAGTTGATCTGCAGTTTGAGCAACAAGAGCATTACGAAGATTTCAAGCTGAGCTTTGATTCATGATTGATGCGCGCTTGGCTCGTGGGAGGCTTTTGGTGTTATCTGAGCTCAGAGACAAGACGACCACTTTGGAACACGAAATTGCCGCAATTGAAGGGACTTGATCCTCATTCTTTCAATGGCACATGTATGAAGGCAATTTCAGTGGATTCAACAACGTCCAGGTGTCTCCCTTGATGCTATCATATCCAACAAAGACGAAGACAATTTGCGAACTAATGGTCGTCAACTCTTTAATATTGCCACGAACTCCAGGGCAAAGGACTAACACTAGGGCTATCCAACCCCGGGCTTTTTTACCCACGAGCTTCTTGAGTGATTATATATGATGCAGGCTATGTTTCATAGTCTTGTAATGAGGCGAAGTATTCACGAGCTTGAAGGTACTGCTGCATGAGGGCTTAGAGGTCTTGGGGAGAACATGCCATTGCGGGAGAAAAGGAAGTCACGAAGACTATCAGCCAGTGGCAAGGCCGCTACACAGCAGGCTATGATAGTGGGGATTGTGCCATTCCGTTCAATCTGGAAAACAAGCGTGACGTCCTCTATTTACGTTCGATTTAGGCTTTAGAGTCGTCCAACAAGTGGTCAGTCGGCTGCCATCACCACGTAACCATGGAAGTCAAAATCTCGTCCGAATCCCGCTGGGAGATACAGACATCGTCATTTATTGTGGAATATAGGCCTCGATAACATTGCGATTGATATGTTCCAATTGGCTCTATCTAATTCACGCGTGTCTTGCGTACTTGTATGAATTCTGGACTCAGAAGGTCAGCATCTGGGTAAGCATTGAACAAGATGACAACGGCTCATAGGAGTGTCAAAGCATGCCAGATACTAATTTACACCTAGAGAAGGGTAAAATCAAATCATCTTCTAGACTTGTCCCATTAACGGCTGCGAAGGTAAGATGCCAATCCACTGGAGGACATTGTCGCCTGAGGATTGTCCCACAAGAGGTCAATATTGTCACGTAGAAAATTGTGCTCGTCGACGTAATTCCGAAAGGTTTGAACTATAGGACATCTCCCACAAATGATATCTGCTCGGAATTACCCCCTGGCCCCACTCGCGTGGTGTAATTCTCCAGTGTGTGTGTGTAGACAATTGGACGGAACAAAAGTACTGCGACTTTTACCAAATACAGAGATTAGTATCCAAAGGTTTAGAATTTATACGCTATTCAAAGCGGTCATGAAATATACAATAGCGAGAGCTCATCAAGATGCCTCAATGCTTTTATATGCAGATTTTCCAACTCTTGGACCAGAGTATATGCCTCCACCAAATATACCAAACATAAAAAAAAGTACAAAAGATGAGAAAGCAAGAAGTGCTATGCCAATCCAACGGCAACGCCACATCATCGCTCCTCGGGTATCGTTGGTGTCCTGTTTCCCCTCTGCTGTCCCTGACCGTTCCCAGACCGGTCCCCATCGCTCTCCCGCCTTAACTCCATATGTTCAAACATTGGCGAGGAACTCGTCGTTGTCGACGAGCCCTGCCTCCTCTTCTCTCGTCGTTTCTCGTTGAATGTGTTTATCTTGTCCATGACAAAGGCAAGCGGACCGCCTTCTTTGGAGGTCGAGTTGGTCGTGGCATTGCTCATCCTCCTCTGCCGGAGGAAGTCATCCATGTTGGTACTGGTGTCCCTGGTGCTCCCACCGTTCTCCGGGTTCTCTCCGCCTCCCATCCCACCGCCCGCGCCAGCGGAACGGCCTCGGTAAGTTGGGTTCACTAGGTCCCTTGCGTCTTTTAATACTGTCAGGAAGACAGGGTACGCGAGCGTGAATAGTAGCAAAATGACAATCACTATGAAAGCGAGCTGTATGGATGCACCGTTGTCGTTCATAATACCATACATGACAAACGGCCAGAATGCTGGTCCGCTCGCACCCATGGTTAACCACGCTGACGCGCGTTTCGTACGGTTACCTTGACCTCGAAGCCCCATCGCAAAGATCAGAGGCCATATGGGTCCTTCGGCGAAGAAGAACAGGATGGCGGGGATGGCGACGAGGTCCGAGTTCGTTGGCCGCAACACGACGCATATGATTGCAAAAATAACGGATAGGGCAGAGAAGAGGGTGAGCTGAGTACGAGGAGATGGTATAAGTCGGTTCTGTGGATATTTGACTGACAGCCAGGCGAGGTGAGCTGCATTGAAGCGTGAGATTGTGAAGGCGGCGTGAGCGATGAGGAGGTAGTCGGATAGAGAGAGGACAAGCCCGGCGGGGTGGTCGACATCTGAAGAGCCTGGTAACATAGAAGTGATGAGATTATCGAAGAAAATGGACATGGACTCCTGCGCAGCAACATAACACCATTGTGCTACCACCGCAAAGATGATGCACAGCGTCCTGAGTTGCATGCCTCCAATGGTCCGCTTCTTCGGGTCGACAGGCAGGCGGTCAGCGGCCCGCCCCAGTTCGGCATCAGTGACCTCGGGCAATGGCATGTAGTAGAAGAATAGAGCCAAAGCGACGCAGGACAGGGTGATAGCCAGATATGTCCACTGCACGTCAATCAGCTCGAGGCTGGTCCGCGTTCCTTCGCTGTCAGCGATGTCGGCAAAGAAGACTTTCTGTGCTAGCAGTCCACTAAGGACACTTGCGACGCCCTGAAAGCCTTGGGCTATAAGTATTCGAACTTCGGCATATTCTTTAGGACCACAGAGGATGATGAAGGGGTTTGCTGCCGTTTCGAGGACACCAAGGCCAAAGCCAACAACGAAATTGCTGATCATGAAGCCAGGGAATGAGGTCAGAACAGCACAGGGCCAGAACATGATTGTGCCGATGCCATATATGCATAGGCCCAGAATGAACGTGGCCTTGAAACCGCCGACTGCGTCGCGATGCTTGTGTCTCCGTCGGTTCTTGTGAAAGCGGGCGTGTTCGTCGTGGCGGAGGACCCACTCTCCTACAACAAGCGGACCGAAGAAATAACCGCCACCAAAGTACGCAGTAGTCAGTCCCAAAGTCTCGGCCGTGCTCATGTTGGAGATCTGAGCAATAACGTTGTTGAGTGTGTTCAGAAGTCCGTATGAAAACCCCCATAGCAAGAACAGGATCGTGACAACCACACAGTACCGCAAGGATTCGGCCGGGGCTGTCTTAATCATACTTTTGGGTCTTTTCATGTTGACAAACCCAAAATAAATAGCGTTGTCATTGCGAGACATGCCAGACATCCAAGTGGTTCTCGTTGCTGGAGAAGAGGGTTGGACTGAATCAGAGTTTGGGGCGGTGGAGTTGAGCATATCAGGCGTCGTCAGAAAATCAAGGCAGGAGATTTGCTCTGTAGACGAGTCGTGCTGCTGTGCTTGGGTAGGTACCGCCAGTGATTCGGGGTTTTGGAGTGCTTGAGAAGGTGCTGCCAGTGAATCAGGTGCTTCGCCAGACCCGGCAGGTCTAGTAGCAATCTGGCTTCCGTCTGGCTCCTTGTCTTGCGTTTCGGTAGCGTAAGTCGACAAGCTCGAATCGTGCGTTCCATCTGGATCGAAAAGCACTGTAGGCAGAATTTTGAGGATTAAAGGCTTGAGCGTCGGGATGCAGGCACATATCATCCCGATATTGACTTCAACGGCGGACCACATCAGCGACAAGGACGCATTCCAAGCGAATTCTGGGCTGTCGCCAAAAAGGGCTTCAGGATCGTTCGAAGGAGTGGTTGGGACGAACGAGATCGCTTGTTGCAGGTAATAGATCCGAACCACATCCACAATCGTCACAAAGATACCGAGTGAGAAGGTGAATACTAGGATATACTTTTGCCGCTTAGGAAGCCTCATGCCCGTCAGGACAGGGATCGGGAGGGCCAAAATCGCGAGGTCGGTAACGATGTTCACTGGCGCGGAGCAGATAAACTCGGTGAGGAGGGGTATACACTGTGCCTGGTACCTGTACAGACTGAAGGCAGCGACGACCGGCTGGCATTGGAAGATGTTCAAGAAGGTGAGCACAACTCCAGCCGTGTTGACGATGGCCAATACGATCCATGATGCAAGGCGCAGGATTTGCTGTGTGTTCTTTGACAGGCGCAGGTAGAAGATCAGGATGCTGGTCTTCAACGCCATGAGCGCAGGGTTCTATTTATTGTCAACCCGGGGTTCAGTCCATTTTTTGAGGAGGGAGAACTCACGTAGAGCACAGAGAAGACATATTCCGTCTTCCTGAGCGGAAGACGGTCCTCACCAGCAATGTTTACATCATGCCTGCCCAAGCCCTTGCTCGTGCCAATGTCGATGGTGGTGCTGAGGCCGACAGCTAAGAACCATGCCAGAATAATGAAGTAGTCGTCCCAACTGACGCGCTTGACGATCAGAGACCGACAGATCAGCCTAGCGATGAAGAAAGCCGTACCGACTACCAAGGTGGCTGTCGTGACGGCGAAGACTGCGGGGCCTCGATCGGGGATATGGCCCGTCGAAACGGCCATATCAGACATTGTGAAGGGCCAAGGCGCAGAGGCCGCCTATGGAGGTCTGCGTAGATATGATGGAGCCCTAATGCGGTAGACTGAGTGAAAGCGCCATATTCGAGATTTCGAGCGCATCAGATGAGGCTGGGAGGCGACAGTGACGAAGAATGCGCGGTGCACTGCGCCGTGGAGGCGGCCGCGACCTGGTGGGAATAGGGATGCGCGCGCCGAGCCCTGTTCTGTTTCAATGGGTTGCTGACGGCACCGACCCTTGACGGTCTGTGTGAGGCGTCTGACCGAGTGTAAGTCGGGGGCGCAAGAGCCTGGAGTCAACAACCGAGCGCCGGTACTGTCTGGTGGTGGGCGGAACACGCGGGCCACGTGCAATGGTGCGTCTAGTTGGACGGGCTATTTTGGTCCTCAACGGTGATGAGCGGCCCAGGCGCAATTTCGTCTGCTTTGCTACACAATGCCTTGCTTATTAACAAGGTTCATTGTGACGGTGACGCTAAAACAGGAGTCGGTCGATCGTCGAGGCTGCAAGCCGGGTCTGCGCAGACAGTAGAATCCGGGGTAAAAAAGCCAATGGGCAGCAAATAAGGCGTAGCCGTCAGGATGGAAGAGATGTCGAGGTTTGACCCAGACAATGCGCATAAGCAGACAGGCAGGTATATAGATGCAGGCTGTGCAGGCTGTGCGTGTGTGGTGTGGTGTGGTCAGGGACGGGATGCCCAAGACGTGTTAAAAGTTGGGGCCCAAATGTCCGGTCGACCCTAGAGCGCTGGAGTGGCGGGGCCGCCGGAGCTAGTTTCTTCAACACCTTTCCCCACTTCAATTCGGTGAAGAGTGCTGAACAACGAGGAGGAGGGCCAGCAGCTCGCGATCCAGCGATCCAGCCAGTCCAGGAGGAGAAAGGCACTAGAACAGGGGTGGGTGCATGAATCGGCGGGGGCTAGCTGATCTCAAGACACGCATAGAAAGAAGCAAGAAGAGACGAAAGTAGCGGCCCAGACAGACAAGAGTAAAATTGGGTTCGAACGGAACCTGGGCCAAGTAGACTAGGTGGTGGTGGCCAGTGGTTTAGAGGAGGAGGAGGAAGATGGAAATGAGGATGATGAGAATGGAGAGGGAGGAGCAGGACAGAGAAAGAGAGGAATAATCCCTCGCAGACGGCCACTGCGGGATTACTACGGCCGCCAACTGGGACTGTGACTGGCAAAATGCAGTGCATGCAGGCGGATGGCGGATGGAGGATGGAGGATGGAAGAGGCGGTCCGTTCGATGATGGACCAATGTCGATGATGGCTGTCCCTGTCCCAAACCCAAGAGGCCGGGAAAGCTTGGCATTGGCGGCGAGTCGATGAGCCCACGCAGTTGGTCAGGTGAGGGAGCATTGAAGTGGCCTACAGCAGCAGACAGACTGACAGGCAAATTTGATAACCATCTGCCCGCGTTGCTTGTGTGGTTCCGGACCAGCCAGCCATCTCATCCGCGACGGCAGGACGGGTGAGGAGCAGAGAGTGACTCTGGTTCTGCGCTGCCCTGGAAGGCTTCCAGCGTTACGTTGCAGCAGATCGACTCGATCAGTGAGATTGTTGCAGCTGTGAGCTGTGACTCGGCCATGACATACTTTGGCGTCGATCATCGGCCAGGGTGGCAGGGTGGGAACAATGTAGGTCCTGTCCTGTCAGCATGTATGTCCAGCGGTTAGAATTTCAGAGACCCAGTCTTTGAGCCGAGCTGGTGGAGCACGAAGCGAAGCGAAGCGACCGAGCGAGCAAACGATAAGGCATTTGTTTCGTGCTTTGCGTGCGTGCTTGCTTGCTTGCTCGCAGAACCCGTCGGAACCTTGGTAGGGAGTGGGAAGGAAGCGAGGAGCCGAGGGGCAATTGCCTAGCGGCCAACCGGTTGTTTGCTCTTACCCCGGATTCGGGCACGGGCACTTGGAGGCAGGAGCGCACAACACGCAGAGCTGAATAACAGTAGGCGCCGCTCTCGCCTTCCCGAGAGCACGAATACCACAGTACACGTGTACATCTGCTGCGTATCTACTACGTATACGTACCCAGTGGGCACCAAGGTTCCTGCTCAACTTCCTCAACTTGCCATACTACCCAATAGTGGCTTGTACGATAGTACGTTGTCTCTCCCCATCTGTCTGGGTCCTGCCACATGCCTTGACCATTGGCTGCAGTATTGTCGTCGTCTTCTAAATTTTCCCTGGTTGGTCTGTCCATCCATTTTTTTTCTTCCGTTACTGTTGTCATGCAATGTAGAACCTTGGCAGGTTGGACACAATTGCTGATCGCAATCTTCCCAATTCTTCATCAGCCCGATGGACAGGATGGGACGAGACAAGACAAAACAAGACAAGACAGGGGAAGATATCTAAAGTGGCTGCGACGTCATCGTCCGTTGACCCCGCATTGTCCAATTGAGGCTTTTTACCTAGAAAAGTTTAAAGGCAAGATGGCGTGCCAAGACGAGACAGACGCCTGACATCGCTGAGAATCACCTGGGCACAGATGCTGCTGCAGCTCGCTGCTGCTGCTGCTGCTTAGGCGAGCCTCGCGATGATCCGAGCCACCCCTGCTCTGCCGAGCGATCTTGAACAAACCTTCCACTTTGGACCCTGCAGGAAAGACATCACATCTCGAACTCCTGCCTGGTCAGCGGGCAGCAGGACGATGCGTCTACTGCTACTGTCTGCACCTATTCGACAACGGCCGCTCAACCACGTCTCCAAGCTCTGATAGGAGCACGAGTCTTGACCGCTACCAATAGATCCCCAATATGTGTCGTGTCGTGGAAGGAAGATATGCAGACAAACACGACAAACGGCTATCTTCCGTAAGCCCACGGCTCTCTGCCTCGCATCATGCACCCTGGGAGCTGCATGTCGACTCCATGCATGGCCCTCCCAGCGGTGAGGGAAATCTCTTTACCACAGCCCAATGGCACCTCGCGCCCGCTCATCCTTCACTCCTGAGTCGACGTTGATGATGAGCTGGCACTTACTTGCTTCCCTCCTTTTTCTCGCTGGAGACAGACTTCTCCTGGGGACCGGTGGAGCCCGCGTCCCAAGGGAGACTAGACTATCCGCTCCGAGTCCCCATGATCCACGATCTCGACGCCCCGCCGCGCTTGGGGCTTCCCCATCGACCTGGGCGTCTGCTGCTGCATGTGTCATCGTTATCACCTGCCATGCGTCTTGAATAATACTTGAAAAGAATATACAGCAAGGTGGCCTCGCAGCATCCATATTCGCCGCCCTGTTGGCCGGCTCCGGCTTCCTACACCGGTGATGCCAAGCCCTGTTACACTCTGCGCACAGTAAGCATCACCATGGGGGTAAAATTTGTGAGACGCCCATCTGCGACTTCTTTCGTCTTTCCTGCGAAGTCAGCAGCGCCCCATGGGAATCATCTCAGCCTCGAGGAGGGACATGCTTGATTTTCATTGGCTTTCCAAACACTTGCGCGGTTACCTGCATAGGTCGCCATGCGCACAGAGCTAAGTATCTTCAAGCTCGGCTTCCAGACACGTCCTCCGAAGTTTGACGTGTACCGCAGTCGCGTGGACAGCGCCCAACTGTAGAACTGACGGTTTGAATAAGAAAAACCTTGGACGACCGTCGAGAGGGCCTCAGCTCACTGATCCTATCCGATTGGCCTGTATCGATGCGAGACCAAATAGGTTGGAGAAGTTTTTCGTTGCACGTGTTGCCTACCCAGGTGGTGGTGCTACTGGAAATTAAAGCAGCCTGTCCTGCGGGATTGGATATGCAGGGCGAAAAACACGCTCGAGTCACACGACATCAGAGGTCTCAAGGCTATCATGCTGCCTAGAGTACAACCGATTAACTTGTCTGCTATCAAAATCCAGGTGTGTCTTGCCGTTGCGCCTCTGCGGCCCAAAGGACGGCGCACCTGTCGGCTGCAACGTTCCTGATCACCGGGGGTCGTCGTCTTACTAGCACGCCCCAATAACCTCTACATGCGGTCATCATCCAATGCAGATCTGACGCCCTGAATCTGGGGCATCCTGCAAGGGAGGCAACCTCTTATTCTTTTTCGTCTGACCATGGGCTCAATCAAAAGAGTAACCACCCATTTGGGCTACATTGTAGCTAGATCAGTTCCATAGGGCGGCGCCACATCGCCAGCTGACGGCGGAGCTCACCGCCGCTATAGACTAGAGGTCTAGACCACTCTCTATAGGCACACTCCCAACGTCGGGCCAATGGATCCTCGCGAAGTGAGGCATATTCACGGCACATGCGCTGGCGAGGATGGCGGGCGTCAAGATGGTATTAGATGATCGCAAAGACGGGCAGAATCTTAAAATGTCGGCACTGTCCGGATGTTCTCGGACTTCGAAAGGGGGGGCGGGGTGATGAGTCTCGCAGCTCAACCTGTCCACCAGCTGTGATACCTCCTAGGTTAGACTCTATAGTTTGTGGGCTGGCATTGCTTATGCTCTATATAGTTGTCAATAATTTGTTCTAGTTGTACTACAAAAGATATGGGTGTGTGTCTGGCGCAGTGTGGTCGGTGGCCCACGTAATCACTGCTAACAACCAACCCTCAAATCGCCATGCTATGTCCATCAGTCAATTGTCATCGTTGACGGTTCTAAGTCGCAATATGCAGAAAGTGAAGGAATTCTCATAAGAATGGCACATCTGCGCCAATCTCTCTGCTTATCGTCTAAGTGTGGATGATTTTAAGAACCTGCAAGTCGAGGCTGAAGAGTTGGCTATCGTGGACGAGCAGCTGGCCAGGTCCTCGGATAAGTTTCAGGTCTCTTCGAGATAGTTTCTGCAGAATATTTCCTCAAGAGGAAATCTACCTTGAATTGTTTGACAATCTGTGCAGACCTTTCCCCGTGGAATATCTCCCATGAAACAAGAATACACTGTATGACTAGGGTTTCTTTTCCACCCCCAGATAATAATTCAGCTTCTCTTCAATTTAGTTTTGGACCGGGTGACTCTCAGCGCTCATGGACACAATTTGACAGCTGGATCTGTCCAATTTGCATCACTACTGCATGACTAAGTAAGAGAGAGAAAAAAAGTAGCTCAAGCGCCTTGGAGCTTCTATGCAGCATTTCTGGTTGAGGCCTGGCGCAGGAAGCGGCACCATCTGGAGCTGTTGGTTTGCGAATGACGGAATCGAGATCGCCACCTAGTCTAATATTTCTCTCTTCCCATAGGCACTTCTCCCAAAAAGAACCAGCTGCGTTATTTTAAACCTTGATTGTGACTTCATCAAGGCAAAATCATCGGTCAGGCGTCACTTGACGTTGGTCGAATCCTGCTACTACCCACCTAGGTAGGGCATCCATCTCATAACGATCTTCTAGCTCTGGCCTGCTAAGAGTTCCATACCAAAATAACCCTGATAGATTATTGAGAGGGCAGAGTGGCTGCTTCTGCGCAAGTGAGGAGGGAGATGTGCTGACCAACAAACTGCACTGTCCAACCACCATGACATTTCTTAGACTGCTGTAAGGCCCCTTTGAGGCTGTAGTATTTGTATATGCGACTGATACATTGTACCACGCGCATTTTAATTCCGAGCCCAAATGCCCTGAAGATTGCCCTCACAGTCAATGAACCTAGCCAAATATCCCATATTGCCACCGATAGCCGTCTTTTGTCTGAACCGGGCCAGAACCGACCACCCATCTCATCAGCCAAACGATCGCACTACAGTCTGATCCCGATAGAAAAGGAAACAGGATCAACAAAGGGAGGCTTTGGTCCTACGAAAGTAGTCTCAGATACTCACAAGTGCATCCTCCCGCCCATGTCCTCAACCAGCCTCATTGTCCCCTCGATGCTATCGACCGCAAAGGTCGTCAGAACCGCCATATTGACTCTCCCGCCAGGGGCCTCGGAGCCCCATGCCTGGACCAGGCAACCCTGAGGAACCTGTATGAATGCGCCGTTGAGATTGGTGCCCCGGCGAAACATGTGGATTGAACCTGCGGAACTGTTGCCGTTGGTAGGGGTGGACGCGGACGAGGGGTTGAATGTCGTGCATTCCCACTGCGGGGGCACCACAAGTCAGCTAAGTATCTCAGGGTCTCTTCAATCCCACCATAGCATGATCGTCTCCGGAAGTACCTGGATATTGGGCTTCGTTGTTCTACGTGGGTGTGACTTACACCGAAGATCGAGGTGTAGAAGGCCGCGGCTCGAGCGGCGTCTATGACAGGTATCTCGAGCCAGTGGATTGTGCCGTGCTGTATGTGGTATGTCAAGTGTCAATATAAACGACATGTAGAGAGATGAAGGACCCGGGTGGAAGGGCTGTAGAAACAGGGAGAAAGGAGCAAACGGAACGCTATACCAGGGACGTTGACATTGTGCTGTGTAAGTTGCTGTAGTCTTGCAGGACTATGAGACTTCAAGAAGACGGATCTCTGGTTAGAGATGGTAGAAAAGCACCACAGCGCATAATTCACGAGCATCCCGTATTAGTGGTAGGACGGAATCTCTGTATATACCTCCGACCTCCATTTTGCGGCCCCTCATTACACGGTAGCAATAGTCATCTCTCTAAACCAAGCACATAGTTCTCTGGCTTAAATGTCTCAGAGAAGGGCGCAAAATGAGGAGAAACGGGATTTGCTGCCTGAAAAAGGTAACGCCACAGCATCGAGCCGTCCTAGTGGCGTTGTGAGCAAGGATATCACATGCAACCGCGATGATATCGCGTCTGAATCTATCACCGGAGGGGTTCGCGAGGTTGAACAGGACGGGTATTAGTTTCACCGACTTCTGACTACGCTGGGATGTGCTTACTTCTTGGACCCCCAACAAATAAATAATTCAAGTCATGTGTGCTTATAAGATAAGGCGGCAGTATCTATCCCACCTTAAACCGTACTTGGCCTGCTGATCTACTAACAGGTTTGAACGCCGTCGTGAATTCGCGATCAAAACGCCTTCCCGCCGCTAGTACTTACAATGATACTTTTTGTGTCATGCACGTCATCTAAGCCTCCATGCGCCCATCGTGCTCCGCGATCTCCTCCTGTATATCTTCCTCGCCCTCTTGATTCGCTGGCGCCGTCCAGCCTGTACCAGCTTGAACCAAGAGCACCAGCACCACCAAGGCAGCAGCGGAGGTGTACAAGACGTTGAACGCGGCCTCGTATCCCTTCACCGCTACCTCCCTCTCCGCGTTGCTCAGGTAGCCGTTGAATACAAAATTTGGGCTGCCGAGGAGCCTCCTGATCAGAGTCACCCGTCTTGGGGACAGATCGGCCGTCCCATCAAGCTTCAAAAAGCCGGCGGTCAGGTTTTCTCTCAAGCTCCGCGTGAAGATACCGCCCCCGATGGCCGTCCCGAAGCTGCCAGCGAAGCCCCTGAAGGTTGCCAACAGGCTCGTGGCGATAAAGTGTGTCTCAGGGGTAGCGAGGTGAAGGATGTGGGCTAATGTATAATTTAATGCCGCGCCGGTGCAGAATCCGTTCAAAGTGATAATCAACACATATAGCCATGCTGGAGAGCTGGCATTGCTCGTCAGGGAAAGACCGAAGAGGGCCAGTCCGAAGAGGAAGATCGAGACGATGCATGGCAGCCAGAAAGCACCAGAGCGGCGGATATGCAGCCAGCCAACGACCAGGCCGCCGATACCGAAGCCCAGATTTGTGGGGATGAGAACTGTGCCGGCTACTGTGGGAGATAGGCCCCGTACAGCTAGGACGAAAATGGGCGCGTAGTAGAGGACCATCCATCGAGAAGCCATGAAACCTAGCTGAGCCAGGCACGAGAACAAGACACCACGGGACTGCAGGACGCTGATGGGGATCAGCGGGTCGGATGCTACCTTGTACTCGACAAAGACGAAGAGAACAAGGGGAATGATTGAGAGTATCATCGGAAGGACCTGGATGGTACCGGACAGGCCGTAGAGGAAGAGGACAATGGCAGCCGTTAACAAGACAGCGCCAGCATAGTCGATAGCCTTGAGCTTCTGTAAGACACTCTTACCCTTGGCAGGCCCCGTGGTAGCAAACGCCGGGATACTAAAAAAGACACCAGCTCCGGACAGTATTCCAATAGGAGCTTGCACCCAGAACAAGGCCCTCCAACCTAGCACGGGCAAAAGAGCACCAAAAACAACAGCCCCAAATGACACACCGATGGTGAAGCCGAAGTTGACCAAGCCGACGAACAAGCCGCGCCGCTTTCGGGACGTGAGCTGCAGCACCAGGATGAGGGACAGCGTCATAACGCCGCCGCCGCCGATACCGATGAGCACACGGCCCAGCGTGAAGACGGCGAAGGAACCGGCCTGGGAGGTGACGATGGCGCCGATGGCGAAGAAGCAGCCGGCGGTCAGGATCATGAAGCCCGGCGAGAAGATGGTAGCAAGGCGGCCGGCTAGCGGCGCCGATGAGGCGACTGTAATCATGTAGGCTGAGGTGAACCACGTTACGAGCTCGTACGCCTCAAGCTCCTCTGCGATGGCGGACTGCACCATGGTCATGCCGCTCATGTTACATGCTATGAAGGGATTAGCATATTTGCTGTGTATAAGAATTATATACAGATGGCCTGCATGTTGGAGTATTTTGTTGGGGTTTACTTACCCTGCATAAACATGAGAACCCACATGCTGAAGCAGATGCATGCGGCACGTATGGGCGTGACAAAGTGCTGGGCAGCATCGTCGTCGTCATCGTCGACAATACGCCGTTGCAGTGGTGGGCTCGGCGAGCTTGCGATAAGAGGCGTGTTTTCAGTGACATCCGGGACGGTGCTGGCGTTGGTGGCATTGTCGCCCGTGTCCTGATTGAGGAGGTCGCCTCCAGTCATAATGAGCTGGCTAGGTGTCTGGATAAAATGGCAATGGCTGTATGTAGTACACACTATACCATATGACTAACTGAGAGGGCTCAGGGTCGGTAGACAGGCAAGCTTCAAGGGGACGTCACGACATCCCTCAGGTCGATCGCGACATTTCTCAGAGAGATGTATAAGAAATAAAGGAAGCCAGTCATTGTGTACAATGGATGGGGATAGGCACAAAGCAAACTGTCCAGTAGGAGTGCCAGGGCCGAAGGAACCGAGATAATGAACCCCCTACATGGGCGTTGTCAACATGCCCGATCAGATTAGATGATTGGTAATCCGGCACGGACAAACCGGTGCAACACCGATTGTTGGGGCCGCCCGGTCCCAAAACTTCGGGACTCACTATACCGGCATTGGCCCGGAGTTCATATGTGCAGGCGCTTTTATTCCGATCCTCATTGCATCATCATGACTGCTGCCAGTCGCCAACGAACCACGATTGTGGAATGTCTCGAGCTAATTGCTGGAAGTGGGAAACAAAGAAGAGTCGTGGCTTTCATTGGAGCCTACGCCATTGGCATATTCTTCAGGCCAATGTTACTGTGCCTTGCATTGATTGCTGTGCTGTGTATTATTTCTCATGGTATAGCATACAATATTGAGCCTCGGTGACTCTTTATACACACTACTGTGCGATGGTGCTCATTTCATAGAACAACTGAGAGAGAACAATGAAGACTTCAGAACGCGATGAGATGCTCTGGGCGGAGCAGTAGTCGAAATGGCAGTAGCTTCTCATCCTCCTGGAAACCCCAGCCCAGCCACTGGCAACCTGGATCGAAGAAGAGAAGCGGCCTCCACAACAGCGTCTAGACCTTCTCGCTCACCCAAATCGCGCCCCGGCACCCCAGCCGGATAGCCCCAGTGAGCAGCCAGTGGGGCTCGGCCTTCTGGGAGTCATGCTCGACAGCGTGGTCGAGGTGCTCGAGCTCCTCGTCGCGGATGCGGCGCAGCGTGGCAATGAGGTCGCGAAACTCGCCCCCAACCTCGTAGCCCTCGTCCTCCCAGCGGCGCACCATGTCGAGCAGCTCGCGGATCTGCCCGTTGTAGTGGTCGCCGATCTCGGTCTCGACGGCCTCGGTGCACGCCATGGCCGCCTCCTGGCCCATCAGCGCCGTCGCCCACCCCAGCCCGTAGCTCATCGCCGACCACGCCGGGTACATGGCCGTCGGCCGCACGCGGTGCCGGGCAATCAGCGCGTTGAACGTCTTCAGGTGGCCCTCCTCCTGCTCGTACATGTGCCGCATCAGCGGCCGGAGGTGTGGCTGGCGCCGCACCACCGGCGGCGTCTGCGCCGTGTAGATCAGCGTCGCGGCCAGCTCGCCCGCCTGGTTGACGCGCAGGGCTGACGAGAGGAAGTCGCGCTGCTCCTTGGTGAGCGGCTTGCGCTTCCCTTTGTTGCTATTGCCTGTATGCCCATCATTCTGGTGTCTCGCTGCTGACGGTGATGGTGTCAATGATGCGGATGATGTGCTGTCGGCGACTTCGGCGTGCCGGGCGGGTGTGCTTGATACCAGGCGGCGCGACGAGACGGTGGGATAGAAGAGCGCGGGTGCGAGAAAATCGTGGATTGGGAAGTGTCGTGCTGTAGTCAAGTTGCGCCGCGCCGCGCGCAGCAGATTTGCTGGTGGTGCCATATCAATTGATGGGTGCGGGTGTTGGAGAGTAGCAACCAAATTGAAGTGAGTCGCGTACACAGCAAAGTCGAGAAGAAGTCGTGTACATCATCGACAGTGGGCTGATGTCCGGTAGCTATTCCGTGTTGTACCGGAGTCTCCGATTGCCTCGGGAGGGTTTAACCCTGAATTGCAAGGTACCCTCCCCTCAAATTTAACCCCCATCTAACGTGAACTGTAGTCGCAGGGCACGTTAAGATATATCACTGTTAAGGAATACCTCTGGAATATCTACAAAACTAACAATGACTTGAATAGAAGGTTTGGAGCCTTCACAACCCGGAATGCAGCCACCGGGGAGAAACAGTATGCGAATGCGCAGAACCAAACGCCGATTGCTTGATGATGACAACAACCACTTTGCCCAGTTCGAGCCAGTGCCTCGACAGCGAGCCATGCCATGCAACCAGTCTTTGCCAGCATCTACTCTTCGTCTCTGTGACGTTCTGTATAGGAAATTGGCAGATGACGCCAGTAAAGGAGCATTTCTCAGGAAACCACCTCACACCTCCTAGGTGATTCCAATCATGTCTTGGGGACCTCACGAGCATAAACTCCGCAGCTATCTTAGTTACTATAGAAGGGTCAGTACTTGTTCGCAATACCCAACTCCAACAGATCTTGTGACTTACTAGATTTGCAACGGAGCAGCCTGGTCCACCAATGTAAGCCAGTTACCCTTCTCATCAGCGCCGACAAGCCAGTCGTACGGGAACACCACGAGGTGACCCTGGACCATCCCCAGCAAGCCCTCACGCTGCTCCCTGGTCAAAAGCTCCTCAACAGGAGGCCGGTGACGGCTTCCTCTGGTGTTGGCTCGTTTGCGCCGCTTGACAGATCCCTGCACCCCGGGCATCGGGGTCGTCGAAGCCGAGCTGCCCGGTGGCTTCTCCGAGATGGTTGGCGTGTCGGGTGTGCTGAAGGTGGTGCGACGGTCGCGCTTCTCAGGCGTGCGCTCCCTGCTAGCCTCCGGCACTACGAGCTTGGACGAGGGTTCCACTGTGCTGCCATTTGTGTTGCTGTCCTCGCGGGCTGCCGCTGCCTTTTCTGGGTCCACAGATGCCGCCGACGCTGGAACAAAAGGGCTGTTGGCCGGTGGGCTGAAGGCAGGGCTCCCCATAGGCGAGTTGATGGCACGCGCGGCCGCAGCAGCTCTTTCCACGTCGAGCCTGGAGTCCTGTCGAGCATGGCGATGCGCTGGTGATTCATTCTCCGTTGGGGACCTTTTCAGACCTCCCGCCAATGGAGGCAAGGTCTTACCACCACTGCCTTTACCCGTGAACTTACTAGAAAAAGAGCGAGTTGGGGGGAGAGGCAGACCAGCGGCCGAGTTGCCACCTTCCTCAGGCGCGGCTTCCGGAGGTGGCTTTTCAGATCCATTGGCTTCCGCTTGTTCGCTCTGTTCGCTCTTCTGTGGTCCTTCTTGTGCCACTTGCAGTCGTTTTTGGTGGTCTATGAACTCCGTGTACTGATCCCACTCCCTCACCTCATTATCTGGCATGCAGTGAAATACCTCTCTGTAAATTTTGGTGTTGTTGTCCGCAACCCGGGTCCAAATGTCCTCGTAGAATGCCGCATCCAACGGGTCACGCATGCAGTCCTTGTCAATCGCGGCAGGCTTGATCTCAGCGGCTAGAGGATGCGACACAGACAGAATCGGTTCCCCATCTGCATCGAGAAGAGGGGGCCCGCCAATATCCGTATCATCCATTTGTGGGAGGTCGGGAAGCTGGTTGGCCCTGGGAAGCCCTAATTGGTCGGTATTCCGGCGGTCGAGAGGAGGCATTACAGCTCTGCTAGGACCCTCTCCGACCGAGTTCGTTGCAGTAGGCCGCGGGCTTTCGGATTTCTGGCTAGGGGCTGGGCTCTCGATGGTTCCCTTGCCCTCGGCTGAGATATCACGGGCGAGGTATTCTCGGCCACCAATGACAACAGTGTCTCTGCCCTGGTCTAGACCATCCTTCTGTGCCTCTTTCCAGTGGTCTGGACCAAAGCCCTCGACCTCCTGCTTCTTTTTGGGGTCGGCGGGTGCGTCCACACTCTCTGCGTCAACGACATTCGAATCTGAATTGGAGGATTTGGAGGAAGATTGATCGCTGTTGTCCATTCGCTGGAGGTCGACGTCGTGATTAATGCTGTGACCCCTCTCGATTGGCGGACGCGGTACGTCCAACTCTCCGTTAGCCCCTGGCCGTCTTTCTGACCCATCTGAGTCGCTGTGGTAGATTCGGTCCATATCGGACTGGAAAGCTTCTTCATCCGCATTTCTCTCTTCCTCGATAATCTCATCCACAGGAAGACCGAGATGTTCCCTCATGAGCCGCATGCGTAGAGTATGTGCAAAACGGCCGACTTGGAAAGGTTTTCCTCCCATTGTCGACCATATCAGGTCAGTGTCCCTAACGACTGCAGCACATTCGGAGTCACGAGAGCCCAACATGGATCTCTCATTGATGTTGGCCGAGCCTATCAAAGCTACGCGGTCATCAACAATGATGAGTTTGGCATGAATGTAGAGTTGTTCGGTGACGTGCATCTGAGTAGGGCCGATCTTGCCCCATTGCCGTAGGCTAAAGAATTGGATGTAATCTTCAGGGTCAATACCGGCAGCTCGTAGTCTTCCAAATATCGACGACTCCCCACGACAAATACTTCGGTATTGACACTCCATGATGAGCCGGACGCTGGTACCCTCCTTCTCAGCCACGGTGTTCTGGAAACCGGGCATCAGAGGAATGAGTATGACAGCTTTCCAGTCCTCATCGTTCTCGTAGGCCCGCTTGATACGGTCCACGAGAGCGTCACCAATGTTGTTGACAATTGGCACACCAAGCGCTTCGGTGCTTGAGACAAAGAACTGGTTTTCGATGTAAACGAAATGCTCAGACTTTTCAATCATCTGAAGGTACGCGTTCTGAATGCTGCACTCGGTGTGTTGTATTCCCAGCGACCAAGTCGACGCGGATCGAAGAATCTGGACTTCACATGTCCCTGTGAGGCCCATTGCTTCCAGGTCTTCATCTCGGAAGTCCGGCGGTGGCAGCAAATAAGGCAAAGGCCGTGTTGGCTTCCGTCCGCGACGAAGATAGTTCCAACGCTGCACGAAATGACGTGTCAAGTCACGAGCGGGTTGGCCAACTACTTGCATAGAGATGTCGTGCCATGGCATCCGTGGAATCTTCGATCGGTCATACATCTCTTCGTATGGCCGATCCAGGTTGAAAAAGTCCTGCACTCTCGGATTGGTGTAATCTTTGCCCGGAAACATCTGAACATGTTCTGCATCCCTAGGAACGTTCTGGACCTCGTCCGGCTCAAAGCCTGTCGGTTTGTCATCCGTGAGTTTGTGCTGGGGTGTATCCCATCTACCAAAACACAGATCAATACCTCCAACAAATGCGATATAGTGATCAACTATGCAGATCTTCTCGTGATGAGCAAAGAAGTACTGGTTCTTCTTGTATTGGTTTGGGGATCTCTGCACAAAGATGTTGTGATGCAGATTAAGCAAGGACCTCTTCGTGTACTCCGAGTTGATGGGGACCGCGGCCTCGACGTTACGATATACGATGACAAAGATCTTGACGCCTTCTTGGGCCTTCGCCTGGAGAAGCCGGTCGAGACGCCATCTCTGGCTGATGCATGGTGGCCTCCGCATGTATATCTCAGGGCTCAGCCACCAGTCATGGATGTAGATCACGTCCTTCGCCATGGAAATGGCCCGCGAAACATTCCACATGTAATCGCGCCCATCGACAAGCCATTGAGCATACACATTCCGCCGAACAGGTGCAAAGCTGGCGAATCGAATCTTGTCAGAGGCCCATGGCGAGTTTTGCTTCATTAGCTTGATAGACTCCTCAAACTGTGGCAGGTCGTGCTGCTGGGCATAGAGCTTGACCTTCCGCTCGGAATTGATGATCGTCAGTTTGTGATGGTGATTTTTCTTTGACGACTTGGGATCATTCAGAAAATCATCATCGTCGCCGACATCCGCCCCGTCCTGGTCAGACTTAGCCTTCTTGGAGCCCTTTCGCCCAACCTGCTTGAGGCCTTTCTTCTTGGCAATGATTTCGAATTTGAAGTCGACTAGAACGACGTCACATATGTCGATGCTCTCTGGGGAGTCAACACATGCTATGTAGCTCTGTCGGATCAAGAACCACTTGCGATCTCTTCGAGTGACAGCCTTGGCCGGGTTGACGATGCCATTAGCTGGTCGAATCTGCATGAAGCCTTCTTTCCCGTGGTAGCCGCCTTCTGCTGCGAGGCGCACCCCCAGCGCGGAAAGCTCGAAGAAACGGCAGAGGCGATTGCTGTCTGGTCTGAACATGAGCCAGCGTATCATTTCTCGAAGATATTTCTCCAGTGACCGTCTCTGGAACGTAACGTATTTGCGCTTCGCTTCATCAGCGTCTTTAGCAGCCTGGACATGGGCGTCGGGCGCTGCTCCAGTAGAGTCTTCCGGCATCGAGGTATTGCGCCTCGGACTGAGGACGTTCATTCGTGAGCCCTTCCGCTTCTTCCCTGGGCGACCCTCGGCTTCTGTGCCAGTACCCTCGGCAGCAGTCATCTCGCCGGCTGTGGCCTCTCCTGCCGTCATTTCACCGGAAGCTACAGCCTCGAGCGTCTCAGCAGGGCGTGTCTCGTCTTCGTCATCACTGAAGTCCATGGCTTTGATACTTCGCAAGTAAGGAAAGGCTTTGGCAGGGAATTTGGGTTGCTTTGGTCCTATGCGGGCTCCGGGACGTTTCAGTCTCTCGGTGGTGACGCTGCCCTTGTACTTGAGATGCATGCGTACGATGTCTCCAATGCTCTTCTTCACCGTCCAGATCATACGATTCGGCCCATTGCCGTACTCGAGATGGATCGTGAACAGGGTATGTCGTTCGCTATCGCCGCGAACCACGCTGTCGCTGATGTTCACGCGAACCTGCTCGAGAAGCACCGGAATCTTCTTGTGGCCATGTTCGTCACGCTGAAGCATGCTGGCAAACATCACCACGGCTGGCGCACCAGCCCGGAGCTCACCCATAAGTTCGGTAGACTTCAGGTAGTCGATGCGCTCGCCTCTTCTGTGCCGCAGAAGACCCAAAGTATTCTTAACTTGTTTCCATCTGTGGCCGCCGAACGTCGAGTATCGCTCCCCTCCGAAACGTGGCCGCCGCGGAGTCTGTAATGCATCGCCGTCCGACATGCCTCCTCCCCCTGTAAAGACACTCATGCCACGGAAGTGGCTTCTGCGGGTCGTGTCTGCCGCATCGTCTGCCTCCTCCGCATCAACCGATCTACCCAAGTGTGAGTGGCCTCTTATGGCGGGGGGCCTAGAAAGCTCGCGTGCTTCGGATTCCGACACAGCCCCACGGTCGCGAGGGTCTGGCATGGTCGAGCGGCGCGGTAGGGAAGGAAAGCGACGTGCGCTGGGAGAGCCTGTGCGCGTCTTGGGAGTAGAGGGAACGGAGCCGGAGAACTGTCCTATGCGCCTCGGCAGACGGCGCTTCTTCTTTGCGAACGCTCCATTGGATGGCTGTGGAGTCGACTCGTCCGCCGTCTCCTCCACATCGGCATCGTCGACATCGCTGGCGTAATGATGGACATGCTGCGGTGGCTGGGGCCCTTCCGCGGCCATTGGCGTTGAAACGGGAGTGTTCGAAGTGTCACAAGGACCTTTGGGACCTTGGTTGTCAATTTGAACGCTAATTGTTGTACTGTGATATGAGGATGTGGTTCGCTGATCGCGTTGGCATGAAGATGTTATGTTGGAGCGTAGACAATCCCGGATGGCCCCTTGTGCCTCTGGAGTGTGAGACGAGCGTTGTACGATGCTGAGGACGGTCACGCGGGGGACTGGTGGTGGAGGTAGAGGTGCAGGCAGACCTCTAGCGCGGTTTGAGCGGTTCCTGTAGAATACTGAGAGAAGGAGGCAGCAAAAAGAAGAATGTCTCGTCCTCCGCAGTCCTAGAAGCTGTGAAGTCTCCCTTTCCAGGAGATTTGATGGTGGTTAGGAGGTCGCCAGCAATCTGGCTAACAAGAAGCTTGTGGGGACCAAGTAGGGGTCTACAGGGGGGGTTTCAGTGGATGCAGGGGTCCTAGGTCCACCTGGTCTTCTATCAACTGATTGTACAACAACACAGTAGCAATCTTGCATGCAGCTGTACAGGTGATGTCACCCACACCTGGCCGGGCATTTAGGTATCTAGGTAACATGGAGAAATAGAACAGCCATGTTCCACGACGTGGTTTCCACTTCACATGCAATTCGCCAACAGCGCGGCCACCAAAATAGCTTCAAACTGCGAGCGGACACGTGTGATGCTGTCCATGATGACAGCAGATGACCGAGGGCCAAAATAGGATTCTCTCGAGCTATAGTTGGACACAACTGTGCAACCCACCCAGCGTAATCTCCTGCTGATATCGGAGGTGCTCCAAACTCCACCGTCCTGTAGTTCTCGAGATTGAACAAAAACCTTCCAAGATGGCGATGATCCGACTAATCTGAACTTCGTCCAAAGTGCCTAGGCAGATGTGCACGCCAACTCGAATGCATCCAACTTGAATCCAACATACTATTTTGAATATTCAGGCCAAGCAGTTGTACTACTGTTCACATGCCTACTGAGGTCCGAGTTGCATGATAGGACTTTTGGATGTGATGTGAAGGCATCGAGGAAACCCCAAAGATATGCAGCTTTACGCGTTGTAAAGTTGAGCCCAGACGCCGGCAGAGCAAGCCACAGGCTGCTACTGAATCAGGTAGGATAGTTACACAAGTCAAATACTACTGTGTATGTTGTCAAGGGAAAGCAAGCTCGAATATAGAGCGAGAGTTTTGATATAAGCGGGACAATCAGCGGGAATCCCAACCCCAAAGTCCGTCCAGAACCACCCCCCACTTGAGTTGTACAGGGGGTGGGTACGCTCTGAACCCTGGGCATCCATCAATCGCAAGGGTTGAGATAACCGCCGCTTCGCGTCAAACCGAGACGCGTTGTGCCCGGGAGGAGCTCAACAGATCCACGAGCGGCGAAGATACCCAGGTACTCAGACGATCATGCCCAGGTAAGTTCAACTGCACACCATGCCATGACAGTGTTGTACTGACAATCAGAAGGGAGATCATCACGGTTCAGGCAGGCCAATGCGGCAACAGCAGTCAGTACTTTCTACGTCTTGTTGACCCCGAGGGTGTACACGTGCAGCGCCGACAATTGCTGACTCCTCCCAGTTGGCAGCCAGTTCTGGCAGCAGCTTTGTCAGGAGCACGGAATCGGTCAGGATGGAAATCTCGAGGACTTTGCAACCGAGGGTGGCGATCGCAAAGACGTCTTCTTCTACCAAAGCGACGACACTCGGTACATCCCGCGGGCCATCCTGATCGACCTGGAACCCCGCGTCATCAACGGAATACAGACCGGCCCTTTCAAGAACATATACAATCCTGAAAACTTCTACGTTGGCAAAAATGGGGTCGGCGCCGCAAATAACTGGGGTGACGGATACCAGACAGGAGAAACCGTGTGCGAAGATATCCTGGAGATGATAGACCGCGAAGCCGACGGCAGCGACTCGCTCGAGGTAAGTATTTCTAATAACTTGCCGTGGATTAAGAATACTGACACGTGCAAAGGGTTTCATGATGCTGCATTCAATAGCTGGTGGAACGGGTTCCGGCCTGGGATCCTTTTTGCTTGAGCGGTTGAACGACAGGTTCCCAAAGAAGATCATCCAGACATACTCTGTGTTTCCAGACACGACTAATGCCGGAGACGTCGTCGTGCATCCCTACAACAGTATGCTGGCGATGAGGCGGTTGACGCAGAATGCCGACTCAGTAGTGGTTCTCGACAACGGGGCGCTTTCTCACATCGCGGCCGACAGACTACATGTGCAGGAGCCGTCTTTCCAGCAAACTAACCAGCTTGTTTCAACCGTCATGTCTGCCAGCACAACAACGCTGCGATACCCAGGCTACATGCATAACGATCTCGTCAGCATATTGGCCTCCCTGATTCCCACACCTCGTTGTCATTTCCTGATGACCGCGTACACACCTTTCACGGGCGACCAAGTCGAGCAAGCCAAGACGGTGCGGAAGACGACGGTACTCGATGTCATGCGGAGACTGCTACAGCCCAAGAACAGGATGGTCTCGACCGTACCAGGCAAGAAGAGCTGCTATATCTCTATCCTCAATGTCATCCAGGGCGAGGTAGATCCGACAGACGTACACAAGAGTCTCCTCAGGATTAGGGAACGCAGACTGGCACAATTCATCCCATGGGGCCCCGCCAGCATACAGGTGGCCTTGACAAAGCGTAGCCCTTACATCCCAATGAGCCACCGTGTGAGCGGCCTCATGCTGGCAAACCACACAAGCATTGCAACTGTAAGTACAGCATCTACTCGTGGTCCATGATCTATATCTCTAACAAAGTATACAGCTGTTCAAGAGGATAGTCAGGCAGTACGATGGCATGCGGAAGCGTAACGCATTCATGGAGGGATACAAGAAAACGGCCCCATTTTCTGACAACCTTAACGAATTCGACGAGTCCCGAGAAGTGGTGGCCGACTTGATTGCCGACTACGAAGCCGCTGAAAATCCAGATTACCTCAATCCCGACCTAGGCGAGAAGGCCACCTCGGCAGAGACTGACAAACGTGTTGCCTAAGGGTCGTGGGTCTACTGATTACCAAAGGTGCCACAGGTTTGGCCAACGGCGTTTGTGAGGGATTAAATCTGGAGTTGTTCGGCTGGCATCTGACTTTCTGAAAGACCTCTGCACGCATTGGGCCGTGGGCGTTTATGGCAAGATACCAGGCTAAAAATCCATGGAAGGACCCATGATTGTCAAGGTTTCGGGATGGCCCGCCCCTCTATGACTGCGAGCCTCCGCTCACCACCTTGCTCAAGGTCGAGATTTGCGCGATCCATGCCTCATGTGTCATACCTTGTGTGACATATTCGTCGCTTCAATGATTCCATCGGTTTCCGGTAGGAGATCGCGTGTGGGGCAAGATGCGGCTGCAATTTGGGCTGGCGGACCTGAGAAGATGCCCCACCATTTACGTCAACAGCGCGTAGTAGAGTGACGTAGTTTGCCCGAGAGCTACACCACTCTCTACATATAAGACGTTTTTCTTTGGGTTGGACAGATTGTTCTTTCTTTTGCTTCATCATCAAACAAGATACCCCAAAGCAAGAAGAATTTTCACAATCAAAAAACTCGTTCTCCTCAAAACCTCACCCATCAAGCAGCAACCAATTTCACACCCATCACACAGTAAGCCACCTACCCTCCCTTCCCCGATTCTTGCGGTCATCACACAAGTATGACCCTACTGCAGCGAGGGGCTGAGGGGCTGACAGCAACGTTCAGAGATGTCTCAATCTAAGGCCGACAAGATCGCTGAGGCTCAGTCCAACCTGCCTCTCCCCGAGCAGCCCCCCGTCGCCTCGGACTGGAACTCAGCCGACGCCCGCAACGTCAACGTGGGTTCTGGTCGCGACGTGGCGAGCGACATCTCGACTGGCGCCGGCGCTACGTCCGGCCTGCGCGAGCCCGCCACCAAGTCGTCGGAGGCGACCGACATGAGCAACATCGGCCGCGAGGGCAAGGACAACCTGGACGGTCCCCCCAAGGATGCCGCCGCGCGATAGGCGTGCCAGCCTTACTCGCTTCGGCCCAAGCAAATATGGAGCTTAGCTTGATTTCGCGTGGTTTGGCGTTCTCTGGAAGGAAGGGAAATGGCTAGGATGGATGATTACGCGGGCACGATCTTGCCGTGACGGTACGACTACATCGAAGAGTCTCATAACATGGCATGGCCTTTGGCATGTCAAATGGAATGCAATGCATTGACCCACCACATTTGGTTCTTGTACCTGTGATATGTCTGTAATTTCCGCTCCAAAGTATTGCAATGCCTTCGCGTAGTTCTATTATAGTTCGAGCAGTTCTTTTGCAGGGGCTAGCAACTTTTCTTCCCGCAAATGCGATCTGGTTGCGAATTTCATGTCTATTGCGAAATTTGCTTTGCTTTCCACCCATGCCGCCCAGTGCATTTGTACCTGTCTCATCAATCTAACAGCCGTCTATTCTACGGTGGAAATATGTTCCCACTCACAGTATGTATAAACAAGATTCGGAATCGCGCATGTGTCTTGAAATAGCTGCGCAGTAGGGCCATCACTGTGCTCACCAGACCCACTGCTCTGTCCATCTGTACCATATATCGAATCAATCTTGTAGACCCAACAATGTCTTCTGCTGCTTTTCAGACATGCTTATACTTTTTCCCCCTGGCCCTCGAACATAGTAAGAGGCTTCAAAATCTCCAGGGCTGTGGATATAACAATTCCGAGCCAAGCGTGAGGCAAGGTTACATTTGTGAAGTCAGAAGGCCCCACATTTTGGCCCCAAGGCTGGTTTAGTACTGAATGTATTCGAGCACTCACCAGGTCTGGAACTTCCTACCGCTGGAGCATAAGGATGACCGGCAATGCCCATACAAAACATAAAATCCTTTTTCCTGTAGGAAATCTGTCCAGCGTCAAAAACAGAAACCCAGAGAGCGATTGGTGCACATATCAAATAATTACTGCCGCCAAGCTCAAGTCTGGAACAATAGAAATTGATTTCCCGAATTGCTCAAGCTGAGTCAAGACTTGGGTCAGGTCAGTGAACTCATAAGACCAAGTGCTTGAAGAATCTTCTGGAATTACGCATTTACACGCGGTCGTACATTGATATTTGCAAGGACAAAAGTGTGAGTAAATCTGGCTTCATCTTAAGCTTTCATCTTTCACCATGAAAATGTTTCCAAACTGTATTGCTATTAATGGGGGGTTGCATGCCCGTGGAGAAATGACCTATGAGTAGTTCAACTTATTTTTTTCTTTAGCTTTAGAAACCGAATCTCCTTGCTTACTCTCCTGCCACTGAAACGGTCCCTTGCCGTTGATCTGCCTGTATCTTCCTTTCAATGATGGAAGACACTTGTGGGAATACAATCCGTCAAGCAGAAAGAAGGGAGTTAGAAGAGTAAGAATTGGGTAGATGGAATAATCCAGAGTCAAGCGTGTCTTGAGGTTCAAGGTCGGTGAAAAGTTCAGCGCATCTTTTCCTTCCGAGCTCAATCGCCTTTATGCACGTCTACTCATGACAAGACAAGGAAGGAAGAGCTTTTGTGTCCACACATGACGACTTGCTCATGTCTTGGGTACCTGACATCTCAATGCCATGCTGTTAGGCCGACATCTTGGAAGCTGGGGCTTTTCGTACTGTCCAGGCTGTACAAAAAAAAATTAAAAAATTCTTTGCACTGGCAACAGTTCCCAAGTTTCCTCAACAACATAGACCACTTTCAGGCAGCCAGGACAACACATCGCAGCCACCCAACAACATTCAACTTCGACTTCGGTAAGCACCACGTGCCTTCCCTCTCCTTCGACATCCTCTTCTTATACTGAAATCGCTTTGGTCAGGACAGACTCCGTTTTACGCCTTCGCCAAGTGTTCCTAATCGCGTTCCAATCGCGTGCTGACCGCGTTCTAGTCATTGAACATCGACGGCAACATCACCTCCTTGTCTTCTGAGACAGAAAACCACCATCACAAGTGCATCGCAGCCGTGTTTGGGTAGTCTCAGTTGAAGCTGCTTGCGACCGAGGTGCGAACGTCATCCTGAGTAAGTGCCATTCGCTCCTTCTGTCTTTTTTGCCCTCTGCCCCCCCCCCCCAGCTCGAGCACAGGACAGCCCTTAAACTTGTGTCTCTCCATCCTTCCCTTTCCAAAGGCACCCAGAAGAGCAGAGCAACGCATCACAAACAACCTCTTCTGAAATCAAGAAGGAAAAGGCTGTATGTTCTCCTCCCAAAGCGGCCACACATCGAACCAAACACGCGTCGAGACACCTGCTGCCTTGATCTTTCGTCACCTCCTCAAGGTGAACAAACATTTTTATCCCTTTCCCTCAGACTCAGTGGTGTAAGAAACTTGACAGACAGTGGCATTGCGCCTTGTTTCATACCTTGCTGCAGCAGCATCACTTCTGGCAGTGGAAGTTTTATTCATCCTTTTGTGCCCCTTTGGCAACAGCAAAGTGGTACTTTGACCTTTCACAGCTGCCTCAAAACACCTTCTCTGGAAGCCTTACCTGCAAATTCGGGCCTTTCCTTGCTGCCTCCAGCTGATAGCCTGCTGTGGCATCTTTGGTACATCCACTCAAGCCTTGACTGCCCGCACAATTTCCACGTGTTTCCCGCCTCTGCGTACTTGTTCTTCAAAGTTCTGATGGTTCAACCTTGACGAAAGCTAACACCCCCATGTAGCAACATATTCGAGAACGAGTTGGACAAGACATACCCAAGGATGACACCACAAACCGCACAGAAGCGCCAGTATAGCGCTGCTGAGCTGGCCATGCTGGTATGTTACCTCCTCTCTCCGACCGGGCTTGTCGCCCACACCTGAGCTGGGTACTGACTGGCTACCTGTAGGATGATATTGGTGCTGGCCGTGTCGATGAACTCCCCTTACAGGACAGCGGAGCACTTCCTCGCACTGATGCTGCCATGAGCAGTATCGAGAGCGGACGAACCGGTACAAAGAATAGATGGAATCAGGCCATCGCCGGAGGTGCTTTTGACGACGATGACGCTGCTGTTGTTGCTGGACAAGATGATCTTGCGAGTGGCCAGCTTGCTCGCATGCGTCGAGCTGCTAATCTGTCCTACATGGCAATCAACAGCGGTCTCGATTTCAACGATCGTCGTCTCCGTCAAGAGCGCAATGGCCAGGTGGCGCCTCGGGCAAGGTTCTCCCATCCTGGGCGAGCTTCACGGGCTGGCCGTTTTCATAGCGGAGATGAACCTGTCGAGCTCCGCGGATCATTGCCCAGTAGCCGTCATGCACCTGTATCCGCAACTGCGACTACGCCGTCGCCGAGATCCAACACTCAGCGCCCTGAACGCTTTTCGATGAATGGAATGCCAACTTCCGTTCTCCCTCAGGCTCAAGGATTGGGCCGATCTCCCTCCTCTCAAGCCCAGCGCTTGGCTTCATCTAAGCCACCAGCTGAGCCCACAGCTGTTCCGATTCCAAGCATCACTCCACAAGAAGAAGTTCAACAGCCATCATTGGCAGTGAAGTTTGAGTTGCCCGACAACTGCTCCATATTCTTTGAGGCACCGGCCACTTTTGCTTCACCCACCTTCGTCAACCGAACCGCAGAATACCCTGGGACGATGTATTTGGTCGCTGGACCCGTCACCACCAGCGATCAAATTATCCTTCATATTGATGAAGACCGCGTGGAGGATGTGAAGCGTCAGACAAAGGAATACGTTGATTATCTATCGGATACGGATAGACTAATTCTGCAGTTCAAGGACGACTCCGGCCGAATCACTTGGTTTGTGGTTGTCTTTCGCCAGCGGGATTCCATGGTCTCCTTCGTGGATGCTCTTCGGAAATTCGTCAACCGCCCGAAGGAAGCATCCCCAAACCCGGCGACTACGAACACGGGCCAGGTTACCGTCGGTATCTCTGACGAGCTGATTGAGCCTGCTCGTCACTCAACAGCTTCGGTCGTCGCAATACCTCAACAGCAAGATCCTACTAGAACGATCTCAGTGGCCATCCTTGAGGACATTGTCTCGTGGACAATGCATATTGTTGCCTTCGTTCGGGATTCTGGCCCTGCTGAATTAGCAAATGCCGACGCATTGCCTGGAATCATCCGTGGAGCGTCAGCGGCGGTTTTGTTCGACAAGCAGGCCGGCTTTAGTGAACTCGATTCGAAGCAGCGCGTTGCCTTTATTGACGAGGTCTGCGCCCCGCAGGTGTTTGAGAGATTCAAGCGCCGAATGCTTGAGGATGCCGCGAAACGACCACCGACTGAGGCTGAGACAGAAATTGCGCCTGGTACTCAAAAGTCTCCAGAAATGCAGGAGACAACGCCCACTGAGCAGCCTCCTCCCACGTACACCATACAGGAGCTTTTCCAGCTCGAATCTGCGGCTGAGAGCCCACCAGACTATTTGACAGAGATGAGATACCTACCCGAGATGACTTCGGCAACTCGAAATCTGATCCAGCAGGTCATTCGACGTGCGAGGAGGATGGACGAACCCCCCTTGCCAGTGCAGACATCTCGGACTTCAGAGCGCGCCCCTCCTGAAGCTCTTCGTACGAGCCCAGCGAATGCAGGATACGGTTTCGACGGCAATGTCTCCCCAGCCCGTAGGCGAATTGTCAACAATCGTGACGTTGATGCCCCTGCGATCACTATAACCGGCCCGACCGAAACGCCGAATCCTGAAGAGCCCTTGATCTGCCTCTCTGGCAAGATGACTGGACTGAACTCCTCCAGGCACAACAAGAACGGTGTAGATCGCCTTGGACAGAGCGCCGGACAATTCACTGGTGCCCTATCAAGGGATAAATCCTATTTGGAGGATTTGATGCTAATCGATCGCGTCGAGGATTTCGACGTGATCCGGGCCAATGATCCTGAGATTGCCGAGATTGCCGATCGGTTTGCGCGAGTCCACTTCGGTGAAGGACCAGCCTAGAGTAGGCTACTGAGAACAAGCATTGATACTGTGGAAGACATTTTGTGAGTGTGTCACGATCGCGGTTTTGGTGGTTGACCTTGGGGTTGCATGGTTTCACTTCGGAGTTTTGTTGGTCCCTGGCGCGGATTTCCTACGGCATTTCTCAGAACTTCTGGCTGGATGAAGGTCGATCAGATGGTCCTTTGTAATAAAGATGGCAAAAATACTGGATTGAGGAGACACTGGACTTTCTGGCAGATAGTAGCAATCGCGAAGCTCGATCTCAAGGATGCTCGAAATTGTTTGATGCTAGGTATGAATGGCAATTGATACTTAGTAGCCGTTGTGTCCTTCGGTCGGTTGTTCGTGGTTTGGTGGTCGTGCTGTCAGAGCTCCGGCAACATATGAAGGTGAAGTGATAATCACGATGGACACGCCTCTGAGCTAACTGGAATATCCTCGTTGTACCTTCCATTACGCTCAACAGTGGCTTTGGCCCTTGGCGAGCATTATTGGCGAGAGTTTCTGGGTTGTGTTGTGCTAAATTCGACCATGGTTATCATACACTCCACACAAGGTCGTCACGCTCGTCGATCAAATCATTGAGGCTCACGAAGGCATTGGACAACGCCACCCACTTCTGCATTTTGGGCCCTGGATCGTGTATCCGCATCCGTACCCGAGCGATGGTTGTTCCCCTCCCAAACACATCACTCCCGCTCTGGCGCTCACTCATGCACCCACGCCGTGTCCTCCCTCGACACAATGACCTCGTCCACGGGCAGCCGCTTGCCAACAATCTCCTCCCCGTTGGGCAAGTCGTTCTCGACCGCCCTCCGGTCCGCCTCGGCCTCGTCGGCAGCGATGCCAGCCTTGACGTGGCGCGCGACCAGCCGCCTTCGGGCGACGGCGAAGTCGACGTCGACGAACCACACCTCGTCCATCAGGCGCGCGGCGGCCGACCACGGCTCCTTGTCCAGCGCGACGTAGTTGCCCTCGAAGACGACGATGCGGTGTGACGGCAGGATCGGGATGTCGGCCTCCTTGGGGTCCTTGACGGCGTGGTCGAACGACGGCGCGAAGACCGTCCCCGCCGGGTAGTCCTCGGGCCTCGCGGGCGTCTGTGCCGGGGCCGGGGCCGGGGCCGGGGCCGGGGGCACGGCCAGGGGCTCGCGGAGCGCCTGGATCAGCTTGTGGAAGGAGGCGCCGTCGAAGGTGAACTCTGCGCCGCGCCGGGCGTGCGCCGTCGCCGGGTCTGGCATCGCCGACAGCTGCGCCCGCGTCAGGTGGTAGCCGTCCATGGGCACGAAGGCTGCTATCGGCGTCGGGGTGTATGATGAATGCGAGGTCTCCAGCTTTGCGTGCCTGGCGTTGAGGGCCGTGGTCACGATCTGGGAGAGGGTCGTTTTGCCTGAGGGGGGTGGTGTGAGTTTGCTTGATGGGTACATGTTTGGTAGGCACCGGGCCGGAAGAGCATGCGGACAGCCGCTCTCGAGCACTTTCCCTTAGAGAGTCGGGGCATCACAGCTCGACTGACCTGAGCCTGGAATTCCGCCGATTCCAATCACTGTGATTCTCGGTATTAGTGGTCTGTCGCTCACGTGTTCCGTATGCATATGTTCCGGGATGATACTTCAATACCCGAGCTCACTTGAGCTCTGCCACTCAGCCTGCTTGAGCAGCTGGATCCCGAAACAATTTGTGTGAATGAAATGCGTGTTTACGACTCCTGATCACAGGATAGTGCCTTTACCTCTTCTAGACAGCACGATCAAATGAAATCACACTCACTGAGTCGCCGTTCGGGGGGCGTCTGCAGGAACTTGTCCCAGGCCTTGTTTACGAGTCGTTCGACCTGGTTATCCATGTTCTCTTATCTCTAACACTGTTGGTAAAATGCAGTGTATAAGTCTGGCTTAAATGAGAATAAATGACAACTTCACGTTGAGTTGGGGGGGTTGGTTGTAAAGCAGAGAGAAGAGGACAGAGGAGGGGACTGTCGCTGCACTGGGACGACTCGTCCCACGGACTTGCATCACCAACATCTCACTACAAGCCCCACCAAAAATAGGACCCTTTTGGGACCGAACCTTGCAATTCAACGTCCGCCCATCCACTTCTTGGACCTGCCAGCCTGCACATTGATGTCAACACCTGCAGCCCTACCGAGATTTGGACTGACAGGATCCCTGACCCGACTTCCCAGTCTCGTCTGTTTTATTCCCACAAAAACAGCCACCCACCAGACTTTAACTTCGCGACATTTGAGGACCGCGCCGGCCTACCGTCTACCCATCCACAGGCCCGGCCCAGCGCAAGTGGGCCGACTGTGTGAGGGCCACACGAGGAGGGCAAAATGGCCCAAGATGAAATTGACAACGAGTCGGCCGGGCTCTTCAACATCTCCATCTCCGACTCGGAAGAGGACGACGTCGACACGAGCCACGGCATCGCAAACTCCAAGAAGAGCCGGGAGGACCGCACCGGGCAGTCCGAGGATGCGTTCCAGGCCGTGAAGCGCGAGTACCGGGCCAAGGTCGAGAACGGCGAGGTGAGTTAGCAGCAACCACCAGCGATCTAGTCATTACTATATCAGGTAAAAAAGAAAGCAAAATCTCTGACGATGAGCCCTAGATATGGAAGTCTATAGTTGTCCCGCTCGGCCCGCGCAGGGTGCCGAAGCACGAGGGCCAGGAGCTGCTGCACGCGGTGGAGGAGCTGTATTTCTTCCGCAGGTTCGAGGAGGCCGTCTTGTTTGTCGGGAGGATTTTTGACGGGGAGGGGGGCGGGGATGGGCTGGACAAGGACGTCCGGGATCTGCTTAGAACCTACGAGAGGAAGTGCAGTGAGAAGCTGGGCCGGAAGTAATGATATTTTTTTGCGCGACATGAGGTACCTGTGTGAACTACACCGTCTAAGTCATGAAGCCCGTGCCCGAAGGATACGCGGTGGTGACAATATCGTCACAAGTACATTTGGAACCAGTGTGCTCGACTCAGTTTGATGAGAGTAGAAGCCATTTTCTTGCAATTATGACTAAGTGTCTATCATGTCTATTGTGAGATCAAGCCTTCGGGCGATCGTGAGCGTATAATCAAACCCCAAACAGATGGGGGTATCCGGAACACCGCGAATCTAATACAACCGAGTACTCCTTTTGCCGAACTCTAACCCATCTGTACTCCTTTTTAGTGTCTCAAAAGCCAACGCTATGCTGATAATATCAAGTCGTGTGTTGCATGTGCAGGTCGTAGCAACCATGATCATGGTGCTGCTCGAGTGTTTGTGTGTACGCAGGTAGTGCTCCACACCGGAGGGGGAGAACAATTGCAATCTATGCAACCGCGGCCATGGCGGCCCTCTCCCGCTCCCGCTCCTCAGCGAACACCCTCCTGCTCATCGCAAGCACGGCCTCGAAGCCCTCCTTGCCCTTGAGTGCGTTGTCCCGGAACCGGCAGACAGAGACTTCCTCGATCTTGTTCTTGATGCGCTGCCAGCCGCCGCACAGGGCAGTGATCTTGGCCTCCTGGGCAAACTGGGTCTGGTGGTCGCTCAGGGGCTTGTAGACCACGGTCTCTTGGCAGTTGATGAGGTTGGCCCAGGTGATATTCCAGGACACCATGGTGACCGTCTTGCGGGCCGGGTCGACGTAAGAGGTCTCAAACACCTGGCTGACGTCGCCGGCACCGACAATGGACTTCATCCATTCTGGTGCTGACTGCTTGCATGTGATGAGACGCTCGGTGCGGAGGATGCCTGTTGTGGGCTCGACGGTGCGGGCGAGGGTGTCGACGGCGACGACATGGGTGGATTGCTCGTTCCAGGGGCAGTATTTGCGCCAGTTGGCGGTTGTCACCTCCTCCCAAGAGTAGTTGAAGGTGTGTGAGCTGGAGAAGACCTTCATCTTGAAATTGTAGGCCTGGGGTTTGGAGGGTGCCCTCTGAAGCGGTGGTGGTCGAGAAGTGAATCTCTTGTGACCTTCGTTGACGAGGTCGGGAGTGTTCGGTTTCCGCTGGTCGTGCCGCGCGGAAATGTCGGGTTCTTTTGAGGAGTCTTTTTCTCTCTTTTTGATTTATTGGTGTGGTGGACTTTTTGAACAAAGCAACGTGTCTATCAGAAAGACTCGATATGGAAACTTGTTTAAAGAAAGTACTCGCCCCTGACGTGGGTGACTGAGAGATTGATGGAGGTTTTTCACAGGATGGAAAAGATAGCGGAGAGCGAGCAGGGTGCGCGTTTTTAATGGGGCCGTTGATTAGAGTTTCGAAAATTCTGGCGGCGAAGGCGACGAAAGCAGATCGGAACCCAGGGGCTATCGGGCCAACCAGGAAGCGAGTATTCACCCCCAGAAGCTGGGGTTTGACAGAGACTGCAGGGGGTCGCGAACCGACGGCGGAGCGGAGACCCTGGCTCGCCTGGCCACCCGGCCTGTGACAAACAGGTCTCTAACAGCCTGCGGCACCAGCTGTATGGCGATCTGCTAGTCACATACTAGACAGGATCCCTTATTTTTGCGGGTCATTCCGGCTCCGCGACCCATGCACCTGAGCAAATGATGAGCGCGATCGGCCGGCCGGAAACGTCACGAACGGGGGGGCACAAGGCACGAGGCAAAGCCATCGACGTCGGTTCGAGACGGGCCCAGTTCTCTCAACGGGACGCCATGTTGTCATTCCCGCGCTTCCTGACGTCTCGACCGTCCACACGGCCGCCCACACGACCGCCCACTGTCTCTATCAGTCGCCCTGTGTTATTTGTTGTTATTGCCTGGGTGTATACACGCATGATGTTGCTTAAGCGTATACAATAGCATAATCAACATATACCCTTAGTCTACTTCTGACTCACCTATGCCGGCCTGCGTATATCGAAATGGCCGAATGGCTGGCTGGCTGGGAGTTGGTTATGCAAAGTTGCACAGGCGATCAGGTAGAACATGGTCAGGGGCACATATGACGATAGAGGAACCCTCTTGGGACCTTGATATTGTTCTTCATGTGACATTGTCGGTGTGACAGTAAACAGGACCTCGTCAGTCCTGGCACGAAGCAGCAAGACAGAGCACATTCTGCTTGGTTTTATAACGTGGACTCATCAACATGGACATGAGGCTATCAAGCCCAAGGACATGAACTTCATCCCCATGCTCATCAATAATCGTCACCTCGGCTGATAATCTCCTTGCAGCTTGGCTTGATCAAGATAGTCTAATAACAAGTCAGCATCCAATAACACAACATCTAACAATGGCCGGGGATGGGGGGGGGGGGGAGATCATAATCACTCACATGCTCGAACTGCGCCGTGTAGGACCCCTTCTTGTCTACTAAAGGAGGGTAGTCCTGTACGATGCCAGTGTTGACGAGGTTGTTCAGCCCCAGCAAGTACTTGTCGCAGCCGATGCGGTCCAGGTACCGCCGGCAGAATGGCAGCGTACCGAAATTCTTCTTGATGGTGTTGAGCAGCGACCTGGCCGACGACAGCCGCAGGTCCACCTTGGGCGCGTCCGCCATCAGCGCGTAGTGCGACACCTCGCCCTGGTCCCTCACGTAGCCGTTGCCGGTGCTGCCGAACGTCTCGATGGCGAACACGTCGCCCTCCTCCATCTTGGTCTGGTCCTCGGTCTTGACAATGGGAACGCTCTTGTCGCCGTGGATGCTGTAGTGATGGATCGTGTGCCCGTTCAGGTTGCGGATCGACTTGATCGGGTACGTCTTGCCGTCCAGCTCGATCTCGTAGCTCTCCATCGTCTCCTGGATGGCCCCGCCGATCTCGCCGAGCCGCGCGTCGATGCCGGCCTCCTTCACGCCCGTGTTGGTCGCCGCCTTGACGGCGTCCAGCAGGTTGTCGTACTTGTGGTCAAACGCCATCGTGAAGGCGCTGTCCACGATGCGCCCGTTGACGTGCACGCCAATGTCGATCTTCATGACGTCGTCTTGCCCAAATACCTTGTTGTTAATCGCGTTGGGCGAGTAGTGCGCCGCGATGTCGTTCAGGTTCAGGCCCGTTGGGAAGCCCATGCCCGCCACGATGGCGTCGCCCTCCTCCAGCCCGGAGTGTCCCACAAGCGCCCGCACGCTGTCTTCAATACCGTTGGCTATCTCGGTGAGACTCATCCCCGGCTGAATCCACTTCTGCGCCCACTGCCGCACTTGCCTGTGCGTCTCGGCACCATGTCTGTAGTCACGGAGGAAATCATCGTTCATAAGAAGCCGCTCGCGCTCCCGCACCTCCTCGTCGGTCGTGCGCTTAAGGTTCTCCTCTCCAATATACTCGACCTCCTCGCCCTTGGGGTAGGTGCCGTTAGGGAACAGCTGGGACAGGAGGACCCGTGGAGGGTCGGACTGGGTGGTAGCCTTCTTCTTCTTCTTCTTTTTCTTGTTCTTCTTCTTCTTCTTCTTGGCAGCCCCTTCGCCTTCTACCTGGGCGCCTTCGTCTGCCTCGTCGTCCGAGCCGTCACTGTCCTGGTCGGCGGCATCACCCTGCGCTGCAGCCTTTGTGGTGGCCTTGCCATTCGTGCCGGCAGCGTCCTGGACTGTATTTTTCGTCAGACCACCTGAGGAGAGCCAACAGTTGCAATGTCTCGGGACAGCTTACCTGTGAGCTTGTCCAGCTCTTCTGTAGGAGCCTGAGCCGCCATGTTGATTCTGCCCTTCTGGGGTAAAAGGCAGGAAGAGAGATCAGGCTACCTCGAACTTGGGCGTGCGAAAAAGGCACCCCACTGAGTCGAGAAATGTTTATATGGAAGGGCGCATATTTTGGACGGCAAGGCGTACGTATTTTACCGTAGTTTTGGGAAAGGGACCGCAGCTAAGCGAATCCAGTACAATACCATGTCACTACTCCGATGTCGTCACTATTCCTTACTGCGGATGCGCAGCATTGACTACATTAACTCACGATTCAGAATTTCACCTTCAACCTCTCTATTGAGATACCAATCTTTCAATGGGTTCATCTTGAGCTCTCCCTAACATCCAGGAATTGGCTTTAGCAAGCCAGCGAGGTCGGGATGAGGAATGCCACTCCGCATCGCCCCGTTCCGTGCAGCACTGCACCTCGCAGCCGCAGCAGACCGCAGCACGCGACCGCCACCCAGCAGCTTCTCGTGCTTCTTCCACAGCAGCCCGGCCCTGCGTCGCGATGACATCGACAGCAAGAACCACTATGAGACCCTCGGCGTCCAGACCACCGCCTCCTCCAAGGACATCAAGCGGTCCTTCTACCACCTCTCCAAGACCCACCACCCGGACCACAACCGGGACGACCCCCTAGCCTCGAAGCGCTTCATGCGCATCAGCGAGGCCTACAGCGTGCTCTCCCACGACGACCGCCGCGCAAAGTACGACCGCGACGTCTTGCGCCTGCACGACCAGCGCGCCGGCGCTGGCGGCCCCGGGTCTGCCTCGCACCGCGGCGGTAGCTACAGCAGCACCGGCCCGGCGGGCGGGAGGCCGGCGTCGGGCCTGTCGCGGAGGCGAGGGACCTTCCGCGGCCCGCCGCCGAGCTTCTACCGCAGCGGCGGGTGGGGCGCGCACGGGGCCAAGAGGAGCCAGGCGCAAGATCAGTCGGCCAGCGGCAGCGGCGCCGGACACGATGCCCACCACCATCACCAGCACCACCACGGCCATCATCATCAACATCAGCATCAGTCGTCGGGTACGCACGGCTACGGCAACTTCAACGGCGGGATGGGGCCGGGCCAGGATCCGTTCGGCGGCGGCGGCGGCAGCAGCGGCGACATGCCGCACTTCGACCGGACGGCCAAGGCGGCGCACACGCGGACGCAGAGCCGGGTTGACGAGATCCGGGCGCGCAACGTGGCCAAGAAGCACCGGTTCCCGAGCGCGTCGGGCGACTACGGGGAGATCGGGAGCTTCTTCGCAGTGCTGGGCGTATTGGGTGTGGCGGTCGGGCTGCCTTACCTCGTCATGAGGGGATGGAGCCGGACAACGGAAAATAAAAAGAAGTCGACAAGGACGGCGGCAGGATGATGTTGTTTGGGAGAGGTGGATGGTAAATTGATACCCGGGCCTTTGAGCCTCCGTCGCTCGGTTGTGAAAGCTTGCTGTCGTAACTGCTAGACGAGAGAAAAGACGCCGTCTTTTCAGCGAGACCTAGACAAATACAAGAGGATCGATGCGAAGTTGAGCTTGCATGATTGTATTATGAAGGGTTCCTTCCAGGCACGCGCTCGTCTAATCTACATTTCCGAATGTCCATTCCCACCCGAATGCTGATCGTCTAAGCTGCGAAATTTGGTATACATGGGGGATTCAAAGTCTAGAGGAAGAGTATGCCGTCCATCCAAACCTCGGCAAGAATCGCATTCGGACGAGCCAAGGACAAGGGGCCTCCCTATTTCCAGATCTCACATTTAGCCCTCGAAGGTGAAGCTAGCACCGACCTGTGTAAGTGACATTAGTATTGGTCATCATCGCCTCTTCTTCATGTCCCCGGCGGAAATACACACCTTGTGGGTGGCCTGGTCAAGCTTCTGGGTATCGAAAGAGGCACCAATGCCGAGAGTGACACCGGGGCGGAGGAGGACGTTGTAGGCGATGGCGGTGACACCGCGGTCGTTGATCTTGCCCTGTAATCACGGTCATCAATTTTCACGTCCCAAACTGCTGCGGATCCCGGCGGCAACAAACCTTGACGAAGGAGACGGGGTCGATGCGGTACTTGGTAGCAACCTCCAGACCGACGGCGCTACCAGGGGTCTTGGAGTCCCACTGAGCCTTGGCACCGGCCTCAACAAGGGGGTTGACCTTGTGGTAGTAGGAAGCGGCGAAGACTCTGCACTTGTCGGAGGCGGTGATGGCGGCGGTGTAAGTGGGGTGGGCGAAGCCAACGGCGGCGGCGAAGGTGGTGACGTTAGCGTTCTGGACGTCGAAGCCGGCGGAGGCACCAGCCAGGAAGCCCTCGTGGCCGACAACGGCGTCAACGTTGGCGGTGGGGCCCTTGAGCAGGTCGAAGAAGCCACGGAAGTGGAACTTGGGCTGCTTGAAGTACAGGTTGAGCTTGGCGCCCTTCTTCTGCGACTGGGGCAGGAAGGAGAAGGCACCCTCAAGCTTCAGGCCCTTGGCGAGGTTGTCGGCGGCCTCGACCTTGGTGTCGAGGGCGTTCAGGGTGTTCCACGTCTGGGTGACGGTGATGCCTGGTCGTAGCCCAATTCTAATCAGCAAAAGTTGAAAGCCTGGGACAAGCACTGTGCCGAATTGGACCGGGTAGCGATACTATCGGTACGCCTGTCCAAACAGCTCGAGCTCGCACCGGAGAGGTGGTCCTGCACGAGGGAGGACTCGCCGTCTTTGCGGGAGGTTGGGTGTACCATTTGCCTTGTCCGAGAACTTTCCCTCGATCTGTTGGTCCCGCGAACAGGGTCAAGTCAGCCGCCAGGTTACGTTACATTTGTGTCTCCAACGCAACTGGTTATGTCGCATGTTCTTGACGAAGCTGATGGGGCCTTGGGCTATTCGTACCGCGCCAGAGGTGGCCTTGTCGTGGCTGCTCTTGCCAGTCACCTTGAAGGCAACATTGTTGGGGGTGTTGCTCTTGACCTCGATGGTACCGGCAGAGAGGTGGTAGAAGTCCTTGTTGAGCAACTAGAGGAGGAACAGAGTGTTAGCAAGACTGTCTCGCGCGAATTGGCCCTCTCCCCAGCTCAACGCCTCGTCGAAGTGAGCGGGCGGGCGAAAGCCGGGGAAGGTGGTGGAGCAGCCGAACTCACGTCGTTGGCCGACTTGGAGATGTCGGAGAAGGCTGGGATAGACATTTTGGTCGGAGGGGAGGGAAGAAGAAAGCGCCCTTGGAATGGAAAGACTAAATGCTTGGTAGAGAAGCTGAACGATTCCTTTCCAAAAGGATGAAAGTAAGACTTGTGGATGGTGAGGTTGACAACACTTTGTTTGTTGAGCTGACTGAAGCTCGGTAGCTGCGACTGACAACCGCGAAATTTGATTTCCGCTCCAGAGCCATTGGGCAGGTCGGCTCAAACCGGCCCCATAATGAGACAGGGGGGCCAGGCAATGGAAGGTCGCAGACTCAGGAGCAGAGCAGAACACTAACCCCTCTGCCCCTCTGCATTGACACCACCATTACCACGTGCTGCACCAGAGCCTTTGAATGGGTCTTCATGCATAGACGATGACTCCGATTCATGCAAATGTCTACATGCCGAGGCCATCCCTTCAATATTCTGTCTTGACTCAGATTGTAGGTCAATTAGCCAAGTCCAAGTCCAGGGCCAGTCGCCAGAACTGCGCGCATCACCAAGTGCTTCAATCGGTTTCGTTCTTGGATAATGTCGCAAGTCTATTCGGTGGAAAGAGGGAAGCCGCCATATCTATGGTATTCCCACCCCGTGGTCCAATTGTGGTATAAGATTTCCTTGCTAGTCTATGCTCTGTTCCGTCCCTAAATCGACCTTCCAAACTCACCACATCCAACCTCAAATTACCTTGTCTGTATCCCACTACTCAACATGGGCGTACTTCTGCTGGTGAGAAGCGATGGCACTATTATTACGGGTTAGAACACACTGTCGGGCATCTCAAGTCTAGGCCGTACTCACCGTCCACTGGGGTCAGTCTGCTTCACCCACTTCGGCACCCACCGCATCACGGTCGAAGCACAGCTCGGGGGGAAGTGCTCGTCGAACATGCAGCGGTACCAGTAGGCCTCCTTCGTGTCAGGGATGTCGCTGCCCCACTCAGGCTTGGGGTTCTTCATCATCTCATCAGTGACCTGGATCTCAGCGTTGTCCTTGAGCGCGTCGATCCAGCCGTAACCCACACCGTCCGAGAACTGCTCCTTCTGACGCCAGAGGATCTCGTCAGGCAGGTATGGCTCGTTGTCCGGCTCGTCAGAGGTGTCGAAGGCCTTGCGCAGGATGTACTTCTCCATGCGATCCTTGGTGATCATCTTGTCCGCCGGGTCGATGGCCATGGACGTCTCAAGGAACTTGAAGGTGGTCAGTATGCATGAATGGATGGAAGATGGTACGACGACTCTTCACATACCTCCTTGTCCAGGAATGGCACTCGCGCCTCAAGACCCCATGCTGAGGTGGACTTGTTGGCACGGAGACAGTCGGCCAGATGCAGGGCCTTAACACGGCGGACACACTCGTCGTGGAAGGACTCCTTGTCGGGGGCGTGTCCGAAGTACAGGTAACCACCAAAGATCTCGTCACTACCCTCGCCACTGAGCACCATCTTGATGCCCATGGCCTTGATCTTGCGGGACAACAGGTACATGGGTGTCGATGCTCGAATCGTCGTCACATCGTAAGTCTCCAGGTGATAGATGACATCCGACAGTGCGTTCAGACCGTCCTCAATGGTGAACGTCATGACGTGATGTTTTGTTCCCAGGAACTTCGCCACCTTGAGCGCCGCCTCGTTGTCGGGTGAGCCTGGCAGGCCAATAGAGAAGGAGTTAAGCTGAGGCAGGTATGTGACGGTAGACAATTTGTTCTCGTCGTCAATACCCACAAGACCCTCGCCCTTGTCCTCATCGCCGGGCTGGGGCTCCGCGCCGCCGTTGGCCTCCAGAGCAGCCTTCTTCAGGCGCATGGTCTCGCGCTGTGCAATTGATGCAACGAGACTAGAGTCCAGACCTCCCGACAACAGGACACCGTAGGGAACCTCAGCCATCAGCCGTTTTCGCACAGACTTCTCGAGGCTCTGGCGCAGAAGCTTCAAGTCGACAGGCTGTTGTGGCACCTTCGAGCCGTCCCACCATTTTGGCTCGAAATACCTTGTTGTCTGGCCGGTCTGGCTGTCGTAGATATGCCCCGGGGGGAAGGCCTCGATCTTGTCACACACAGGGTGCAGGCACTTGAGCTCTGAGCCGAAGTAGACAGTGCCAGGCTCCTTCGACGACCAGCCCTGGTACAGTGTGGTAATGCCGATAGGGTCACGGGCGGCTATCGTCCGGTCGAGCTTCTTGTCGTACAACACGAATGAAAACATGCCATCGAGGTACTTAGGGGCGTCGAGGCCATATTCCATGTACTGTGACGGGGTAATCAGCCTCTTCATTCCCTTCCTAACCTAGACGAGTGTGTACCAACCAGAGGGATGACGACCTCGCAGTCTGAGTGAGTCTTGAAGTGGTATGGTGTCTTGAGAGACTTTCGGATTAACCTGTGGTTGTAGATCTCGCCGTTGACGGCGAGAATGATGCTCTCATCGGCGTTGGTCAGAGGCTGGGCACCGCTTTCTGGCTGTGCGTCAGTTTGGAAGCTATCGAAGGCGGTGGCAATGCGACTCACCGACGCCCACGATACTCAACCGCTCATGGCACAAGACTGTCGCAAGAAGTCAGCAAGGCTTGCGCGACGTCTTACATGATATCCATAGGAGGGGCCCTCATACTTGTGTCCTTGCAGATGACACTGCCGCCTATAGAGCCACCAATGTCAGTGTACCGTAGGGCGCAAAAGAAAAGCGCGCGTGACTCAATTCTTACTCCAATCGGGACCTCTGTGCCGAATCCTGTAGCGATAAAGTCAATTGAGCTGCTCTCCAACCAGGACCGGTGGTACACACGCTTTTGAGAGCTTCAATGCGGTCGGCTTGAACTTTTGCACCTCGGGGTGTCTGCGCGCACGCTGTCAGTCGAGCTCAATCCGCGAAATTCATCGTGATGGTGGGGCACGGAGCTGCCCCTCCAAGGGAGATCGCCCCAAGCCATTGACTCGGGAAGGGTGGAGATTCGTACCTGTGACATGCGAATATACCACACATCGTGACTGGAAACTGTGTTGACTCTGAATATGCGGAAGAGGATGGCAAAGGGAAGGAGGATGCGACGGTCAAGAGGTCCAGCTGTCTGCTCGGCAGGAAGAATACTGAAAAAGAATGGGAGGGGAGAACAATCAGCCAGCGAGCCAGTCGAGCAATGGGTCTATCTATCCAGTAGCAGAGACGTCAGTTGAGTCAGAGTCAGCTAAATTCGATTTGATAAAATATCCTGATACAGCCCACCGCGAGGCCCCATGCGAAACGTAACGCCTGTGATTTAATTTTGGTCAGAGCTTGGGCGAGCTGGTTCCGATCTCGGGCGCGAACCTGAAGAGTCATCTACTGGTCCAACGCTTATCTAGGCCCCTGAGACAATGCCACGCTCCCTGATTTACATGCATTCCGTGTGCTTCAAACAGCGCCAACGGGATCCCCAAACTACCTACGGAACCACGAATAAGTAACTGACTAGCTAGCGATAACGTCGAGTGGTGGTTTGGCACAGCAGCGCCCAGCGCATTCAAAGTGTACGCGATCCATACGTCTGGCTTCCGGGCGCATGGCAACACAATTGTTGCCAAGACGAGTGATAGAAATGCGGGTCGATAATTTCAGAATGACGCTTGTACAAAACAGCTATCTAAGAGGGATTATCACTGTCCAAGTCTTGACAACTCCGTTCATTTAAATGTTGTGTGAGTCACGGCCAGAATCATTCAGAGATGTGGCCGAAGCTGAGCTTGGATTAATTGTTCCCTTAACCAAACGCCGAGGCAATGTATGAGGGAGAGTGAGAGCAGCGGAGACGTGTGTGAACAAGACCAAGTCTTGCATGTCTCTCCCTCATTCAACAGCACGGATGTCAGAGTGCTCCTCATTGCATTGTAATCGTCTCTTCGTTGGTTTTATTCAGGACTCCCGCAAAGATGCTGCGCAGTTGCGCAACCACATCGCATCTCAAACTCCGTGTAAATGAATCACCTGAGCCGACCCTGCCTGGTATCCGCCCTGCCTAGAACTCCGAAAAATCCTGCGAAAGTACACAACGAAGTGGGGAAGTCCAAGCAGCGCAAGCAAGACTTCACTTCTCAAGGGGCAGGGTTGTCGCGCACCACCCGCTTGACACGGCGCTCGTACTCCGCGCGGTCCTTCTTGAAGAGGTTATAGGCGTCTGCCTGCGCAGGCGACTCGGGGTTGGGATCGTTCAGGAGGTCCTGTACACCGATGAGAATCTGCTTTACGGTGATGGCCGGTTTCCACGCCTCCTCCTCGTTCAGTATGGACAGGCAAACGGTGCCGCTCGGGTAGACATTTGGATGGAACAGAGGCGGAACGAATTTGCCTGTGCATCATGTTAGAGCTTCGTATCCTCTGCGGCATCTTGCTTCGGCAATGTCGGGCTTACATTTTGGAGGCTTTGTCGGGTACTCTGGGTAGGTTTCCAAGTCACAAGTCAGTAATTTGTTTCTCCAGACTTGTTGGCTCGGGCAACATACCGTCGGGGAACTGCACCGTCAGCTTGAACTGGCCACCCTCCCAAATGGTCTTCTCCTTGCCAGGAATACCACACTCCCAGTTCTTGAGGTCGAGGATGCCATCGCTGTTTCGCGTCGGTCGCGCATAGAACCCGAACGGGTGATCGCGCCTCCAGAGCTTGCTGTTCAGTGATCTCGTCAGCGGGCTTGCAAATGCAGACTGCGCGTTCAAGCTGCTGGCCACACGTACCGCTCCTCTTGGAGACGATTCATACACAGAGACATGTCTGCAAAGAGGTGATAGTATTTGCGATAGGAAGGAGTACTGGCGCGCAAGGTCGACGATGAAGGCTTTCGAAAGCTGAAAGTTGACGCCGTTGGGTGCCTACCCGTTGGCAACGGCAGGCGATTTGGCGAAGCTGTCACCTCAAAACTTCCGAGGCGAGGCTAGAAGGGGCGAACGATCAAGAAGATAGCCGGGAGAAGGGAGAGACTGATATTTTAGCACCTCGTAATGCTTCTAAGAGCATAAAAGGGGGTGGGAGAGGGAAGTATCAAGAAGCTTGGTGATAGACAGCGGAAGTGTGGGGTGCAAACCAGAAGTGAGGCTCTGGTGGTTCGTCCCTCGACCTTGTAGATGGTCCACCCACTGTACCCTTGACAAGGTTGGCAGAAAATGGCACCTGTAAGGTTGCAGTGCAACCCTGAAAGAGAAGGCGGAAGGCCCTATGAGTGATCTTCTGCCTAGAACCCTGGACTTTGCCCCCACTGGGGCACTGGACCGATTGCGGGGATTGGCTTCTGACTGGAACCCTGTCACTGCAATAGAGAAGCACCTGGATAGGTCCATAGATCAGGACTGAATGAAGTTCCTCGGCATTGATCGACTGTCTTCACTCACCTGCTAGTAGTAGCCTAGGTATTGGGGCACTTTCTTTGGCATCTTCTCATTTTACTTTTGCCTTATACCAAGTTTGTCTCTTCTCTTTTACTAGCTGCCTTCACATCAAATTTTCAAAAATATACGTATTCCAGCAGGTGACAGGAACTGGAACAAGAGCTGAATCAGTTGCCCCTCACCCGTCATTACCTACTTCTTGTTGAATCCCCCTCCCCCATACGAGAGCCTCCGATCCTGTCTTGGCAGCACGAGAAGATGGCAACTAAGCCTAGCGACGTAGAGGCCTCAAAAGGGGTCTCCAAGGCCACAGAGGAATTGAAAGTGGAAGATGTGGGCGATGTGCCGGATCCAGATGAGGATGATCTGGACGACCTCGATGGCATGTGATAATGAGCCTTTTGGGAGGATCCGACGTGTCTGACCTAGGATACACAGATATGCTGGATGATTTCTCTGCCGTCAAGATCGAGCCAAAAAAGCCCGAGGTCCCAGCAGCTGGACCAGGCAGGCCTTCAACGACATTAGCTCCAGCCCAAAAAGAAAAATCCGCAACGGCCGAAGATGACGTTCTCTCGGATGACGACTTTGCAAAACAGCTTCAAGCTGGCATGGCTGAGTTAATGGGGGAGATGGAGAACTCGGTACAGTGACCCAGTCTGCGCCCCGGAGAACTCGCGATGCTGACATAACCAAGCCGGAAATGCAAGCTCAGTTTGAGAGCATATTCAAAGAACTCGGCGCCGCAGCAGCAGCCACAGGAGACCCCTCGTCAAGCGGCGCTGCACCTAGCTCTGGCGCCCCCGGGAATCCACAGGCAGCATCATCCAGCGGTGCGGACGCCTCGTTCCAGGACACCATCCGCCGCACGATGGAGCGCATGCAGAACTCTGGCGACCAGGCCACTGCCGCTGCTCAAAGCGAAGGCTCAGACGACTTCATGGCGGAGCTGCTGAAGCAGATGCAGGCAGGCGGCCTGGGGGAGGGTGGTGTCGAGGGGAGCGAGGAGGAGTTCTCCAAGATGCTTCTGGGCATGATGGAGCAGCTGACCAACAAGGACATACTGTACGAGCCCATGAAGGAGCTGAATGATAAATTTCCCGGATGGATGGAGAAGAACAAGGACACAGTTTCGGAGGAGGACAAGAAGCGGTACGAGCTGCAGCAGGGTTTTGTGAAGGAGATAGTGGCCAAATTCGAGGAGACCACATACTCAGACTCGAATGCAGCAGATCGGGAGTATATTGTGGACAGGATGCAAAAAGTAAGTCACCATTGTGAGGTTTGCGCAACATGGCCTTTGCTAACACAAGTTCCCCCTTTTCAGATGCAGGCTGCGGGATCTCCGCCGCCGGATCTGGTGGGTGATATGCCATCAGCGCAAGACGCTCTCAACGCTCCTGACGCAGAATCGTGTAACCCTCAATGAGCTTCAGAGCATCTTCGTTGGAGGTACTATCACCTGTAAATACAAGCTTATGCCGCAGAATGGTCCCCTGACCTGGAAACGCCGTTTCTATGATACCACACAAGAACGCCAGCCTGTCTTTACTCCAATGCAATAGACACAACAGTTTTCATACCCGACCAGTATGTAGGCAGCAAGAGCCAGAGCAAATCCAAATAGATACCAAAGCCCGAACGACACATTTCCATCATGACAAATCCATCTCGCCCGAAGACGAGGGCGCCTGACCCATACCATGTTGCTCCTGGGAGAGATAGTCCATGAACAGCGCGTCGTAGTCATCATCATCTGACAGATGTGGTGAATCAGGCGGCTTTTGTTCATGCTGCTGGCCCCATTGTTGCCCGTCAGGACCGCTGTCCTGTATTGATGCCATCATAGCCTCAAATTCCTCAACCTCAGCGCGCTGCTCTTGTTCAACCATGTCCAACATCATCTCGTCCGCATCGGGATTGATTGGCCCGTGTGCTACCGTTGAAGTGCCGGCTGATGAACTGGCGGCGGCGGCCTCCTCCCGCAGTCGCGCGGCCTCCTCAATGTCCGACTCGAACACTAGCCCATCGACATCGGCGTTCTTTGCTTGCTGCAGGTCCTTGTTCAAGGAGAACCACTCCAGCTTGAGCAACTAGGCCTGGGTGTCAGCAATCGCTGTCTCATGTTGACGTAATTTACTGGCGGATTCTAATCAAAGCACACGTACCTCTTGCTCGCCGCCCCTCCTCTCCCACCGGCTGTCGTCCGCCCTCTGCCGCACGTTCTTGAGAAAGAGCTTCCGCCTGCTCTCCTGCGCGGCCTCGCGCTTCTGGCTGACCACGGGGTTCGGCCGCGTGGGGCGCGCCGCGAACCTGCTAGTGGGCTTGGTGTGGCCCGCCCACGAGGACGAAGACGCGGATATGGGCGACGACTGGACCTCCCTCCGCGCGTTGGCGTCGCAGGCCGACAGTGGCGGCGGCGTTGTCGCGCGAATGGGGCTGGACGACAAGGGCGAGGAGATGGCAGGTCGGTGGGCTGAAGGGCTCGACAGGGCCGGAGGCGCGTGGCTGGCGAAGTCGGGGAAGATTGGAGGGAGGCCCATTGTGGTGAACATGACTCCTGGTGAGGTATGGAGAGCGGCTGCGTGTTGCTGAGTTCAGGATAGCGTTTGCATGGTTTCAAGTCGGTTTGCGCGAGACGGTTTCTGTCTGGAGTCTTTGTAGTGGCGGTTTGCACGTTTAAGTGTTGATGGCCGAGCCGACGCGGTTCGAGTTTAATGGGCCAGACCCAAGCGCGTCAATGGGGTCGCCGCTGAGTGGGGAGTGGGGCTGGTCGCAAACAAGCTTCCGCTATGAACGATGAGATAAGCCCCCAACTCCATCACCCGTCATCAACAAGAATTGATCGTCAGCCATGCCACATTCGCATCAGGCACAGATGATGTCTGACACATCCCCTCGAAATGATCAGATATCAACCAAGTTCCTGGGTCGAGCTCATGAGGCCGTATTATATGGCGTCCCACCATTCTTCTAGGCAAGCTCCATAGCTGCTGATGTCCAGGGCTAGTTGAAGTCAACTGTGGCTCGAGCCCCTATAGCGTTTAGAACAACAATTCAAGAGCCTCTTCTTCATGAATTGAAAGTCATCGTTCATGGATAAAAGGCTGGTTGGAGTTGCCTTCATTCCTTGTGGACCTGGTCTACGATCATATCGCACGTCAAGGCTACAGCTTCACGCACGCTTTATCAGTAATCCCAAATGGTGAGTGAATTCATATATGTATTGGAAGTTGTCATATGGCAACGCTCGTCTGCCGAGCATCCTAGTTCACGATCCGTTTTCTACTTGGCCATCTGTTGGTCCCCTATCTTGCTCGGCGCTCATGGCGGAGCATATGTATCAGAGATATTTACAAAAGAAGAGAGAAGTGGCTCCATACAAGAAGACTCATTGCCGCAGATGCTCTGGGTTAGAATTCTTCTTAGACTTCGCTCAGGAGAAGTTCGATGCCGCGGTCACCTTCGAGTCCGACGCCACCGAGACCCCGCTCACTTTGATGGTACCACCAGACGCGCTGGTCACACGAACATCGACGGTGCTCGTGCCGAACCCGCTCGAATTTTCAAAGAAGTTGTAATCAGTCCGAGTGGTGCTCTGCCAGGTGCTCCCGCCATCGGTGCTGACCTCCAGCTTGGAGATGGGTCGGTTCGAGTTGACGACCTGCATGGAGAACCAGTAGGCGCTGGTGCCAGACTTGTTGTGGAGGACAATGGGCGACGTGATGCCGCAAGCAACCTGCGTATACTGCAATTCCTCGAGTCAGCAATTTGTTTTTGAGAAGATGACAAGATACAGTGTGGTATTGTCTGACGCTCTCTATGGCTCAGTTCCGGGGAGGTGCTAAGCTGTGAAGAGAGAATGTGGTCTCTTGGGATCGCGCAGAATGGACATCAAAAGTTTCAGGGGGTCACTTACGGATGTGGAGATCTCGCCGGCAGAAATGGAGCCGATTTTCGCAAACCCGTCCTGGAAAAGATCCAGATGGCCCTCGTCACACTCGGGGCACTTATCGACGATCTAGAAGACATGGTGAGCTTGTGGCCAACCATGAGGATTGGTCGGGTGAGGGCCTACCATGACTTGGATCTTACCGTTGGGGCCGGTTACCTCGAGGCACCCACCGCACTGGGCGGCATTGTTCCAGGCAGAACCGGAAAAGGCGGTGCCGTACAACCCAGATGGGATACCCGACATGGTGGTGAACGAGCATGCTCCCCCGTTGAGGTTTCCACCGTAGAAGGTGGACGTGCCGGAGACAGCAGCGGCACTCAAAACATTAGTCGAGATGCTGGATGATGATACATCCGCGGCCGCGGACGACGAATCAGCGGCGGCCTCGGCCACGGGAGCTTCGGATGGCAAGACTGAGGGAGTGGCGGTTGACGCTGAAGTTGAAGAGTTTGGCCTTGTCCCTGCGACACAAACCGCGGAAACAGAGTCGACCGCAAGAGCCAAAAGCACAGCTTGGAACTTCATCTTGTCGAAGAGAATATGTGGGCAAGCAAAGGATGCTGAGATGCTTGATATCAAGTTGAGGCAAGGATTCTATCCGCCAACGAAAGTAAAGAACGCACAGTTCGGATGGAAAGGCTTGTCAAAAAGAACGACAGGGACACCAGGAGGGACTTAGGACACAGCGAAGACGAAGGAGTCAAGCAAGAAGGGGGCGGACAAGACTGCCGTCTGATATACTCCATGGCCCAGGCCCAGCAGCCCAAGAGCAGCCTCGACGGATCCATCCAGGGGCCGGGTGGTGCCGTTGACATATTAAACGAGCAACAAGCTTATCTACTCTAGACAGTAGAATAAAAGGATCGAGCAGGAAGGCGATGGTGGTGAGAGGGCAATTTCCTCCACAGGACCTACAAAAACAAGCACCCAATATGGCAAGGGGTAACTAAATCCGTGCCGCCGGCCAGACCCGGTTGATGCATGTATGTTCATGACTCTGACCAAGGGCGTGCGCTCCCACGGGGAGGCCAGGCACTGGGGACAATGCTGTATTGCGAGACAAACATGTTTGGGTCCACCCGGTAGTCGGGCGGCGAAGCGTTGCTTCTGCTGAGGACGCCCCGTTTCGTCTTGATGGAGTGGTGCGCAATTGGCTTACGGGAGTAAGTGGGGGTGGGAAGGGGGGATGCGATGTGATGTGGCTTGGAGCGTGAAAGGGGCGGGTATGTGCAGATTTTCCAAGTTATCCAGAAAATGCCCGAGTAGGATCAGGTGGCTCCTTTGCGAAATGGGCTTCACAGTCTCTTCATTTGCTGCACCATGACCGTACCATGATGGGGAGATTCCTCTAGGCAAGGTTACAGTAGCGAGAAGTGTCAGAATCGGGGATTTTGAGCAGTATCCACTCTGCAACATTGAACAGCCTAGGCCCGTTTCTAGAGGACCCACCCGCTTTGCATATAATGAGCCCATATACCTATACCCTGCTATTGTGCTTGTTCAGCCGTTGTGCCGGAAAGCAGCGACTGAGCGTAAAATTATTAAACACCATCGACAGCATTATCATCGTCGTCGTCGTTGCCCGTTCACCGTCCGCGTCGTGGCTGTGAGAAAACAATGCTCTAGACTACCTATTACTCAAAGTTACAATCCAGTTCACCTTCCAAAACAAACATACCGAGTGTCTCGAGTCACGTTTAAACAAATAAGGTTCAGCATTATTCTTGAGCCACTCTGCATCTTCCGGATACAGGTAAATAGCCCGGCGGGATAGCTGATTCAGCTGTCAAACATCGAGTCCGCCTGATCACAGTGGCCAGCATGAGAAAAACGAAAGATGCGACGAAGATGATATCCAACCGCCGGGGCAGTCACATCTACCTTTGCCGCCAAATTATGATCCACCCTTTCCGAGCAGTCGCACCCATCCATGGCCGCGTAACGTAGCCCCCTATTGCTTTAATTCTTCCACTGGTTCTTGAGGCAACCTGGTGTACCGCGTTGGCTCTATTGGATCAATGGCCTTCATGTCACGGTCTGAGATGATGACCGACCCGTCTGAATACTGTTCTTGGCCATAAATGCTGCGCGACGCAGCTCTCTAATTGCGATTCGGCCCTTTGTAAGTCTTTGGAAATTGCGTTCGAATAATCAACAGCACTGTTTGTCAGACAAATCAAAATTTTGTTGACGCCCACGATTAGAAATTACCCAACATTAAAATCCTTAAATCACGGCCAAGCTGGCTATTCGCCAGGTCTGATGCCGGCTGTGACCGTCACGCCTAGCAATAGACAGATCATGTTGGATACGGGTGTAGTGGGTGCTCTGTCCTCCTCTCATAATAGGGAAGACAATACGAGGCAACAGCAATCCTCCTGCTCCGCTGAGGTCTCACCTGTCGCTTAAAGACTAATATTCGAGGATTAGCCGGTTAATTCTTATTGAGTAAAAGTGCCTAAGATACTCGAATTGTTGTTAAGGTATTAGATCGCACGGTATTGAATGATTATTGTCTTCTTCCGAACCTACGCATTGTCATTCAAACACTGAAGCCTTGTCTTTCACTCTTAAATGTTGTTGGCTCTTACAGATTTACTTTTAAGCTTATATTGATAGGCTTCACTATGGATCTCGCATTTCCGTAGTCGCAATCCTCCTTGCTCAAAAGGATTTTCATTTTCACTTACCGCTGGGTGGATATCTTGATCAGAGATTACTCTTGTGAATGGTGCGAATACCGGCACGTTATTTTCTCAAATTTCCTATTATAGTTCTTGACGGCCTCAGGGAACATGATAGCTTTATAGACCAGCTCAGAACTTAAAGGCCAGAAGTAACTCGGAGAGGTTGGCGAAGTAAACAAGTAACCGAGGCCCACGATAAGGGGCTTAGGTAAGCCACTTCCGTGTCCTTGGCACAGGTCTGCATGCCTAATGAAAGGTATAATTGACAGGAACCCTCGTCTTCATATGACAAGTAGGTCGAAGTGATTGTGGCTTTCATTCCTATTTACAGGGTTCTCCTGTTTAGGCAGATCTATACTGTAGAAAGCGGTGTTTCTATCCGAAGTCAACAGGGCTCGATGCTGGACGAGACGATATCTTGACAGCGCTTGGCAAGAACCGCGTGATCAGCAACACATGCGCCTGTCGGCCGCGACTTTTTGGCACAAACGTAAGTGAAATCTGATGCCTATAAGCGGAACCGAGAGTTTGGGTAGTCAGGAACGAGGAACAGTAGGAAGGCACCCTGTCCAGGAGTCGGTTTAACCTGCCTCGCGGAGGTCGAGTTCAAACATCAGACGCCGCAAGTGGTGCCCAGCAACGATCATGCTGGTCTCCAAGCGTCATGCAAGCCAACTCCGCTACCGAAGCGCAGCTTTTAAATGGCCAACACATCCGCGTAGTGTCTTATGTGTTGTTTCTCGCTGACTGGTTGTGCTGGGCGTCTTTGTGATGAACAGAGCCGAACTTTAGACGACCTCGTTTGCCATTGATTGATTTTTCGACAACCAATACTTTCCCATCTCAGGCAAGATTCACGCAGCCAAGATGTCTTCAGTCCCCCCTGATAACTCGCTGCTTACTCTTCCGGTCGACCTTCTCAAGGGCATAACCAACAGCCTTGAGTCATCTGACGAGAAGTCGCTGAAGCTCACGTGTCGCCGTATGAATCTGCTTCTCGCGCCCCCGCCTGCGGCACACACACTCAGGGGAGATAAGCCAGCCAGGGACGGCAGGTCAACCCCGCTGCCTCAAAGTCCCCTCCCAGAGAGTGCGGCAATCACCCTACAGCAGCTGGAGCAGGAGAACCACGAGGTCGAACAACGCGATGAGCAAAGGGGCATGGAGCTTTCCGATACGGAAGATGGGTTTGGCGACGACGACAACAGGTCAGACATGGGCTCGAAGCCGACCAAGTACAAGGGCAGCAAGATCCTGAACTGGACGGCCCAGCTCGACTCGGCGCCGTCGAGCCCGAGGCTGCGCAGTCCCGCGTCATTCATGCATGGCTCCAGACCAGAATCGCCGCGCCCTGCAGAGGCTGAGCTGCCTGCGAGGGAGTAGATTGGTTCTCTGCAGGGCTGTGACGAGCGAGTTGTGTCGTCTTGCTCAGACGTCATCGCGGTGCAGACAACCGCGGTGCGCAGAGTTGCTGTTCAGCTACGCTGCCCTGGCTGCGAGAGTCGGAAAGGACATCCATCAATCACGAGGCTTCCTGATGGAGCTGTGGGAAGTTGAGAGCTAGAGTCGATTGTCGCAAAGCATACGAACTCACCACCACATGAGCGAGGGTTCAAATTGTGGGGTTTGCCCGCCTACGGTTTCCAGCTGAGTTCTCGAGTCGAGCGTCACTTTCTTAAAAACAATCTCATAAAATAGCAAAGAAATGATAAATGACTGCCAAAGTTTTGCCTCGTTTGTGCAGGTTCCTGCAGTGCGAATTGAAAGAAAAAGAAAAAGGCCAGCCAGGAATTGAGTCCATAGCTGGGTGAGCCTCGGCCGGGACAAGGAGTCGGAGCTCCCGATGGGACGGCCCCCGATGCAGATTGTTGGGGAAGAACAGCCTTGTCGGTAGGTTTGCGATCCGCGGCCGCTGGTGAAAAAACCCGCATGTGCTAGACATCAACTTTACCCGAAATCTGGCTAGTATCGACATTTTGTTTTACGGGCAAATCGCCTTCCGCGTTTTCCCTTCTCCTTGTTTTGATGATGACGAGTTGAAGATCTGTTTAATGCATCCCAGCCTTCGCTTCCACAACCATGCAGTGCTCCAGATGACCAACCATCCCACCGCGCGAGCATGAATACCTCAATATCGTCGACGTTCCTCCGGCGCGTCTCGAATGGCTCGGCGCCCTGGACATGCACATCATGTCGTAATTCCTTATACAGCAAGGCCACCAAGCAGTTAGCTTTACGTCGGCAACTCGGCTCGGGCAAGAGACTTCAGTCTAGCAGCTCGACGAGACGGCCTACGCAGTCCAGAAGAAACCTTGTCTTGTACGCCGGCGGAGGGGCCGCCGGAGTTGGTCTCTTGAGTGTGGCCGACGACATAAAAGGCACATACGAAGGCGCAGAACGGGCAGGAAGAGTGGCTTCCGCCTTGTTCATCTGTATAAACGAGTGCGTCGCCCCCAGATCTGGGCGCCTTCCCCGAAGCTGACCTTATCCTGCCCAGCTACCGGACAACATTGAACCAGCGGGATCAGACCCAAGATGAGGAGGAGAAGAACTCGTTGCTGAAGAGCTGCCACAAGAGAAGTGCCGAAAGAACCCTCAAGGTTCTGGAAAAGAATGGCGGAATATTCATCAAGCTGGGACAGCACTTGGTACACCTCATGCCTTTCCCCTCGGCATGTTTCGCAGCCGCTGACTTTCTTGCAGAGTGCCATGAACTACCTACTACCCAGCGAGTGGACGACGACATTCATACCGTTACAGGACAAGTGCCCGGTGTCCTCCGTCGAGTCGATCGAAGAAATGTTCAAGAGGGACACCGGAGAAGAGCTGTCAGACTACTTTTCCGACTTTTCCCGCGAGCCGATCGGTGCTGCTTCATTAGCCCAAGTGCACCTGGCCACGATCAACGAGACAGGCCAGAAGGTCGCGGTCAAAGTGCAACACCCATCCCTGGCAAGCTGGGCTCCTCTCGACTTGGCCCTGACGAGATTTACTTTCTCAACACTGAAGAAGTTCTTTCCGGAATACGATCTAGAATGGTTATCCAAGGAGATGGACGCGTCACTGCCGCAGGAGCTCGACTTTCAATGCGAGGCCGAGAACGCCATGCGTACAAAGGCTTACTTTGCGAAGTACCCGCATCTACCGCTCGTCATCCCTTCGGTCATTTGGGCTAAGAAGCGAATCCTCGTCATGGCATGCGAATCGGGCCACCGATTGGACGATTTGGAATATCTTGACTCCCAAGGCATCGATCGCGATGAGGTGTCGGCGACCCTAGCCCACATATTCAACGAGATGATCTTCGGCGAAGGCGCACCACTTCACTGTGACCCGCACGGCGGCAACATCTCCATTCGCAAGAATGTTTCGCGACGGTACGGCGCCAACTTCGATGTCATCCTATACGATCATGGACTCTACCGCGACATCGAAACTAGCATGCGCCGCTCATACGCCAAGATGTGGCTGGCTCTCTTGGACGGCGACATGGAACGCATGAAGAAGCACACCAAGGAAGTGGCCGGCATTACGGACGAGCAGTTCCCGCTGTTCGCCTCCGCCATCACGGGCCGCGACTTCACGGTGGTGCAATCGTCCATCATGAAGCCCAAGTCGCCAGACGAGCAGAAGACCATGTCCGGCGCCCTGCAGGAGGGCCTGCTCGAGGACCTGATCCAGCTGCTGGGACAGGTGCCGAGGATCATCCTCCTGATTCTCAAGACGAACGACCTCACCCGCAGCCTCGACGAGAGCCTGCACACGCGGCAGGGCCCGATCAGGAACTTCCTGATTCTGGCGAGGTACTGCATGAGGACGGTTTTCAACGAGCAGCTCGAGCAAATCAGGCAGCATGGGTCTTACTTCTGGCCACCCAATGCGCTGAGGCTCGTCGCTGCGTCGCTCGGCTTTCTTCGCGTGGAGGTCAAGCTGAAGGCGTTCGAGCTCTGGCTCACACTGAAGAGGTTGGCAGGATGGAACACGACGAACATGATGGGCCTGTGATTATCCAGAGGCGGTGCATGGTGCGGCTACGGTATAAAATAGAATTATGATACCTTCCTTGCTGACAGGGAGTCAGGTAGACGGCAAGGGTGCATGGAATGTATAGAGAAAATATGACTATTTCCAAGCGAGCAACATTGAAGCTACCCCGTGTTGTCTGGGGGTCGATCTATCCGTGGTATCACAGGACACGATTGACAGGGGTTCCTCCGAAATCGTGTCAGACCATTGGTCACCGTTCAGGAAGACGCAATGGGGTTCCGCAGATAGTCTAGTAAGCAGCAGCCTCTTCCCACCCCTGAGCGGGCTCCCATTATCTCTCACTCAATCGTCTTCTTCCTCCTGGTCTTTCGGCGCGGGTCAACATTGTGGCGGGGACTTACACGCCGCGTTCGACTTATTCCCCATGGCATAAAAGCGAGGGCGAGCTTCCATCCTCCTTTAGCTTTGGATTTCATGTCGCCCCTCTTGATTTCCCCTTGTTTTTGTTCCTCCTTTCTTATTTTCGGGATTCCCTCACATCGGTGTAAACCTGCCCCCCCCCCTTCCCAACACCTGTTCACCCTTTCACAACTATTTCCCCTGCCAGACATGGCTTCCCCCGATACCACCACTGCACGCGGTCTCCTGCCTCCTGCGTTCTGGGTCAGGCTAAAGGGTTATATTGGCCTCCGCGATCGATTTCAACCCGCGGCCTGGTGTGAGTCCCATCTTTCTCACATATACTCACTCCCCAAGAGCAATACCCTTTTTCTCAATCAGGTTCGTAGATGCTGTGTTCCTTTCGTGGCTAATGTGCGACTAGATTACATCAGAAGTGTATGGGCAAGTCTGCGGCGAGGTCAGCTCAGTGTGCTCTTTGGGGGGAATGATGTTCGTGAGCACTCGTTCGCCGAGTTTTACCAGGATTTCGGTGAGTCGCGTACCTTTCCTTGCCCAGCGCACCAATTGCCCAAGAAAAGCATCCATTGCCTTCATTTATTCCCAATGTCGGCTCCTGGACAGATGCAGTCCCTTCCGAAGCCCTGCCACAGCCTTCACAGGGCAAGATGACGGCACCCCTTCCAAGCACGCGCACCATGGCCCACTCCCAATCCACCCACCCACCCACATCCTCACTGACAATCCCCCGCCCCCCAAGGCCACCACTTCGCAGCCTACGAAGCCACAACCCCCGTCCCCTCCCTCGTCGCCTCAGCCCACGGCGTGGTCTTGGACCTTGGCCCTGGAACAGGCAATCAATTGAATTATTTCGACCGCACACGCGTCGCCCATGTGTACGGCGTGGAGCCCAACACGCTCTTTGCCCCCCGCTTCGCCGAGCGCCTCCGGGACACAGCGCTGGGGCAGGACGGCAAGTACACGCTCATCAATTGCGGCATCGAGGACGGCGAGGCGCTGGCGCGGCATGGTGTCGTGGAGGGGAGCGTCGACTGTGTTGTTAGCATGCAGGTGATGGTGAGTCCTCTTCCCCCAGAATGGATTGTTCCTGCTTCCTTTCTTTCGCGCACGAAGCTGGTTTGGATGGCTTGAGTAACTCGCATGGTGCAAACAGTGCTCTCTTCCGGATGTGGAGGAGCAGGCCCGTCACATGTATAGGCTGCTGAAGCCTGGCGGTGAGCTTATATTCTGGGAGCATTGTCGGAACACAGACGCTGTGACAAGGGCTGTACAATGTGAGTGGTTCCCCTGCAGGTGCCTTTCTTCGGAGGACTATTGCATGACTGACCTTGAGCGTTGCCTGCCAGGGCTTTGGTGCCTCCTCTGGCCGACCGTGATCGGTGGCTGTCGACTTGACCGGGTCACCAAGGAGGCATTGGTCGGAGCCGGCCCCTGGGAAAGAGTTGAGATCAAGACTGAAATGCAGCCGCAGGATCTGATGCCCCGTATCTCAGGGAGACTGATCAAGCCTGCGGCGGCTTGAAGACCGATTGCATCGTGTGCGCCACGCCAGCCTTGTGGAACGTTGGGCTGAAAGAGAAACCAGAAATCCATTTTGACCTTACGCCTTCCTCGTGCTCTATATATGTCAGATTGGTATAGAAAGCATCCAGACAAATTTAAGACTTCAATAAAGAAGAGTCCGCCCCATCTAGCCCTTAGTCGCGGTAGCCGGCCTTCTCGCTAACACCGATCATGCCGGTGTTTGTCCTGCGTCTCTTCCCCCATGCCTCCTTTGCCCACTCCGAAAGCGTGAAACCCCAGTGGCCAGCGACGAGCGCACCGCTCAGAATGTTGATGACCTTGACGAGAAAGACCAGGATGCTGTCTCTGGACTCCTCGATTTGCAGGAGCATTGGCTCGATATCGTACTTGACAAAGACTCCCGGGATCACGCGCTCGTTGACCTCTGCGCTCTGCTCGGTGACAGCATACTGGTTCGTGAATAACGTCTTGTCGTTGTATGTGCTTGCCGGTCCGACGCTGTAGACGGTCGGCACGATGGACACGAAGTACTGGAACTTGTGGAAGTTGCTCGTAGCGACATTGACGGTGCGGTCCAGGGGGTTCTCGAGCGATGGGTAGAAGCTTCCGAAGGAGAGCTCGTTGACAATATGTGAGAAGTTGAAAGCTGTGCGCGAGTCCGAGTTAGATGACCTGTCTTATGAATGTGATACGAGGCATTAGTCAGTTTTAGCAGGACTTACAGTTGTGATCCAGGTGTTCCCCGAACTCCATGTACCCATGACCTCTGGCAGTGATGTGGAAATCACCCTGGACCCTATTCAGATCCAGGCTTCCAAAGATGCGGCAACTGTCGCTGGGCCCGCGAAGCCTGGGCGTCTTTGACCACTTGGCCCGCTTTCCGCCCAAGCGCACGATGTCGTGGACGTGCTCCTCGCCGAAGCCCTCCTCGTGGCCCTCGCCCGTGACAATCTTGCCGTTCTTGTCCCTGTTCAGCTTGTGGTTGCCCTTCTTGTCGACCCACTGTGACCAAGAGGTAGGGTCGCGCTTGAACTTAGAGCCGGCGAGGATGCGGTCGCCGGCGGCGTCCTGGACGTTGATGTGCAGGTCAGAGCACTTCATGCGCACGACCACGTCCAGGTTGATCTGCATTTCGTGGCCCACGCCCTTGGCGACGGCGAATGTGTGATGTTCGGTGCCGCGCCACCACCGCGAAAGCTCGGACCAGACGAGGATGAGGGTGACGAAGATCATTGCGACGGTCCATTTTCCACCTCCCGCGGTCCGCGTTACATATTGTGGTTTTGATTTGGCTGCGAGAGGACGAGCTATATGTTAGATTAAATGCCATATTGGGCTGTTCGGGGTCTGAGGAGAAGGGTAGAGCGTACGGAAGGCGTCAAATGCGCTGACGATGTTGCCAGGTGCTGGGCCAAAGGCATCTTCATCTAGACTTTGCTCCTTGAAGCCATTCATAGGGCTATTGGGGCCCGCATTTGGGTAGGGACTGTCGTAGGGGCTCTGCCAAGCCATGGCTGGCCGAGAGATGGACCTCTTCCAGGTCTGATCGACGTCGTGTTGGATCCTGTCTTGGTGGTTGCGTTGAGTTGCCGTGGCTCAGTCGGGGTGTTGATGATTATAGGTCGAGAGAAGAGTTGCGCCGCGAGGTTTGTCGGCCGACCCACGGAGTACACACTTCCAGAAAACTCGCAATCTGTCACCTCTCCCCCAGATATGCCTGCTCAGGAATCTGGGTCATTCAATTGAGCCCTGTGCGAAAAGTTTGGGCGGGGGGTAGTTGGCGTCGTCAGCTTGTGGAAACTACAGCTTTTGGGACGATTCTGTCAATCAAAGGACAGGTCGCCAAATTGCCCAGCAGCGGCAGGTTCCCATCCGCAGGGACAGGGGCCTGATTGGGGTGGTCGCAGCGGGAAGTGGCGTGCGGAGCTGGAGCTGTGTAGCGTGGTGCGGTACCTGGATTGCGGGGAGCCCCACTGATTGCTTGCAGGGGAGCCGACAAGTGACTTACATGGCGTACAGAGCACCTCCTCACGTACCCCATATATGATGAGGATTTTGAGTGTGCTTAAGTACTACGATTCACTGATTACACTATGTGTAATGCCCTTTTTCTTAACTGTCCAGGGGCTGCAAATCATGTCTTGCATTGGCTGAACAGTCTCTCCGTGCATCCCAGATGCGGCTTGGGTGGATATAGAACTTATCTAGGTAGTCTACACATTGCCCTTGACATGACCCTCAATTGCTGCTTCAAGCAGCAGACTAGAACCTGGCGTCATGAAGACGACAAGAGGTTCAAGGACCAATACCGAAAGCCCCAAATGATTAGGAAAGGTCCAATATTATCATACTACCCACAGAAAACTGTAACCATTACACTTCAAGTACGCCCTTGAAAAGCCCAAATACAACACGTCAAGTCAGATATTCGGTTTACCTAGCCTTCTGCGCCATCGGTTGACGAGTGGTCTATGGCGGGGCTCCCGATATCTCAACGGACCGTCTCCTCCCTGGCGCAAACGGACTTTCTCTGCCCGGCCAAAAAACATCTTGCCACTCCGAATCATGTTCTTGTTCTTATACAGAGTCCTCTGCGCATTGGAAATTGTGACAGCGCTCCATGAGGCCTGGGGGTGACCGAGCCAGACCATGAATTCAGGTAAGTAGCGAACAATGGCTTGATCACGCCAAAGATCATCCGCTGTGATCCTGAGATTGTCTGGAATTGTGTTTCCAGTCCGAGAACGGTTGAGCGCGCCCGAGTACCTGATGTGCTGAGTTGCGACTCGAAATTCCACATCATTCAGTTTGCGAGCCGTGATACACTGTGCCTTCAGGACACCAAACTCGTATGGCTCTTCATAGTAGTCCTTCATGGTAGTTGTCTCCGCGCGTGAAGTTTCGGCTCGCTCATCGCTGAAGCGGCGCCATGGGGCAACATTCAAATTGAAGGCATCTGGGTGGAATAGGAGCCAAGGATTATCAGGCGCATTTTCATCGAGCTCATAGCTCAGAGGTTCTCCTGTTCCGTATAGCCTGTTGATCTTTGGATGCTGGTGCAGTGGGATCTGTGTACCATGGAAATTACTATTAGCATTGCCGCCTATGATGAAATGAAGGCAGTATCATGTGAATTACTGACCTCGGCAAATGTTCTTGCCCCGAAATACCTAACACACCATTGCCGAGCTTGAAGCTGAATATCACCAAGCGCGTCAGGCAATCGATTATGCTCATGGTTGAAATATTGCAGCACGATTTTAGCTGCGCGGACGTAGATACTCCCTCGAGCAGCTCTACGCAAATCATCCTCACTCAACGCACCTGCGATCGCGGCCATATCGATAGGGACTGTCCGAGAAGCAATTGACTTTATGGAAATTGGCTGAGGTCGAGTGAATATTTTGTCTAGAGAACAAGACTGTTGATGCAAATAGGAAGCGTGATTTTCTTATAGTCACACTGTCCATCGTTTGAGAGATTGGAAAAAGGCATCCTCTGATACTTGCCCCATTGAAAGTGATTCAAGATCAAAGGCGAAGATCTTGAGTTCCGGAAATGGATAGCAGGCATTCCGTAGATTCTTCACATAAAGAATAGTGGTGAAATGAAGGGTTGTGCTGACTACAGTATATTGTTGTATAGGAGCTAGACAACCCAATTGATGAGTGCTTTTTCCTTTCAATACAGCAGACGGAGTCAAACTTGAAATAATATCTCGTTCCTCATCGTCGCGTCTTCTTCATTTTTCTTTTGAAAGAATATTCTTGGCCTAGAGCACGTCTCCTGTTCCGCGTCTTTGTTCGGATACCGTTTTGGGATTGAGCAAACTACCTGAGCATCAAATGGTTTGAGATTGGCACTCTGATCAAGACAGAATCCCTTATATTCGGTTGTTCAACATGAGAAATAAGAAAAATCTCAACTTTCATTTCCTGTTTTCTTTCTAAGCAGTGTATCAATCGAATCACAGGACATCAATTACATTATTCCACATTTAGACAAACTTACAGCTATTCACCATGCGTCTTTATCGCCCTCCTCGCCTATCTGAGACTCTTGTGGCGGACTGGGGTGGGTCCGTCATGAGAGCCTTGTTCCAGGAAATGCACATTGACGATAATCAGGATGAGGATGAGTATGGTCGTCCTCGTTCACCACTGGGGCCCAGTTTCCCTTGGCAATTTGTGAACGGTCCTCTTGTTTCACAGCCTCTCGCTCCTTCCCTGTCAGAGAGGAAGTCCTTGATGCAAGACAGAAATCTTCCACGCTTCCTCTTCCGATGCTTCACCGATAGCTCGGGCGGGGCCTTACTCCGCCGTTTCAACAAGAGGTTGAATATGGCAGATCGCGTGATACCTCACTTCTTCCTCGACCACGAAGACGGCATACCACAAATGACGCTCGATGAGTACATAGCAAGGTATCCCGATCACATGCAGCAGCACCTCGTCGGGTCAAGAGAGATTCTGTCACCATTCAGCTCGTGGACCCCCTCCATCATGGCCGCGTATTTGTTCGCCGGGTTTGCCAACGACCCTTCCGCACGAATCGCTGTTGTCGACACAACTTTGATCCACAATGAACTATACTGCGTGGATCACTACAGCCTCCGAGGACCTCCGGTCACGCGAGTCCACAACCGTGATCTGCCCTGGGAATACCATATATACGGCCCTGTTATGGGCCGAGGTTTCTTCACTGTGCCTGCATCTCAAATCGCGGACCTATGGAAAGTGCCCCCGCGAATGAGGTCGGCCCCACTATCAACAGAAGATATCACAAATTCCAGACGGATTGCTGAGCTGTTCGTGTCTCCTGCGTGGGGGGCCGAGGATGCGGACGTGATTATGCAATTGACGACAAACTGGATTGCAGGATGGAGCTGGACGCGTTCTCGTGATACTACTGGGCCAGGTCGGGTAAACCTGACGGAACAAGAGATCGAGAGCGTGCTTGAGGTTTTGCGTCCTGAGCTGCAAGATAGGGCGACTAGGAACACAGTACCCCTGCTTCCTGGTGATATACACACGAGTGTCTACGGCTTTGAGTGGATTCATTGGAGTTTCGTTCTTCTTAGAATAATGGAGCAAATCACTCAATGATGAAGCTATAGAGAAACAGCGAGGGAGTTCAAGTACTAGATTCTTAAACAAGGATTGTCTATGATTTCGATTCTGCGAGGCACCAAGATCTCGTCGCGTATCAACGCCTACTACTCTGGTGCTTGATGATTTGCAAAAAAGAGCGTTTCGCAAGTCGCAACATATCAAGAGAAGGCGGATGAGATGCCTTGCTCAATCTATGTGGCCAGAAACTACCTCGTATATATCATTGGTAATTCAATCAAAGGGCAAGTCGTTATTCAAAATCCGATGTGTATTGAAATTCAAGAATTATTATACCACGCAATGTACCGTCCTATCTGATATACTTTGGGCTGTTCAATATTCAGGTCTGTGTCTCTTCATATTATATTATGAGCCTCCTTGACTTGTTGCATTCAGTAGCAGTCTAGTAGGTGGGTAACCTTGTCGGGATGTGAGCTGTTTCAGAAAGGGCAATGATCTACAACATGCCTTTTAGTCTTCCCCGCAGGAACATCATACAAGTCATTGACTTCAAAATGGATTATGTTCTATTTCCAAGATGAGGTTGCTCACACCGAACGTTTTCATTTTGTCTACAACCCATGATTAGAGGTCGAAATGTATAATTCTCAAATCTCCTTCACCCTTGATACCATTTGTCCCTGGACATACCTCGCCAAAAAGCGGCTCGACCTCGCTCTCACCCAGCTCTCACCCGAGGTCTCCTCCAAGGTCTCATTCAAAGTGCAGTTCCTGCCATACCAATTGTATCCTGCTTTCGGCCCTGCGCAGGATAAATACGCCTGGCACCGAGATAGCAAATACGATGGATCAAAAGACAAGATGGATATGTATGTCGAATACATGACCACGCTGGGCGAAGCGAGCGGCATTAAGTTCAAGTTCGGAGGCGACATCGCCGACACCCTACAAGCCCACCGCGTTATTCAGTACTTTCAAGAGGAAGTGGGTGCGGAGACAGCCAACAAGCTCATTGATGCTTTGTACAGGAGGTATTTCGAGGAGGAGCAGAGCCCCAGCTCCCACGAGACTCTGATCGCCGCGTGCGTGGAGGCTGGTATTGATAACGACCGAGCGAAGGCCGTGGTGGAAGATGAGAGTGAGGGTGCGATAGAGGTGAAGGCAGCGCTGAGGGAGTCTGTGACAAATGGTATTGATTCGGTACCGCACATTGTGTTTGAAGGAAAGAGGAGGGATTTTACGCTCGTAGGCGCAAAGGAGGTCCCCGAGTATATCAAAGCCATGGAAGCCATTGCCAAGGAGAGTTCATAGCTCCAAGGCAGCTGAATCGAGGATTGGTGGAGAGCATACCTCTTACGTGTACAAATATGCAGCGGACTTTTATTACTTCCGAATCTTGCCCTTGACTTGAATGTCAGCTGCGACAGACTGTCTTGTGACATGGGTAGAGGCGGAACAAATTCGGCCTCCCGACAAGAGAAAGTCAACAAATATGAGCTACTACGTGACCAATTGTCCTTCATCCAAAATGGATGTGTCTTCAATGGAGCTGGCAAGAATAATGCTCCTCTACAAAGGCTTTCCAAGAAGAGATGACCTTTCCAAGATTGAGACACTTATCGAGATGCAACTCAATTTTGGCTTTGAACCCCAGGCTGCGTTTCTGCCACTCGATTCTAGTATCGCGCAACGAGGAATTGCCTCCTCTCCTCATCGTTCATCGAGCTCAGAGACTTGAGCTCGGAGTGTTTCACAGAAGTATACTTTTCCACCAGCTCCTGGCCCAGCAAGCCCGTCAATTCTTCGTCTTCCTCCAGAGCCTGCAAAGCTTCCTCCACACTCGCTGGTAGCATTTCCGAAACGTTCAGCTCTTTGCGGTCATTCTCTGTCAGGCTGGCTGGATCGACCTCGCAGTCCTGCCAGACCAGCTTCTCCTTGCCTGTGAAGCCACTGGTCCCGGCGAATAGGACCGCCGCCATTGCCAAGTATGGATTGGCGAGCCCATCGAGGCACTTGAACTCCCAGTGACTGCCTTCGATTTTGCGGAGGGGCGTTTCGCGGTTTTGGGTACCCCACGTCACCCATCTATCACAGGAATTAGGCATGGATTCATTTTACCCAAAGGCAATTTTGTTGTTAGAGGGGACGGAGAACTTACCTTCCTCCGGCCCACACTCCATCCGCCAGTCTTTCATAACTCGCCGGGTTGCTATACGCAAACGCTGCGATCGCGCGCAGATGTTTCAGAACGCCGGCGTAAAAAGGCTCATACACTTCCTTCTTGTCACCGCCGACCGAGGAAATCGAGATGTGCGCATGCGCCGCAGTCCCACAAGTGTCAGGGAAGGGCTTCGGGTACAGGGTGAACTTGTAACCGGCTGCAGTGGCCATGGCAGAAATCACCTCTCTGGTGTGCAGCAAAGTATCTACAGCCTGGACGGGAGGCAGTGGAGGAAGAACGAGCTCGAATTGGCCCGGCGCGCTCTCGGCGTGGATTTGCTCGACGAATATATCCATTAACTCCAGCGCCTTGACGATATCTGCGAGGAGCTTGGGGATTTTCTGGTCCGAGAAAAAGCGAGACACGGACCAGGAGTGTCCATCATTGGCTAGCGGCTCGTAGCTACCATGCTCACTGCGCTGGAGGAGCAGGAACTCGATCTCAAACCCCATCAGGAAGGCCAGCCCTTGTCTCGCACCGTCTTCTTGCGCCTTTGATAGCTGCGTTCTGGGGCAGAGCGGGACCTGGCATCATTAGCAAAATCCCACATTTTGTTACATAAGCAGAAGAGTGCCTGAGCTTTAATTCTCCTCAAATTACTTACCATAGACCCATCCTTCTCGCGGAAGTCACCGTATATATTGAAGTGACCCGGTATGGGCCCGCTCTTTATCGACGAGAAGTCTGGATGCAACCTGTACTCTCCGCTGGCGCTAGTGCCTGGAGACATCGAGTCTTGCTGCAAGAGGCCGAGACAGGCTTTCGTGATACCTATATCAACAGACTTGCCTTCTTCCAGGGACGTGATGAGTTTTCTGAACGGTATCATACGCATCCGCGGCATCGCTGTCATGTCCGTCCAGCCGATGCGGATGAAGTCGGGGGTTGACTTGCCCCGAAGAGAGCGTGTAAATATTTCAAGGTCTGTCGCTTCCTCTTCCAACTCGACGTCGCCTTCGTAGTCCGCCTCCCACTCTGAAAAGGTCAGACCAAGATGGTATAGCTTGTTGGAATTCTTGTACAAGATGTCTCTGACGAGCTGAATCGCGGCTTTCCAGCTCATGGCCCCCTTTCGAACGTAGTCACACAAAACCTAGGTTCCAGTCAGTGCTTTGGGTTACCCAGTGGGTCACGGGGATTGACGAACTGATTCCAGTACTTCCCTAATTTGCAGTATGGCGAGTACATACGTCTCAGGGAACCAGTGGCCATCTGTGGACCAGATAATCTTGGACCATGGGCAGAGCTCCAGGATTTGGCGGATTGCAGTGGCTTGGCCGTCCTGACTGACGAAAGGGAAGATCTCGCCAATATCCTACCCAGCACATGTTGTCAGTAAGACTCGAGAAGGGGGGATGGGCTGCTTGGCGGGCAACTGCAGGTATTTCTGATAGCCAATGATGAACGCATCCCCAGTTCAAAGTCATAGAAAAGAGAGTGATAGCACGCACAGCATACACATTCGCATATACAGTCGCCAGATACCCAAGCTCGCGCGTAAAGGGATAGCTGGCATGTAGCAGCACAATTGGAACTTTGGGATACGTCCGGATAAACTCCTGCAGGTGGGCAGGCGAGGATTTGGTCAGCGTAATGTCGTTATCGCCCAGTCCAGTATGGAATTGAAGTGGCTTCCTCTCTCGACCCGGCATCTCACTGATTAGCGCGGCTGCTCGGTGCACCAGAAGGTCGTTGAGACCTGGGTGCTGTATCCTCGCCAGCTCAGCCGGCCCGGCATAGTCTGTCACAATCTCATCAAAGGAAGCCTTCGCAATTGTCAAGTCGACCACGGCGGGTATATCCAACCCAGTGCGGTAGCATATCACGCTCTTGAAGCTTACTACCTCCGGGTCTTCGAGGGCGTTTTTTATCTCGGCGTCGAATTCCTCAATAGCCAGGTCAAACAGGTCCTCGGAGCTGTCACCCTCCTTGGAGTTCGCGGCGTGCTTGTGGATGATCCTACTCGCGACGGTCTCAATCCTGACGATGCGCTTGCACCCGGACCTTGTGAAGGCATTGTGCCAATCGTAATCGTAGGCGTCATCTGTCGCGTCCAACCCATCGTCCACAAGGATCGTCTCGATTCCATCAAGGCACTCGCTGATCCAGTCATCGTAGTCTTCCAGCCGCCTCTGCTCAATGGCAGCTACGACAGCCTCCCACGTCTGCGCGCAGTCGAGCACATGAGCCAGTTGCTTCACCCCTCGGAGGTGAGACAGGCTCGTGAATGCAGCATGGATAGCGTCTCCTGATGCCTCGGTGGTAATTGAGATGAGCGGGTGCTTAGCAAGGGCCTCCGGCTTGAGCAGAGGATGGGCGTGATTGTCAATGATTGGGCATCTGCGGATGGCCCGGACAACCTCGTTGAGCTGGGCCCTGGAGACGCCCGCGGCGGGGGCTGAGGTGGCCCAGGTCATTGTGTTCGCACGGACCCCAAAGGGTCTTGACGTGGAGACGGTTCAGAGTCGATATCAGACAGATTGCTGCCTTTGATGGGATGATGTTGACCCGTGGCGCCCAGAGGTGAGCACGGTGAGCTGATGTTGTAAGTGGGAAGGGGTCGACTCCCCGCTTCACTCAGCTGGGGGATGGCTCAAGCGCCCAGATGTGCCCCTTGCATCATCCGGCATGCCCAAGGAATTAAGGCATTTACACGTCTCCGATGTGACCACGACCAACGGCCACAATAATTGCCGGATTTTCTTGCATCCCTCTGCTAGAGTTTAGGATGATGTCGATTCAAAGGATTCGTTCGCCATTCAGGGACCGATGAGGGCATTTAAACCTCACCACACCCAGCGCACATCTATCAAACCTCGGATATCGCAGAGCAGACTTGAATTCGACCTATGATTTGAGAAGGACATACTTCTAATGTACTGCCTTCCTGCGGATCTTGAAAGCTTCTTTTGAGTCCGCTAACTAGCATCTCATCGGAAAGCACCCTACTGTGGAACGTCAGACCTGTTCGTGTATTTGGATCTCCGGGACTTCAATACACACTTAGGCTTTCTGTACATCGTATCATATGCGGATTAACATATATGTACGTTTAGAGCCTTGAGGAATCCCAAGGATAATACGGCATATCATCGTGCACATTTTCGATTATCAATGCGACGACGTCGGCTTTCGTTAATTACTGAAGATTTGACTGAACCTGGCAGGGAGTGCTTGGGTCCTCTTGCACTATGCCTGGAAGTGTTGCTAAGTGCATGTGAGGATGACCAATGCCAGCACCAAGATTGATGTTTCTGTTGCAAGACTTGAAATGCCTCTGGAAAAAAAAATTACCTACGCAATCTCCATTGCCCAGCAATTGATATTCTGCTGTCCGGATATGTGGTTACTTAATATCAACTGCATCTTTAGGGCCGCTAAACAATAGGTATGGTTTATCACCCTCTTCTGCAAAATGCTCATTCGAGCCAAGCAGCCACGTCAGTAAATGGGCAGAACGGAGTGGCAGAGTGGTGGCGGCACAGCTCGAAGTCGACTACAACACAGCCACAGCTTACTGAAAAGGGACATATTCATGCCGGCCAAGACGCTAGTTTGCCTTGAGGTAGTGTATTGGAGCGCCTGACCATTACCATCCGGGAAAGATTGTCGAAGGATTTAAAGCAACACCACCTTGAGAATTGGTTGTGTAGGCTGCGGTTTGGTCACCGCCACGGCGGCGACAGCGTTGAAAGCTCGTTCAACATTCTATATTATGTTCAACGAGGGGTTTTCTCAACTGTCGAAGTTCGAGACTGAGCCAGTACATACAACTTTTCCTTTAACATCAAGATACGTCTTTGAATAACCCATCGTGAATCCTTATATGACATACGCGAAATTCAAACAGGAGAAGAGCGTCCAGAAGACGGTGGTAGACAACCAGAAGATGGATAATCAGGGCATCGCAGAGTAAGCCCTACTGATGGACGCCCTGTCATATCTAAGGTACTCGATTCTCACTTTCCCTAAGTGCCCCGACGAAACTGTCGTCCGTCGACGGCAAGCACAGCATGGCAGCCAACGACGAGAACAACCCGGTGGAGCTCAAGCACCTCGAGAAGAAGCCAGCCTGGGTAGACTGTCCCTTCTGCCACAGCAGAGTGGAGACCAGAGTTGAAAAGCATGTGAGAAAGGAAGATGTGTAAGGCGACCCTTCCCCCAAATTGGCAAGCCTTGATGCGGTAGCGAGTCGCATATAGTGAATGAGGCTTGCTGCCCCCTTTAGGACCGCACCCAGACAGCCAGGCTGACACGACGATGCAGCGCGTGGAACTTTGCAGGGATCTTCTTCTCCTTGATTCATATCTCGAATAATTTTCCAGGAATACACACCTCCACACACTACTGCTCGAACTGCGAGGAGGCCATCGCGGCCAGGAGACCCGGCGATGGCCTTGCTAAGACTCTAGACCTTCCGGGAGCAAGACGCATGTGACTTCGTGATAGGAAGCAGTGGTAGTGGCAGTGTAGATAGGAACATGTCGATAGCAGCAAAAATAAATGAGCGATATAGCTTTGCGCTTCCTGGTTTATTCTGGGGCGCCTGCCTACAAGAGGCTGGCAACATACCTGGTCCCCCTTCCCCTCAACCGGCCTCGAGCTGTGAATTGCGTTGAAATCGAAGACCAGTATTACATGAATGACTGACAGTATTGAATTCCCTAGAGCTCTCACTGGGTACTTCATGATGGGTCTGCTGACCTCGGCAGGGGCAACTTGTGAGCGAAGCTAGTACCTAAATTGCGGTCAATTGCGAACCTTTGAGAATTGACCTCTGAACATGGCATCACAGTGATCATGACCCACTCCCGTGTGTCAGCCGGAATTGGCCTATTGGGTTGAAGCATCCGAAGTCATGTCGAATTCGATAAAAGTTTTGAGCTCGACCCGAGCTGGGCTCGGTTGGACAATGGGATCCGGATTGCGTGCTGGAGAGTGAGTCACAACAGGCTGCGTATGTACGCGTTATTCGACACACAGTCCTCTATGACGAATTCACAGGAGTCGGATTGTCGTCTGCTTGCGTATCTGCGCAGGTGTCATATTCAGCGTGGATGTTGAGCAGTGTTGTGAATATATACTTGGGCACAATAATTGCTGTAGAGCGCTCATGTACTTTCCCCCTAACCCTGAGTCAAGCTCGCACATCCAATGGCTGTGACGTGAGCATGGGTAGAATTGTGAGGAAGTACTCAGATGGCCGCCTGATTGACCTGTTGGAGGCGAGCTTTTATCGTCTCCCGCCTTACTTGATGAGAGGCACCGGGGGCAAGTTGCTTAGGAGGTATATGAAACCAATCAAATAGGTGTGAGGCTGTCATCGGATGTGGACCCTGAGTGCAGTTCAGCAGGCACGCGCAGCTAATTGCCTAGGATCAACTACTCGAATCAAGGCGGCTTGAATAGTTGGTCTAGGTGCCTAGTTGTTGTGTGCGCGAAAAAAGTGATCGAAATTACGAATGTACGAATGTACGTACGAATGTCAGAATGTCACCCAGGTATGACTATTATTAGACCGAGTCACACAACAAACAGGCGGAAATGTGATGAGGCGGACGTGTCGATTGTTATGGACAGTGAAAGAGCATGCAGAAATGCAGGTATACTTTTGGGGGGCGACACAGGTGCTGATATGAGGAGGGGGTGAGCAGCTAGGAGAGTTGGCACAGAAGTGTACTTTGGGTGCTGCACATTTACACGAACCTGACACGACGGGCGTGACGGCCCAATGGGATCAGTCCCTGACGCGTTTCTGCCCAGGTACTCATGTCGAGAGCGAGCGGCAGAGGGTGTGCTGTCGGTGGGGTCGTCTTGGTCAGGGCAATGCAGGGAGTCACCCTTTGGCTGCAGGATGTCTTATCGAGGTACCAAGTTTCTCCATGTGTCGATCGCCTGTTGACGCCCTAATCATGCGAGGGGAGCGACGGCCTATGTATGTTATGCGAGGATGAATGTGTGGATGAATGAGTGTGTGTGTATTCCTGTTTAGTGTGGTGACAGGGAGAGGAGCTGTCCAGACTGCACGCAACTGGGCGGAGGGAGCTGGGTCGATTGCGCACTTCCAAGGTTGTGCTACCCCCCCACCCCCTCCACCTGTCCACCCCCCGTTCCACATCCCCATCCCCCATCCCACCCATCTCACGCCTCACCTTCTCCTCTTGTGCGAACAATTCCAACCTGCCATCGCATGCGCCATTGTCTGCCTTATTTCCAAACCTCGTCAGCGCATCGCCGCATATAAATATCCAGCGTCGCCGCATCTCGCCGCAGCCTCTCCAAACTTTCATCCTTCCAATGTGTCAGTATCTGCCTCGGGAACCTTCGGGCCGCAGGGGCCAGACCACTAGGCCTTGGGTTGCGACTGGGAACTGACGTTTGATCCAGCATAGATATCGCGATATATCCTTCTAGGTCTTCCACGTCTCCGTGTGCTTTCGCCTAGCTTTGTGTCGCTTCAATTATCCGCAACGCTCTCAAATCGCCCAACTCGCTCCCACGAGCCTCGAGACCTCGAGGCCCCGACTTCGACTTCGAACTCGACAGCGACCTCGACCCGACGCACGCACATAGCTGTTTGGACGTCGTCGGCGCATCCAATGTTACTTGATCCTCCAGACCGCTGGTTAAAGACATGAGCTCTCCCGCGCTCAATGGCCGCTACTCCGTTCCCTCCACCTCTGGATGGCAGCTTCTCGCATTTTAATATTTTCAACGACGGCGGCGCTCCGAGAAACACACCACCTCCTGCAAATCCTGGGCTGCCTGGAGGTCCGTGTAACTTTGTCGATCTAAGTCATGGGCCCAACGGCCCAAAATGCGGCTGCCGCCGTTTCTGGGGCCGTCAGGTCGCCGGCGCAGGGGCGAACGCTACGGACCAGGCCGGCTGGTGCATGTGCTCGCACCACGCCTGTTTCCATGATGATGGCCACAATACCCAGGTCGCAATGGCGCCCCCTGCGCCAGTAATGGATAATATTCCAGGACAGGAGAACGAGAAGCCAAGGTCAAACAGGGCTCCACTGAGTCCCGTCCAGGATTTTGCTTCATTCCAGATGCCATCCAGTCTTGCGGGAGCCGCCATGGATTTCGCTGCACTCAATTTTGATTCCTTTGCGTCCAATAGGGGATTTAGCGCACCTGCGCCGCCGGCCATCCCATCTGTCCCGGCCCATGATAATGATTCCATGCCGGATACGCTGAGCTGGAGGAATGTGCTCTCCACCCAAGGATGTCCAACACCGCTCCCGCCCATTCCGTCACAGTGTCTGATCCCGGATTCGCAGTCGGCCTCTACCACGGCGTCCAGCCAGATGAGATATTTGCGACCGTTCGGTGGGGTGGGCCTCAACACACTAAGTAGTGTGACCCCAGCCAAGGAAGCCGCGCAAGTCGGCAAAGGTACTGATGCCACGCCTGAAGCCAACGTAGATGGCCAGAATCAGGACGACGCCATCACCATTCCATCTGGAGTGACTACTCCGACGCCTGGACCCTCTCAGGTAAAGGACACAGCCCCAGGGGTCTCCAACTCAGCTCTTAGCCCGGACAATCATGCTTTACAAAATTTGAGCGAGGCTGTCGAGGACCACAGCCAACGACTCGACAAACTGGAAAACGGGTCAATTTACCATACAGCTCATGAAGATTGCTCGGACAAACATGACATGACCGATCTCCGAGTGACAGAGCTCGAGACACGCATGGATGATGCTGAGAGGAGGCTGAACGATGATACTGCCAGCACTGTCAGCACACGTCGCATCACCCAACGTGACGATGACGCCACGGTCAGTGATGTGTCCATATCGTCCAATGCGACAGTGAGGGCTGCTGAGCGTGCCGCTCTGACCAGCCACCTCGAGGCCCTACAAGCTCGGGTCAACAAGCTCGAGGCCTCTACACTACCGTCCTACACGTCTCCATGGGAAGTGGAGGTTGTGCTCCTGCCATTCCCTTTGAAGGGAGTATGGTTAGAAGCACAGGATTTCAAGACCCCTCGCCTGTCTGGCGGACGAGACGAGTGGACACCAGGGCCAAACACAAACAGCAGAGCGACACCCGAGCCTCGAGGCCTTGCGTCGTATGACGACTGGGTGGGACAGGGTACGGGATGGCTGTTGCCTAGAGCTTGTGCTCCGGGGAGGCTCATCGATCAGCGCCTTAAGAGCCGCGGTCTAATCAAGAAAGTGCAAGTCCGGGGTGGCGACGCTCGCAGTGTGCAACTCGCCATTGGGAATGCCTTTCAAGACGTTCTGCGGATGAGCCCCGAACCTACGAGTTCCAAATCTCTATACGCCTCAGACCTCAGAGTTCATAGGTTCTTTGGGCTGCAGCAATCTTGGGTACCTCTGCGCAAGGTCCACAAGGATTCTCGCCTTCGATTCCTATCTCCTCCTGAACTTCTGACCCCTGCTTTGTGGAACGCGACGTTTTTGATGGATAGCGTAGTTATGAAGGCTACAGGAATGCATCGGTTATACATCACACATCCCGAAGCATATCTCCAGGACAATCAATCCCAGAGCTTCTTTAGTTCACATCCTGGCTGGACGTGGCAGAAGCTTCGGGAACTCGATCGTGTCTATTCAGACTCACAGACGAGCAACGGCAGTTTCGAGGTCCCCGAGGCTGATGCAATGGAAGAGTATTGGGCATTCAACGCTCGTCTTGACGACAATCCAAGCGCTCGACAGTCGATCACGAGCATTCAGCAATCGCACGAGAAAGCGGTCAGCATGTCCCGGACAACAGACGGGTCGACGGAGCAATACTTTACGGTGCCTTCGCATCCAACCTCGTCAATGATGAGTCCTGTGACAGCCCGAGGGCAATCGCCATTCACTCAGAGGGAGCGTCAACGCTCTAGGCCACCATTCGTGCGAACTGGCTCAATGCCGCCAGTCAGCGCTCCAATCGTACACTCTCCCGCACGCAGCAGCCGTCGAATGTCTTCATTTGCCATCATGCCTCCCGGGGTTGGACCTAGTTACCAACGTCACGCATCGCCCCTTGTTACCGGCCGTCCCAGTCCTCGCCTATCGATAGTCTCCAACGCGCCAGCAGTCGCCATGATTACCAAACACCGCCACCGCAATACTCGCTCACCTTCTCTCCGGCTGCACAATACACCGCGTTGGAGCAACAGGTCCTTCAGCCGCAGTCCAAGCGTCAATCCGATGCCGTTCCAACATGCACACCCCGAGGAGCCCATCCGGGGTGATCGCCGTACAACGCCGATGGCCTACATGACTCCTTACAGTAATGCTCCGCCAGAATACCCAAACCAACTGCTCCACCCTAGCCGCAGTTATCACGCGCACGGAGATGATGAGTTGATGGAGTTCGACGACGACCACGGCAGCTCAACCGATCCATATGGTGGAGAGAGTGATGGCGACATGGCAGACGAGGACGACCCTGATGTTGACGTGTATGAAGATGAGGCAGACATGCTAGATGACTTGGAAAGCGGCTCAGATGGACATCATCACCCTGCTGGGCAATCACGACGTCACCGGGAACAGAATCAATCTTCGCAGCCCCGAGGGCCAGAAGACATCCCCTGGCAAGGCATTGAAGATAATAACATGTCGGATGGGGAGAACTTGGACCCGCGTGACGCTGAGGATGACGGAGACCATGCTGACGATAGAAGCGATGTGTCTTCGCAGCCATCAGAGTACCCCAGTACTCAGAGGGCGTGGAGAGTACCTGATGTGGGCGAGGGAAGAGAGATGACTCACGCACTTGAGGACGATGCCCCTGGAGGTATAGGGTTCACTATACATGAGGATCCGGATGGCGAGGAGTCCGAACCCGAGGCGCAAAATCTATGGTGAGATGATAACAGTGGGGTTCTGCCTACTTATTGATTTTGGATATATCGCGGCATTGTGTGGCACAAATAACCGGAAGCCTGGAAGCATTGGTGTTTGGCGTTCGGATTGTATCTGCCGGGGAGGCGTCGAAAGTAAGACATCTAAGGCGCTATTTTGGACTGTATCATCTAGGTCGAGCCAAATTTCATCTCCATAATTACTGAGTATTGATTTACCGGACTTCATTCTTATTTTTATTCAACCCAAGAATATGTACCACATGAACAGATATCATCAGCTCCATGTCTAGTTTACGTGACTGCTCGCGGATGGACCACCCGCTGTTTCCCGGCAATCAACAACCGTCGTCACAGCTATCGCGCCCAGCGGGACCTCGTCGCCACCTATGCTCTGACTGCGGCTTACCTGCGTCTGGCATCCTACGCTATGGTCGCGGTGCCAGGACCAGCCGCGCCCATCCCGAACCAGCCGCCCGGCCTCCACGTCCTCGTCGGCGAGGTACTCCAGCGAATCGAACGACGACAGGGCATACTTGGACGGGTTGCTGGCGTGGCTGGCCCCGATCTTGCCCCGCGCCGTGCTGCTGGGCACCGACGAGCCGCCGATCGTGTTGAGCGCCGCCTGCGCGCTGTGCTTGGCGCCGAGGCTGCCGCTCGCGCTCGTGCTGAGTTTGCTGGGGGTGAGGTACGACGTGATGGAGCGGTAGAAGGGCGACGTCAGCAGCATCGTGACTAAGGGCCGCATGACTGGCAGGCAGGCGCAGATGATGGCCATGTCGGGCTCGAGCGTCATCCACAGCTGCGGTTTGAAGAGGCCCACTGCACGGTAGTATTCAGGAGTCAGTCGTCCGCTTGTTCGCGCCGCGTGTTCTGCTGAGGGAAAAGGGTAGTAGAGAGCGAGGGACTCACGGGTAAAGTCAAATTTATCTTCTCCACCAGTCACTAGCAGCAAGTGGTAGTGCAGTCTGATGCCGCTCGCAGACATGACAGCTGCGCCCAGGAGGAACACGCTCGCCAAAGCGCACTTCTGGCTCCGCGGGAGGTGCTGTAGTATTCAAGGTTAGCCATCGAAGTGTCCGCAAAGTTAAACTCGCATACAAAGATTGGACGAAATAGGACGCCATCCGATCAGGGCCGTCTCACAAGCCGCAGCCTCCCAAAACTCTCATGCAAGCAGTGAGACAGCCTCCAACTGCAGATGCCTATCTTCTGAGGGCGAAGATGTGTGCTCGGGAACTTCTTACCAACTTGGAAACCTCGAACGTCGGCAGGCACAATATCGCCATGTCGATCAGAATATTGGGTATGATCATGCCGAAACAGTATGCATCCTGCGAGATGCAGCCCTCGGTCGGTATGGACGGGCCCAAAGCCCTGCTGACGGGTGTGCACTGAAAGATATCGACGAGTACGCCGGCAATCCACCACATTGCCGTCATGACGGCGAGGACGATGCAGCCGCGCTTCATGAAAAGGGTGGGGAAGAGCCGCCAGTAGAGCGCGAGGATGCTGAGCTTGGCTGTCATGATCGATGTCGCATAGACCATCTGGCTCGCGTAGAGGAGCTTGGGTTTGGGTTATTAACGTGCTTGCGATTATCGTGGTGGAGCGCGTGCGGCTTACTTTGAGGGTGTGTCCCAGCCATACCATGGAAGGATCGGTAGCCACGTTGGTTCTGAAAGGCGTACCGATGCCCCCGATGGTGACGGTGAGGACACTTATGGCGTACAAGCCCCAGACAAACACCAAAGAGACGAGAATGAGCCAGTCGTCCAGCCAGAGACCAGTTCGCCGAGAGAAGCGCAGCGAAATGCGGACGCCGACCACTGCTGTGACGAGGACAGCAACGGGCGTCAGGACCTGGATCATCCACGGGTCCCCCCGAACGTGTGAGCCCGACGACATCTTGGGCGACAGTCAGTACTGACCGTGTTCAGCAGTCGAGGCGAGCAGGTGAGGACCTCGGGGAAGAGGTGAGATCACGGATGCACCGGCGCGCTCATTCCAGCTACTTCATATAAGACGATAATCCGCATGAACAAAGAACAATAGGCTTTGGTTTAGATGAACGCGCCTAATGTAAAGCGTAACTTGGGCCTCGTCTCTACTTAATACCTTGGGTTGGCTAGCGCGCGGTGAAACAGCCCAGCAAGTGTGCGCTCGGCCACATAGCCGAGTCATCTGGTCGACTGCGATTCGATGCGATATGCAGTGTAACTACATTGACCATGTCGATCTAGATGGTGGAGTCCTGAGATCTTTGGAGCCAAAGCACCGGCGATCAATGTCAGTGCGCTCTCCCGATGTACAAAATAAAGTTGCCTCGGGCGGGGAAGGTCGCCAACAATCCCCGTCTATAGATAGATAGATAGAGACCAGTGTTAGCGGAGACCAGTGTTGCGCGATTAATTCCTGATTCCGCCTGTCAAGGTTGCTGACGAGGAGGAGCGGCGCTCGTAAGACAATTTGATCCATAGAGCCTTGTGTTCCCTCACAGCTCTGCATCCAGGAGCTGCGATGTGGTGTGGAGGCGAGAGACAGGACAGGCGCAACCACCAGGCAACTAGACCATTCGAGAGCTACACCGCATGCCGAAGGAATGAGGTACAGCGCAGTGAGAGGGCACGGATAAGGCAAGTGTGCTGACCACCGGCAGCAGATTTGTACGTAGGTGTATTGTGTAACACAGAAACGGCCCCTTCATTCGCTCCTCTGGGATTCCGCCCCATGACAGGCATCCTACAGTACCGGCCTACGTCTCACTTGAGAGAACGATCTTGCATCCTCTCTGCGAGTCGTAGAGAGCTCCTCAGATGTAATTTTGTGATTGGTTCTTATCTTGATGATGAGCAATGTAGAGCGTCACGTTAGGTTGTTGGGGCATTACGACAGCCACCGTATCAAGTCAAATTCGAAGAAAACAGAATCAACCCGATGGCCCGCCTGTGTATGTACATAGTGCATAGACAGTCTTCTACAGAGCTCGATGCTCAAGTGCAGTCTTTGAGACTTCTTTGAATTTTCCCCAATTGTGAAAGGTCCAAAGTCAACTGAAATCGGTTTTGTGCCCAGAGTGCTGGAAACATCGGTCGAATTTTGAATTCCAAGACTCTTGTACAATGAGCTTCAAACAATATAGAATCGTGGCCTGTATTGTGCTGACTACAAATATGTTCAGTACAGACTCCGTGTTCCTCACGATGTATCGTAACAAAGAGAATCATTTCTGTTTGCGCCCTTCCGGTCTAAAATGTGTGTACTATCAGTCCGCACGCTAATACCTCGGACGCCTCTGAGGGAACCCCTACGGCCGCCGGACGTGGGGTTTGTATCCATTTTCTACAATTAGCGGACGTACCAAAGCTGTAATTCTTGTGAGAAAATCCGATTTTTGAAGCATTTATGTCAATAGATGAGTCCTGGCAGAAGTCTGTGCTCACACAAAACTCATTAGGGCCGCGTAAGTTCTTCAACAATTGCATTGCGGCCATAATTATTCGGCGATATTCTTTTTTCATCGCATATATAAACGTATGTCACTCGATGTTGAAATCCTTAAATCCGATCATGCGTCAAACTTTCAAAGCACATTCCTATGTCCATGGCTGCTCATTACTGCTTTTGATTCTCGTCTCCTTCAGCCCACTGAGCCGTTGAAAATCATCAACAATCGTGAAACGGCCGTTCCACTTTCCTACGAGCACTTGACGCTGTGGCATGATGTCAACTTGAAAAATGGGGCTTAGTCAATCCATCAACAACGATCTGGCCGCTGCTAAGCTGTCTCCATCTCAATCTGAAGGAGGCAGCCAGAGGGGGACCTCCGTCGAGCTCCCTGAGAATAAAGAGCCTCAACGCGAATGGCCTCAAGAAATACTTGACATGATATGGAACGAAGCGATAGCTCCGTGGTCCAAGAAGCGTGTGATTGTTCTCGATCATGTGGGCGGGAAGACATTCGTATGTGGAAATACACGAGATCTTGAGGCGGGAAGGCTTGTTGGAAACATCAGGCGACTCAACAGAAAAGCACAAGATGAGGTCAGCTCTTCCCTGCGCAAAGCTGGACGAGAAATGTTTCCCAAGGTGCGCGATCCTTCTAGTGCCCGCCGTCATGAATCCTTCAAAGGACTATTCGCCGACTTCGAACACGACATTTTCTTCCTTTCGCTGGGTTTCCTTTATGGACGCTGCAATGCTCTCAACAACCTGAATTTGTATGCTCCGGATGCCCCAATCGACGAGTCGTCTCAAGACCCACCCCAGCCTGCACACATGATGCTCCCTCTGATACTCATGATGGCTGTTATCGAACGAGTCTTCGAAGGAGATATGCCATGCGTTGGTTATTACGTACCCCCTCATCACCCACCCAGACCAGTCCGTGACTTTGGGCGCCTCCTCGAGGTCTACCCCCGGAGCGGGCCCCCGCGAATGCTCACTGTTTTAATCCCCCGAAGCGTCAATGAAAGGGGTTTAATGGTCGACTACGACGATCTGAAGCGTAGGCCGTTCGGTACATCGATGGAAGCGAAAGCATCAGTGTACGAAATGGCAAAGTCTCAGGAGGACAAGAAGCGGCTTAGGATGGTTTATAACGGATGGAACTTAATATGCCAATCAGCAGACATACAAGGTGTGCAGCTCCCGGCGCTCGAGTTCGCTTGTAGCCGATCCTAGGAGCGAGGGAGAAGGAACTGTGCTTTTAGGTGTGATAGTGGCCGGTGATACTTTCAAGAAAAGTTGAAGCAGGCGAGAGATCTTAGCTGAATAGCTAAGGGAATTAATGGTAGTCGATCCAGCACTGATAATCGCAACTGGTAGGGGAATTCTTATGGATGAGAAATTAGAAATGAAATAAAGGCATTTTACCATTGATATGTATCAAACGTGTTCAAACAATCCCTTCGTGCTCATCTGTAAATGAGACATGATGGATCAATGCGATTTTTGGCATCCCCTTGACTCTTTTGAGGCCGCATTAGTCTTTGTCACTTCAGAATCAGAATAAATATTGGTGTTGACATCTCAGGACAGCGAAATGCCAGCAACTAGTATCGCTCTCACAGGGCCGACTTTTCTGCCTGGCCATGCACTGCTCAATAAAGCAAGCTCCCCCTGCAACGATACTGCAAATGGCGCAGAGGCATGTGATGCTGTAGTGTAAGATACAAACTGTTTGTAAGAAGTTTGTCCAAGCGGTTGTCTCCTCTGACTTCACCCTGCCTAGGACGTAATCGGCTTCATGGGTTCACAGGGGATCTATTGAGTATATCGTTGCCCGTAGTTCCACATGTAATTATATCAGGCGAGAAGTAATATTGAATGCTGGCAAGATTTTGAGCAGTCAGCCGGGGCAGCAAGGCTCAAATTACGTCTGCTTGGGTAAGGGAAGTGAATCACATATCATGCAAATTCAGCCTCGAACCCACCACAGGTTTTCGAGTTTCGAGCCCACTCTTGCCAAAACAGCAACAAAGCAAAGTATTGCATGCCTCCCATCGGCATGATTCTCTCGTCACCACAAAACATCTGCTCAAGTTATCTGCAAACAGCACAAAATAAATAGCAGCAGTCACTCAAGCCGAAGGAACAGCAGAAGCCACAAGGCTGCAGCTCATCCAGCATGCATCAAAGCACCCCACGCAGCGTGACTTCTGCCATCGCTCTACTTCTTTTACTCTTCTCCCTCATGAGAAGTACAACCGAAGCCTACTCTCTGATCTTCTACAGCGAAGGCGACACCAACTGTCACTTCAACACAGATGTAAGCCGGCTCGTCGCCGCTCCCCCCCTCACAGTTCCTCCTGATTCTGAAGCTTCTGATTCTCCCAAATCGCCTCAAATGAGCGATTAAGTTTGTACTGTTACTGACTTACTCAAATCAAACAGCACATTGGCTGCTACGAACACCCCGCCGGCACCTGCTGCCACAGCCACGCACCATTCTGCGACAGACTTATGCTTGGTCTGAACACCTCATACCCGAGCCAAAAATTCACGCAGTACTTCATGCATCAGTCTCAATGCCGTCTAAGCGCTGGCGCAAGCTACTGCACGCAAGGCGGACCTGACGAGTCGGCCCAGTGCTGTATCCCACTGCCTACTGCCAGAGCAGACATCGACAACACAACATGCTCGGGGTTCTGGCTGAATGGTGTCACTGGCGCGTCGCCACCTGGTTGGAAGGCTGAGGCTGAGAAGGAAGCCGGAGACTGCATGGATCCAAACTACTTGTCCTACAACGACGGCCTCGAGGTCAGGAAGATCTACCTCCCACACGGGACGCTGCAGCAAGCTCTGGACGCTTACAAGGACAAAAACTTCTCAGCCTTGGCAATGTTCAAGACGTTGACGGAGGTCTATGGAAATGACACAGGCATGGTGTCTGGGACGAATTTGGCGTGAAGAGAGGGATTCACTTGGGTGGTGCCCTGATTGGACTACAATTTGAGTTGACAGATCATGATAATTCTAGTTCAACTCGAGGGTATATTTGAGTTTATCACGAGTCCGAAGAAGAAGAAAACCCTCATAAACGCGATCCAATGTAACATTGGGAGGCAGTGTGAAGAAGAACCCGGGATGTGGTAGCCTCCGGTAGGAAGGGGGATTTTATGATCTTCATGCAACCCATATGTGAGTGGGTGGAGTCGTCCTGAACGCTAGATCTCCCAAAGTGACCTCTGTGCGCAGCTGTAGGCTCGAAATGTCACAGTCATTGTTTGTTTTGTGGCTTGTGTCAAGCTGTGAAGCTGTGATAAAGCAAGGTTCATTGGCCTCCCGAAGCCATAGCAACTGACCAGCAGAGCCCACAGTACACATTAGGACCAGGGTATGATTCCGCCAGAGTTTGAAGCAGTCATAAAGGATGGTCCGTCGGCTCCCCTGAACCAGACACATGCTCAGAGTCAAGGTTTCTGGCCACCATATTAGTAGGCAAATCAGTGGTGCCTGTGAATTGGGTTTGCCTTTGTTGGGCAGACAGGATTCCATTGCACCTCGGTGCCCTGTACTCTGCTTGTAGTGGTGTGACAGGCTAACTTGGACAACTTATAGCCGGGAAGCTTTTGAGCTTGACGGCTCGGGAAGCTCAACTAAGACGTGCCCATTGTTCTCTGAGGATTCCATGACAACCTCCTCACAATCCTCGATCCCAACTCCATTAGCGAATTGGGTGACCACGTAGTCGACCGTTGATCCTTCGGGCCCGAGCGCAACCATGGGCGCATGCCATATGCCGGCACCATAGGTGACGGCCTGGTCGGTCGTTGCAATAAAAGCCTTGAGCCGCTGCAGATCGGGCTGGCTCTGGGCCTGGCTGTTGTAGTGGATCCCGCGGTTTGTAGGCGCTGTGGCCTGTGAATGGCCGGGACTCTGGCTGGCAGATGAATCCGAAGACTCGAGGCCAGGGGCCACAATAACGAGATACCCGTGCTCATCCAGCGGGTTGACAGGGCCGGATGTGCTGAGCGGAGCAAAAGTCTGTGTGGTATAGGGATGGCGTTCGAGGATATCCACCTTGAAGACACGGGAGGACGGGGTGATTCTGTGAGATCTGCTCTGGTGCATCCCCAGCTTTCTCGCCCCGCACACGAACATGTTCATGACGGCGACGCCAGGCTGGCCGCTCGGGGCCTGATCGTACTTGTTCACCATGCGGGTGATATGCTGATACTTGATGGCAGACCCTTGATTTGCCGACACAGCGGCCAAGGGCAGCGGTCCGGCCCCGGCGAAATTGGAGGGGTGAAGGCCTGGCCTGGGGTTCTGAATAACCTCGCCAAAGGGCGCAAAGGCGTCGCCTTTGAGCGGCTGGGCTGTGACTACCACGTCTACCCCGCGGATGGATATTTTGAGCGGCGCCATCATATATGCCGTAATAAGAAGGATGCCACGATGCCCTCCTTACGGGTTCCAGGCCGGCGGTGTGTGGAAGAAAGTCGGCGGCGGATTTGTGGTCTGGACGGCTCCACATGTGCAGAGAGGCGGGAGAAATTTGGACCTCGAGCCCGTGCTAGCATATGTTAGCACACGTCCAATGCTCTGGTGCGAATCCACAGCAAAACGGCTCTTGGCTAATAACAGGATGCAGCGCCCCTGGGAAACAAACACGAGAAACGCTCGATTTCCACCTCGGAGGATCCGAGTCCATTGCCCAATCTCGCTGTCACCTCTCGTCAAACATCGACTGCCAAATTGATCCTGCCCCTGGCGTCGACTCCTTTTTAAATATAGCGTCGACAGAAAGCGGCCAGAAATGGTCAATCTCGCATCCATTTGTATGTGGGTCGCCCCAGGTGAGTTATATCAAGTGTGAGATGCCTCTTCCAGTGAAGCACGCTCTCACTCTGCGTATTCTCGCACACGTCCCCATTGTTTGACCGCCCCCTTCCACTGGAGCCGACAGGTGTCAAGAATATCTCTTCACGCTCCTGCAAAAGTTGTTGTCTGTTCCTCTTGGGCCACGCCATTTTCTTCCATCAATCTCCCCCAAAAATCTGGAGCTTTTCACTGCATCTCAAGCCGTGGATCCTACGACATCTGGAACGCAAATCTGGGCCTGGTTAATCCTCACCTGCCAGTTGCCGTCTCACATTTTTAACAAGACCACAACACAGCCTCGAAGAGCACAATGGGCAGCTCGCACAGTGATATAGCGGCCTTGGTCCAGTCCAGCACGGCCTGGATAATCGGTGCTTTCCTCCTGTTGATTCTCGTCGTCGTAGCACTGTCCATCGGTCTGCGAATGCTATATGTTCGCAAATGGAAGCCACGTTACGAAATGGTCCAAGATCCTGCCAGAGATGTGGAGGCAGGTGGCGCGCAAAGCCGGCAGAGGAAACTTTCTGAGATCGACACCAGCTATGCACCGTCTACACCAGCACCGGCGACCGTTGTAATGAGGCCGAGCGTGGATGAGGGAGAGATTGCGAGGAGCGAGGCGCTCCACGGGTACTACGAGCCGCCCTCGGAGGTCACCTACAATTCGGCTCCGGGCAGCGGCGAGGACAGGAAGACCATGTTCTCTTGATCTTTAGCTAGGAGTTACAGATGGGAGTGTTTCTGCGGCTTTGAGGCACCGGCAGGTCCGATTCGAATGGGTTCTTGGTTGACAGCCTCAAAGGTTCCCCGGTTCCAGGAGGAAGAAAAGTAGCCGAGGAAATTGCGCCCAACTGGGATCGGACAGAACAGAGCGACAGGCAGTGGACATTTTTCGAGACAGCATCGAATCGTGGTATGAGAGCCACGAAGTGCAGCTGAACTCTGAGCAGGCGAGACCACAGATACTCAGCACTTCGAGTGCAGCGTTGCAACAGGTCCGAGCCGAGAGGATGGAGGCTTCGTCTCTAAACAGGCTTTAAACAGGCTTTTATCCACAAGAAGACTGTCTGTTCTGAACAAGGAACAGAGGAGGAAGAGCAGCACCCCATGATCACGTTTGCCCGTCAGATCTGGTTAAAGGGAGAGTGATAGCACAGCCTGCTTAGAGAAAGCACAATACAACGGATGCTCAGACAGCTTTCTGCGTTCGACGAGTAGTTCCAATTGCGAGGTTGCCAGGCTTCTACATTCTTAATGGAGTCCGAGTACCCTACACCGTCAGCTATTTGGCCAACGGATCAGGTTTCTGCATGTCAGTGCTTCTCAGTGGGAGTGCAGCGATAATCACCCTCAACGCAACGCTGCTCATCTTTCCACTGCTACGGTGGACCACTACAGAAGGCGAAGTCAGTGTCTGCAGTCTTGGAGTAATAGTACTATTCTACGCTTCAGACTCCGAGTCAGGCATAGCCTATATTCTTAGAAAGCTACAGTTCGGCGAATTATCTCCGTAGCTGATTCAGAGTCGTGACCACCGAGGGTTTCTACCGCTACATATTGGTCACTCCGTATTTACATCTCATAGCCAGGTAATTCAAAATAAAGAGTAGCCATGAAATCCATCAAACGTGATTTTCATTTACATTGCAAGGTCTACCTTAGTACGACATTGAGAATTTGGAGGCCCCATCTAGGAAAGTATAAAATAGGTGCAAGAGTATAGTGCAATATACTAATTATAGCTCGCGACGGATAGCCCATTTCTTTTTGATTGTACTCTTCGCCTTGCCCAGTCTCTGCAAACTGCTGCGAAGCCCACCTGAGCCAATAAGTACTAAGTACTGTGTTCTCAGCACAGAAGAATGTTGAAGAAACTGTCAAGGAAATTTCTCAGTGAACACTACGTCCCCATGCCATCTCTCCTTCCCGAGCTGCGACGCGAACAGTATACTGCTTGAGCCACGTCTCACCGCATTACAAGACCATCATAACACAGAGAAGCCGCATCTAAGTAGTCATAGTACGATCCCTTCCAGAGATAAGTGACACAATCAAGTCATGACAGTTTCACCAATTAGAAAGAAACACAAGACAAAGTGCGTATTTATGTGTAGAAGTGACCATTGAGGACAACGAAGTCATAGAAACCAGATACTACGCTGATCAAGTACATGTTGGGTATGCCGCGTTGAGTCTTGCCTGAGCCAAGACTTTTGCAAATCTCATATGGCGCTTGAGATTACTCATCCCTCCACCACGCGGATTTTGTGCTGGGACATGATAGGTGCTTCAATCCGAGTGATGCTGCATTGCTAGGAATTACTATTACCAATAAGTCAAAAGAGCTGCCGAAATATGCAATGTAACACACGAGATGCGGGAGGATGAGCATTCGAACGCTGTCAGCAATGTGAACGGAACGCTATTCGCGCAGCTAGTGCTGATCATGGTCGTTTCAAGAAGAAGGTAGTACTTACCAAGACCTTGTGATAAGACGAGTGATGACACCCGCTGTGCGTTATTGTATAAGAACTATATCTGATGTACGCATTTCGCTGCCTTGTTTTCTCAGTTTATCTGCGGATAGTAGTCTAGCTAGTGGTATTTCCCATTTGGTGTATATCTAAGCCAGTAACCATGACATTGATACAGTACGGCCTTGTAGCCATTGCGCTCATCGTCCTCACCAATCTCCTGAAGCAAGCAATATCCTCCTCCCCAACTGCCCCTTTCCCAAAGGGTCCGAAGCCCCTCCCATACCTGGGTAATCTCCACCAGATACCACTAACCAAAGCCTTCCTCGCTTTCGCGTCGTGGTCCCGCTCCCCCTCGACCTCCACTTCAGATGGCATCGTCGGCTTACAACTCGGTCCCAAGGCCCGCGTCGTCATCCTGAGCAAGTGGACGCACGTGCGCGACCTCTTTGACTCGCGCGGCAAAGGGGCCATTTATGCCGACAGACCCTTTTTTGGGATTGCTGATTATGTCATTCCTAAACCGCCAGGTACAGACCTCCACCTCGTCTTTGCGCGGTATGGTGCGAAGTGGAGGCGGGCGCGGCGGACGGTTGTGGAGTTTCTGAGCGAGAAGGAGACCGACCATGTGCTGAGCATCCAGGATGCCGAGAGCACCCAAATGATGTGGGAGTTCCTGGGCCTAGGCGATAATGCCGAGGGAGACGGATTGATCGCGTACCATCGTTACGTGCTGCGGTATTTTGGCTCTGTGATACTCGCCAGCGTCTTCGGCCTCAGGAGTAAAGACTCGGACGAGAAGAGCAGAGTGGGGAGATTCTTTGCTATCCAGGATGAGTGGGCTGGAATACTCGACCAGGGACAGGCGCCACCGATAGATATCTTTCCGTGGCTGAACTACGTGCCTGATTTCCTCACGCCGTGGAAGGGCTGGAGGGAGCGAGCAAACTTAGTGAAGACGAACCAGAGCAAACTGTACCATGAGTTGTTCGCGGAAATGGAGGCAAGAGTGAAAGCTGGCAAGACGCAAGACTGCTTCTTGGGCAAGCTTCTCATTAGCCAGGACGCTGCTGTCAAGGCCGGTCGGGACAAGGACATTTTTACACAGCTGGAGTTGGACTATATCGGCGGCTTCCTTATGGAGGGCGGTGCCGACACCACCGCTATGGCTTTTGAGACGTTCATACTGGCTATGGCAGCGTATCCCGAGCTACAAAAGCAGGCGCAAGAAGAAGTTGACCAGTTTTTCGGCCAGGATAAGATGCCGCACACGGCTGACGGGAAGAATTTGCCCTTCCTGAAGGCTTGCTTTTTTGAGGTAAGTATGATATCTCTCAGATCTGATTCGGTTGCCCCTGATGAAACCTATTGAAACTTTCCAACAGGCCTTGCGCTGGCGACCGTCTTTCCCAAACGGTGTTCCCCATGCCAATACGGCCGATGATGAATATCAAGGGTTTTCAATCCCGAAGGGGACGACCGTGATTGCGAACACGTGGGCCATTTCTCACGACCCCGATGAGTTCGATGAACCTGACTCGTACATGCCATCCCGATACCTCGCCAACCGCTTTGGATGTAAGACCAAAGAAAACGACGCCGGAACCACAGAGGCCAGCCAATTACTCGACTCGGCCTCTGTCGATGCCGCTGAAATCTCCAGCTCCGGGCGAAGGCAGACCTACAGTTTTGGTGCGGGAAGACGTGTATGTGCGGGCCAGCGAATGGCCGAGAACAGCAGCATGATGAACATGGCGAAGCTCATGTGGTCATTCGATGTGGTCTACGGAGGCGTTGGAAAGCCTGACGTCGACGTTCAAAGAGCATGGAGGGACTCGCTCCTCACCGGACCAAAGTTGTTCCCGGTGAAATTCATCCCTCGGAGTGAGAGCAAGAGAAATATCATTAGGCAAGAGTGGGAGAAGGCCGATCAGTTCCTTAGCCAATTTGAGTAATCATATTGATCCTAACGAATTTGAGCTCGGATTTCCGCTTCACGGCCACAATATCTCTGGGATAAGTAAAAGGAAGAAGGCCCTATAGGATAACCAAACATGGGATAATCTCTTGTGGGACAGCTTTGTACAGGATAACCTCCTGTAGAAGCAATCTGCATGGGCACATAAGCCACAGAAGGCTCCGCAATGACTTCTCCAAATCTGGCGGTGTTGTTTCAAAGTGTATGTGATAAATTCAGTTCTGCCCTACTTCGAGGTAGATTTCTCGGTTTCCGGTTGGGCTTTCTGTTTATCTTTCAGTATCCTACGCGCCTAGCTTACCCCATCTCACCAATAAACCCTCCGCAAACTGCCGTTTAAATATGGATGACCGAATATTACTCGAAGGGCGCTTTCGAGTCTGTACACAACCTGTTCATTGGGTTTCAGGCTCACCGCAGCCTTTCCAAACGCTACCAAGCATGAATTTTGCCAGCATCGAATCTGCCAATCCCAGACGCTCAGCCAGTGATAAAAAGAAATTCTTCCATTCGGAGCTCGTCATGTATCATGTTCCATGATACGAACCGTTCAGTTGCAGCCTAGATAGCCGTCCGCAGTGGCGCTTGTACCATGCGGCTGGCATCAGCCGGTATCCTGACAGCTATGGCTCGAGCTGTGTCCAGTCCGTACACCATCACAAAGGCTGTGATGATGGCCGTCATGAATGCGACGAAGAGCAAGTGTTCGAGCCCGTATCGGTGAACATTTTGGTAATGTGTGGGTGCCAAAGGACCAACCATCTTTTTCAGGGGCTCAATGTGTTTCTCTCTCCGCGTCTTCTGTGCGATGTGAAGTGCCGGAAGGCCATCCATACTCCACGAGTTCTTCAAAGCCCAGTAGTCGGGCATGGCCTCCTTCTCATTACCTTGCCTGAATCTCTCATCCTTCCGTTCAAAATGATCATTGAGCGTTGTCCTGTGCTGTTTGTACTCGTAAAAGGGCACAGAAAACCCGCATGAAGTGCCAACCTGATGAACGTCCACGATAACTATAGCTCTTGACCCGGGGATGGTCTTGACGTCGTTCTTCTTGACGAATTCGTCGTAAGCACTGGTACCGCTCTCGAGGACGCGCCCGTGGCCGAAGATCCGCAGGATGCGAGCCGGTCCTTCAAACGCGTTGAACATGACGGTGATACGGCCATTTCCAGGCTCGTATAAGTGGGCGATTGTTTCCGAGCCAGAGCCGGTCAAGTCCATATACCAGAAGGTACGCTCATCGAGTACACCGAAATAATCACCACCTTTGGGAGATATGTTCACGTGCCCTGATGCCGCCAGCGGCGCGGTGCTGACCCAAAACATGCGCTGCTCAAGGATCCATTTGAAGAGCGACAGGGGAATTGTCTCGTAGAAGGCACCCATTTTGCAGGTTGTGTACCATCATCTGGATGGCGAAGTTGTTGATGAGGTGAGATTGATAACGTGCCGGGCGGAGGTGCCACTTGAATTAAACGTCTGCGATGACGCATCCAGCGACATCGGACAATACGACTTTGGCGGACAACCCGACGTACAAATTATATTCTCAGCTCCTACAGCAGCTGTGCGATTTGGGTATTTTGCTGATTGATATTCACGGAGGTGATTGACCGGGAGAGACAAGCATTGAGACACTGTTGGTTGGAATACTCCACTGGAACAGACCCGGTCGTTGTCATTGACTTTGTTCACGGAGGCAAAGCGGAGCCCATGCCAATGTATTTACGCGGAACCCCGCCTCGAAAGGGCGTCACAGTCGAAGGGTGAGGGGCAGCCAACATTAGCCTGCAATTGACATCCAGCCAGCTCCATACCCACCTGTGCAGCTACATGAGGTGATATCTTTGAGAACGTGTCTCAATTGTCTCACTTGTCTCACCTGACGAGCCAAGTGGCCCCTCCCAGGCTTAGAAATCATAAACGACACTCTGTAAATCACAAAGTGCATACAATAAATAGTTCTCCAGCTGCTCAAGACGGGCAGGCCTTTAGATCACCTCTGCCGAAACCGAAGCTCACATCAACATGTCGACACCCACGCCTGTGCCGATTGCCATTATTGGCGGAGGTATATTCGTGAAAGAACAGCATTTGGTTTGTGCCTCCCGCGCTCTTCTGCCCCGCACAACGGTTGGTTGAGATTGCTGACCGAGAGTCCCAGCCCGCTGTGCTGGCCACGCCTCTGCTGTCGCTCAAGCTCATCTACTCCCGCTCGCTCAAGTCCGCCAAGGAGACTTCGGGGCTCCTGCCGGCCTCGCACGGTGCTGTCGACCTCTATTCAGAGGATTCCGGCCCGGGCAAATCCTACAAGGATGTCCTCGCGCGTTCCGATATCGTCGGCGTGCTCATTGCCCTCCCAATCCGGAACCAGCCCGAGTTTATCGAGGCTGCGCTCAAAGCAGGCAAGCACGTGTTGGCGGAGAAGCCAGTCGGGCCTGACGTCGAGTCGGCCAAGAAGTTGATCTCCTGGTATCGAGAGATTGCCGCGGAGAAGAAGGTCACTTGGGCGGTGGCCGAGCAGTTTCGATTCTTGCCCAAGTATGTCTGGGCCGCGGAGCAGGCGCGAACCTTGGGCAAGGTGATCGGTTTCAATTTCAGAATCTTCCAGCTGTGTGGTCAAGGTGCGTACAAACGCGACCCGCCGGTGACGCAGAGCCGATGCTGACTAATTACAGACAATAAATATTTCAACACCGAGTGGCGGAAGAATCCTACGCATAACTTTGGTTTTATCCTTGACGGCGGCGTTCATTCGACTGCGGCCGTCCGCAGTAAGCAACCCTAGGACATCGTGCATCTTCTATCCCTGAACCAGAAAGACCGCTGCCTCTGTGCCCTGTCGAGTCTCGGCGCCTGAGGTGGCCTGTGTGCATGCATGGAGTGCCTATGCCAGCTTCATTCGGTATGACGCTGGATTTAATTATTGCAATGGCTGACTCCTGGATGCTGTAGTGTTCCTCGGCGAAGATCAACCCCAGACGGTTATTGGATTTTCGTCTCTAGTTCAGAAGCACCTCGCACCGGTGGATACGCTTTCTGCCGTCATCAAAACCAAGTCCGGGGCAGTAGGTAGCTTTACTTGCAGCTGGGGTACCACCATGAAAGCGACTGAGTACACTGTTGCTTGCGAGAATGGCAGCGTCACGGTCGAGGGCGATGCAGGCTGGATTCTCCACAAGGATGGCCGAAAAGAAGAGAAGGACTTCCCATTCGTTGTTGGTTCTGGCGTGACAGAGGAGGTCCAGGCTTGGGGAGCTGCGATCGCGGAAGGCAAGGAGAACTCGCTTCTCACGCCTGAGATAACACTGGGCGACCTGGAGCTGTTGGAGTATATGTTGAGAAGCGCCGAGGATGGTGGCGCTCCGAGGAAGCTGGAGCTTCAATAGGCTGAGTTGAGCTCGAGCTCTAGCTCAAAGTCGAGCTGCCGTACGTGGCTCGATTGGTCTAGGTCCAGCAGTGAAGCGCTAGCGATACCTTCAAAGTTGCCCATCTCGAGATCACCCCAGGTGTGCTGGTAGAATAGTGATGGCTGTCATCGATTAGTTGCGATCGGTAGCAGCCGAGCTCATAAGAATGTGTGATATTCGTGCACAGTCGTAGCATGCACGAGGCGCTATGTGAGCTCAGGCGGGAGGCGAATTTCGTCCTGGCGGCCATCAAAGCTTGGCTCGTTCGGCTCCGACCAGGATGCGCTCTAGACCACGTCTCATTGCATCGTCCATTCCGTTGACATGTGGCCGTCCAGTAGCACGATCGACAAAGACGTGGACGAATTCTCCAACACTCTTCACGTCATCACAGCCCTGCTCGAATAGCGCGATCTCGTATGTGACTGAAGACTTGCCGAGCTTGTTGACGCGAAGGGCCAGTTCCGCAACAGCGGGGAAAGCGATGGAGCTGAAGTAGTCGTTGTGAGAGTGCACTGGTTCGTCATCAGCATGTCGACTGGACTTTGACAGCTGCTGGGCTCATGGTTAGATGCCTTACCAACAAGCCCGTACTGGTCTCCATCCTTTGGACGCAGCCCACAATGCTGGATGAGGTACGTGTTGACAACGGAGTCATACAGGAAATTGTAGACCGAGTTGTTCATGTGTGAATATCTTGTATAAATGAGATTAGCTGACTTGGTCCCGCGAGCCGTTTGCCTGGCAACGCGCCAGAGCTCATTTCAGGAGTCTAGTAGGTAGTTACTGGTCATTGTCCGACCACCTGGTGCGGTACTCAAGAAGAAAAGGATATTCGCCACGGCGGCGGGTCCTGAGCCGATCGAAGCTGGACATGGCCGATCGCGGGTCTGATTGTCGCTGGCGTCAAGAGCTGCTGGGGCCCCGCGGCTGGGGCTGGGTCGTCCGCGTCTCTTATATAACAAGTCAGGGACAGCGCGCTCGCCTTGGGAGGCTTATTCAGGCTTATTCAGAGGCTCGGCAGCTCGGCCGGCAGATCTGGCGTCCTGAGTCACTGTCGACGAGCTGATGACCCGTTCTGGGAAGGGTGAAGGCGGGAAATAGACCGGGGATGTTAAAAGGACAAGGCTGGCGACTCATGCCGTGGGACTTAAAAGTACGTGAGTACGGATCCTCGCGCCCTCGTGGGTCTCTGGGTAAGGGGACGAGCAATGTGCCGAGGCGTCCTGCATGAACGATCGAGTTTGACACTTGACTTTAAATCAGCCTTGAGATGAGATCTCCCCCATACCCTGCAGGCCCAGATCTGACGCCAATATAGCGTATGTTGGGGTCCAACTTCATCACAGGGCGCGATGGAGAAGTTGTTGATCTCCCGGCAGTGTCCTCCCGCCCACGTCCACGTCCTGCCAGATTCGCCCCCTCAAACAGCCGAGGCTGAGGCTTTGTCAGCCGCCACGCTAACGAGGGGAAATTCTGCCGCCCATCCTCTCCTTGACCGCCCAAAAGTTGTCGAGACATGACATCGACGTCGACCTCAGTGCTCCAACCCAGGCTGAGCTTCACTCACCCTCATTCATTCCTTTCCTGATGCAGGACATTGAGTTCACGGCACTGCGATATTTCCGACAATCACGTTCTCTTCCGTTGCTCTACGGCGCTTCTAGGCTGCCCTACGGTCGGCAAATCTGGCGACTAATAACCGGCTTCTTGTGCTGTTCCTCACGCGCGTACAGCGGGCAATAGCGACTCCGATACCTGCCAACGTCATGCAAGCCGACGATTCTGCCAGCGGAGGAACAAGCAGTCCATCAGGCGCTCCTCAACAAACGGACAATGGAGCATCTGTCGACGGGAATGCGCCAGCTGCCCAGCACTCAATCTCAGCCGCGGCCTCCAAGACCAAGAAACCTCGGGTGAGGCAGAAGCAGAAGCACAAATCGCCTGCTGCCAGCAACACGCATGCCGACCCGTGGCCTCGGCCCTATTACTTCGAAGATGGCCTCCGTCGAGTGAAGCCCTATCACTTCACCTACTCCACCTGGTGCAAGGAACGGTGGCGCGAGAGAACACTGATCGAAATTTTCGAGTCTGAGTTCAGGGACCGCCCACTCGAGTACTACAGGCGGGCCATGGAGGGTGGGGAAGTGGCAGTGAACAACAAAGCGGTGGGCCCTCATTACGTCCTCAAGAATGGGGACTGCATCACGCACACTCTTCACCGACACGAGCCTCCAGTCACCGCCGACCCCATCGCAATCCTACACGAGGACGATGACATGATTGTGCTCAACAAGCCATCTGGTGTCCCTGTCCACCCCTCAGGTCGCTACAACTTCAACTCGATCACCGAGATTATGAAGTCCGAGAGGGGTCGCGACTGGCTGGCATATCCGTGCAACCGGCTGGACAGGTTGACAAGCGGCATCATGTTTGTCGCGAAGAACCCCCCAGCCGCTGTCAAGCTGGGCAATCAGATTGCTGCACGAACTGTGCGCAAGGAGTACATAGCTCGTGTGATTGGCGAATTCCCGGACGGAGAGGTCGTTTGCAACCAGCCCATTCTCGCAATCTCGCCTAAGCTGGGCCTGAATCGTGTCAGGGCTAACGGGAAACACGCCCGTACCGTCTTCAAACGCTTGGCATACTATCCGCCGCCCTGTGAGGAGGACGTCCCCGCCCCCATCGGGGAGGCAGACAAGTCTGCGGGAAATGGGCAGCCATCGACAAGGAAGAAGGGATATTCGATCGTTCGATGTATGCCGGTGACGGGCCGCACCCACCAGTTGCGGGTTCACTTGCAGTTCCTGGGCTATCCCATCGAGAACGACCCAATTTATGCGAACCAGAAAGTCTGGGGTTTCGATCTTGGCCGCAACGATTTCGATGCCAGTCTCAATAGCGATGAAGACATCATCAGCCGGCTCTCCCGGATGGGTAAGGAGGATGTGGCAGAAGCTGTCGCGTATTACGATGAGATGATTGAGGACTACGAGAAGCGCAGGGCGGAGAAGATGTCTGGCGAGATCTGCGACGTCTGCAAGACTCCTCTCTACACGGACCCTGGCCACCACGAGCTCACGCTGTGGCTGCACAGCTTGCGATACGAAGACAAGGACGGGAAGTGGAAGTACGTGAGTCCCCTACCTTCGTGGGCACTTCCCCCAGAGGGTTACAGTGGGCCTACGGAAGTCGGAGGTATGGAGGCCCTTGTCAAAGCAGTGAAGGACGTGAATCCGGAAATAGTTGGAGGGGCGGACACCGAGACCACCCCGTGAATATTGACAACCTTGGTATCATTGCGTTCATGCAATGCCACGAGCCATCATCTCCCTCGCCCATTGTGTGGGCGGGATATCCGGGGGGCACAGCACCTTCGCGATCAACCTTGCGGGCCGCTGCTGAATAGGGGCATGGTGTTGACCCAGCAAGGCGCGGCGCTAAGCAGGCGCCATTGAGCCCTACGCTGAGACCAATTTGAACGCCAGGGCCGCGCGCGCCTCCAGCGGAGCTGAACAGTGCCTTGGCCGTCAATCTTCCGACGGGTCTCCGCCTCGTCGCATCCATGACATTAATACCTCTTGCACAGTACGAACTGTTGCTTGGCCGGTTCTATGCAGGAGAATCAGAATAAAGTTTCGTCAAGCTGCAATTCCAAGCGCATCTTGTTTCATAACGCGCGCATTACCTCACACTGCGTGTCAATGGACCAGCCCTGTAATAAGCTCATATCAGCCCTCCTCAGCTCGACTCCTGCGATCTCGGTATGCAGCATTTCAGGTCCACGTGCCATCTCCCACACCTCTGGGCGGCTGAAACCTGCCCATGGGTCCCAACAAGCGACAGGAAATGAATGATCATCTGGAGACGATAATAGCACAACACCTGTTCCACAAAACCGGGACAAGCAGTAACAGCCGCCGAATTATTCCAACGAAACTTCCCAGATGTGGTGCAGATAATTTTGAGCTACTTCGGGTCAAGCCCAGGTGACCACCTGAGATGCATGCCTGCCGGACTGGGACCGTTACATCGTTCCCAGTGAAGTTGACGGATTGGGTTGTCTCAAACTGCTTTACAAGAGGTTCATGAGAGGCGGCGGAGGTTGTTAATTTGCCTGCCCGGTGGATGGAAATGGTGATCCATTGGCACCGGCGACTGGTCTGCCGGAGACAATGGTTGTTGGAGTCGAGCCGATTTCGCCTCTGCGCCATCGTGACTAGGAGAACACGCCGCCTTTTCGGCCTGCCTACCGGCGCCACTTCAAGCATATTTGCCCAGCCGATCATGCCATCAAGGCGACGGAAGAGTGACGGCACAGTCACACGTGTCGGCACGGGACACTGATGCAGTTCTTCCCAATCCATTGGGCTGTATCGTAGCATTGTCTCGGAGCGGCAAACTAATAACAGTTCAGAATAGCTAGTATCGTCTGAAGACAGAAGAGAAGTGGCAGTGTCCAGCAGCCCCTCCCTCACTGTGGATTTTTTCAGTCCCGTTGCGAGACGCGCAAGAAGCAGGGCCCAGGGGACACACCAGGGGGCAACGGCCAGCCCGTTGTGGTGTTAGGACAGGATGAAGAGACTGTACTGTCTGTTTCCGAAGACATGAGCTCAAAAGGCTTGTACAGCGGATCCGCTTCGTCACAGCTGGGACGTGTCTCCTCCCTCCTCCCTCCTGCCCCTGCTTCCTCCCCACTCCCACCTGCGGGAATCTTTGACGAGAGCGACTGTCACAGGGCACTGACCAGCGGTACTGTGGCCCTCCCTGGCACTGGTGTCCGCAGGGTAATCAAGAAGTCGGGTCGGGTCTAACATGAATTTGGAATAGCCCGAAAGTTTAATCTGCCCAGGGCCCGGAGACTGCCAAGCTGATCCCTTCACCATTGGGTGCCTCTATACCCTCACTGGGTCTCCCCAGCCCTCATGGGGCCACCTTCCCTTTCGTCACCCAGCCGGGATCCGCTGCACTGGCAGCTTGCGACTGAGGTCTGGAGAGGCTTGCGCAGATGCCCGAGAGAAATACGACGAGGCGTGGGGAATGCCAAAAGTCTCAGCGTGCCAGAGGCTTAGAGCCACAGAGAGCTCCTGCTGCTCCTTCGGACTTCTGCCCCTCCTAGCCTCTGCCCACCTCCTCTAGCGGTCACGGCTCAGGACCATCGTCTTTGCACACACCCCTCCCCCCGGCTCTCCACGCCCCGTCTCTCTGGGACAGATGGGACAGAGGATCTGTATGTTGTTCTCGATCCGTCCTAGCTCGACCGCTCTCTGTTTGGCCGTGCTCCCAACTTGCTGGGCCTGGCTAGTGATCCCTGGACATCTCAGGAGCAGGCCATTTCTCCCTTGTACCCTGTCAAATACTGTGGTACATTGATGCCATGTCGTTTTGCCGGCCGGGGGGCGGTCTACCACTTCAAAGCACACGCGCAAATCATAGTAGGGTAATATAAGGCCCAAGGGGTGTCCCGTAACGGGGCCCGGTGGACCTCGATGAGATATAGCTTAGTTCGAATCATCCTCTTTGTGCATTCTTCTGTCCTTCTACTCTACAGCACCAATGGCTTACGCAACGACATCTCACGTTCGAAGCTCAGCACCAGTCCCAGCGCCCATCAACACCAACATGACCATGAAGGAAGACGCGGCGCGCCAGACATCCGCGGAGCCGCCCAAGACTACCAAGCGGAAGGGTAAGGAAGGACCCATACGTACCTGACGAGTGAAGCGGAGAGAGTGGACTGACTGACTCAACGGCACCACCAGGAACACGAAGCGTCTCTACCTTGACACCCTCACAGCTTGCTCGGAAGAGGGCGAATGACCGTGAGGCGCAGCGTGCCATCAGGGCCAGGACAAAGGAGCATATCGAACGCCTGGAGCGGGAACTGGAGGACCTCAAGGGCAAGCACAACCGAGACGACACGGTACAGGACTTGATCAAGAGGAACAAAGCCCTCGAGACCGAGCTCAAGCGACTGAGGGAGAGTATGGGAATCCCACACACTGACCCTTACCCAAATTCTGGTGAGAGACACTGAACGGCCCTGCAGTGGCCTTACGAGGCTAGTTTCACTTAAGCGTGCTGCTAACCGCAACTCTAGTCTATGAACAAGGGCTTCCGTCAATGCCCAGCTCTGGCATTCCAAGCCGGTCTTCATCTTACGGTCATTCGATTAGGGCATCGCCAGATGGATATGGCTATTCGCACATTCCAACGCCTGAGCCATCCGAGCCTTGGGCAGCTTCTATTCCAGTCACTGTGCCTTCGACTGTTTCGAGCCCCTCGTCATCGGGACCCATTGAGGATTATGGATACATGCCCACGAGCGTGCCGGCTCCCCTGATGGATGGAGTTCCCGTGGCTCCCACGAGCGCACCGTACCACAATGATGTGGAGTATGAGGATGGCGTCGACTCAGGTAAGAACGACTCAATCACACAGCCCTACCATTGCCCGCCCGCCCCCCTGTCACAACGAACTGCGGGTCCTGTTCTGACACGTTATACAGATCACGGTTTCCACAGACCAGCTTCAAATCACGTTTCTTTGCCCCAGTCTTACCCGATGCACCATCACCAACATCAGCAATGGAACAACATGTATGGCGTTTACTACCCCCAATCACCTTCGCTGTGAGGGTTGAGAGGAGAGCTATCTGAACGCATACGACATCCACGAAATACGACTACCAACGGGGACGCGTTCTAGAAGCATGCTATGTCGATCACACCGCTGGCATGCAGGACACTGACAAGTAACGAGGGTGCGTTTTGATGGCGATTTGGAGACTAGGCGCACTCGGAGAGAAGGCCGCATGTGAGGAGATGCACCACTCGAGAGGCCACCACCCCTTGTCAAACTCTATTTGGTCTCTCTCGACTGTGGCGACCAGCCCACACGGCCAGACTCAAGGGCAACGCAACAGCAACGACACTGCAGCAGCAGAAGGTTCCCTCTCTACACTACAGCCCCGCCTGCGAGCCTGCTCTCTGCCTGCATGCAACTTTCGACGTGAAGCCTGACAGATAACACCAAACTTTATTCCATCTGACTTCTACGTCACTTTGTCATTTGGGAACCTGGCCACCAACCTCCTCGACAACATCTCTTCCCTGTCCTACCGCTCGGATACCTCTTCCCCTCCTTTCAACTCCCAAGCTACCCCTCGCCAACCACATGCCATCTCACTTCTTCTCGCCTCCCCGAGCGATCACCGACTCGGGTTCCCTAAGCACCTCGAGTCAGGAACATACTATCGCCAGGTGGCCATGTCACCCTGGGCTGCATGGAAGCCTGCACAGAATATTCGAAGAATCTTCTTGGAACATTCCGTGGCACAAGGCGAATGCCTTCTAGTCCCGAAGAGGAAGCCTCAACGAACAGTGATTGATTCAGGGCAGAGCCGGTCTCGAACATGAGTCCTGAGTCGATGCCTCTCATGGTCGACAGAAGCAATTCAATTCCCTCATTGAGCGGTGTCCGAGTCGATCACGTGTCCGAGCTTCCGTCCTGTCGCTCCCCCTACCTCGGTGGTCGTCGCCCGACCCACGGGGCTTCCCACCAACGGGTTTCAAACTAAGCAGCAGTGTTATTCTGGGGCTAGTGTGTGCACCTCCGGGGGCAGGGGTCACACACTTCGCACACAGACGTTTACCACCTCACAATCATCTCTATCTCACACGCACACCCGCAAGTATACGCACGCACACACCTCCTCCACACCGCATTCAGACACACATCGAGCATGGGGCGCTGGGAAATCTCACACCTTGGCGTGGCGGAGCAAGCATAAAATGGGCCGGCAAATTGGACAACAAACTGGCAACGCGCAAACGGATGGGAGGCAAAGATACCAAGGCGGGTAGGATTTATGCTTGGGCTGGACACTTTTTTCGTCTTTTTTTATCTTTTCTTTTTTATTCCCTTTCATGCGGAGGAGTTTTGGGCAGGGCGCGGGGTGGGGAAGGCGCCTTTACAACAACAGACAACATTCATCTTATCTTCCAAACTTCGCTATTACGCGCACCAGCATTGGAAAGGGCGAGAGGAAGGTGCACTAGGAGGACAGTGTTTTGGGTGGCATTCTGTTTGACGATTTCCTGCTTTTGTTGTACGAGTTGATGCTTGGGGCCATGGCTGTCTAAATTGGGAACGTTTTGCACATTATCCTTGTTCTTTTTTTATATATAAACCACACCAAAGTTGGCACAGCATCTTAGATACCTTACTTTACGGCACTTGGGAGCGGGATGATCCTATAGCTTCTCACAGCCGTCTTCTGTATTGTCTATATTTGAATCTCTCTTTAGCGGAAATTACAAATTATCGCAATACAAACACACGCTCTCTGTCCGGTTCATCCCACCAAAACATTTCTCAAACGTCGGCCATTGGTAACTCCGCAACTCCGTTGGTGTATCTTATGGCAGAGCCGGATATTGGGGGGATGGGAGGGGTGGGGAAGACGGAAAAAGATACAAGAGAGAGATCATTGCCCATAGGGGGAGCCCGAGTGGGCGCCCAATCCACGGGGACGGATTTCACAGCTGGATCAAAATTGACTTGGCGGCAGGCACTCAAACAAGGTGTGTTACTTGTCGCGCAGCCCACCCACAGTACAACAACCTCGCAGCCAACCCCGAGAGACCGATATCGTGGCATTGGCAGTGGAACGCTGGCCCTTCTGACGCGCTGAGTTCACAGCTCTCTCGCCCGCCCAGCATCATACGGGATATGCTCCGGTGGGGGCGGAGAAATGGGTAAAAAGCAGGGGGGCGCAGGTAGGGCAACACTATTTTTTACAACGTCTTAGACAGAAAGAGACAAAGTACGGTAGAGAGGCCTGAAAAGAATTGCTGGGGGGGGGGGCAGGCGAGCAAGGGCATGAGCAACAGCCAACGCAGTTCAGACGATTTGAGTTTGTCGATACGCCAGGGGGGGAGGGGTGGGACGGGCCACCGAGCTGGCAAAGTACCACAGTAGGCAAGCAAGCAGAGAGAGCAAGAAAAGCTGGGCACGTATGGTTCGCGGCTTGCCTGCCACGGGTAGGGAAGACAGGCGGGCGTGCAACCCTACCGCACGTAGGTTTTCCGGGGCCAGCTCACCATGTCCCTTCACCTTAGCTGCCCGACCTAATACCATCATTCGAGATCGTGGGAGGGGTGTTCCGAGGGGTGGTGCTGCCACATTCCACGCCTCACCGTGGGGTGGGGGGAGAAAGACACACACACACGCGCATACACACGCATATACACACACACACACACACACACACACACACACACGCAGCGAGAGGAGGGTAGAGGACGAGGGCCAAGCATGTGCACCCGGGGAGCATGGCGACCTTGGATCAACCTTGGGTGACGCCGCATTGGTGTGGGCTGGGTTGCCTGCCGCGCGCGACGACAGGGAAAACCCAAAAGATGAAACCACTCCTGCCATCGTCACATCGTCGACTTGTCCGCCTGCTCCCCTCGCATCCGGGTGGTTCGTTTGCCTTTGGGATGATGAAGGTGCCATGCAACTGCGCGGCAGGAGGAGGGTGCGTGTGACAAGCCAAGCTTCAGATCAGTGGCGAAATGCAGCTGTTTCTCATTTCTTCGTCCATGAGAATTCCCAGACTTCTTGATGTTGGCCACATCGTAAAGTTTTTGCGTTCTTTGCTCTGCTGGGCGTGCCAGACAGTCGCCGCTGACGTGCCCCAAAGCTTCTTTCCCGAATCTCCATGGCGCCGTCATAGCAAAGTTTAAACAATGGCCCGAAGGGCCACACCACCCACACCAGTACCCGCACACAGGGCAGAACGGGCAAGGCTAAAGGGCAAAGGCAAGAAATCAAAGTTTTGTTTATATTGCGGCTCGCATCAGAACGTCGTCCGAGAGCGGCAAGCAAGCAAGCAAGCAAGCAAGCAAGCAAGCAAGCAAGCCAGCCAGCCAAGCAAGCGAAAGCCAGAGGGGAGGGTCAATCAAGGAGGCCAAGGAGGGGGTGGAGGAACACACGACAAGGTACCCGTTCGCGAGCCTACCAGCCAACTGGAAGCATCGAGGATTTAAACTTCGAGAACCTTGCTGATTCCAGCGGGAAGTGTCGTCACAAACAGGTCATGCGTGATATCCGCATCGAGAACATCATACTGCAGATGCTGAGCGATTGTATCAGGTGTAGGGATCGTATGAGCTCGCAGCACTCGGACGAGTGTTAATTCTATCTGTCCCATGGTTGGCGCAGATATTGGGCAGAGGAAAAAAAAACATCTGAACAACAGTCTCGAGATAACTAACTCCATAGGTGCTAGCACTCGGGCGGTAAAGCTTCGGGTAGGGGAGACACACAGTCAAAGAGCTGCTGGGGGCCCTGGGGCGGTGACCCCTCCTTACCCCTTCGTCATCGTGCTTGGGAGCTAGGGAACAAGGTTCGAGCAGCTGCACACCATTCCCACTGGTCCCAGTCCCTGAGCTGGTTTTGGAGCTCTCTCAGTGGCTCTCAACCGATGCTTCAAGCATCCCGTCTGCATGGTGACAGGCATTCCACAGGACCCACCGGAAGCAGGCCGGCTTCCGTATCAGGACCTGCATTTGGATATGAAAGTGGCGTGAGATTATTATCGAGGTCGCGCAAGCAAAACCTTGTCAGCCGTTGATTTCTAGAAACCTGCATAGAAGGTACCCCGAGCAGTAGCCCAGAGTCTCCCGTGCGGCTGGGCTCTGGTCACAACGATCATGCCTCGAGGGGTGTGCAGGCCCATGGCGTTGCGTGCTGCGATGGTTGCTTTGACGCCCCCCTCGAAAGCAGATCGAGGGTTTCGGCATGTGGGACTCGAAACCCGGTCGAGTGCTGCAGGGCCGGCCAGTATAGCGTCGGGATTTCCTAATCCAAACGTGGTGCCACACACCGTAGTAGTAGTAATATCAAATTCGCGGGCATGGGGGCTTGTCGCCCGGGCCGGGTTCTAACCGCCTTAGGCGCGGTGGGCTTCTATTTTCACCACGCGCGTCCGGTCCTCGGGCAGCTGTTGCAGGCATAAAACTGCGAAGGCGCAGCGCTTTTGCGGGGTGCAAAATGTTTTGCCAAAACTTGCGCAGCCGAGCTGGACCCCCCAGACAGTGGAGGATCGGGTCGCTCAGACCGTGTGGGCTTTCAGCTGTTTGTGATGGGACCCATAATGTACCACAGTACCGTATGAGTACTGTACACGTGCACTAACGGTAAGGCTCTTTTCCACCCTGTGAAGCAGCAGACGTGGGGACACGCCCGTGTGGGGCAGGACCGTGACGTGCACCGTTGAGCTGGGCTCGTGTGGTGTGCAGAGTGGTGCTCCGCGAGGCTTCGAGAATGCTCGGATCCGCATTCTCGCAGTAAGCTTGCTGTTAGCAGCGCAGCATTGGGCGCGCAGACTCGCATTCGCACAACACAGACATGCTCCTGACAGTGGTATCCCGGCCATATCGCACATGTCCAAGCTCTTCATGGCGCAGGGCCTGGTTCCGAGAGGTGGTTGGTGTAGTGATGGCAGCTCGTCCAGGGCGATCGACCACGAGATTGAGGCGGGGTGGTGGGAGCCCGGCCCCTGCCCAATGTTCCAGCGGGCCAGTTCTCAGTTGGTGCGTACCACAGTACCACGCACGCCTGCAGGCCCCAAGCCCGGCGTAGTGGGGCTCAAGTGCCGCGTTGAGGCCTGCTCCACAGCATGCCTGTATGCATGGGAAGCCCCTGACAGGCGGTCTCCCAGATCCTGGGTTCCCAGGTGTCAGGACGGGCCCGGCGCAGACTAACCAAAAGGCGGAAGTTTCCGAAGTCGGGCCCAAAACGGGGAGCACGATGGTTGGAGCAAAGCCACCAGTGTCCATCAGGCTTAATGTGCTGCGCAATACTGTGCCGTGCCCTATCCACAGTCCGGTGTGCTCTGAGTGTCCCTTGGTGTCCCGTGACGAAGCTCCGAGATTTCGGCGAACGCGGCTCCGAGCGGCGAGATTAGCCCAAAGGGCCACGTCGATCAGGCGGGCGGCGCGTGGACGGGTGGCCTAGGGGCCTGCCAGCCTGGCAGGCCCCTGGGTGGCCCGGGTGGGAGGTAGATTAGGTTGGACGGCCGACAAACGTCGTCCAGGGCTCTGTCTGTGCTTTGCCTGCCCAATCTCGTTAGCCTCGCACTCTTCGAGCCAAATTCTGCCTGCCGCCTGCCCAGGGAATAAGAATAATAAGGTTTACTCGCATTACTTGGCGGTCGTCGATCGTCGAACGTAAATAGCTTTAGAAGATCTCAACGTTCGCGGCACGCACTGGGGGGGAAAGGGAGATAGCGTCCCCTCCCTCTGCCCAGCGATTGGCACTTGCGGAGTAATTCTGGGAAGAGGAAACTCCGTCCCATCTGGCGCTGCGATGCTCCTCTCGTCACAGCCTGCCACCCGATGTCGACCCTGTTGTGCATCCGCTTTCATCAAAGACGGAAGGAAACGCTCGTTCCGAGATGGTTTCCGAATGTCCGTATCCGAAGAGGGCAAGTAGGCATTGACTGCAAGTCACACCGTGCTCTTGCCCACAGCCCTGCACCTTGCGCGGCCGCCTGGGAGTCTGGCGTAGGACACCAGCCGGAATAGAGTTCGTCTAGCCTGCTTCATTGTCTTCTATGGTGGCTGTCTGCACGCACGCAAATCTCCGCACGAGTGTCGATCCGGTGACAGCATCGTCGGCCGATGAACTGTAAAGTCTGGATCAACCTTGCGCCAGGATTTCTAGAAGGCTTCTATGGCTCATGACAGCTCGATCGCCAACACCGTTGCAATGCAGGTTGACGTTGACTAGGAACCATCACTGTCAGGACTCAGGAGAGCTCGAGAGAGGGGTGCGGTAGGGCATGAGGTGATTGCTGAATCTCCCAGAATTAAGGTTACTGCCGTCGAACTGAGGCACAGCGGCCCAGCGCCATCGAGCAAGGTGGTGCGGGTCGCGACTAAGACCCAGCCTCATTGGATCGTGTTCGCAAGATAGACCTTGATGGAGCCTTATTCGACCTTCAAAGCCCGTCGAGAAGACCGGCGGTGAATACCAATTCATGTTTCATGTCGCAAGGACGTGGTGGAGTACAATCACAAGCAATCCAAGCTTCATGCAAGGCGAGCACAGAGGGCCATGTCGTCGGTAGTCCGCGGTCGGCAGGGCTGGGATATTGCAACGAATTGCTCGCCAACATCTACTATGCACATGCATACACACACACAGTACATGCTTTGTAGCCATGGCATGGGCCACTTGGGGCTCGTCCAACCTCGACGGACCATGCAGCCCCGGTTGGAAAGGGAATAGTGCCAAGCGCTGGAGCAGTATGCCCAGATGCCAGCGCCCAAGACGGCCAGCTCTCATGCAAGATGTTTCCGTCGCAGGAGAGAAAGGCGATCCCGCAGAAAACGCTTCTTGGCTCCAATCCGGCCAGATTGAACCCTGGTCGAGAGCCGATTTGACGACCCAGAGAAGAGTATGGGAACGAATCGCATCGCGCGCCGAAGCTCAAGGACAGCTGGGCCACCAAAAATAACGAGTCGTGGTGCGACCAAGGCATGAATGTGATAGCAGACGAACAGACAGTCGTCTGAAGAGCGCAGAGGACGTGCGCTGATGGTTCAGGGTCCTCGATGCCTAAGGCAAGACGCTCCCCCGGAATGTGTGCACGAAATAAACAACACAAGGCAGCCTTGTGCTGGAATGGTGAGCTGGCCATTGGGCACACATCGTGAGGCTGGAGCGCAGTCGCTAGTCAGTCAACCTGTCACGTCGTCACGGTCTAGACCTCGCATCGAGGACGAGGCGGCGAGGCAAGCAAAGGCACTGCGTTAGACGCAACAGGACATGGGCGGCATCCTGTTGGCGGTTCGACTAGGGCGTTGGACCAGGACGACGGACATGGGCCCTCATGCCGTCGGATCCAGAAGCGGGACGAAGTTACAGGTTGTAGGGCTGGCGAGCTGGCCCTGGCCATTGAAGGTTAATCGTCGGAAATGGAGACTTAAGAAGGCCGCTGTCGGCCGGGCATTGAGGGCCTCAGCTACTGAGACTAGTGTCTGCTCTAGCCTAGCCTCCTGGAAACATGGTCGAACTTGGGATGACGCCCTGGTCGATGGCGAGCAGACGAGACAGTTCTTCGGACAAGGGGGGGTTGGTTTGGACGACACGGGAGGATGGGTGCCAGTTCCCCGTAGAAGATGAAGGACCGGATCGCCATTGCCGGGCCATCGTGGGGAGGAGTTGCTTTTTGCCGAGGGGGAGTGCCGTCCCTTGCGCTTGTCTGTTTCTCGCCTGGACTGCCAATTTGGCTTTGGCCGAACCAGGCACTGGGAGTGCTGAACGGCGGGCTTGTGCCTGGATGTCAACGGCGAGGAGCACGAGGGCTGGGCGAGGCTTGGAATTGCGCAGCTTGACAGGTGCGCAGTGGCAGCTGCGGGTGTATACAGCAAAAAGCAATAATTCTCCGTGCCTCTGTTGGCCAAAAGAGAAGGTGCAAGCGTAGCGTTGGGGTAGCGTCAGGTCAGGCTGGGAGTCCTGGACACCGCCTTCTCGTGCGTCTCGATCCGTTGGTTGTTTTAGCAAGCTGTGCCTCGTTTTGGCAGTTTGGCCACTATGCAGAGGCCGACAGTAAAGGCAGTCAAGCGTGGCGATCACCGCCCACCGCGCGTCCCGCAACGCCCAAAGATACACGACCTTGACAGCTTGACAGTACCAAGATCCAGAAGTGCTGTGCGTTGGTCGTGCCTGATTGTGTATCTTCTTTGTGTGTGTGGGCTCCGGGTAGAGATTCTCTGTCGAGTCTAGCCTCGCACGTACTGTGTAGAGGAGCGAGCTTTGGGCGGCCGACGTCTCTGCTCTGACCCTTGCAAGATGGATAACACGACAGAGGCTGGGTGGTGTTGATTGGTACGTTGGGGTCCTGGACCTGAGAACAACACACCAGCAGTTGGATCTGGCAGTTCCGTTTGCAAATGAGGAACCCAGGCCGCACGCTTACCCCAGGCGGGCGGCGAGGCGAGGTGCCACTGGGTGGTTGACTGTCCACTGTCCAAGGATTGGTTTCCAAGGCAGGTGTCTCTTCCGAAACCCTCAACCCTGCATTCTGGGTGTACGTCTGTACCTTGTGTGCAAGTATCTCTATCTCGCTGAGGAGGCGGAGGCGGAGGGGCGATTGCTGTTCGGATCCGACCCTGTCGCCTGCAATCTGGGGTCGAGTCTCGAGTCTCGAGTCTCCAGCCAGCATCCAGCCCAGTCACCTACAGTAGTCCGACAGTCAGTCGCCGTGCGGTCGCCGGTCAGTCGCCGCCGCCTCCTGATGCCTGACGATGGGAAGCGAGCAAGAGAAAACTTCACTTGACCCTTATCACGCCGCCCGCGCACCAGCATGCGGGAGGATCCAACGTCGCAGGCCTGATCAAAAGAGTAAGGTCGCATTTCCGACAAGATGAGTGCCGGGCCAATGAGCTGCCAAAGGTGCCAGAGCTGCGCCATCACACGGCCGAGGGGGGTTGGTTGCACAGTCGGAGAACCTTGGGAGGGCATGAACAGCTGCGCCAATCCAAGCGCTCAGGGGCACCTCAACCGCCAGTTTTCTCGACCCTCGCCAGGCAATCATCTAGGCACGCCCAATCTGCTGAGGCCTCTACGGGCCTATGGTCGCGCCATGGTCCTATGGTCCCCCTTTTCGCGGCCCTGCGCGTGCGCCAGCGAATGTGACGGCCTCCTGCGCGTGTGGCTCCCTCCTGCCCTTTAGAGGACATGATAGATATGAAATGCACTACGATTGACCCTTAGCTATGGGGGTATATGAAAAGCGAAGGCGCATGTTGTGAGAGATTGTGATGTTCTCTAAAAAAAAAAAAACCAACCGTCGCATCAATCCCTTCATCTAGGGCTTCAAGCGCGACAGTGAGCTGTCAACGCCAGCGCCAGCGCCAGCGCACGCCACCGTCGTTTCAAGGCCCACGTAAAGTTCAGGAGGCCGAACCCGCCGAAAATGCCCTCGCTCTTTTCCGTTGCCGCAGCGTGGATCCTCGGCCTAGCGACACTTGTCCTAGCCGCTTGCAACGGGCACGACGAGCTCTGCAGTCGCCCCTACAGCAACGTGACGTTCGTGGGCTCCCACGATAGCGCCTTCGTTGGGCTGCTGCCCAGCCAGAACCAGCTCATCTCGGTTACAGATCAGCTCAACCTGGGCGTCCGCTTCCTGCAGTCGCAGACCCACGATCGCGATGGCACCATTGAGATGTGCCACACGAGCTGTATCGAGCTGGACGCCGGCACGCTGACCAACTACCTCACACCCATTAAGACTTGGATGGATGCGAACCCAAACGAGGTCGTTACACTACTTATGTGAGTACCTTGGTAGTGCCTTGCGCACGATTTATTAAGGTTATACGCGACTGACGGCTGGGCCAGCACCAACGGCGACGCTATCCCTGTGTCCAAATTCGCCGATGTCTTCTCTGCCGTGGGACTGGAGCAGTATGCCTTCACTCCAAGCAGTGCGCTGTCGCTGGACCAGTGGCCGACACTGCAAACCATGATCGACAATGGAACGCGACTAGTCGTTTGGATGGGTACGTCCTAAACCACATGCTTTGAGCCATGCCAGACCAGCTCGTCTAGTTTGATGAGATGACGCAGAGCACATGCGAGCTATGAAATGTTAGGATTCGGCTGCTGATGAGGTCTACAGATTACAACATGGACACTGCGACTACTCCATACATCCTTGACGAGTTCGCTTACTGTACGTACACCTTCCACTGTGCATGATAGCCCTATCGATTCCCATTCCAGGTCATTAATATAAGTTAGATTTCGAGACATCGTATGAGGTGACGGACGATTCCTTCCCTGACTGCAACATCGACCGCCCCTCTGGAGCGAGTGCAAACGGTCGCATGGGCCTTGTCAATCACATGCTCCACATTGAAATCCTCGGTATCCAGATTCCGGATCTTGTCAAAGCGGACGACACGAATTCGCTAAACTCGATCGATGCGCAAGCTGGGATTTGCGAGGGCCTCTACGGCCGGGCGCCCAATGTCGTGCTGCTTGACTATGTGAACTTGGGGGATGCAATGGGTGCTCAGGCTGCGCTCAATGGTCTGTAGATACACTGCCGGCTCTGCCTGCGTTTGAATGATAATGTCAATCAGCCTTTGTAAGATCCAAATGAGGTGTGGCATCGTGACATGCTTAGACAAATGCTCGGGTGCGAGAACATTGGCTGTAGTGAACCTCGATCTCTGCTCCTTTCGCTGTCAAGGACGTTGACCGGTTTCGTACATGGGTGGTTAAGAGAAGTCGACTGCTACACCACGATCAGGTTCATTCGAGGAACGGCACGTGGGAAGCTTGAGAGTGTAAGTACATATGTCAGGTGTTGCTGCGAGAGCACATGACGAAGCTGCATGTCAGATTTCGACATAAGCGTGCTTCAACCACCCTACTTTATATAGGTAGGGTAGCAGCCATCTCACACATCCGATAGTCCTTCGGAGGCTAGCATATATGACCACATGGAATGGCCGAACACTTGGTGAGTGATCTCACAAGTTTCCCCGTACGCGGATTTCTCTCAGGCGGTCAGCGCGGCCAGGTCTTGGTACCCGTGTTGGCACACTCCCCGGCGTGTCCTTCACCTGTGAACTTACATTAGCTTGTAGGTGGCTATAGGTTCTGTGGCATGGCACTCACTTGTTGAAGCCAAATAGGCTGAGCTGTCGTATATCACAATGCAGAATGACGATACTAGTCGCAGCTGTTTTGCCTATAATTTGTCGACGTTTAAAGGCGACCGCCAATGGCCAACAACCAATGAAAGCCCCGAGTCTCAGCTTATTGCTCATTCACCAGTGGTGAGATTCATCGATTCAGGATGCCTCTATAGTCTTCGTATATACAGCGTTATACACGGTCAAGACTCAAAGGCTTGACCTCTACCCGGCGCAGTGCCTGTTATGCTTTGCTATCCATATCCTCGAATGGCATTCGTGCTTGCCGCGGACTTCCTTCGAGGCAATTATGCACGGTGATCAAGCTGAATTGTGCTTCTTGGACTGATGGAGACCCTAGAGGCGAACGCGTCTGCGTGGTTGCGCTTTTCGCGGTACGCCAACCAGTTCGGGCACTTCTTCTCTGGGTTTCCGGGTGGCAATGGCCTTCTGAATCGCTTGAATACCATCGACCAATGTTCCCTCTTCCTGCTTCGTCTTATCCGCAAGCCTCGCCTGCTGATAGTGTGTCTGCAACTCCTTCACCCTCTCCTCTGACAATCGCCACTCCTTGGGGAATTTGGGTTTGACCTTGAAAGTGTGATGTCTCAGGTCCAGCGGGATATCCTCAAAAGTGTCGGCTGGGTCCTGTTTGTGGATTTAGATTAGCAATCTCGGTGCTTCAGCACACAAAAACTCCAAGTAGCAATGTCCGCCAGAGTCTCGCCTACACGACACTCGCGAGAACATCCATCGCTGATGCTGACTTCTGCCCCAAAAGCGGGACAAGAACGACTGGACGAGATTCAATGAGCTGACCGGCTCACCACTAGATGAAGCCGGAGTCACAGACCGACTATCCCCTCATTCAACGCAGGGACATGGGCAAAAGGAAGGTCCACAGTGAGCCACTAGGCCGGATTCCCATATGAATCATCAGAATAGATTGAAAGAGAAGCAAAAATTCTCTTCCAAAGAGTGTGCGTCAACTCGTTGAAATAGTGAGCCCATACCTTTGCCTCTGTGACCAGCTTTTCGACCAGTTCCGCTAAGTAGCGCTTGTTCTGGGCCTGGTGTTCGAAAGACTCGCAGCTCATCTTGATGACCTCTTTCTCGGGGTTATACCGCGGGCCAGCCAACTTCCTCAACTTCATCTTTTGGATCTCGGTGAGCCCGAAGTCCTCCGGGCTGAACTCGACAACCACCTTCTTCTCTGCGGGATGGTATTCGCCCATATATGATGTGTATCGGAATCGCAGCGGTTGTTCCTTGGTCGGAAGCTCAAACGGTTTGGCGTACTCTGTGTTAAAATGTCAGCATAAAATGCTAGCCAGGTCATATATCGTTCCTTCTTTCCTGGTCCACTCTCGATATCTACCACCCTCGTTCTTCCACTCCACGCTCAGCTTCCTCGCAGGCTTCTGGTCACTCACGGGATAACATCGGCATCTCCCATATCGCCAAACGCGCATAAGCTCTCTGCTCCCGGTGCTCCTCCAATTTTGCATGTGCGATGTCCGTCATGTCGTTCTCGTCGAACTCGTCGCTGTCATCGTTGCTGATGAGGTCCTTATCGTCCTCATCTTCGTCCCAGAACGCATCCCTCCTGGGCTTGACCGCCACTCTCAGAGGCCTCGATAATTCTCGCGCGGCGTCTTGCTCCTTGCGGATCTCGGTGTCGCCGAGGCCAGCCAGTTCGGCGGCGAGCTCGCCAAAGAGGCCGCGTTCCTCTTCGCTGAACAGATCCTTGGCGACATCACTGGGCGTCATGTTGCGATATTTCCGGTCATGCTCTAGGTCTTCCGCCGCCCAATTGTCGAAAGGGGAAGGCTTCTGGCCGTCGGTGCTGGTTTCCTTGACCTCCTTGATATTGCCGCCGGACACTGACTTCCAGGCGACAAAGATCTTTGGGCCAACATGTTGGATGGGTCTTTGACTCCTGCAGCTTCGGCATGCAAGCCGCAGTGATCGGGCTGCTGAAGCCATGGCGATGGGGTTGGCGATGCTCAGGTGTGCCGCGATGGGTGGATGGATGTGAAGCTCCAATGCGTCCAGAACTTTTGAGAGTGCACAGGCCACCTGCAGCACTAGTGCCAAATTCGCCCAGTCCAACACCACAAAACTGCACAAGCTTGCCGCTCTTAAGCGCATCTGCCGCTCCAGCCGCCGGTAAGCGCTTACCCGTCAGTCTAAGCTACTTTCACCACCATTCACGCACTACCCCTCGTGTTTCTAAGAGAAAGGAGACTCAAGATGCCGAAGAAAGGAATGGGCAAGAAGACCAAGGGTGTCAAGAAAGCACCCGGACTCAGAAAGGCCAAAAAGGCGGGTGAAGCAGCTGCAGCAGCCAATACCCCCACCACCACTGCCGCCGTCGATCTGCGGGACGACAACCCCCAGCACGACACTGATCAGTCTGACTGGTCCGACGGTGAGCTCATCGACGCCGAGAGCATCAGCATCGGCCCCAATGAGCGTGAGCGCTTCAAGCGTGTGATCCGCCTCTCCCTCTACAGCAACGACGAGAGCATGGGCCGCCGCCTGCTTGTCACCGGAGGCGCTACTGTCCCATTCGTGCCCCTCCTTGAGGAGGCAATCAACGAGACGTTCCTGCAGTCGCTTCGCGCCCATGGCTTCACTCACGTCTACCTGCAGTGCGGCACTGCCCACGACCAGATCGAGACGCGACTCAAGACCGGCCGTGGTGGCATCCAGATCGAGACATTCGACTTCTGCCGCGACCTCAAGTCCCTCATGAAGGAGCACTGCCGTGGTGAGAAGGGCGTCAAGCCTGCTGGTGTGGTCATAGGTCATGCGGGTAAGTTCACTTTCATTTCTCTTCTACACAGGCACCGCTTTCATCTTTTCATTTTTATTCTTACTTTGTGGAAAGATTTCCATTGGCTAACAGTAGTTTTCAGGAACTGGCACTATTTCTGACGCGACGGAGGTTGACTGCGCGCTGGTCATTGTCGCGAATACGACTCTGATGGACGACCACCAGTCCGTCTTCGCGGCTGAGATGGCCGCCGAGTATCCGACTATCATCCAGGCGCACCTTGGGCGAGTGACTTTCATCTTACTATTTAGTCATTTTTCATTCACTAACAACTCGTCTTGAAGCAATCTCATCAAGTCCGTCCCCGAGATCATGCACGTCATCAAGAAGAACGCCCTGGACGACCTAAAGCCTTACGAGGAGCCGGGCCTTCCCCGGGAGCAGCAGATCACCTTCATCGACGAGGTCATTGCCGGTGCCACCCGCCCCCAGTCGTCCCGTTGCGTCGTCCAGTGAGCTGGGGCGGACATGATGAAAAAGTTTCATTACAGATTTTCCCACGGCGTTTTGGTTTGGTCGGGCTTCAGGAGTGGTTCAGTGATACCCAGAAGGGCGTTTTAAGACAGGGCGACAAGAAGTCAGTCTTCACAGGAAAGTGAAAATTTTACGTAGTCATCGCAAGCAATTGATGGCTCTTTTCATAGGAGGTTCTACCCTAATTTCTTCAATGAACCCTCTTCCATGAAATTGCTTCAAAACGATGATACCTCTTCGCGTTGGGAATTCATTGCAGCCCGGACACGTTCCAGATTTTGACCGCTGCATCACCTCCTGTGCTCGCGAGCTTGGACGACCCCCCAACCCAGCTAACGCCATTGACTCCATCCTTGTGCGCGTTCAATGCCTTCACCCGACTCGCAGGCTTCGCAAGGCTCCACACGTAGACATGTGTATCCAAGGCACCACTGGCGGCGTGGGTACCAGCATCGTTCCACGCTATGCTCATAACACGTGCGGTGTGTGCAGACCATCGATCCGTTGCCAGGCTCCAGTCAGCCGTCTTGAATGCGAAGATCTTTCCTTGGGAGTTACCCGCCGCAAGGTAGCCGCCGTCCTTGGAGAACGCCAAGCTCGAGATCTGGGCTGCTGACTTCTTCACGACTTGGACCTCAGAAATTTTGTTGCCCGAGTCGAGCGAGTAGATTCGGATGTCGTTACCGTCTCCAACTGCTAGTGTGGATCCCGAAGCAGCCACTGATGTGGGTGAGTAGCTGGTGCTGAGCTCTCCGACCTGTTGGTCTTTGGAGTATACCGCGATTCCTGACGCGGTGGCGACGACGACGCGACCTTCTGATACACTGACACCTTTGGGTTGTGCCTCCAGCTTCGTTGATAAGCCAGTAAAAGTGTTCGCACCCTCATCGAGAGTCCTCAGCGTGTCATCCCAACCGACAGTGAAGGCTTGTCCAGAGGTAGCTGCAATTTGTGTGACCTGGTTGGTGTGTGTTTGCCCGTCAATCACAGCGCCAACCCCACTCTCGACATTCCAATGGCACACACGGCCGTCAAAACTGCCTGTATAGACGTCCTTGCCATTGCCCTCTGAGCCTGTGGCAATCGCTGTGATGCCCTTGTTGTGGCCCTGGACAGTCTTAGTTGGCGTTGGACTGCCCTCTGACAGGTAGTTCAGATCACCGTCCAAGCTCAAGGCGATGATCAAGTCATCACGAGGCCAAGCTACACCGACCTGCTGATCTCCCACATTCACAGCACCTTCCTGGCCCAACTTCCACGTCTGCACGTTCTCACCAGATCCAACATCCCACACCCTAACAGACTGGTCCGCACTGGAAGTCACGAATCGCTTCGAATCCTTAGCCCAGCTCACTGCAAAGATACTGCCTGTGTGAACGCCCTCGCCGATCTGCTTCGTCGGCTCGCCCGTCTTGCCGTCGTACAGCTGGATCCTGCGGTCCGCACCCACTGTGACCAGCACATTTCCGTCCGGGCTGAAAGCGGTTCCGTACACGAAACCCTTGTGCAGATCGTTCGATTTGCCCGCGAACTTGAACGGCGCACCGTGCAGAAAACACATGCTGCCGTCGTCCGAGACGGTCGCGGCGCGCAACGGCCGCTGCTGCCTCATCGCCACGGCATTGACGACCTTGCTGTGGCCGGTGACCTCGCCGACGGAGTTTCCACTGTCGGCTGTGATGCAGTGACCGAAGCGCTCGCGGCCGTCGCCCACGGCAATGATTCTCTGCGAGTCACCGTCCCAGCCGATGTCGTTGATGCGCCCGCTGATGATATGGTACTCCCCCTTGGTATTGACAGCCTCCACGGCATCCCAAACTCGGACCGTGCCGGAAACATCACCGGATGCGACGTAGAAGCCAGAGGGTGCGAAGCGGGCTACGGTGGTCTGGGCGGTGTGGCCATTGTATTGCTTGCATTGGGAGGGATCGTCGATCGAGCGGAGGAAGATGGATTTTCCGGACTATTTTCTCGCTGATTGATTAGCTGCCTGAACAGTCCAGATAGTTGTGCCCTTCTGGAGGTAGGAAAGAGACAGTATTGGACCTACAGCATAAGCTATGCGCTCCCCTTTGGCATCACAGGAGAGCTGGGTTGGCTGGCCCCGAGTGGTGACGGGGGCCGCAGCCAGGATCTTGTCGATGGTGATGGACATTGCTGGAGCTTTTGGTCGGCGGTCTGATTGTGCGAATGGATGTCAAGAGCAGGAACAAGAAAAAGAAGGCAACGAATATCAGATCGACGTGGCGTACGCAGCTTGTTTGAATGGAGCTGATCCCCCCTTTTCTAGAACTGCCCTGCTCGCTGCCACCTGGGCAGTGTTGGAGGGGTCGAACGCCCCTGCGTGACGCGCTGCGGGGCAACCGACCGCTGACGTAGCAGCCTGGGTGAGACGTCGTGAGGATAAGCAGCTATGAGTGAAGCATTTTCGTCCCATCTCTTTTTTTTTATCTGCCCACTCAGATACGCTTTTTTGGCTAGCCACGTCTCATGCATCAACTAATTCTCCCTCGAGACGACCTCTGTGTTGCAGATATGTCGGTGTTATGTGCCAGGCGTGCAACTTTACCTTGTAACACATGTACAAATCGATTTTGGGGGGTCGTGCAAATAGCGCCGTCAGGGGTATCATGACCTCGCCCTCCCTCAGTTTCTCACCATCAGGCAGAAGTCTTTAGAGCGATATGTTGAGTTGAGACATGATCTCAGGCAGAAATGTGTGACATGCAAGCGGAGGGGTTTTCAAGCTAGATCATTCAATCAAATTCGCGGAACAGGAAGAAAAGTTGCTGCCTTGAAACATGGAAACCGAGATAGTTGCACAGTGGCTCCGTCTTACACTGATCGTCCATAGAGCCTCAGCTTCACGCTTCCTGTTGCCTGATTTTTACCAAAGCAACCTTGAAGACTGGCCGGTGCAAGTCTCTGTGGTGATTTTTCAATGCCTTGTCGGTATAAGGCTACATTTCCCCAAATTTCAGCGTTTACGATCGGCTATCAATAAAGCACTAGCATAGGCAATCTGACCTGTATGCCTCTTAACAATCGGTTGTGAAAGAAGATTGAGGTGGGTTCATCATGCTATATCTCAGCTTCGACGTCCATGGACTCTAAATTGAGACACTTAATCATCGGGGAAGCTTTGCCAATCATGACTTACTCTTCGTACACACCCTGATCTTCCCCTGGGTTAATCATGGTCTCGGGTATACGTTGCGTTAGGCGGCTTATACGACTTATGGATTATTTCATTGGATCCTGTGTCACTGGGGATCGTGCCAACCATGTGAGGCTAGAACTGCGAAAATGAACTTTGATGTCTTCACACCAGAGACCGGTCAGAATGGCACGCGTTTGAGGTAACGCTTGAACTCTTCATCAATTATCAATACCACAACATGGTCTTGTATCAAATTCTGGCTCAGTAAGTTGTCCTCGGCTTAACACAACCTCTCTCACGGTCATGTGAGCCCTGCTCGTCCACTCGACTGCCAGAAACAGTCAGTGTAAGCCATCCCCTTTCCTCGTCTCATCAGCCAGTCACAAAAGCTCATTTGAGTAAGCTGAAGGTCTAAAGTTCAACTTTGAGCAACTGGCCGTTAAGACTGTGACTGTACTTTGTCTCTGCCCACTCTGTATGTGTCTGTCGTCTTGAGGTTTGTGTCGCCTGCAGGAGAGCATTCAGGAAGTCGGTCACTCGTACCTCTCAACGGTTCAGACTGAGGATGCACACGAACTCTATAGTCATGTAAACAAATTGAGAATCCTCCTTTTATTGTGAATGCGACCTTTGGGAACAAATTTGGACCCAGGACCGCCTCCACGATGTCACCGTAAGTAGAGCTTCCTCAAGCGTCTACCATTCATCAGGTTAACTCACTCATTCGCCGGATTCTAAAAATGGTTCATGACCATCAGTGAGTCGACAGTAGTCACTGTTGGTCCAGCAGGAATGGCGTTCGCCTCGAGTCTATAATACAAAAGCTCGAGTTGAATCCTATCAAACTTCGTGTTTCCAATTAATCTTGCTGGTTTTACAACAGCAACAATTATAAATCGTTAGCTATGTCTTCTATACTCGAATTATCTCATGGGGTATGGCCAGCCTCGTTTCCTGCCTTGGCTCAAGCATCTACTTCTAGACGCGCGCACAACAGCCCAACTCGAGAAGTCCCCCGAGACGGTCTGGTCTTTTTCCAGCGATCGAGAAGCCGTGGAAATCATTCTCGTAGAGCACATGATGTGATCATTCAGCCGTTCCACAATGTAATCATTTGGGGCAACGCCCTGAACTTCTGTAGGCTTGCTGCGCCAGCATTCATAGTAGAGAAAGTAGAGTTTCTTCCTTGCTTTACTCTCAACGACACAACTATCTTTGCTTTGACCGATTCTCTCAGGTCGCTGAATTTGGGGGGCCGAGACCTTTGCAATACTGAACAATCTACCAACCCGAGGACAAGCATAGAGAGAAACTCACACCACACGGATGATGTAACTGAGAACACAGACTCACCAAGTCACCAAGATCTACCGCCCATTGGGAATACTAGATCTCTCCATCGGCAGAGTTCAGATGAGGGGTCTCCACCACGGGAGGGGCGGGCGAAGACCAGGTCGTTCGACCCATATGGCCCGCTCAAGTCAACCACGGAGATCAACAACGGCATCAAAGACCTCCTCCTCCGCTATACCGGGTCAGACGAAGGCTATGTATACGGCTTCAAACACCCAGATGACGTAGCCTTGAACCCATCACCAGGAGGCCACAGCGGCATACAGCTCATCAAGATCGGCCGTTCGAAGAACCACCAGGTCCGGATGAGGCAGATTCGCAAGAAGTGTAGGTACGTACCGCATACCGTCTTCGCCCACCGCATGCCTCACCATGTCAGGATCGAGCGTATAATACACATGCAGCTTCACAACTCGCGACTGAGGGACGTCGGCTGTACTGGCTGCGGGGCTAGGCATGAGGAGTGGTTCAGAGTGGAGGACGGGTACGCTGAGCACCTGGTGATGCTGTGGAAGGCTTTTGCGGAATCTCACCCCTATGATGAGCAAGGGGCGATGTTGCCGATGTGGCGCGAGAGGCTTGAGCAACTCGATCTAGATGATGCCGACTGTTGGCAACATTTCATTCATGAGGATGTTCCTTCGGGCCAGCCATGTGAGGCTTCGCCCAGGGAACTGGAGGCACAAACCGCTCCTGCTAGGTTGGTTGATGACCAAATCAATTCATCGAGCGATGGAGTTACTGGAGCGGATGGTCAAAAGATCTGGGAATTAGTCTGATTGCCTGACTTACGAATGCGCACAAGTATCTATACGAGCCCCTAGAAGAGTTCAAAGATATTAGATAGAAATAATCCATACAGACTTTGCATGACAATTTTCACATCTCATTGAACCAATTCCTTTCCTGTGAAACACATGCTTTCCCACCCGGCACTTATCAAAGCTGATCGACATTGCGTTAAGCAGCCACGATTGTCTCAACAGCGGCCAATAACTCTTTCGGCACGCTCAAGTAGGGGCAGTGGTTAGCCTTGATAAGGATCTTGGGCGCCTCGGGGTCGAGCTGGGCCGCCATCTGCTGCTGAAGCGGATACGGCAGGGCGCCGTCATCCTCTGTGTAGATGTAAGCACACGGGACTCCGTCCTTCCAAGGCTCATACTGGCTGGTGCCGGCGAAGAGGGCAGCAGAGGTGTAGGTCATCTCCTTGCACCATCTCTCGCGCTCCTCTGGGGGAAGGTCACTGAGGCCGAGCTGCGGCACCACTTCCGGGTCGCCGGTCACGCGGTCGCCCTGAAGGGATTCGTCAGTATACTCACACCACGACTTAAAAGTAATATTCGCGGCCTCTTCCAGAGTACCCCGAAAGATCCAGACCTCACTCGAGCTAGACGTGAACTTACCTCCACGATCATCCAAGGCGCCGGCTTCCCACCCAGCATCTCCAGCAAGCTGCTACCCTTAGGCACCATGAACGCTGCCATGAAAATGACCCGGGCCACGCCCCCAGCCAGGCCGGCTTCCTTGCGAGTCTTGACGTCTAGACCCTTCACCGCACCGCTGCCGCTCACGCCACCAGCCGAGTGGGTAAGCAGTACAATCTCCTTCCCGGCCTCGACCAGCGGCTGGACCACGTCGCGCACGGCCTTGATATCCTCGTCCAGGCCTGTGAGTGGCAGCTCCGTCCCGCCGACACTGGGCATGTCGACGATCTCCGTGGTGAATCCCTGGCCCCTGAGGAGGTCCGCGAACGGGACGAAGACGCTGGTGAACTGCCATGCGCCAGGCACGATGACTATGGTTGGCTTGGGTGACATTGTGGGCTAATAGGTGATGCGATTGGTGCCGGTGTGCTCTCAATGCTAGAATCTGTTGGTGACTATCGTGGCCTGACTGTCTGTCCCTCTGGTGGAGCCGCGCAGCAAAGGTCTTGAGCCGCTCACATTCGTCGTGTGAAGTCCCGCCATCATGTGGGCCCCGATTCCTCACTGGCTTCTCCATCTCATGGTGATTCGGGTCTAGGATCATCTCCCGCTACTTTCTCCCCTTCCCGGAAGCGTATCCGAGTGCGGTAGCCGATGATGATTCACGCTCCCGGAAGCTTAAATCAGCCATCGGGAACGACCACATCCCAAGCAGCGTTCCTGAGCGAGCAAGAAGAATGTCACTGCATACTCTTCCTAACGCTAGAAATCGCCCAACGGCGTGACTGTAACCCATGGTTACTGAGTCTCCCCTGGCCAGACGAGGGGTCCCACATTTGAAGGCAGGGATGAGCTTGTTCTCGCGTGGGATTCACTGACACGAGCAGGTGGGGAAGGACGAGAACATTGATTCGGGAACTCCCAATGCCGTGCTTCAACGGTCTCGCCTCGCTTCGACTAGAGCAACATGTATCCGGTGCGCAGATGGCTTCATCACAATGGAGACATACCCAGAGTCCCCCTGAGAAGTGGGCGCCCCCCTGGATATCGTTCGGAGCATGGATAGGGGAAGGAGAGAAAAGAAATGAGGCTGTTGCGGTGTCTCTCGACAAACCTCGGTAGCAGATATTATAGAGCCTCCAAGTCATAATAGCCTCGAAGACGTTGGTAGAGCTAATCTCGAAGACAGACGGATATGAGATTTGCCAACCGACACTGATAGTCACCCGGCCATAGGTGTGGATGGGGCCGATAGCAAGGGTCGACGCCACTCCAATATCAACGGTCTGCCGATCCAAAATTCAACGTGCGCTCCTTTCGGCCGAGTTTCGTCCGCTGCAGCTTGACTGCAAGGACCGCACGCGTCCTTCGATGATCTTTCTGAGATGGAACCCCGAACCCTCCGTATGGAGAAAATCTCCGACATGGTATGGGCCAGGCCGATCACTCCAATTCTCCGACTATCAACGGCGCCCACTGTCGCGTGGCGGGAGACACATCGATGTTTCCCCGCGAAGAGGACCATGGGTTCGAGAAACGCCCTGCAGTGTTCGCGTTAGCGAGCGCCACTGAATGCATCCTCAGTAATCCTCATCACACAGTGCCCAGCGCAACATGCTTGGGGACAAGTCGCAAGGGAATATCTTCGGCGTGGGACCGCCACTTCGTCGCCTTGAGTCGCGCGAAGGCGTCGCGGTGGCGATGGCAATTCTGCGGGAAGAGATGCAGCATCCGGCCTGGCCAAAACTCAATTTGACTGCGAGGCGACGATTTGGGGGCCAACTCTTAATTTTTTTTATTTTTTTTTTAAGTGACGGCTCTGCCGACTGTTGGTAAACGCAAGCGTCATGCGGCGACGCACGTATGCATGCGTGCATTGCATATCCCAGTGCATCGGGTCAGTACCACGGTGTCTATTCGCGCAATCTCGCATCTTGTGCGACGCCTCCCAACGCAGGCACGAGGAGCCGCCCGGAGAGGCAAACCAGAACGGGAAGGATTTCGTTACACAGCAGGTCCTGGAGGCACAACCGGCCGGGGGAGCTGTGCTGGAGACGTCATCACCGTTGAGGACAGAGTCAGGACGAGCACTCTACTCAAATCTGTAACGACGTCAGGGGTTTGGTGATATTTTCGTCATCAAAAGTGTCATTAAGTCCGGACAACCGTCCACGTCGATATGCCAGTTTCGCCCCGGTATCACAGCTTGTCACTGTGGTGCGATAAGGATGTTCTGGAAACGGCGCCCAACAAGCGAGCGAAGACACTGCCGGTAGTTAGCATGGGGAGGGGCGACCAAAGGAGGGGTGAGGGCCCAGAATGTTTGGTTTGGTTTGGTCATCCTGCAGGAGAAAGCCACTCCGCCCAACCGGCCAGCAAGGGGGTGGGATGGGGGCTGGGCTGGGGTGTCTACCAAAGCTGAGACGAAAGCCCCCTCTCATGCAAGGCAGGGCAAGATAAGACATGACAAGACAGGCCCTCTCGTCTCTCCCACCCTCACAAACCAAACATGGGGCGGCTTCTCAGTTCCCGTTGAGGGCCTTAGGTCCGGAAACATCAATTTCAGTCTGCTATAGTAATAGTGTAGTATAGGTCTTCCATCACCCACGTCTGTCGGTGAATTTCCGCCTGAACTTCAAAAAGTGCAACGGGTTTTGACTGGCTGGGAAGGGGGCCGCCTGCGGGTCACATGGGGCAGATCGCCTCGTGCAAACAGCGGAGACGAGAATGTGGATGGCTTGGGTTGAGCTTCAGTCCAATATTGGTGGGGGCGCAAGGCTATAGAGAAATATCTATCATGAGGACTATCGCAAAAATTGCGGGTGCGAGCGGAAATCACAATTGAAAAAGCGAACCAGTAAACTAGTTGACAAAAGTGGATATTCATTCAGTTCATTCCTCGCCGAAGCTCGGATCCAATTGGGTATTTGTCTAACTCCCTAGGCGTGACAATTGTTTGGCATATTGAACACCAGTTTGTGAATCGCACAAGTTGTGCCCCGTTTCCTTTTGCCCCCCTCCCCCCCAATCACTTCTCCCGGTCTGGAGACTTTCTTCCTCCCTTCGAAACGTCTTGTTCTTCGTGGTATCAAAAAGTTTCCGCCCGTCTTTGATTTTTGAAGCTTTTCCGATTTCATTCTTATTTGATAATGAAATAATAACAATTAACTCCCTTGAATGCACCCCACTTGAAAATAAATGAAAACTGAAATGGGACTATATTACATTGTAAAAAGAAAAAGAGAAGTCGGCAGTGGGCCGACACAGCAAACGTAGATGAATAGATGGAGATTGAATGAAATGAGAATGAAGAGACACGGCTATTGCTCGTGTATGTGCGAACTTTCTATAATGAGTGTCGAGAAGGGTATCAAAAGTTTAAAAAGAAAACAGCAGGAGATGCGGTGGAGGAATTTAAAGAAAAGTAAGAGAAAAAAAGGGGGAAGCTGATGCAGTGTGGCCGTGTTGATCATGAGTGAAACGGCCGTGGTAATCATGAGTGAAAGTGGCGGCCGTCAAAAAGTCATGAAAGATGGTGTTGTGTGAATAACAAAGAGATGCACCCTAAGGGGCGAATTAGGGAGGCGGAGCAGCTTAGTGCTTCGCTCCTCCTTATTTGTTGTGGTTGGATGTTTGTTCAGGGCTTGAAGACAGCATTGGTGAGAAGGAATTCACCAGCTGCTGGCTCTTTGGGTTCGGTGGCAGTTGGCGTGGCAGTGCGGGACGTAGAGTTCGGCGAGGTTGACTTGGTCCTGTCTGTAGAGCTGGCAGTGGTATCGAGACTGGATTTTGACGGAGAGGAAGCCGTAGGGGTGCCGCCTTGAAGCTTTTCGTGGCTATGTGCGCGGTGAAGTTCCTTGCGCTGTTCGTCAGACATGTTGGCGTTCAGCTCGGGCAAGTCGGGCACGCAAGTGTCCTTCTCTCTGAGAGCGGCCGCGTTGTCGGCAGCTCTGCTCATCCGGTCCATTTGAGATTCGACGTCGGCCAGTAGGGCAGCGACCTCATCTCCAGCGTAGATCCGAATGCTCTCGACGTCAGCGCGTCTCATGCCAGAAAGAGGATGCTCAATGGTCTCCTTCCCCTTGGCCGAGCACTGCTTCTCTTCGGATTGGTTGATACCAAGGCCGACAGTAGCGGCAGTCTCCACAACAGGTTGCTCGATGATGGTAGAGGGTACCTGAGCAACGACACGCTGAGGTGAGGGGGAGGATGACTCGATGCGAGGGGTGAAGGAGCTCTTGACAGGGGATCGTGGGGGCGTGGAGAGGTTAGCAGGCGCAGAAGGTGGAGCGGCGGCAACACCCAAGGCGAACTGGAGGCTCTCGCTCACGCCGACAGCTCCGGAGACGGGAAGGGTCACGGCAGCAGCAACATGTTCCAGAAGCTTCTGTCGAATTCGAGTGCGGCGGTTCTCAGCCTGCTCGAGCTTGTTGACCCAGTCGTCAATGGAGGAGTCGAGTTCAGCGAGGGCTTCCTCCTGCTTGAGCATGGATTCATGGCTGAACTTGGCCATGCGAGGAGATCGCAGGTATTGGCAGATACGGGAGTGTAGGTTTCGACGCCCGGCCCTCAGTGAGTGGTACGTGCGGCGGAGGTATTCCGTACGCTCGTCCAAGTTCCTCAGCTCCTGTGTGTACATGATTAGTGAAGTGTTTCAACAAAAGAGAGATGCAAGGTGTATCTTACCCTGGAGAGACTATCCACGTCCTCCTTTCTCATCACCTCAAACCTAGCGGCCTGTTGCATGGCCTGCTTGTGAAGAGCGGCCCTCTCAGTCTGCTCCAACATCTGTGCGGCATCAGTGACCTTCCAACCCTTGGGCAGGGTCTCGAAGGCACGACGCTCTGCACTCTTGCTTGTCTTAGACCCTGACCTCTTCAGTCCGTCATTTCTCTTCCTTGGGCGTCCACGGTCCATGATACTGCCGGCGGTGCTACCGCTCTCTGACACATTCCTCCGATGAGAAGCCAAGCTCGAAGCAGACCTAGGCTCCACAGCTGACTTTGGTGTAGTCATGTTCTGCACGAAATCGTGACCCTGATCTCTGGGTGTTTCGAGACCACTCAGGTTGCCTTCCCCCTTCCACGGTTTCGGGGAAGCTCGAGACTCGGCTGTGCCTGACACTGGAGTTGGTAGGGTAGAAGCAGTGAATATCGAAGAAGCCGCCGAGGACATTGGGGTACTCGTCGTGAGGGAGGCTGAGTGTGGTGTGTATGGAGACCTCGTTCTGGGAGACTCTTCAGTTCGCGCGGGCCGGATGTTGGACTCGGCGCTGCCGGTGCTGCCAGATCGAAGACGGCTCAGGGACAATTGCCTTGTGAGGCGAGGGAGCGACGAGGTCTGGACGGGAATCACGAGGGGCGGGAGGTTCTTGGGCGACTGAGGCTGTGGGATGGTTGTGGTTGATGTATCGGAACCAGAATCCCCTACAGGAGACAAGTGGGTTTCGTTCCTGTATGCGAGATGATGCATCTTCCAGCCGTTGCCAGGGGCACTAATAGACCGCTCGTGACAGGCTGGGCGGCCGGGTATTGTGGCTGGAAGGAGGTCAGCCCTGCCTCGATCCAGCAACAACAAAAGTCTGGTTGACTTACGAGAGTCCATCGCCGACTCATGGACGGTGGTCATGGGCCCCAGCTCTGGCACGCTGACTTTCCGGCGGCGGATAAGGTTGTGCTCCTTGATCCTGAGGCGCAGGCCGCCCGCACAAGGTTTGTCTGTCTGGTTGCCGTTCTGTGCCATGGCCAAAGCGAAAGCCTGCTCTGGGTCGAGTCCCTTCCCTTGCGGGCCAGCGGCCTGCTTCTCCCTGGGAAAGAGCTGGTATTTCCTCGTCTCAGACTGGGACATCATCCTCCAGACCCAAGGCTTTGAGGCTTGCTGCTCTACCTGTGGGACGAAATGATAGTGAGCTTCAAGGTTGGTCCAGCCACACGGTTAGGATGAAGCATAGGTAGGAGGGAGAGGGTGCAAGACAGCACGAGTGCACTTGCTGATAAAGATGAGATGTTTCAATATATAAATACACTTACCTCGTCCACGACGGGTAGAGGTGAGACGGACCTTGCTATATAGCTCCCGATGCTCAGGCGATCGACATCCGCATCTGACATGCAGCTGGCTATGTGAGCCATGATTGAGCAAGGACCTCTCGAGTCGAGAACGGGGGACCCGTAAATTGAGACTAGTGGCGATCCAGATTCTGATGCAGTGGCTGCCCAGGAGTTCCGCGACACGGATAGTCCCCTGCTCACCTAGTAGACCCCGGCGGAGTGAGCCGGCCGGTAGCAGGAGGAGAAGGGAGAGGTCGAGACGAGTTGCGTGCTGGAGTAAGTGAAAAAAAAGAGAGCCTGCCCAATAATACTAGGACTCAGAGATGCATGGATACCCCCCGCGGTACACTCCAAACAGTAGGAACAGGGAGAGCTCTGTTAACTGTCGGGTTCTCGTTGATGTATAACTGGGGACAGGACGGGCGCGCAAAGGGGAAAGCAGAAACATCCGGAGGAAATGAAATAGGTCCCTAGACAGACATGCGTGGCCCACAAGCACAAGTCTTCTGCTGGGGCTGTCACGACCTTATCTTCTTTTTTGCAAGCTCTGTACCAGAGGGACTGACACTGCGCCCCCTCTCGCCCCTCGACGATGTACATACGACAAATTGCAACGGTTGGCAAGGGACCAGAGCAGCCACACTAGACTCTTTCCTGATCCCGACGAAGAAAATCTGCACTCGCCAGGAAGATGAGCGATCCTTCGGCCGTAGGTAGTAATAAGAACTAAGTGAGTGAGAAGGTACTTTACTGCGCAGTAACTGTGGGCCGTGGTAGGTCTGGGCTGGGCCCGCACATGCATCTCCATCGTGTCCCCGTCGTCCCCGTTCGGAGAGAAACTCTGCAGTGCCTAAATTAACAGCGCAGGGGCAGAGTCTGAGACGTGCAATAGATCAAGTTCCCACGAGGATGGCTTGCCCGGGGGTTGCTGTACGGTTACGCAGTACGAGGTGCTCACGCGGAAGTGAGGCCGGCTGGTGAAGTACGTACATACATGCATATAGTCCCCCAGAGTGCAAGGGACGGAGGTGATAGCAGAATGGGGGCTAGCGACGCAGGCGAGGGACAGGATGGCAACCCACCGACCATGAGGGAGGAAACGAGCTTGTTGCTGCAGCAGCTGGTGGTGCTGGGTGCCGGTGCACAGCAGAGCAGAGAGCTGTTGTGCTCGAGAGAGAGAGAGAGTGTGTGTGTGTGTCTCCCCTGGTGTGCCCTGGGCAGGAACTGGTACCAGGGATGGGGCGGGTTGGGGGGATGCATGGGATGCATGGCAGATGTGCAGTCTCTGGAGGGCAGTGACAAGGTGAAACCGCTTCCCTGCACGTTGACGGAGCTGTTCCACGCCAAACGGCCGCTTGGAGACAAAACCCCACCAGAACGGCAGGGATCGCCTTCCAAACTGGGATGCCTGTCGATAACGTGCCTCCCCCTGTCATCTCCATAAACGATAATTGACGGAAAGGTGAGAGCTTGTACCCCAGGCAGGTACCTACAGTAGGTACCGACAAGCCTCCTCCTCCCTTCCTCTCTCCCAACCCACCTCCTCCCTCGTCCCCTTTCCTGCTCCTAGACCTAGATCTATCGACTCAGTCACACCTTCAATCTATCTCCACTACCGTCAACCAGCACACCCATTCGAGCCAGACACCCAGCCCGGTCCAGTCCAACTCAGTCTTAATGCGCTTGTGGAAAGCACTTTGTGTGAAATGCAATCCGATCTTGAGACGACTGTCTGAGGCGATCAGCTCTTTGCTCGCTCGATCGTCTATCCTATCGTATCGACCTTGGGTCTCGGGCCCTGCGTCCAGAGCGATGACAGTGACGACTGCTGCAGTAGCTTGAGGTGATGAGCTAGGACGAACTTGCATGCCATCTCCGCAGCCTGATGGATACCTGGCCATGTACAAGTCATTTACGGTGGTAATCGACGACACCACAGCACACAGTATGTGTACACACACATGTACGCTGGCACGCGGGCACGCATGTGAGCGGGCGACAGAGCCTATGTCTGCGACATGTCAACCTTGAAAGAGCCCACACGCAGACTGGCTGCACCTGCTGCACTGGCTGCACCTGCTGCACTGGCTGCACCTGCATACTGTTACCTGCAACTGCAACTGGACCTCCACCAGAGCTCCCCACTCCTCAGCCCGCAGGCGACTCAGTTTCTCCAGCAGCATGACACCGGGTAGGGGGCCCGTGCCAGGACGAAGCAACTCGACAGGAGGCTCAAAGTGCCGGACGGAGAACGGAGAAGTGGGCCGGCTCCAATTAATCTCTTGTCAACGACCTGCCTCGCATCCGCTGTCTTGCTCGGCCGGGCGCCCTCCCCCCTCTGCCTGTGCTGTCTGCTCTGCTTGAATCAGGGCCCCCTTACTCGCTACCTGTTAAGCTTTCAGATGACATTTGTTGGCCCTGCCATCCCACGCCCCCTCGGCTGGATAGGGCAAATAAAATAGAAAATTATGCTTCTTCTTCCCGCTGCGGAGACCCAGAAGGGACCAGAGGGGGCGGGCTGCCACCTGCCTCGGAGGCTCCACACCAGCACCACAAAGGGTCCAAATCCAAAAGTCTGCATTGCGACCTACCTCCGTCCTCACACGAGGGAGCCAACCCAAAATCGCATCGGAGGATTTTTTTTCTTTTGACAGTGATTCAACGCATCTCTCCCGATCTGTCACCTGCATACATACGCACACTCGCCTCTTTACATACTTTTCCTGGGATTTCATCTTTCTTTTCCTCTTCCCAAGCCCTCGATGTGATCATGTTGTCCCACTGAAACACTGTCATCATGCCTTCCGATGTTTCGGCAGGTCCGGTGGTGAAGCGGACTTGACGGTCGCCACCTCCCGCACAGACGACCGACTTCAGTCGATACGGGGCACTCAACCAATCGCGGTGCCGCAGGCAGGCAACTGCTTCTTCACCAGAGAGCATTGATCTGGGGAAACAAGAAACAAGGTACTTGAAGCTAACACGTTAGCAAGACACTCCAGCAGCCGCTGGGCCGTCTCTCGTTGGGCCGCGGGTCATCACTGGTCACTTGTCAAGCGACAAAGCGCAATTTAGTGAATCCTAGCCTCGCGTAAGTATCTCGTCATGGACGTGTGCCCTCTCTCAAGCCTACCTCCTTGACACTTGAAGCATGAGAGCCATCCAAGAGTCTTATCACCCGTGGTTGCTTCAGATCGAAGCTGACGAGCATGTCTTTGGATGGGATTCCTCATATTTTCGTGGCTCAGAACAGACTAGATTTTCCTGGGTCCTGCCTGCGAGGAGATCATCAGCGGGAGATGCCTCTCGCACGGCCGCCGCCGTTGCCGGATGACAAGGTGCTGAACGGTCTGGCATTAATGTCGCAAGGGATTTCCACAGGGATGTCATCAGGGCAGCAGCATAACGATCAGTCCATGGTCAAGTGCGTGGCAAGGCTCCCCCCTCTTCGTCTTAACCACGGTACGGTCATCTCGTCGGAGTTGACCTACGTGTCGAGCTTGGCTCCTGGGAATTTCTCGGTCGCCACCGGCCTCCTGCGAGACAAATTGTAGCAGGTTGAGTAGAAAAATCATGAAGCTGTCCGGTCGCACGTCGGTTGAGTCGAGGAGCTCCTCATGGTTCCCCTATGGATTGCCAGACCAACCATTGTAGAATATGGTACGCTAGGCATCAAAAAGAGACAAACGACAGCCTCAGCGGAGTCCAGCAAGCAGATTTAGGCCGGCGAGGCGGGCTAACGCGGATGGACAACCGAATAGATGAACTGAACAGGGATGCAGCCTCTGGGGATGACAGGATGCGTCCGGCAGCGACTGATTGCCTGGCCATACGGGCTCGCAGGTGTCAGTCTTCGGCACAACCGCCCGGAAGAGCCACGCTTCAGGGTTCTGGTAGGGAGCCCCGATGCCACAATCCAATGTCAATGGCAACCCTGATCGCCCTATCCTTGGTACAGCTTATCACCTCTTGCCGCATTTATGCGGCTGAGGCCAGCATACGCGCGGTGATGGCGATATTACGAGTCAAGAGGCGTTGGTGATGGCCGTCCAACTCCTTGCCCCTCCTGTCACCGGTCGTAAATTCTTGCATGATGACTGCGTGGCGAGTGGCCGACCAGGACGACCAGAGAGGATGTGTGCGCCCGTGGATCAAGCAGTCTACTGCTGTATTGGTATTTGCATCGCCGCTCAACAGCAAGCATCAGCTTCACCTGCCCTAAGGTGTGCGGTAGTCTTCTTGGATGGCCGGGAAGCTCTGGCGCTATAAGCTAGCCTACTCTGACCAACACAGCCGCGCTCAGCTGGCCAGGCCGTGGAGTGTTCGAGATTGAGACGAGAAGAGGTAGGTGAGTGAGTGCACTCAACCCAACGACACGGTGCCTCCTGCAGACGCCAAGATGCAGCTTCCAAGTTGCCAGATGCACCTAAGCGGAGGCTGGCTCAGGTATCTGGACGAGCGGTGGGTCCGATCTTAGACATTGAAGGAGCCGGCTAAACTCAAACTTGGGATTGTGGGTTTCAGCAGCGCTTCCGCCAGAGTGATGACGGCAGTGGGGGAGGTTCTTGGTTGTTTCGAGGTTGTTGATCTGCTCGATGAGGCTGAAAAATGAACGGCCAGGACCAGGAAAAAGGAATGACGGGCAAACTCTGGAACTGTGCAACACTGGAAAAATTGTCCGAGATCGGCAGGATTAAGTTAGCACTGCAACGCGATGGCGCTATGAGCTACTAACACAAGAGCTGGTCTGTCTTTTTTCTGACCCATACATTAAATTGCGCCTCTTCGGCATCGCTGCCGAAGCGCCACAGCAGCAACACAGCTTCGAGCTCTGGCTCTCCCGAGGCGTTCGCAGATATTCAATGCCACTAGCTTCTATGCTACTCGACCAGACAAAGCTACACAACCATACAATCACTTGTTCGCCAATGGAGAAATGCATGCGTCAATCTGGAAGAAGTGATCATCAGGCGCAGGGGCCGCCACGCAGACTGCGACATCACAACACCCACGCAAAAGAGAGGAAGAGACAGATGCTGCCTCATCGCCAACATTTCGACCGCATCGGAAGTGATAATGCA